TAATCCCAAGGAAAGTTCAGCGATACAAAGTCATATATCGTCTAACCATTCTGGTTGTCGATATTAAATAAAATTAACTTGACATTTTCTCTCCCTTCCGAAAAGCTAAAGTAAGCAGAGTATCTCATCTCAATCTTCACTTTACAAAAGTCAAGTGTCGTGTGGTTGTAATTTCGTGGGCGGAAGTGCTTCTGCTTATCTATCATATACATAGAAAAATAAAAGCCTTCTTATTTCTACTGATCTTCATCTCGTCACCGCTACAGAACAAACCTCTAAAAATATTCTCCAATTTTTTTTTTACCCAAAAAAATATTTATATGCAACAATTTAAATAAATTCTGAATCAAATCATCATAAAATTAATTTCAAACCCAACTCTTTTCTTTCGGTTGAGTTATTTCTCTCTGAAATGATAATTTGCCTAGTTCAATCCGGAGCCATGTGCCATTCCATTTGCCAATCTCACTACGGGAGATCACGACGACGAAATATACTATTTTTGTGCCCGTTTGAACATTTTCTTACCCGACCGACTCAAGAATATCATTACTTTTACCAGGCAAAGTCTTTTGATAATATATCAATCACACCTCATCCAAGTCAACCTACGCATGTTACATAAAGATAAAAATGGTTTGTGTACCCGGATGCCAATAATATGTATCTATCTCGGATTATGTACAGAAATGTATGCATGCGAGTCTTTCAATTAGGTCCAAATTTCACAACAAATCACATCAAACACGAGTGAGTACACTTAAATTTTGCATTTATTCTGGAGTATACAGCGCATAAATTTTGAGAGGCAGTTTTTTTTCGGGCTCTTCGGATTTCTTATGATGATGCATTTTTTATGCGGCGTGATTTTTCCACATTTTTATTATAAAATTGGCAAACGAAATTGAAAGTATTGGAACAATAATTGTGTAAGTAACGGTTGTGGTGGAAGAGTGTTTTTTTTTTCACGGAGTTTAAATAGATGTGGGTTTTGTAAGAGAGGAGGAACCACCACATTGTGCAAATATTCAATATTTATTGTATGTGTGACACTTGCAGAGTCAACAAACACCACCCAAAAAGTCATCCCTTATTACCTACTTAACTTTACGGCTTGATGTTCTAGGAGGAGACGAGACACACAACTTTTTCCGATTATAAAACCGATTCCGATAATGGTGGATTCCTAATGGCTTTTATGACTCCATAAATTTCAAGAAAACCGAGACGGAACGCACTTATGGGGTAAGTCTTAATTTAGTCGACTGAATCATTTCCTTCTTGTGTCTTGTTCTTTTTTTGTGAAAAAAATTGGCAATATCATCGTCATCTTGACTTGATTAAATTTGCAAATGGGAAGCAAAAAAAGATGTGAATTTTTCACAAAATCAATACAGAAGGTTAACTAGAAATTGTTGACATTGAAATTGTTGACATATTTTTCTCATATCGCATTTGTTTCGAGTTTTATCCCCTCGTTCCTTGTCACACATTTTTCTTATACATACATTTATTTGACGTTATTATTATGGCGCACGATGTTTGCATGCAACCGCAGATAACTACTTATCTCTCTCTCTGATTCGCCCTGTTTATCGAAAAAAAAACCGTCCGACATACGTCAGTCATATAATACATCGTCGCACTTGTCAATAACAGAAAATGAAAATAAATCTCTCTCTCTCTCTTCACACACAACCAGATGAAAAGTGTGTAACTATTTACTAAAAACTTTTCCAAAAGAGATAAAAATTACGAAAAAAACATCACCTGCAAAAGAATGTGAACAATCTACATACCAAACCCTTGAAAATGTGAGCCCTTACTTATTCCCGTTATGGATGTCAAAAAATGTGTGTACGATGCACAGTACACACCACGTTAGAAATTATGACAGGTAATTTCCATTAATTACTCAGATTAAGTAGAGAATTTATGAGGATTTTCATTTCACTCGTCTCAGAAATCCTGAAGAAAGAAAGACCCCATCCAAATGCGAGTAACTAACCAACCAAACCAAATTCCATCCACCCTCCCAGTCCACTTGACTCGTATAAATATTAGTTATTATTATACCACATTTCTTTCCCTACAAAAAGAAGCAACCCTTTGTTCCCTTCTGCCTGCATCCTTCTGCTACAGCCCAGTTCACACTTCACTTCTACATTACCCACACCCGGCTCTTTTCTAATATTCAGATCTAATTGTCTTTCTAAACTGTGAAGACTAATCTCTACTTGGAGAAGACAGCAGGTACTTAACTCCCAGAAATAGTTTACCTTCAGGCTCTCCCCTCATTCAGTCCTTAGCTTAACTAGCCTCCATCCATGGCATAACAACATTGATATAATCGTGAAACGCCGTGCCTCGTGAGGAACATAACAGCTCGTCCTACGAGAAAACTAGGGTCGACTATCTACTACGGCAGTATTATGTGTTTAGAATCAGTGGCCGCGGAAGTCGTGGGGACATCTGGGGACGTTAACATTGTAGGATTGGGGAGGGACGGGTTTATATAACATGGGCAGATGATGGGGACATCGAACAACCGTGGGGACATTGCCCCTCAAGCTTCCGCGGCCACTGTGTAGAAAAGGCCTTGGCTCGTCGTCGTATTTAGCTTGTAGTTGTGGTGTAGTGGTTAGAAAAATTCTAGCCCTGCATGGTTGTAGATGCATGTCTCAGATTTGGTTTAGTTACTTAGGTTGAGTTCCTTAGTAGAGAAGATGATAAGTGAACAAGGGAACTTTTTTCTCTTGGATGGAGGCTCCTACGTATGTATTCCTTCATCTTCATCTTCTTCCTTACCCACCTTGAAGTGAAAAGTAGCCTGAGCCTGATTCTTTCAAGGGCCTTTTTAACCAACAAGGCTGGACTGGAGTTCTTATGCCAGTACCTCTTCTAACTAACCGTTCATCCAGTTAGTGCGAGTACTTGAAACTCGTTTTCCAATCTTGAAAAGTCAACCTCGTTACAAAATTACTGTGGGTAAATAATCCAGGAGAGATTTTAGCGTAGGATTATCACTATTGCATCACGTACGAGGTACGTAATACGTACCCATAAAGAGGAATAGAAAGGAATCAAATTGTAATGATGGAAATCATTTTGTCATAATTTTCTTGGGAAACTTTTACCCAAAATGTTGTACGATTTCAGTTCATGATATAAAGCTAATCAATAACCATGATCTCGTTCCATAATAAATAAATGGTCACGTCATTTCCCTCCCGAAATGACAAAACACCCACTAAAACTCTGGTAGGGAGTCTTACAAAAACCTCCTCGCTTTTCTATTTGTTTACTCGTTTTCATACAAAAAAATAATTAATTAACAAAGGAATGAGTGTGACGGTGTAAGTAAAAAGTACAAATTCTGTACGGCAGCGGAAGCTCCCACAGGCAGACCCACGGTCGTTCTATTTCATACTTATCACCAAAAAGTAAAGTAAGCCACACACACACAGCGACAATAACAATACAGAAATAAATTGATTTCCTCCCACAAATGGATCGATAAGGGGAAGCGACAGCTGAATTTGTCATTTTCCGACTTATCTTTCTGCGGTTATCAGAAGAGTACAAACTAAACTACGTCTGACGTTCGTATGGATGACCTAACCTGAGCAAATTTTACTAGCACGCATATAAATATCGAAACTATTATTATTATTATTTTCCTCCCACCAGACCACATTATTTACAAAAGTAAGTAAAACGCTGACCAGAGGTGTAAATTCGTTGAATTGAGAACTGTTGGCATTCCATTATGAAGAGAGGAAGGAGCTAAATGGGAGTGCATACATGATACGAATAACGCCAAGAAGTTGGGTCTTTACTAATAATATGAGATCCCAGTCTCGAGGGAGGAATCGCATGTTTACCAATTAGCAACGCTACTTTTTATTTTATTTATCCCATACGACGACCACGACGACGACACACACTGTCTCACACCTCCATCCATTTTCACACCTGATTCATTAACCAGCAAGATACATGGTAAAGTAACAAATCAAATACTTAATGTACGTATGTACCTTGGTCTAAACTGCGTATACTTAAAGCAAACGCCAACTTTGTTGTCGAAATGGTGTGTGTATCATTTTTATTTTGGGCAACACGCATTTTACTTTCATTCCAAAATCACTTTTTCATACAGATTTCTTCCTCATTTTGTCGCAGGTTGCATTATTTAGGGCTAACAAGGGAACATACCGAGGTGTCCAACGAGTTAAGGGTCGACACCTATACCAAAATGACCACAATACATGACTTGCTAAACAAACTAATCGAATTTCCGTGTAAAAGTCACTTTTCGTCAAGTTGTGACGATATTTGTGACGAGCGCATGACCATCGCGTTGCCAGCGGGAGAGGTCGGCCGCTGAACCATCAGGTCGAAGAGAAGCGTCGTCGTCATCAGAGATTTCAAATTTTGAAAACATCTTGAAATTTTGAAAAAAATTTGAGAAAACTTTGAAATTTTGAGAAAATTTTGAAATTTTAAAGAAATTTTTGAAATTTTTGAGAAATTTTTGAAATTTTGAAGACATTTTTGAAATTTTGAACAAATTTTTCAAATTTTGAAGAAATTTAAAATGTTTTTCAAAATTTCAAGATGTTTTCAAAATATGAAAGAATTTGAAATATCTGAAGACGACGTGAAGACGACGACGCTTCTCTGGGTTCGACCTGTTGGTTCAGCGGCCGACCTCTTCCGCTGGCAACGCCATGGTCATGCGCTCGTCACAAATATCGTCACAACTTGACGAAAAGTGAATTTTACACGGAAATTCGTTCAGTTCGTTTAGCAAGTCATGTATTGTGGTCATTTTGGTATAGGTGTCGACCCTTAACTCGTTGGACACCTCGGTATGTTCCCTTGTAAGACACAATATGCTAAGCGTACATTTCGCTCATATAATATGAGTCATATTCATGAAATGATGTGGTGCACTTCTTAAAAAAACAAAGTTATTATAATTTCATCTCACTTACCAGTGGTGATCCGTTCGGATAATGGTAGCCTAAAAGACCAATGTTGATCGGGGTAGGATACGGCATTCCTCCAACTTCCAATTTTCCACCAGATCCACCTGTTCGAAAGAAAGAAAATAAAAATATTCAGCATTTTCTGCACAATTTTCTCCAATATCTTCTAATATTGATGGATGATGATTGAGGCATCATTATTAAATTATGTTGCATTGCTCATTTTTCTATTACATATTTATCAACCGATAAGGTTCACAAAACATTTTCCATTAAAATCAAATCCACCTTTGCGTGCAAACTCTTTTATCCAACAAATACACAAAACAGCACACTGTTTACTTTAAAAAAAATGGAAAGCATCATCATCATCATGCAGTCGTCAATTTGAACATCAACCTCCATGCTATCAATAATAATACCAATGCTATAATCTAGAGTAAAAAACAATGCATGTGCGATATTAAATGTATGTGCCCCTCCGTCTCTCCTGCTTGCAAATCATCACCTCCATTACAATAATACATACAACATATTGCACTTTTTAACAGCACGGCTCGTCGTCATCGGGTTTTGCACATATGCGTGTTTTAAGTTGTTGATATCGTGAATGGAGAGGAGCAAGTGTCGGCATTTGTTTCAACGGCGGTATCATCAAAAGAAGCAATAAATCCGAGATTAATGTTAACAAGCCCTTCTTCCCTCTTTCAACATCACATTTATTAAAACATGCCGATAATTTTGTGAGCCCTTTTCAACCAACCAGCCAACCAATAACCACTTGCTACATATTTATGCTGATGAAATCAATGGGTGCATTAAATAACGGGGTGAATAATACTCATCATCATTTGCCATTTTTTTACACTGCGACGCACACTTCATATGCATGAATAGCGTGATGATAGCTTTCTCTTGCCAAAATGGTATGCAAAATGAGTATACAAACTTGAACTTGGCATTGGATCAATATTAATATTAATATCTTCTCGTTTTTTGGGGGATTTAAATGATTTAAAAAATAATCAATTTATTATTATTCAACGCAATACGGAGTAATAGATATAAATGATAATTAGTCGGCGTGCCATGAAATTAGACGGGTTGTATAAGCCTATTTTATTTATTTCCTTAAAATCCTTCATATTATTAATCTGACGCTAATTTTGTGAAGGATGGGGCATCTTCCTGAAATGACCGACGCGAGACTAAAAGCATGCGGAATTAAACTGTGATTTTCAACGAATCAACTTTTAGATAATCAATTTATTTTTTAATCAGACGGATAAAAATTCCAATTTCGTCCGAATCGATCTTCTCTTCCCTTTATTAGTCAGCTCTTCTCTTAAAAATCGACTAAAATCATCTTCTTTTGACCTGATGAACTGACAATCACCTCTCCGTGTTGGAAAATTGTTTCTAATTAAGTTGCCTCAAGCCAACAGGCCAAAGAGGAGTAGTAACCGGCTCATATACATAATCATAATAACAAGCAAATCAATCAATCACACCTCTTTCTCTCCTTTGTCCTCATTACTCGCAAGATGGATCATCGCCTCATTTTTGGTGTGGTCAGCCCATTTGTATAAATTCTCTGTAAAATCCGTGACTTTATGGTTTTCTTAAGGAAACAAGTCTCTCTCCCACCATATTCTAAAGTTAGACATGCATTTCGCAATTCTTTAGGCAAGGAATCTTCTCGTTAGGTGTAAATCAAACTGGTAAAATAATGACGATAATAATAATAATGGAGAAGAAGAATAAGCCTCGCTTATTTTCTCCAAGACACAAGTCCATAATAATAATTCCAGATTTTAATTTGACAACGGGAACGAGGAGCATAAGAAAAGAACAAGTCTGGCTAAAAAGATCTCTCCGAATCTCTGTTTCATTTCGTATATACGACTTTTCTTACTTAGCTCTTCTCCTGGAGGAGGAGGAGGAATGCTTACGGCATTACATAAGAAGGAACACAACAACCTGCCAAGTCAAGACCCCTCTTCCAATCCACTATTACTACTTGCTTGAGCTTCATATTAGAAAAAATAGCAATAAAAAATCTTAGCTTTCTTTCTTTCTTAAAGCTTTTACAGCTTCTTGTCGTACTTAACGAGGAGACTCAGCAGCAGCAGCAGCCGCGTTAAGTCCAAGTTATATCAAATCAGGATCAGTCAGCTAAACCAACCACCAAAGTATAAGACCAAATGTGTGTAAAGGGTTGGAACCCTCCATCATATTATCAACATCTCGTTTTGAACACTCATCCTCTTCTTCCTCGCCTTCGTCGTCTCTCCAGTCGGGATATGATTTCGTATAGTACAGATATTTTTATAATATTTTCCATTATTACCACCATCACTTGCTGGGTTTATATATCCGCCTTTAAAGAGTTCCATTCCATAGCTGACTTTTCTTTCCAAATAAAAAGTGCACTTTAGATACCACAGAAATCATGCTTGTACTGGTCACACTACAACAGAATTCTAAATGCTGAATTGTGCAACAGGTAAAAAATTTTTAATTGTTGGAGGAGAGAGCAAGCCAAAAACTAAACCACTAACCATGTCGGACACTATAGAGATGTAGATATGCGTGTGTGCATTAACAAAGTTTTAGTAGTTTTGGTGTAACCAAATCCATAAAGATTTTCATAATATTTCTAAATTTGCACTAGACTTTGTGACCCGTAACTGAATAATAAAGCAGGCAAATTTTTAAAGCAAATATAAAATATGCAACATTTACATAGATAGATTATGAACGCTTTCTTTGAGCCTTGTCCTGCTGGAAGTCATGTTCTTTGAGAAAAAATGCTTGCAAGAAAGGAATGAAATCACGGAGGAGCAATGCAATGACGACACGAAGAGAAGAATAAACGTGGGATGAGGTTGGCATAAAAGAAAAGAAAAAGCTAATCTTATTCTGATCTACTTATTTAGTTTGAAGAGAGAGAGAGAGAAAAAGTGAAGTGAATTCAAGTAATGCGTCGAATTTCCTTCAAGGCACGACTTTTGGACACCAGACCAGAGTCAGAAGAGAGTTATGTAATGAGGATAAGCAAACTCCTGTAAGGAAAACGACGACGTCAACGTCTTATGAAACGAGAATGACATGACGGGTACTTATTCTTGAGAGACCTTCATTTCTCTGTCCTTCAAAAAAATTCCTCTGGAGGGGATTATTATCCCAAAGACATAACAATTCTATTTTACCCAAATTTTCGCACTTTTTAATATTTTGACCCAATTATTACATAAGAAGTCAGGATTGATTCGTACTTATTTCAATTTTTGCCATGATCTTGAACTGCTCAACTAACCAACACGCATTTATTGCCCAGCTCTGCACTTCGACTTCACCCTTGATTCGATCAAATCTCTTCACATCTCTCTTCCCTCCAATAACGAGTCCCTGACTCTTCTTATCCAGCCAAGTAATTCAACTAAATATCAAACTTTTCAATAGTCGATTCACGTAGTGGTAAAATGATCCTCCTCCCATCCCATCTCGTTTCACTTATTCATCTTCTCTCTCTCTCACTTTAAAGAAGTTCCATTAAACATTTTCTACACCGGACTGGACGACTCTCCCCATTAACAAGTCTCCTCTCTCGCTGGAGAGGAACTCGTATTTAAAAGAAGGCGAATGTCTATTCATTCTTCTTCTTCTTCTGAAATGTTGTTAGCTTAACAATTTAGTTTCGTTAGTTTTGCTACATAGGCAAACCAAACCCAATCAAATTTTTGGATGGATACATACAAACAAGTAAAATATACTACCGACCGACGACCAACCAGGAGTGATGAAGAATTCTTCTTCTTCTTAACTCGTGGCTCAAAAAAGTCGGAAATTATTACTCTAAACCCGAATCATTATTATCTTTCTTGTCTGTCGAAGCAGCATAATTCATCATCTTCTCCATTTTTCATCCAGGCCATTCAAAAAGAAGCTGGTTTTCAGACCCAGCCAGCGATTACTTTTACTCGTCGTCTCATCCATACGTGGTCAGTGTCCACAAATGAAATATGAAATGAAACTTGTCTCAAACTCTAATCATATTCCGTATTAACGCCCAACTGGTCAGTAATAATAACTCGAACTTTGCATCGACATGTAGATCCACGAGCCACTTTTTAACCAACCATTTCCCAGAATATTCTGGTTTTCAAAGCAGAAATAGATACTTCTCGATTGAAATATATCAAGTAAAAAAATATGTACGTATCTATGTATAAATATTTTACTTATGTAAATACTGCCAGAGTGCAGTTAACTGTTTTGTTTTTGATGCTGAATCATTACTATTGAATTGGTGTAATCTAGATCTATTAAATATTATTAATGCGACAACATTCATACGGTCGAGTGGTTGCTGTATGCATGTATATGCTGAGTATGTGTGTGTTCATTAAAAAATAAACGGCATTAATTCCGAGTTACATAGGTCAGGTGGTGGTGGTGGTGGTTTTTATTATTGGGAGGATCATCGAGGATGATTGATTTGTCCCCTCTTATCCTCGTGTGACTCTTTATATACGAAATTTTTTAATCTCTCCCCTTAATCTGTCGTCTGTCTAAACACACAAAATGGAATCAAAAGAGCGAGTTTCTTCATCCATCTAATTCATACGAACGTCACCCTGCTTACGACTTTTTTCCAGTTTGAGTAACCACTTGATTTATTATGAGGCTATCAATCTCTGAATTTGCAATCTTTCTCTTTTATTTCGTGTTTCTTATCGAGCGAGTCATAATAAATACAGCGAGGAGCAGGCGATGACTGCAGTGGAGCTACTGGACTTGCGAATTCTTGCATAAAATTATGCTCTCTCTGATAAACTGAATCGATCCAAGTAAAGAAGAGTAATTTGCCAATGGCCAATTTCATTTTTTATAATGACTATAAAGTGCTAATCTCAACGAGATGGAGGACAGAGAACGTGACTAGGTTGCTGGTTTGCTTAGTTTACTGATTTTATGCATAAAAAAAAGTAGGGATGGACGGACGCATGATGCGATTTTGCATCAATTTTGTTCTTCGATTCGATTAGCAATAGGTAATAAGGCTGGACCACATGCATGCCATATTACCACCAGTAACCACTTATGTACACTGCTTCACCACCACGACCGGGGGCACTGGCTGGCTGGCTGGTCGACCGTGTGCTTAAAACACTTTTAAAATTAGCCAAAAACCAAGAAAAATGTTTAAAAATTCGTTTCACATTTTATCCCTGAAACGCAAACCAACCACAAACAACTCCATTCCTTGAGACCACAAGGTTTCATCTCATAAGATTCTATTCAAAATGCGCATAAAGTCACACCACCACATTTTTATTTAACAAATGGAGTTATGTATGTATCTCGAGTCGAATCGGATTTTACGCTCCTAACCAAACCACGATATCATTATTATTATTATTGCTATTACATTATTATTATATTTACAGCCACACCAATAATGATCATGTCTGGCTTCTTGTGTGTGTACAGCAGATGATGACTTCCTCATGTTATCGACATGAATCGAGTCAAAAAGTTTGAAGTAAGAGTTGTGTGTGGTCGGTTGAAATTCGGTTAAATGAAAAAAAAACCTCAGAATTGTTTATTTGTTTCTGAAAATCCATTACAGGCCGGGCAAACATTTCACGGATGGACATAAAACCAGATCTGAAGTGAAATGATGATGGTCGTGGTGGCATGATGGTAAGATAGCAGCAAGCAGTTTGGTAGGATGGTGTGCCCTTAAGTGCACAGAATACAGCAGGGGTTGAAATGAATGAACATTAGTCTGAGACGTTCTGATCTGAGGTACTTAAATCTCATGCTGTTGAAGTCGAAATTATTATTTTGTTCTATTTCTCTCACTCGGGAAGAAAAAATTGTACCTGCGTGTCAGTCAAGGTATGTGTGTGTGAGGTACTTTTTAAAAATTGGTTGTTTGTTAATGATACTTTTTCAGATTAAACCAATTCATACAGAGATTGTTGCAAGTACATAACTTCTAATTTTGACATTACAGATACCTAATATTTTTTAAATATTATTAATTTGCGAGTTTTACAATTCCGGCGTAATTGCGTCCCATTTTCATAAATATTTCGAATTTGTACCTATTTAATCATTCTTTTTAAATCGTTCTCTCCCCAATTAGTGGGGTAGGTCATGCCTCATCTCATACATCTCTTTATCCTCCATGCCGCAAAACCCCCACCGATTTACCACCACTTTAACTTCTCTGTGCATGCACAATTCCGCTTAAGGCCATGTCATTTTATCCGTGAAGAAGGAGAAGACCCGCAGTAGGGAAAGATGAGAAGGCGATGATAAGCGTCATCACGTACATATCTATACTGCTCCACCAAAATCATCACTACTACTACAACACCCGGGTATTATTCTTCACCAGCCAGAGTGGAAGTCTGTACTGTACCCGAACTCACTCACTCACTCAAAGTGAACGAGTATGCCAAATCACATTACAGTACAGCATATGAATTCACTTTTCTTCTACTACCAGGCCTGAGAGACACTACTGTTGTAAAGAGAAATAAATAAAAGAGACCGGAAACGGAGTACAACCAGACCTCGTCACTACTGTATGTACCACTACCAATGCGTACCTAAATAAGTACGTACATACATCCAACCCATCACCCTCTCTCTAGTTCTCGTATAATAAATAAATTGTCAAGACAAGTTGGCATTCTTGCCTAATGTCTTCATCTCTCTCCCGTTAAGATCTTTGTCTTAACAAAATTCTTCGGGAGAGGAAAAGGGATCAAGATGGATGCGGACATCTTCGTTCGGAGTATTAAACATAAAATGAGAAACCTCCTCAATGAAATCTCCCAAGTGCGGAATGTGCACCTGAATCAGGATCGATGAGGGTTTATATTATCCTGTCGTGGTAGGTACATACTTAATCAGCTCTTCGAAAAGTTGCTCTACATCTGCTAACAATGCATGCTGATTCATTTCATTACACAAAAATCGGAATAAATACGTAATCTCTCGTCGTCGGACATTCCTACTTTCCTTCGCACCTCGTCCTCCGACTGGACTACACAACAATTCATGACGATGATGATCTCTGTACCGATCCGTAGGTACATATTCTCTTAAGGGACCTGACTGAAAAGTGGTGGACAAACCAAACCAGCCGCAACAACCTCTCCTCCTCCACCTCCTGTTTGTTATCGCTCCTTTATATTTTCATCTCGCTTGCAATGTAGATAAACTGGCTACTTTTGGTTTGTTGGGATAAAGGAAAATGCATTCTTTTTTTTCCTTTCCTGTTCTGTTCTGGAGAATAAAATGAGTGAGCCTTACACTTCACATCTCATCTTCGATCATTCATCCCAAGGGTAGCTAGCTCGTACACATTTTTACTCGGTGAATCCTCCACCCTGACTGAATGTCGATGACCACTTGCTGCGCTCCCACAATACAAACACAATTGGAAATACAAACCCCAATTTCCAATTGCTACGGAATCATGGCATCCCTCCCTCCTCCTTCTTCTCTTCTCATCTTATTACATGGTTGGTTTTACGAAACAAGGAAAACTAAATAACCGAGTCATTCCTTGGTTTGCTTTATATTTTATTGTTTTTGTGAAGGAAAGACAACAAAAATTTCGAGAGAACAAGATTCCTCGTGGGGTTCTCGCTCTCCTTTTACCTGAGAAAAATCAGACGGCAGGTGAACTATAAGGTGAGCTTGGTTCCTCTATTACCAGCCTTCACACCTTGATTGTAATAATCCCTGTTGTCCTCCCGTCTCAAAATCTACTTTGGTTTATAACAGCTCCAAATTCCTGCCTGAACAAGAAGCAGCCCTTACATTTTTCTAGTCTACGATAATAATAATACTTTAGATTACTACCTACCTACCTACATTTTTTACGGAGAAAAACCCAATTTCAATCCATCCGTCACATCACTAACTTATTATCTCCTTAGTCAAGTCAGTCACTTGTCTTGTCTTTCTGTCTGCCTGTCTAATTTTCCAATCTTTTTCTCCAAAAGTGGGGGAAATATAAGGGCACAGACAGAAATCAATGGTGGTGGTGGTGGTGCTTCGATTAACCAAAATTGGATGAAAAATGTACTTTCGAAGCATCCTTTTCCCCACAATTATTACAGTTATACATTCACATTCATACCGTATTTAACGTTTAATACAGCATATTACACGTTTAGATTGACCCGTCACATCATCCTCCTAACTCTTATCAAAGCATGTTCAAACAATTGGATTAGATACGCTGTCCGTATGTGCAAGTTAATAGCAACTTTGCCGTATCCCTGGGTGTAGTGGAAATCATAAATATTGAAATTATCCCGATAAGATCAATAAGTAATGAGCAACAGGCTGTTATATTGTGACACGATGTGATATGATCCCATCCTATTCTCTCAGTCATCATGATGATACAATTCAATCCTACCTGCCTGCCTGCCTCATTGTCAAAAGTACAATGTGATTCAACGTTGTAAATACATATGCATGTCGCTAATATAATATAATATCGCGCATAAAGTTATCCACCCCGGTTTCCAACTGCCAAGTAATGAAGAGGTCGAAAAGAAAAATATCTAAATGCGCTAAACGAACTTGTTCTCGCTCCAATAATTGGACAGTTCAACACAGTTCGGCAGTTTTCATTCTTCACAATCAATCACCCACAAAGTTTACAAGACAAAGGAGTGAGTGAGTCAATAATGAAATGAAACGGAATACAATACAATGAGCCAAGCCAACAACCAAAAAATCAAACCAAACCAGCCGACAAGTCAATATCGTATTATAACAAACAACTTAATTACTCTGGGGGTAATTGAAACTAATAAATAAGGTGAGGCTGTGGCGTGGCGTGGTCAGTGAGCAGGTCATCAGCAGATAATCTCATCATTTGGAGGTTGATTTTATGTCAAGATGCATGCATAAAATATTCAGCAAAAAAATATGAAAGACTTTGGCGACCAAATTAGAAAAATCATATCATTAAAAATGCAAAATTTATGTGCAAAGATGTTCGTCTAATAGGTTTTTAAAACAAATATTTTTTCTCTCTACTTACCAAACAGAGATGACGGGTCCGGTCTTAGCGAGCTGGATTGTCCACCATTCTTCGGATTAAAGGACGAATGTCCCCCACCGCTCGAGTAGCTTCCGGGTGACAATGGACTTAACGGACTTAGTCGTCCCCCCTTCTGTTAAGCAAATAGAGTAAATTATGTTAATTAATTGTCAGTGTAATACATACATATGTACAAAATTCACATCGTTTCATTTCATCTCATACATATCCAAGTATCATTGAGGTACATGTTACAACTTGAATTAAAGCTGTCACTTCATAATAATAATAATATGACGAATGAAAAAAAGTTGATTAACATGTTCTCCTCGGTAATGAGGTTGTAAAATGAAAATGTAAAAAACAAAACAAGTGCATAGAAGAGTCGTTATTTTACTTTGCGATATTAATTCCTACAACTACTGCGAAATGTGATATTGTATTTGCCCTGCCCAAAACAACAATGCGAACAACTATGTACATACAGAGTTGCATAAACCGACCGCATAATTACTACAAATAAAATGAAATGGTATAATAGAACAGGGAAAAAACCGGAATTCAATAATTAATTAATTAGTTTGTTCGCCAAGAAGAGTTAAAATTGTAGCAATTACAGGAACCAACAACATACATAGAAATGCTTTCATCATACATATAACATAACCCTTTTTCTTGTTTAATTCCATTCTGGTAAAAAAAATCGTCAATTAGTAAAACCTAAAACAACCTGCCTTCGCTGCTAATAAGTTTATATTTTCTTCACTCTTTTCAAACATATGCTGGATACATTTCAAACTAAACAACAAGCAAATTCACGAGCGGAACAAATCACCCGATTTTCTCATTAATTTTGTTTCCCACCTTGTGCTCCCCATTTATTTACAACCAGGACTTGTAAATATTATATTCTCACAGCATGATTACCACTATTTTGGAAAAGAGATGCTAATCTGGAGCGCTTCAAATGGCCAGAGATGGACACCTTACATATAATTTCATTAAGTTTTATACGCTATATCCGCACAAAATCGGGACAAGACCAGAAATAAGCAAGTAAGAAAAGAGTGGCTCTCCCACTACTCCTTATTATGATTAGATTACGGACAATTGTCCGTGAAACGGTGCCGTATTCTGGGCATGTGTACATACAAAATGAGGGAGAAATACATACCACATGGCATAATATGTAGTTTGTGTACTAAAATTCTACAACTATTTATTACTCGCCCTGTTACTAAAACTGGAAAAAAACTGGAGCATTTTCTTTCCCCTCATAAAAATAAAATAAGTAAAGTTTCCTAATCAGTCTTTCTTCTTACTGAAAGAAAGTGAAGCTCTACTATAATAGCAGCAACGCTACATAACATTCTTGGTTTTATGATGGCAACGTGGGACTTGCACTTTTTGCTCATTCGTAGCCTTCGAAATTTTCATTTCCATCCTGAGATGGACTTTTTGTCTTTTTATTTTACAATATGTATCCATCCACCACATACGTATGTACATATATATTTACAAACCAATCTAACTAACCAACCAACCAACCAAACACCTCTTCTTCTTCTCCTGTTTGTTGTCGAGAGAGAAATAAAATGGAACAATCTACTCTGTTTTTTCTTCTCTACTATTCATCTCTCTTTAAGAGTAAGCAATTTGGTTTGGTTTTTCGGTTTCGCTTTGCTTTACAATTTTATTTAACCGTGCTGCTGCTGCTCTTATTTTTATTTACTTACTTGAACGAAAAATGTTACACCGTTTATACGACTTTTGTTTCTGTTTTGTCATCTTCTTAAAGTTTGCTGGATGGTCACAAAGTTGAAGACGTTTCAAGAAAAGATGGGTCCACGTCCAGTTTGTGACCACCCTTCTCGTTTTGTTGTTGTTACGTACCTACTACCATGCATCCCTTCGCAATGAATAGGATTCTTGTCTCTCTGAAGCTTTACTTTTATTACCAAGTTTTTGAGGCAGGTAGAGAAAAAGTTTGAGCAAGCAAAGAAAACGATATCTTTAACTCCAAAAACCAACTTTTCCATCTTTTTTTTGCGTCCCACCAGTCGGTTTGGTTCGTCTTCTCTAGTGTCATTTTACTCTGTACTTACTGTGGTCTTGTTTGTTAAAATGAAATGAAACCCGGTTTGATGGAGGGAAATGGAATGAAATGCCAGACCAGACCTAACTAAAAGATCAACTCCTAAGAAATGTCCTTCAGCTTCTGGTTGCCCAATCCAGCAGTGAATTACATACATCAAGTAAGTCTGGCTGTGCTGGTCGTCTCTTATGTAGCATTTGAGACGAGATGAAGAACAAATTATTTTCTAAAGGAATGAATCAGTAGTTAAATACATAGATAGTTGTGGTGTGTTTGCCTACTCGTCGTTTTCGTCGTCTATCTCGTCTCATTTCATGTCATGTTGCTATCAGTGGCCGCGGAAGCTGTGGGGACATTAACATTGAAGGATAGGGGAGGGAGGGGTTTATATAAGATGGGGAGATGATGGGGACATCGAACAACCGTGGGGTCATTGTCCACACCCTTCCGCGGCCACTGCTGACTTGAGCAAGAAGGAACTTCATTTCGTCTCGAACTTCTTTATACGTTGTTGTTACGCGGCCGCGGTGTTATATAAAAGATGAGAAAAAATTAGAGGAATGAGCCAGATCTTGAAATGAAACTTATTTTCTTTTATTACACGTACATACTATTCCATTCTGTGTACCAAGATCACATTACTCACAATTGATGTCGATGTCGAATTCTTCTTGTGGGTGCTGCTTTGTAACTTAAACCCGCTCCTGTATATTTACTTAGTCTCACCTTAACTTTGAATTGCAATTGTGCAAACTTTTATACCAAAAAAATGAAGATGAACAATAAGTAAATACACGAAAGATGATATTTTGTCTGTGTGTGTGTATCCGCATAAGTACAGAAGAGATACAATGTCTTATGTAACAAATCGATGACGGTGGCCATCATTTTACTTTTACGTTTTCCTCTCCTGACTTTTGAATGACAAGTGAATATAAATTTTTGGGAAACGTGAGTTGAAATGAAGAGGAAGAAGGAGAAGAACCTCCAAGTTTTTGATAAATTCTATCAATAAATTCTTCCCTTGTCTTGTAAAAAGTCTTGCGAAATGCATATAGAGAGGAAAAGTCTGAGAAATTGCGAATTATATAGTTTTGTTTTTTTTTATAAAAAAAAGTTCGATTCTTTTTTTTTGCAATTTAATCTTGCTCAATCCAACCAACCACCGTTTTGAATAGGCAATTGTCAATGGGCGATGGGATGTATGTAGGTAAAGAATAATGACGACAAGTTAAGTTACACGCAATACGTATACCAATCTCAAATGTATAGTTGTAAGTAAAGAAAAGCATTGCCTTTGTTTTGACACCTGGTTTCGGATTAACTTTGTAAGCTCCTACGTACGTAAACCAAGCCAAGCTACATATACGCCAAGTTTGATTAAACTTTGGATGGGATCATATCTCTGTCTCGCCTTTTACAGGCGAGACCTGACTGAGCTGCCTGTGGTTCAGTTTGAGTACAAATGCGAATAAATCACAATCGTATATAGCAATTCCTCCACCCTTCATCCAGTCCAATTCTGTGCCATTTTTTATGAAGGGGTGAAAAACTCCTTTATGTTAAGATCGTTATGTCCGTCTGTCTGTCTTTTTGTGGGATAACTCTAGAAGGGAGTGACAGAAAGATTTGAAACTTGGAGAACGAATCCATAATGTCAAGGGGAATAAATGATTCGAATTTGGGGCTTCTAAAACGCCATAATACTTTGAATAATAACGGGGTCATGTGACACATCAAAATTGATAGGATTTTAAATGTCTATCAAACCGCATATGTCATTTTGATCTGCGATGACCATTTGGACGAGGTCAAAGGTCACTCGAATCACTTTCTTTGGTTTCACCTCTTGTTTACATTCATTGTAACAATTTATTTGCTCCATGTCGCTTACTTTTACGAATACGTTTTTTATGTCTTATTTGCTTATATGTAGATACATACACCTATCGGAGAGATAAAATACTTAAATGGTACATCAACATCACCTACCAAAAAACTACCGACCAAGAAGATTGAACATGCATAGAAGAAGAAATACATAAGTCGCATCTCTAAAAAGCTACCTTAAACTCTCTGTCGGTCGAATTCCAACAACAAACTTGTCACAATTTACAATAGTGCCTGTCTAATTCAAGTGCGTACATTTGTCCCGTCGATATTTACTTATTTATCCAACAACAGTGAGAGTGGACTGAATATAAATAAATACAATTCCATGAAATCGTTTTATCCATGCAGGTTTTTATTCACAAATTCAATCTACTGCTCCAGTTAGTTGGCAGCTTTACGTATGACAGGACAGAGCTAAATTCCTCGGCAGGTAGGCAAATAAGCAAAAAATTATGTTGCTTCCCATCGTACAATGATGAGATGGATTGCATCGCACTTTTCTTTAAGAAGAAGAAGAGTCCAGTCCTCGGCCGGCTTCTTCATTTATCTCTCATGCCATCATCATCCATTAGTCTGATGGGATTACGAGCGAGTAGTCACCAAATTACAATGGTGGAGAACAAAGAGCAAATAAATTATGTGGGATAATTTATTACGTTTGCATTTCCAACCTCTACTATTTCACTCATCCTCAGTCAGTCTATTTACTATAAATGCACCACAATGAGATGGAAATATGCATGCATGCAGAGATTGGTGGGCACATTTTCAATTTCAATTTTATTTTTTCGGGCTAATTCGCAAAAAAATTAATTAAAACAAATAACATAACACAAACCTGGTCATACTCCGTTGCCCGGATCAAGTCCCGCTTATCGTCGTTCATTACATCATCGGAGGATCCTTCCCCTTCGTCCTCCTCGCATTTGAACACTTTCACCTGTAAAATGAAATATAATAACGTTACCCACAAGAAATCATGATGATGCTGTAATCGACTTTTAAGTGTAACAAATACCTCATCGCAGTCATTGGGGTCATCTCTGATTCGGCCTGAGCTGGAGGAGGAGGAACCACTCCCACCAGCTACGACGACCGAATTTCCACCACCACCACTATTTCCTCCGCCGCTCCCCGAACTACTTCCAGCTACGTGGGGCATCTTCTACGTAAAAAAGTTATTATTTTTAATAAATTTTCCAGTCTTGTTACAACAATCAATTATTAATTTAACTGGCGTCTAAGCTGTTAAATACGACACGTTATTTTGATTTGAGCCAGCAGCCAGCCATTATCGTCTCAAAATTCGATTCAATACTCGCTTATCTCAGTTTCGTCTTGTTACTGGTGATTTTTGTGTCTAATATTTCATAAAAAATTATTAAAGACTAGACGACGATTATTACACTGGTTTGGAATGCGAATTCGAGCGACATCGTGGTTTCTTCGGCGTAAAAATAGTGAAACAGTGATATTTGATCCGTAAGGAAAATACAGAAATGAGACAGACTCCTACTTCCATTTTATGAGTACAACTTGCCATTTTATGAGATTATTGAGCAAAGTACCTGTGGATGTTCTTGTTTCCGTTGCCTAATAAAGCGCTTCATCATCATCACTTAAATAGTGCATTAACTACTTAACTAATCGTTATTGTTAACAACATCAAATTCCATCCAATAGTGGCCACGATTGATATGATTTTAATGGTCCAGTTTAGTTTCACAAACCCTGCCTGCCTATTTGATAATCATTAATGCATCATCGCTATTATAAACACAATCTCTTCGTAACGTAACACAGCCTGGTCTCATTCGTCGTTTCTTTCCATGCATCAACAATGGATCATAAACCCCGAAAAAAGACATAAAATCAAATTCAGTCTTATTTTTCTCCTATCTCGTAGTTGGCAGGAACTCGGGGCTATTGTGTTGTTACGTAGGTATGTCGGCGACTTCTACTTATTCAATAATAATATGCGTCGGCAATTATAAAACGGAAAAATGTCACATCACAATGATACGTTACACTGCTATGTGTTTGTTACTTCATTAATTAAGAACTTGAACTATGAAATCTATGGAATCTAATAACGACACTGCGTTATTTTTTTGGACTAGACTCGAAAAAAACTAGATCTTGAAATGAAAACTTGCATCTCACATAAATGCACTCGTGAGAAACAAATTCTAAACTAAACTCCTCTATAAATCCTTTAACCTCATGATGTACATTTAATGTGACTCATACGCAACAGTCATTGTCCGGCCGATAAAGTGGAAAAATACGACGAAATATGTTCAAAGGCATTGTTTTCCTCCTTCCGTCTTAATCCAGAAGTTAATTTGATACTGGGTTTTATGCCCAAACAAGACTCTCCAGTGTCTCACGAATCCAGTAAAGTCAAATAAAACCAACTTTTCTAAACCGTAACTGTATTTCACTAAGAACACCGATATGAATTTTATGCCTGTACCTACATATAACTTACAAGGAAATATTTATAGATACCGAGCTGATTTACTTACTATTTGAATGCATATTTACATAGAACCTGATACTTGCGGTTGGGAATTTTGTTTATAAATTTCCAAATCCATACATACGTTCCCATTTGGGGTCAATGTTTTATGGTTAATTAATAAGCTAATTTTATAGTCAAGAAAATTTATACCTCAAGTTTTGTCGGTGGAAACTTTTGAGATGAGCAGATGGTATGCAACCCCTTCTTGGAAGTCTTTCGGAGATGAACTAGTCCGTCTTCTGTACCTATTTTAAAAACTGGGTGGGACGATACCCGGGAGACACAGGGGTAAAATTCTTCTTCCGTTTTGCTTTGATTAAAATTTCAACTCGTTTCAGAGATTTCTTAGTTTTGCAGTATTTGATTTCGCGAATCGTAGTGGTAGTGTCACTTTTGTTTAAAAACAGTACTTTTGATAAAATGTGCTCATCAATCTTTGATAAGATCCACCCTGATAAGTAGTAGTAGTTTGTCCTACTTGATAACAATAATTGGTATTAAACCACCCGGAGGAGACCGGGTGCGGGTCTTCTTTTTCTCTCTGCACGCCATTTTTGTCATCCAGAAATTTTTTTTATTTCTTCAATATATGCAAATTACACAATAATTTTATAAATTAGTAACTTTACGCACAACTTAAACGTAAATCATCACAAAACCAAACCACGGGTTGCACCATACACAAAAAAAACTTGTAATCAAATCAACCAAACTGAACAAAAGTAATCATTTATTTACATATGTCAAACTTTTAACTGAAGGAACCAAAATATTTTTAAAATTTCATAAAATTATTCACGTCTGCATTCGTAATAACCAAGTAAAGTAACAGACGCAGAAAAAACAACAAGAAAAATTCATGCGAGGTCAAGAACACGAATCCAGCTCGACTTACGTATAGTTGACCTCGGAAAAAGTGTCAATTTCCCCACTCTTCTTCTTCTTCTCTAACAACCACTTCTCGTAAAGTGCATAATAACAATTTTTTCTTATTTTTTTCACACTTAATCATCCATCAATTAAACACGCAATTAATTGCAACAGGATGTACGTAAGTACATACGCTAATTATTATTATATATTCTGTTATTGTCGTGTTAAACACTTTTGGAATTTTTTACCATCAGCAAGTTTTCTCTTCAAAAACAAGAAAACCACCCACTCTGATTATCTCCAACAAGTGACGACAACACTCAGTTAATATCCGTCATTAAGACGCAGTGTTAACTAATCCTTTAGTCCAGTCAAATTAGAATATCTTGTGTCCTTATCAGTATAAATTTTAAGTTCAATATTTGCCATCCAACAGGTCAAAGGTCCAACAATTTTCAGGCCACCACGTTGCTGTTCCTTTCACCACGGCCTTTTTTCTTCAATTCTCAATCAACCCAACCAAGACTTTTACAATACAAAAATCACTCGTTTAAAGAGAGACTCGTTTTTAACACGGGGCCTGCGAGAGAGTCACAGAGGTGCGTGTGAACAGTGGTAGCAGTCGGGTAATACTAACGAGGCAGTGTAAGTAGTTTGCTTTGCTTGCATTACGGCAAGTTGTGTTTGTGGGTGCAATTCGCCTCGCTTTTGGTCTGGTTTATAACGTGCTGCCTGGAATTGGAATGCAATATGCCGACTAGCCGAACAGAGAGTGTATAATCTCACCACCAAGCTACACGAACGAAGGTTTGTAGATACATACAAAAAGTAAAATGTAAAAGGTTTATGTTAAAGAAAAGCATGTGGTTGTGTAGATTTTCTTATATGTGTGGTGCCTTAGGGCAGGTTGGCTTCAAGAAAATCTCAGCCCTTCGAGAGTAACCTTGGAGGATGCACGAAGTGTGCAAGCAAGAGATGAATAGAAGCAGAGGTCCCTTCACTCTGTCGGTCTGGAGTGGATTGGAAGCTTTCGTGGTGAGGGGGCCAAGTGATACAAAGAGGAGTCTGATGACGGTGGGTGGATCCCGAGGGTCGGAACCTTATTCCTCTTTTTCTGTATGGAAAAGCCGTGGCGTCGGCATTTTTGTCGGTCGCTGGCTGCTGCCCGAGTCCGATGTACGCAAAATCTTATATGTGTACAGGGAGGGAGGATGGGCAGAGAAAGAGGGAGGATGACTTTCTCCTCCGAGTCGAGGTGGTGGTGAAAGTTAGTTCGTCAGACTTTGTGTAATAACATAAATGCGCTTCCAGTACGATATAATAAATATTAACTTTTTCTATATATTTTTTAGAATTTGACAACTTTTGGCGTTTAACCGTAACAAAATTTTGTCACGGTGAAAGCAGGTGAAAGCTGAAATCATCCCCACAAGAAACCCACACTTTTACAGGCACCCCGCTTTACCCCCACGGTAAAAGCGGCCGACCCTGTGTGTCGCTCACCGTCATAAGAGATCCCGAAAGGGGTCGGAGATAAGGAGGCGATCAAAGCTTTAAAAAGCATCGCGTCTCTCTCTGTAACTACTCGCTTGTTATTATTCTTATGGTGCTGGCTGGTTAGCAGTGTGGATCGGGGGCGCTGGACAAAAAGCAGTCTTATAACCCCTGCTTTTATTATACATTCGACGACTGTCAGATATTATTGTGTGGGAGCCACCCGTGAGTCAAAGTGCCGAGTTGAGTGGCTCGAGTGCCGGTTGCGAGACCAATCCCACTCTGCGGAACCTCCCATCAACGGCAGAGCGCATCTCTGCAATGTATTCAGCACTTTGGTTAAAGCAGATTCAATAGCGTAATATGTTAAAGAAGAAATTCTCAGGCTTTAAAAACACGAACGAAGGTTTGTTTTCGCTCTTACAAAACTTTTACTCGTGTGCCATCTCAACACTTTGATTTACAACAACTTGGCACATAGCTTCTTAAAGCTGGTGAGATTTAGATCGGATGCGTTCATTAGGCAGATTTTTTTTAGTAATATTAAGAGATAGGTATGTATGCAAATTTGTGATCTGTTAACAGGTCCAAAAATACATGTGCGACTTTTCATGTAAATACATATGCTTTCTTTCTATAGTTTACTCGATTTAAAAGGCTGACCAATCTCGACGCCGTAAAAAGATTTCATAATTGAGTTAATTGTAACATTTTGCATAACGCGCCGATGCATCTAGAATTTTGGTTCTATTTCCTAGAAAATATTATTTCTAAAATAATTTTTATTCAGTTTTCGTTAGAAAATCACAAATTAATTTTTTTAATCAGTTTTACTTAATTACTTTTATCTTGTTGTCTATGTTGTCCACCAAATTTTATAACCGGTAATGTACAAACTTTGGCACTAGATTAACCTGTAATCTTTATTGGAACACATTATTATTTATTATCCCCGATTATCTTATTTTCACTTATCATCGTATCGATGATATGTTCCTGTCAGAGAATTACACATTTTACCTTGTAACTCGTCATTGGTATTAATTTTTTACACGGACAATAACACTGCATGGTTCGACTTGACAGGCAATCGTGATAACTTTTAATTTCAACTTCAACCTAAATCTCATCATAAAATGTGGCATCGATTTTAATAAATCACTGACCGAGAGAGAGACAGAGAGATGCCATAATCCCATTTGAAAATGGTTGTCCAAATTAATTAGCAAAATTTAATTTATCTGTGATAAAAATGTCAAGATTTCTCATCCCCTCTGTCAAAAAATTTGGATGAGACCTTTGCACAAATTTCTCTCCCACCACTTATCTTATTTAACTCGGTCATAAATAATCGTCATAATGAAATTCCAAAACTTGTCAGGTAAACAGATCAACTAATCCAGTATTTCCCGTCCCGTCGTCGTCACCCAGAACCCATTTTGTCATTTTTAGTCTGATTTGTTTTCTGATAATGATAATATGCATCACAAAATCCAATCCAGTAGCCCATCAGCCACTAACAAGGCAGGCAGGTAAGCAAAAGGTATGGAAAACTCGTCCAAAGTAGTCTCGTCAGCTTCCTCATTGTGCAGTTTTGGCATTTATTTTCTTGTTTTGTTTAGTTTGGTTAAAGGCAGGAGCTTAACTTTTGTATGTACGCACACCTTATTAATCTTTCTTCGAACTTGTCAAAACTTCCGAGGCAGGCAGGCAGGATTGATGTTTGGTTTGTGACGGTGGTCTGTCCTCCGTTGTTGGTCGTTCATAAATATTAGTTAAATAGGCCAGGTTTGGCAGGTAAGAGAGGAATGCAGAATCCAGGCACCTTCCTTAACTGTACAAACTCAACTCTTATGCTGATTAAGTAAGCAAAGGTGGCAAAATCCACCTTGAACCTAACTAACAAATGGGTAGTTTTTCTCAAATAGGGGAGAAATCCAATGACTTAAGAAGTCTGGGTCCTTGTCGTGACATGAACGGCTCAAAACTTGTCCATCGTCCGTCTCGTATCCGTCAATTTGTTTGCCATGTGCACGAAGAAGAAAGATGAGACTGGAGACAGGACAAAGTTTTCTACTAGATTTTCCTGGAAATTAAAATGTAGTGGGCTTAATTGCTTTGACTGACTGAGGTCGAGTCAAATTGTCGAGGTGAAAATCTAAAGAATTATTCGGAGTTTGACAAAATGTTTTTAAATCATAATTTATATATTTATCGTTGTATATTCTACATAATATGTAATTGTCAATTCTTCAATCTGTTGCATTCTTAAACATAAATATTACAAAAAATAACTTTGGGACTTGAAATGTTACATTTAAATTAATTATTTCGCATGTATGAATATCGAGAATTTAATCATTAAAAAAAATATCGTTTAATATCATTTAAGCCTCAGATTTAAAATACTTTTTCTCCGCGCAATTAGCTGGGTAACTTTTTGATAGCGGAACTCAGAAATCTTCGTATTTTTCGATTCGTCCTCACATATGGAAACCCCCCATGGGCGAACCACACCGTGTTAAAATCTTTCTCGGTAATTTCATCTCCTAATTCTTCAGCTATTTTTGCCTCTTCCAAATTCCATTGGCACATTTGAGCATCATCCCGTCCTAAAAGGTGAAACATACTTTGGAAGTTGTTCTCAAAATTAAAGTCTTGGGGAATGTTTTACTGATCATAATTTAATATAGTATTAAATACTATTAATTTAGTATTTAATAAATACTACTCCCCACCATAAATGCTTTTACAGAAATACTTCTTTTACTCATAATAAAGTATTTCGTTGTCCATAAGTACTCGATTTTTCCAGAAGTGATAATACACGTTAAGATCGCTTTAAAATTTAAAAATTTAAAAAAACTTTAAAATTGCATCGATTCTTAGCCAACCACAAATGCCTTGGAAGCTTTTGCTGGTCAACCAAGTTTGCTTTTCTCTCAAAGCAAAATTTTTTCTCGGTCGTGACCAACTTGGATTGCATAATGATGAGAGAGTATTAGGGAAAAAGTATTAATTATGGTCGCAAAAGTATTAAATTATGATCAGTTAAATAGAATCCACTAAAATATTCAAAATTGTCTACATAAATTAAAATGACTAAATTACCTGCCAACAACAATTTAGGTATCCCACCCAAAATCAATTCCCTGGCGATTCTCGGTCCATCAAAGTGACAAAATCTCGTTCCGTCATGACTTTTAAAATAATGATGTTCCGATGACGGCACAATTTGGGACGGTGGTATCACTGCCTTTGCCAACCTGAGGGATTCATGGGTTCTTAATTGTCTACAGAATTCGTCCCTGTTAAAAACAAGAGTCAATAAAATTGTCACAATTTATTTAAATAGAATATTTTTCACTTACTTTAACGCAGCCAGTAAATCTTTATCTCTGCATTTCTCTAACTGAGACCTTGCCTCGATCAGTTCGTTTATCTCGATTTCTTTCCCAGGGCTGAGATCCATAGAAAAACTGAAGGATTTATCCTCCTCTAAAATTGTACTGGAATTACTAAATGTCAATAACTGAGAAATTCTTGATTCACACGTGGAAATCATGTCTTTATAAAACTTTTCGCTGTTTGTTTCCATAATTTGCAAAAAGTATAACGTGCAAATTTATACGATGTATGTAAATTTACTGCGAATAATTTATTTATTTCGCATGAATAATAATCAACCCAATAAAACTTATCAATTATTTACCACCAACAGAACAGACTGTCAACTACAGTATTTAACTGTCCGGATAAAATGGGGGCTTATCTCTCGATTTTTTTTGTCTCCCAATGCAAACAATCTTTTCACTCCAAAAAGAGATACATACATATTTACGTATTTATATGCTATTAAAATGGGGTGAGTTTCTGATTCGATGAAGTTGAATGCAAGTATAATCTCGGCCAGTTATAATTGTTTGCTGTTTATCTTTTGTCGCATTTTTTAATATTGGAACGGATGCATCAGGAGGAGGGTGGGACTTGTCATCAATTTACGTGCAGGCTTCGATATAGCTTCAATTAAATGATATGAAAATAAATGCAATTAAACAGTTTTGCTGTATCGTAAAACTATATCAATCTTGGAACTTATTGCCCTTACTAGTAAAAAATATTACTCGTCAATTATCTGATTAAGTCTATAATTTAATGAATTTTGCAAAAAAAGTTAAGGTTCACTTAACTCTATCAATTTTATTATTTGTAGAAAATCCGAATGTGCTAAAATTTAATTTTCATCTCACTTTATCTTTTTCAACAAAATTGTTGGATCCATCTAGAGTGAATTTGTTCCTGTTGCGAGCTGCAGTGAACAAAGAGATTTGACAAGTTGTGCTAAAGAGGTGCAGATGGTGGCTAAATATCAAATGGAAACCTGCATCGACCAACTCAAGTCTCAATCTCAAATTACACCTGGTATAAATTCTATAATATTGTGTATTTACGTGAGATTGAGAACTGTGAGACTGGTATTTTACAAATCACATATTTGTATGAAACACAATTCTAAATCATTGTTGCATGTAAAAGTGATAAACTTTAATCATTTTCATGAAAATGTAAACTGATTATGTAATTTATTTTCTAGAATAATAAAAAGATTTAATAAAAGATTTAAGGACTTAATTAAAAGACTAAATTTTTATTAACCGTCATCCAAAAATATTGATCTGTATTAAAAAAAGACACTTTCTCTAAAATTCTGCAATTTACCGTCATCAAGATTATTCCTCTTTATAATTTCGATCGAAACAAACCAGACTTGGACAATGATGTAAGACCCCGAACAATGGATAACTCAGATGAATAAATGAATAAGAAATATCAAAATAAAAAAAAATCGTTCTCATACTTAACCAGCTTGATTATTACGTCACACCATTTTTATTCATTGGAATATAATTACTCATACAGTTGATGTAGTACTACCACTAAACTATCATTATAAAGGGATGATGATGTTAATTACTAATCTAATGACAACTCTAATTACATTTACTAAATATGTATATACTGATTATGGTACATACCATTATTTAAATTCCTGCATACAATCAGTGATGGGATCCAAATCTTGATGTTCATTTCACAACAGTTTAGACCATTACTTTAGCTAAATAGAAGTTATTTAGATACGTACTTTTAATTTGTCACTTTGAGAATAGAGAGAGAGAGTAATTATTTAAATCTATTACATTTCTCTAACATTTTTTCCAGAAAAATATTTATTTAAAATGACACGAGGTAAAATATTATAATTTCAGTGTTTTTTATCAGTCTGTCGGCCAAATTTCATGAAAATATCTCAATTTCGATTCAATAAACATTTTCAGGTATAAGTTATCAAACTACAGGTAATTGGTTCAATTGATTGATTTCATAAAGACACATTCGTTCCCTTACTTTCATTTACCTTTTGCAACAATAACACTAATAAATTTCTACCAAACAACAATAACAATACAGCAAACCTTTCAACAACCATGTATCAAAGACAGTTGGCATCATCTAATCAGCATAAATTAGTAATTTAAAAATGATTTCTCGAAAAGATTTAATATTTCAACAACTTCTACAGAAAGTGAATTTAGTCATAATTATTTACCATTTCATACAACGAGTCCCATAACAATTTGCATCAACTATTTAACAAGTCAACTACTTGACAAGTAAAGATCCTTAAATTTTCTCTTTAGCAGACACACAAAACCTTAAAATATTTAATTAACCACCATTTTTCCCTCTCTCACTCACAACTACCGGCACTTATAATAAAGAATTATTAATGCTAAATGGATTTTTTTGTGGCAAATCAAGATCAATCATTTGTAGCAAGAAGGATAATAATAAGTAATTACCTTCCAACAAGCTGCTTGCGTTTCGCAATTACACTCATTTCTACAATTTCTTTTTTCAATCATAACTTGATAAATTGATTGAATTCCTTGATCTCTTCACCACAGAATGAACATTCCTGGCTAACAAGATAGATAGCTGTGCAGGAAGGAAGGATGTTATTATCATTGCGAGAAGAAAAAAAGACAGGAAATTGAATGATGGACCTGATCTTCATTTTCATTTCAACAATTCAAGAACAACTTATCGATTAACCGGTTGCATACCCGTCTTCTCATCGTTGTGTAACAGCTCAAGCAATGATAATAGATAATAAATGGCAACCTTATGGCTACATGGTGGATACCGCCCATTAAATAAATCAACTATCTATCGAATCCTACCTGCCTGCTTGTCCATTGTCATTATTATTAAAGGAATAACTTTTAGGTATCTATGTGGTCACTTGAATTACTGGTTTTCTGATCTTTCTCCACAACAAGAGTAACACCACTCGAGGATATTATCATCGTTCGTGCCTGCGCCTGAGCCAAGATTTTATTGTATTTTTCAATTATTTTATAGCCTTCTTTTTTCTTGATAAGTGGTCAACCGCGCTTGTTTAGTGGTGTGAAAAAATTATATAAAATGCATACAACAAACTAGAATATTATTCAAGGTGGTAAGAGAATTTCATCTTGGAATGACGACAAGAGAAGAATGAAATGTTTGATAATACGAAATGCAATTTCCAGTCGTTGATAAATGGAATGGAACGTTAGAGATACATGTATGTAAATATTTACGAGAATGATGTGATATACTACCCGCTAAGTGATAACCCGCCCGGCCCGATATCCATGTTGTAGTTAGGATTACTTATCTATATAAGTAATTAGATAACGTATGTATGTACTTATCGAGAAACATTTAGATATTTATAATACTGTACAACAACAAAGAGAGAGAGAGAAAGTGTCTAACTGAAAAGCTAAACGGATTAATAATTTCGAATTTTGCTGTTTTTTAATCATGTTTTAGTTGGTGGCTTGTGGCTGTGCTTGTGCCACGACTTGTGGCGCAGCTGGGGGAGCGTTGGCTGAGGGGGAGCTGTTGTACACGAAACTTTCAGCCACACCGCCACGACCGTATCCTGAATAAAATGAAATTTCAAAAAAATTCAAATTTTGAAACTAATCATTTTGATAGGTATCATTTTTTTGTAATTTTGATTACCTGTGGGACCGAATAGGACCGCGTAGCATGGTCGATTGCAGTAAGGTTTGTTATCGTGCTCAGCTACATATTCGGATTTTAAAAATTAATGGATTAAGCAAGAAATCATTAATTTTAATTTAATTTATTATAAATTCTCTTTTCTTTCTTTACCGTGGGATCCCGGTGTTAAAGTTTTATTGCACCGCTCGCATCTTAAATGGTAAAAAGCAGTTTAAGAAAATGTGCAAAATTCTGCAAGGCATACATAATTTCCATAAAATTATAATTACCTCAAACATGCGGAATGCCAATCCTTGCCGAGGGATGACTTTCGCTCAGCTGCAAAATTAAAATAACACTCAATACTCATCTCATTAATAATCTAAAATGTAAAATATGTAATTTCCATTTTAGAGTGACTAATTTAAGGAAAAGTGAAACAAAACTTGACAATGTTTCTCTCATTGTCAATCAATCATGAAATCATAATTCTAAGTTGGTTGGTTAGTTAGCAGATGCGTATGATTTATATTATAAGATCGTTATGTCCGTCCGTCCGACAGTCTGTCTGTCTGTTGAAACTTGAGAAATACACTCATTGTGAGAACTGATCAGAATTTGGGGGTTACAGGTCAAAAGGTTATGACGCCAGGTCATAAGGTCAAAATCCTCTGGCCAAAATCCCTTGGTTTCACCCCTTCCTTACATTCGCTGTAACTTTTTATTTATTTATTATCCTCACTAAACTAAACTTGAACCCAATTCAACTTTGGGTGTATTGATCTTTGAATCAAAATTCTCATCATACTCGCGTCACCCGGATTCCAATTTATTTTTACTACGACTTTCAGTTATCAAGATATTCCAAAGACATTCCTTGATAAATAATAGCTTGGCGCATGAATGAATGCCATGAAAAATGGTACATAAGTCCACTCCATTACATTACCTACGTGATGGATACTGTCAAATGCAGTGCTATCATTTAGCAATCTCATCATTACATTGTGTCCATTGTTTCTTTCTTTCTCGCATTGTTTATGGATCTACAGGCATTCAGTCGCAGTCTAATTAAATGCGGGAGTGGGCATAGAATGTCCGCGTCCTTTCCCCTTTTAAGGTCTGAACCAATATTTGGTTGACTGATGGGTTGACCGACGTAGAAAAATAATTCGTAAACAAAAATTACACTTCCATTTTGGAAAAGTTTAAAGTCAATTTGGTTATGTTGGAAACTTTGTATATTTTGTAAATTCAATTCAGATAGAGCTTTACTCCTCCTTGTAAGAGTATTAAAAAATTGGGATGTGAACAATGTCAACAAGTTTTCACCTTTCTGTAATGTGGGCGGATGAAGTCGAACCCGATCTCAGCAAATATCTCGTCATATTTATGTATGCATATTTTACTAATTAGTAATTAGTCCACTCAAGTAACGGTCCATATAGTGCTTATGTCAGAAAAATGTACGACACGTTTTTTCCCTTAGAGGGACCGACCACTCTTTAATCTGTAGGAGACTCAAAATGCACCTTTACTTTCATAGATAACTTAAATCTAAAGGTAAATATGTGTCTAGCTTATCGCCTCCGACCGGAAAGTATGTAATCAGCAAGCAACCTTTTAACTATGACTAAAAACAAATCATGCACGAGATCATTTACACCTTGCGATGAATGAGCAATAAAAATTACCTAATGTCTCTTCATTAATGGTTGCTTTGTCATAATTGCTCATTTTTATGTGTTATTTGTTATAACCGAAGCGAAATGAGGTAATAATAATAATATTTTCGGCAAGATAGCGAAACGACTAGGATAAAAAAGTAGCTTGATACCCTTGTAAAAGAAATAAGTCATCCAATTGTTGTAAATATTTTTGCTTTGCATTGCTTCTGAAAAACTGAAATTTAATCGTTTTCCCTTCCTTTGTGAAAAATAATTCTCCTTCGACTTAGCAATAAATCTCTTAAATAAAAATACCATTTAATCGTTTAATAAGGTATTTAATGATTTATAGCAAGGATGATAACTTTTGATCTTCAAAACTCTTCGTTTCTGCCAAAGTGATCTAAACTTCGTAAAATATTAACTAAAATATGTCAAAATTCAAGAATCGGCGCAATTCCTTGCAAATTTTTCCCCTCCTACAAACGATTTTATTTAACCACCTTGTTTAAAAATTTCCATATATTTTCATGACATCACCACATGAAACTTCCATCCCTCCCTTCCAACCTTAAGCATGTCCAACAAAACACCAACGGTCTTCTCCCTTCATAATCTTGATGATATCATTTCCACCCTAAGCAAGCCAGTCAAGTACTTAGGTACACATTTTGTTAACATGTGCACTCATTTTCATCCAAAGATTACAGAATTTTACAGATCTGCTTAACAGACGAGGTGGCTCTCGTAAATAGCAATTTTAGTCAGACCAACCCTAACCAAACCACAAATGTTCCAGAATGTGCGAAACTTTATTATGTATCACACGACTACGTATTATTAAATTTTGTATCTTTCCATCACCGTAAAAGAGATACGTTTACGAATAACATGGGCCGCACAATAGCTTCGAACAGATTACTTACATTTCATGTTTATGCAGTCGCGAGTACCGGATTGAATGTCACGCTTGAATTTGCAACGTGTTTCTCAAAAAATAAAGTGATGCTGCAATATTGCGGAGCAAAAGCAAATTAAAATTAATGCAGGCTATACGTACAACTAACTAATTATTTGCATAATATCGTCACATTCTAAATGAAATGCAATTAGCGAATTTTAAATTAATACATTAAAACTCCTTTGAAATCTATCCGACCCAACATAAGTACAAACGTGTATATTACGAAAAATGCAATAACGCCCAGTTAATTTGGGCTAAATTTCCACACACAACTTATTTATTTATATTATTATTTTTGTGTCTACCTATTCATTCATCTCTCGCAGCAAACATGACACAATATTTAATACTGTAACACCATAATAGAGATGACTCGCAATATTTTCTAAGCTTGACTGACTTTAAAATGTTAAAAAGAATGGTTGGATTGCGCGATACCAAAAAATATTATATAGTGGACCAAGACCTGCTTCTACATATTATATTTTTCTATTTTTCCATTGACAGATGCAACCCACACCCTTCAATTCAACTGACTGATGATTGTGCACAGGATCAATTTTAATTCAAAATTTACTATGGAAGATACATATATGACCCACTCTAATCTTAGTAAAGCTTCACAATGATTTTGTTACGTGATGGACAATACTATAGCATGATGACCATGACGAAACTGGGCTTATGTCACTGAGCACATACACATTTTAGGTAGACGAGTAACACATAAGTACAGCAAACACTTTTCTTTTCATGTCAACTTTGTAAGTTTGCTAACTTGAGTCAAATCTATTTTTGAGAGTGATTAATTCATCTTTGAGTCGACGTGGATCAAGTTGTTGCCACAATAATAATGGACTCTCTGGTTTGACGAGTACGTGTTAATTGACGAAATTAAGATGTCATTCAGTTTAATTTAGGGTTTAGACTCTAAACTTTAGCGTGAGGGTACATATTAAACCACAAACTAGACTTTGCCATGAAACAGTATTGTGATAATTACTCTAATTTTTTTAGCGAGTGGGCAAATTGAAATTGATGCAAGTACATAAAGGTCACATATCTTTGTATTTTCTGCTACTCCAGATAAAAAAACCTTGTCTTGTTTGCTTGTCGAGTATGTATGCATTCAAGTACAGGATTTTAGAGAATTATTTATAATTGAATGGCATGAATATTATTGACACTGCTGGCTCCAAGGGTTGAACCAAGGCAGCAGTAGGATCAATGAATTTGTATGGTTTTCATTTCATCATGTTAACGGACAACCAAACCACTCTAAATGCAACCAACGAATGAAACGCATACACAGAAATAAATAACCTAACTAAACCTTACAGTGGAAGGTTTTTCCTTGCACGACTAATGATTAGTGTACAGATTATAATTCAATGAAAAACTGTAACAAATTTGTGACTTACCGAAATACACAGGTTTCTCACACTTGGGACAGTTAGGCATTTTGCTTTGTCGAAATTTCTCGTATTTTTCTGAATCTACACTGTTTTTTCTCGAGCTGAAAAAAATTTAAGAAGAAAAATTATGTAATTAAATATGCAACAAGTTGTCCGTATAAAAATGCGTGATCAAAACGCCACTAAATAATAAAAATTTTGAACTCATTCATAAAAATATAAAATTTTGCTAATATTACTATCACTTTAATGGAATTACCTTTCTGTGATGTTTCTGTAACCGTATCTTTCACCAAACTGAACAGCACTTCTCTTTTGTTACCAGACCAAACCACCAACCAGGTCAGAATTTTTCTCCTGCCTCTTCCTTACAATACGGCAAACGTAACATGTATCCACCACAACTTATGTAGGAACTTAATGAACCACGTCAACCTATGTGAGCTACACGAACGACTGTAACTTTTGTCAGATTACCAGAGATATATATGCCTTGTATGGTATGTTGGTATCGTAATACCATTAAATAAAATCCCCCTCGTTCGTTGAAAGGGAGATGAGATGAATAGCTCTCACTTGGTGGGTTGGTTTGCTTGGTAATTTCGAGTTAGCGACGAGATGTAAGAAGACGTATTTATAATTCGTGCAATGATAAAACTGCTTTTTGCGTAGGAGGAGGAAGCAGACTTGTTAAAAGCCTGGAGACTGGATTGCTTTTGGTGATGTGGTCTCTCATCGTATTCGGTGAGTTAGTGAGTCAACTTCAAATTCAAGGTCTCTCAGTATCGATTCTCCAGAGGAGTTTGTGGGGCTTCGAGGAGATAGAAGCCAGTCCAGATTGCGTAGAATACAGCAGTCTTCTGGACAAAGTGGAAACTAAAACGGGGTAAAATTCAGGTTGGATAAACAAAGTGCATAAAGCTTGACTTGGAATGTTGTATTGCTTTGAGCGAATTTCATTTTATGAGGATGAGAATTATCTATGACGGGCGGAGTAGAGCGAGAGAGATGATGTCGGACTTAATTTGTAGGCAATTTCTCCTCCTGGATGTCGTGATCATTGGCGTCATTGGCCTTGTGGCGTATAAATTCCTGTCTGACTGAAATTCGACCAAATTTGTGAAAATGCATGCAATCCATATACCTACTAAATGCTGCTCATTAATGCGGTGTCATGCATGCATCTAAATAAGATCATGCCCCACATTGCATTGTTGTAATATGGAATAAAATCTAAAATGTGCCAGAGAGGTGGGATAAATGGAAAGTAGAAAATTGGTTTATACACAACTTTTGCTTCGTAATAATTCAGTTTAATTGATCGATAAATAATTGTAATGGCAAATTTTATTTAAAAGCATTATATGCAAAACAACAGCATGTGACAAAAATCAATACATTTTTTGTTGCCTTTTCGAACTCCAGTCCAATCCTGACTGATCTCGTAGATATAAATAAATGCATGAATTTAGTTTGCCATTTACATAGTCGAACCATTCTGTATCACTGAAGAGACACATTATTTTTACCACTTTACGCATATATGCAAGTCATATTCTCAATGGTCAAAGTACGAAAAAACACTGTTATTTTCACGAGATCTACACTAAATGATGCAAGTGACCTTGACGTTACAGCTTTTTACGCTCGTGTATCTAGATATGTATGTTCCACCCATTATATGATTGGACTGGACCCGACCGATAAAACCCATCATTAGCAACACACCTCCAACCAGATTTGCATAAATACATGAAACTGGAAAGATTTCCTTCATTCTCTCTGAACCCATCACCACCAGAACATTAACTCTTTTTGAAACTTTCTTTTACAAAATGTCGACCCCAAAATATCGCTTGGTTTACTTTGACGTGAGAGCGTTGGGAGGTTGGTTAATTCTACAGTTATTTTAATTCCCAAGAAGATAATTAACATTTTCCAATTTCCAGAACCAATCCGGTGGTTGTTCAACTACGCTGGAGTTGAATTTGTGGATGAAAGAATCCCCTGGGATTATCCGACTTGGTTTGCAAAAACGAAACAAAGTAACTAAAAGCTTACTCTCATCATGATTTGCATGCATTTGAAATGCATTTAAAATAATTAATTGCCAGAACCAAATGACAATTATCACTTATTTTATTCTGTTTAGACTACTTCAGCACCGTGGGTCAGGTCCCCGTCTTGTACGAGGACGGGAAACCGGAACTCGGCCAATCTCAGGCGATTTCTCGATATCTGGCAAAGCAATTCAACTTGACTGGCGACAATATTCGAGAAGATGCCAAACTGGACGAAATTATTAGTCAAGTTTTTGACCTGTTCATTTGTGAGATAATTTGCATATTGATCAAATCATTGAAAAATATTTGCAATAGTTTTCTTTAATTTGTGTCAGGGTGGCGGATGTATCTAATTTTCGAAAAAGATCCCGAACGGAAAAAGGCCAACCGCATGTTGGTCGATGGACGTTTATCTGCGGCTTATACGACGTGGAATCGTGTCCTGGTTGAGTCTCAGGGTCCGTACATTCTTGGGAACAAATTAACCCATGCGGACTTCTGGTTGGCCCATTTTGTCAGTGTCTTTGATGATCCTATGGTAAATTATGATTGGGAAAGGAATAAATTTCTGCTTTCAGATTTGATATTTTTTTCTAATTTCCCAACAGGAAGGCGATGAACCTATTATGCCTCCAGGATATCCACGACCAAATGAATCCGATTTATACGTCGGGTTTTCGAATGGATTTCCTGCCCTGAAAGCGCATAAGGAACGGATCCATGCACTTCCGGAAATTAAAGCGTGGATTGAAAAACGTCACAAAACTATTGCTTGATTTCATATGCATAAAATAATTCTGTATTTATAGATGAATAAAATGTTAGAGGTAATTTGTACATATCGTTTGCCAACAATTTCATGATCATTACATACATTGTAGATGTCGATTGTCGTCCTAAAATTTTATATTACTTGGAAGAATAAAATGCAAAATCCAATCCACATAATTTCTCTATTCGGTCGGTACAACTTTCTCATATGTATCTGCAACTCGTATCATATATCAAAATATCATATTTGTCTGTTATCTCCAAAAAGTATTTATTCAAACAGAATGCGTGTATTTGTAGTTATGCACAAGGGGATTGCTGGTACATATGCATGTAACCTGGATAAATTTGCTTGTATACAAAATTTGCTTCGACGTGCATATATGTATTTATGCACCCTGGTATTTATGTATATTTTCGAATGACTGAAATTCTTAGATGCTCGGGGCTAAAGTAATATATTTCATAGTGCATGCAGTTTATGAATATAGTCTGGGCCCTGAATTTTAAAACTCGGAAAGGGAGTAAAAATAAAACAAAGGGTAAAACCCTTTCGAGAACAATAACGGCAAACTGAAATATGTGTAGACCAATGAAATGCTTTTGTCATGTTACAAAAATAAATTTTCGTGAGGTGACACCTGCATATTTTGTCGGGGTTCAGCAGTCGATGAATGCTCTTTGGAGAGTACAGTTTCGTACTTATTCAGATATTGTTGGTATCTCGAATCTCAAAATGTGTCTGACTAGAAAAGACGATGACCAGGTTGCTTCATTGGAACATCTTCCAATGCCAATGGTAATTCGATAATGCAAAATTCATTATCACAATTTCTGCAAACCGAGATAAAATGACATTTAGTCGTTCAAAAGCATTTTACGAGTATAGTTGTGTTTCTGCAGACCTTTGAAGTCGAGCAATTAACGATGAGCAGCGAGAGGTTAGAACGTCTACAGGACAAAGCCGTGCGTATGATGACGTGTAAGTAACCATTGTTATAAAAAAGTTTTATAAAAAGTGTATTTTCGTACAACATTCATTTTCGTACAGCATATGCAGATCTGATTAATGACGAAAAGAAAGAGGTGGAAAAAGTGCGAGAGGACTTGATGATAGAGTTACGAGGTATTTTAAGAATTATGCAGACCACACATTCCATAACCTGCATTTAAAATTTTCAACTGAGAACATTTTGCTATTTATATTATAGCTCTGGTGCCAGCTCATCCAAAACTGAAAGAGATTGAGAAATATAATAGAAATGGCGACATAACAAGTTTAGACACTATATTTCTTGAAAATTCTTCAGACAGAGCTCAAAGTAAGATATGAAGTAATAAATGCAACATAATCAAATACGTATATTTATGTTATGCTATTATCAATTCAGAGGATGCTTTAGAGCCCCTTATTGGAGCATGGAAAACTCTAATGGAGTTTCAAGATGTAATCGATGCTCTGAAAAAGTTCAAAATCTACAAGCAAACTTCATAGGTTATCGCCCTTCTCTACGCATTTCTTTATACGTATTGTAAGTACGAAATGTAAGTACATATGTACACATATAATTATCAGAGTAGTAATACCGATTAGCAAGTAGAGTCAGAAATCTGTCCATAAAATGCATTTTAAACATTAATTAATTGATTCCTTGTTAGTAATGGAAAAATGGAAGTCCTAAAAACAGTTTATGAAATTCATAATTCCTTCAAAATACTTTTAGAAAAACATAAGTTTATTCAAACATAAATTAATGCTCCAAATTGGCATAAATTTTATGAGACTTGTCATCACACGTGTCACCTTATTCGTCATTTCCTTATTCGTATTACACCCATCTTCCTTGTCACAGAAGGAACAAACAAATTTAGGATCGGGACAGAGATTATTGTGATACATGTTAAATGTACTTTTAGGATCGTCCCCCTTAAAACCGCAACTTCTAAACTCCTAAAGGTGTCAGAAATTTACTACCTGTTACATAGTTTAGGGCAGAATTTGCATAATGACCTTTGGAAGTTTGAAGTGTTTCATGTCGTGCTTCGTGATATCCGTGTTCTCCGGAGACACCAAATATTCCTGGACGAGACTTTCGTTTAAGTGATATTGAAAACAGCCCTTGGTCGGTTTATCCGTGTCATTGTCAATTTCTAAAACAGCTCTGATCTTAGAAAAGAGTTTATTGTGTAAAACTTGTTAGTAGATAGCTCACTCCACGCATTTGGACTGTGTTCTGGACAATCTTGCAGATATCCGGCTGGATTGTCACATCCTTGTTTGCAGGAGTAACATCGATTCACCACTGTTATCATTCAAATGATGGATAATAAGAGTGTATGATATATGGATCACATGCATATGTACATATTTTGAATATTATACCAGTTGCACTTTCCACATTCAAAAAGTGGACGGTGACCAGTAGGGTGACGCAGTTCGATACCGTTTTTCGTGGCATGGCCCCCATTCAACTATGTAGATAGTCTTGGTCCAAGGTCCAAAATTACAGGAAAGTCCACATGATTACTAAAAGGGTGTTTCCTTGGAGTGGATTATACCTTATCCAATGATTGCTTGACAGTTAATATTTAATCTAATAATATATAATATATAAATATCTAATAAAATATAATTTATTTATTTACAAATTAAGTTCAAAAGGGCAATTCGTTGAATAATAATAATTCTTAAAATGCAGTTTAATCTAATAAATGTCAATGAATTGTAATTATCCAAGAAGAATGTTGCACTAATTCTAGGATGTCTTCCAGTCGAGGTAGTATATACATTTCAAAAATCACTGCATATGTTGTATGTATATGCATGTTTACCGTAATATGCAGAAAAATAAATTGAGACCACGATTTTCTCCTCTTTTATTGATTGATTCTTTATTTCATAAGTTGAACGAGATATTTTAATAAGATGCAATAATTTGTTCTCCCATTTCTCCTCTACTTATGAGTTATAAAATACATATACGACGACATAAGCTCAATAAATAACAACGAACGTCTTTTAAGGTCGGCATCAATCAGCACCTCACACAAAAATCACATTTTCTCCAATACAACAAGTTTTAACTTTCTCTTTTCCCCCCTTTCCTCTTCTTAATGATAATCCTGGCTGTCATTTTTTTCACACCCCACTTAATCGATTAAGTAACTAACTAATTAACCAATAACTATAATCAATAACTTATAAGACTGGCTAAATTTCATCAAAATAATTAATCAGACATTTGATTTTACACGTGATTATTATTATCACTATTAATTCTTAAGCTGGATGTGATAACAACGCGTATGCATTTAGTAGTAGTACACACACCCGCAAGATAATACTTGTAAGTTAAGTACATTGCTTGAAATATGGAGTTTTTTGTTGTAATACATAGCTTACATTTCCTGTTAGATAGAGATAGTTAAGTATATTTTTATAGCGTAAATGCTGTTGAACATGTTTTCTTCTGTTTAAGTACACGCTGCTGTAATGTAAGTACATACACGTAATAATTATCAGAGTAGTAATACCGATTAGCAAGTAGAGTCAGAAATCTGTCCATAAAATATCTGCATTTTAAACATCAATCAATTGATTATTACTTATTAGTGATGGAAAAATGGAAAGTCCTGAAAACAGTTTATTAAGTATGCATCCTTCTGATTTGGTTTTAGTTGTAACAAAGTTTTGAATATGCGGTTTTTGCGATTATGTACTGATTTGTAAGTTTTGATTGCTAAATACAGATAAGTAAGTCAGATTAGATACATAGTATTTTTAGAGAAAGAGGAGAAAGAGGAGGAAGAAGGTTGTTTTGTCATTATGAAAATGCTGCCCTAAATTATTTAACAGGTTCTAAATTTCTAACACCTAATTTGGAACTATTTTTTTTACAATGGATAGTTGTGTATTATTATTGTTATTTGGTAGGTTTACGTAGGAATTTTGGTTGATTTTGATTCGCACCACTTTTGCATAATTACCGGGATCACAATTAATGTAGAAATTCGAACGGCATTTATGTAATAAACAATTTTTCAACAATGTTGTATAATTATAAGAATTTCGTGACTATAGACCGGATAAATTGAATACAATACAAACTCACACAGATAACGTTTTCTGATTGAATTTAACTTATTGAGCCTGCTTCGATTTCTCTTGTTTAACAAACTGCAAACTATTTTACAATCTTGTTTCTAAATATGTTTATAAAAAATAATGTATAATAATAATAGAAAATCACAATTAATTATTAATTAAGGCCTGAATCTGGCTTATCAGAGAGACACATTCAATACAAGAAGGAGAAAGAGAGCGAGTTGTATAAACTCCAAACAGTAAAAAGACTTTGTTTGATTCATGGATTTGCTCATCAACATTGTCAGATTTTGTTGAGTTAGAAAGAAAGTACACGCTAAAGTAAGTATTTGTTATGTATGTAGGTATATCAGTAGTAGTTAGTTAGTTAACTAACTAACTAACTTTTAAGTAATATCTTCATTGTCTTTCTTAATAATTGGCCACTTAATCCACCCCCACCTTTAACTAGAGGATGACGACGAGGAGCCCTTCTTTGAAAACATTTGTGATAATTTTGCCGTAGCTTTGGACACTATGGAGTTCGCCGTGGGTGGATCTCTTATAAGAAAATCTCCATCTTGGTCTGAAGACAGCCTCGTCCTTAAAGGAAGATGAAGTGCCAATGGGTCTCGGAGTCGGTTAAGATCAGTCTCAATTTTGTGGATCTTATCGCGAAGTTGGTTATACTTGTTTACGTCAAGGCCCACCTGGGAATAATTCACGAATAATTAATAAACAATTCATGTTTATCACTCTTAGATATTTATATTGGTCTCCTACTTTTTTAGCCCCTTTGTGAAAGGAGATGAGGTACTGTCGGTCGGTCACTTGTGGGAGGACATACTCCTGCTTGGTAAGGACAAAGTAGGCATAGCATAATATGGCAGTGCCATAAGTTACAAAGTAGGTGACCGGCTCCCTGAAATATGGGCGACATCAAGTTATATAATACTCTGAATTTATTATTTAACAAGATTGCACAATTTACATGATATCCCACGAGTACTCCCACCACGTGAGTCTTGCTAGGATACCAAACTGGACGGACATTAAACCAAGCCCCACCCAAGTCATGGTATTCGTACGTTTAAGGGAAAGTTCGTTCAGTTGTTCCCTCTTCTCCTCGAGTGGAAAAAGTAAACCTTTTAATCTTTCCAACTCCATTGTCATTTCCCGTTCTGTTCGAAGTTGATGTTCATCCACATTCAGGGCACCGTACAACTGACCCACCAAGTTTCGAACGGAGGAGAGGCGTGTCAAGTCTTCCTACAAGAACAAATAATACCAGGAATTAGTGTTGTGTTTGAACCAAGTCACTATTTTTTGGCCAATTTCCCAATTACTTGTGTAGGCTTTTCCTGTGGTGGAGTCACGACGTGGTAGACATCGTCGTTTATTACCATGTCAAAGTCGTGTTCCATGAGCATTTCAATCGTATTGGCAGAAGCTATCCTAATGCCGTCTAAGAAATAGAGAAATTTTCTTGTTACATGCTTGTATAGCTAATCGATTTCTAATGGGACCCAGTTTCTTTAGATATATATACATTTCGTACCCGTGGAGAGAAAGCTGATCCGATCAACTCCTCTGTCCTCGTGTTTTATCATGTTGAGTAAATCCCCCACCTACAAAACATAATTAATGATGTTCCTGAATTAATTCGAGATATTTTAAGCTTGAAGGTTCGCAAATTATATGTCCATACCGAATTTGTAAGTGGCTTCACGATGAATCGGCATCTCTCTCTACGAGAAGGCAGAGGAATTGTGAATTGCGGAAGGCCTCGGAAATATATCACTTCCACCCCTGTTCCTCCTCCTCCTCCTCCTGTAGAGACAAAAAAAAACAAGAAAATGTTACTAATTTCCGTATTGATTGATTGGCATAATTTATGGCCGACTCATTATTACACGTCGGTATGCACTTCAACTGGCCATGCAGACAGTAGAAACAAGAGAGGTCATTATATTTTGGGCGTACATGAATTCGTACTTTTACATGTATGCATTATTTATACCCTGCGCCATGTAGTAGTTGTTTGGCATTATTATTCTTTCCAATGCTTGTCAAATGCTTCATTACTTTACTCCTCCTGTTCTTAAGTCGTCACTCGTCCGTCACGAATAATATAGTCCGCCGATACCGATACGTACGACGTAGATATCTACGTACTGCTTGAATTTATCCATTCAGTTTATTATTCCATCAACCAAACCCATAAATCCTTGTCGGGATCTGCGGCTGAATGCAGTGTGTGCCTAAAACGTGGCACATCAGCAGCAGCGTCCTATATCTCGAACGGAGATGGTGATGATGATATCATCATCAATACTTTGAGTCCTTCGGGATCCTACTTTCTCCCACTTTCTCCTTCACCGCCACGATTCCTGCCTCTTATATAACGAACGAACGTACGTACCACCCAGTTCATGAAGGGGACATTAAGACCCGCCAAATGGGCTATTTAACTATGACTTGGCTGTTAAAATGGTGCATTTATTCCCACCCACAAAACCAACGTCATATTATCTCGATTCCAGAAAAAAAAGTGCCAGAGAACTGTTTCAGTTTTCCTCCAACCAAAATTTCCCCTCGGTTTGGCCAATAGCCATTACAAGCCATTAATTATTGCTCTGATCTACTAAAAACATCGCAGTCGTAACGCAAGTTGAAAAGCCCATCCCAACTCGCATCCCACTTGAAGAAATAAAGTGAAAGCATGGGCAGTAGCGCACTATTTCTTTTTAATTGAGACAAAAAACAGTACCTTCCCCGTCCTTTTGGCACCCTACCAAAATGTTAGCATTGATAAAGTACTCTTCCTACTTTTGTGTCTTGGCTTGGCTCTAAAACTCGAAATGTTATCAAGGATTATCGAATTGGGACAATTTATGACTCGGGATGAAGAAAACGAGGAGATCAAATAATCCCAGATTCCCCGCAAATACTTTACATTTCTGAGTTCTGAGTGAAAAGACAAACTTTCCTCGCCGGTATGAAAGTTTTCTCGTTATGAGAAATCGATGTGGGATGGGATGATAACGATAATGGTGATAACCCTCACTGACAACACACGGCATGACATACATATATCCTCAATCATCAGATGTTAACTCGATAAAAGTATGAGAGCAAAAAGTCCAGTCGGGGAAAAGTAATAAAACTAGTGCTCCAGCAAGGATTAAACATTTCCAGCCAGCCAGAGACGAAACATGACACCCAGACTGAAACTATATTTCGTGTAATGTTACTCCCCTTCTTAGGCACCAACAGTTACGTACGTTACGTTATTTTCGCTCGGATAACACCACCTAAAAAGTCAAAAGAGAGGACGGAATTTCCTCATTTAAAAGTTGGGAAACAGTTGACAACTCGTTCAACTAGAAAAATGTCATGAATTGCCTGGCGCAAAATAACTTTCATGTCAAAAATTTGATACAAGGACACACAATTTGGTGAGACATTTCAGAAATGTCACAGCCAAAAACCACAAAACTATTCCGACACATACACGATTTAATAAAGTTATCGTCAACCCATTTTCTTTATCTGTTTGAAACATGCATAAAACCTTTGTCCCTAATTGATCCTAAATTCTCCTACAAACCAGATCAATCGTATAACGAGCATCAAAACTATGTACGTGTGCATGAGCACGAGTAATAAAATTGGGAGAACACGCAGCAATTAATAGTAAACCATGCAACGAACAAATACAGGATCGCGTCAAAAGTTAACAACGCTGCTTTTCCGACTAGTCAGCTTTTATTATTATTATTATGAGTCTAATTACTCGGATTACTTGGTGGCAGAAAATATTATGGCATTTTGGACTACACGATGTCGCAATCGGATCCATGTCTCTGGTGAATATCCCATTCTGCGAAATGTTGTTGTTGTTCGTGATGCATGCTTAATCCGGATCGGTTCATGCGTGCAGGTGACAAAAGCAAAGTTGTGCAAAATAAATGCGTCCAATTTAGCCTCGTAAAATTTGCAGAGGTTTTTTGCTTAATCGATTTCCAACAGGACTGGGCACATGGCATTCCCAATTTTCTAAATTACCTGCAAGACCACGATTCAAAAGGCACCATACCAAATAACAAAAAAATAAAATAACGATAACAAAATTTGTTGTAACCCTTTTTTTTATTTCGGGATTAAACAGTTGACGCAAGTTTTTGCAGGAACTTAAATCCAATACAAATTGTTAACTTATTGGACCCCTTTGTGGACTTACCGACACCGTGTTTGATCACATATGCCGATTATGACGGATGGATAACGTTTTAATCAAATGTATGATTCTGATGTCGAGTGATTGGGGTGGGATTAAGCTAAGCGGTTGGTTGTATAATTGACAGAATTGATGTAATTCGTTTATTTTTTCTCCGCGTATAAAAACTCGGGGATCCCAAGTTATTCAATCACATCGAATTTTGCTCCCCACTTGTGTAGCGATAGTCATAAAATAAATAAAAGATGAGCCAATTACTAACTGTAGCCTTGATCTTGGGAGCAATTGCCTGCTCGGTGAACGCTTCGTACGCTGGTGGGTCGGGTCGCTAATAAATAATACTTATATGGATTAGATGGGTATTTTATACATTTTTTTCATAAATTTTGCAGGCACTTGGTGTTCTGGAACGGGGTATATCGTGGATCCGTCCAACTGCAATATTTACTACCAATGTAGTAACGGAAGGTATGAGAAGCACCACTGCCCATCTGGGCTTAACTTTAATGGTCGTGGATTCTATTGCGACTGGCCTGCAAATTCGCCATGCGAAAATACCGTGGTAATGCCACCGACAACTACGACGACAACTACTCAACGCCCAACCACCACGACGACAACTACTCAACGCCCAACCACCACCACGACAACAACTCAACGCCCAACCACCACCACCACCACGACTCAACGCCCAACCACCACCACCACGACAACCCAACGCCCTACCACCACCACCACCACAAAACCCCCCACAACTCGTCCCCCCACTTCCGGCACTCCCCTCATCTCTCACGCCGAATTCCAATCCGCCGCTGCCACCAAGGGGGGCAATCCAACGTCCGACTACTACCTCGGCTTTATCGCGTCCCTCCCCAAAGCGCAGATCAGCACGAGACGTGAAGCCATCCTCTTCTTGGCCCACGCCACCTGGGAAACCGTGGGCTTCATCTACACAAAGGAAGTATACTGTCAAACCCATCTAGCTGATTGTCTCCGAGCATATCCCAACAATGCGGGTGGTCTGCCCGGTCGAGTCTATTACGGAAGAGGAGTTATGCAACTAACTTGGGACTACAACTACCGTGGAGCTTCGTCCTACTTGTATGGGGATGATAGGCTCTTACAAAACCCGGATGTCGTAGGTGAAGACCCAGCCGTTGGGTGGGCCACCGTAAGTCAACCATTTAGTTGTTCTCTTTCCCCATCCCCTGAAAGTGACATCTTTATTCAAATCCATTCCGCAGGGTGCCTGGTACTGGTACGCTAATGTGCACACCCGCTCTCAAACTTTCGGCTCTACTCTCAAGGCCATCAACGGTGCGCTCGAATGCGAGGGAGGCAGCCACGGACAGAATAGATACTTGCGATTCATGCACTACAAAGAAATCCTCACCCGACTGGGAGAACCACACCCAGCGGATGACGATGGTTGGTGTACAGCCTGGTGAACATAACATCCATCCAATTTTATACATGCTCTGTCATAACTCACTCCTCCGTTGGATGATGATTGATGTTGCTGTTATTTTGATACTAGTCGTTCCGTTACAGTCAAAAACCTTCCCTTCTCTGATAAGACACGTAATAAAATATAAAGCAATAAAATGCACGGTCGGCTGCGCGTTTCGTTCCGTTCTTTTGTTCCCGGCAGCATGCATGGCCTAAGCAAAATGTGTCACCATCATTCTATTCCTGACGAGATGGTGAAACATTCATCCATCCACTCGTAAAGTAGAAGGTGTGCAGTGAATGGTGTCGCGGGTGATGTTGAGCCGAAGGAGTGATAAACACGTACTTCAATTCAATTCGGCGAAATAAAGCTCTTGTCCTGCAATAATTTACATGAAAACGGGCCCCACCACATATATAGCCATCCACACACACATACCGAAGAGCTATTAATGTTCAGTGACAAATAATAGTGGGCACTACCACTTCCTTTTTCACTATATGCTTATTGCCTTAGAGAAAGTTGGTCGTCGACGGAGAAAGCTTTAAACAAAGCCTTATTCTTCTCCTCCTCGTCGTCTCATTCTTTTTAAGATTCATGGCTGAATGAGTCAAATCAGGTGTAATTGAATACAAGTGGGTCGTAGGTGGGATGGAGGGGATAATGCATGTCAGCTCGTTGGGGGAACTGAGCCGCGATAAAAGTGAAAGTTGAGCACTCTCCCAGAGATCTGCACCAGATCCCTGGGAATTTGTAGCTTTTTCCCAGCTGAATAAAGTTAACCAATTCGGATCACTACTATTCCACCAACCACAAACAAGAATGAGCTCTTCTCTCTCTCTCTGGCTCTACGGTACGACACGATATAACAATATTCCCATGTAGGTGAGACATTGATGGGACGGAGAAAGTTGTGGATTGCAATAAAGTGAAAGGCGAAATACGCTTATGCGGCATATGTTACGTTACGTATCTTGGAGAGAAAGAAAGTTCACAATCCGAGGTGCACTACTAGCATCGTCGTCATCATCATCATTGAAGTGAAAGGGTGAAACCTGCCACAATTTTGGATTAGAAGAACACAACCATCATAAACCTACTTCCTTTTCAGTATGTATTGAATTTTCTACTAGTTTAAAAAAATACGTAATTCCACATCGATCCACATTCTTCCGTTTCATTTCCCACCGTCCATTTTCTCGTCATTCTTCTCTCATGAATCCGCTCGACTTTCTCTCAATTCGACGCAATTTTCCACAAAGTTTTCCCCTTCTCTCTCTCAGAGAAATGAGAATGCCAATATTGCTCAAGAATGCCGACAGCAAGTGGTATCCAGCAAAACTAGTTTTAATCATAAATCTTTCACCATCAGACGACGACGACGACGGCAACGACAACTACGACGACGATCCGGATCCCATTCCAATTGCTGCAGGGCAGCACTTTGATCCCGAAATAATTCAAACACAGCTGGACTGTCCCACACCACTCCTCCCGTACTAATAACTATCTTGCAAAAGTCAGAAAGCAGAAAAGTCAGGAAAAGAAGGGCCATTTCATTTGTCACCAGCAGCAGTTTTCAAACCCCTTCCATAATTCTGTCATACACAGGAATTCTACGTACACACAAACGATAAAATAAAGTATTAGTATGAAAACTTTTCCTCATACATGTCGCAATCCCACCACCAGCACCACCATTCCAAATAAATCCTGGCCGGTGGGTGGGATCGGATTTCAGAGGCGAATTCTTGAGTAATGAGGACAACATTATTACGACCATTTCTCCATTAAAGCACTCTCAGCTCGTTCATCCATCCATCACACACCAGAAGCCACATGTTCTGTTCTGTTTTTCCATGAGAAGAGCCATCTCCTTCACATAATAAAACGTGGCCATGTCAAAATCTATTTCCGATATACTATTCGCATACCACTTTCTTGTTAATATCCATCCATACCGAGTAGAATTATAGATATTGAAAGAAACTGGGCCAAAATATGGGGAGGGAAAGTCGACTCCACCACCACCATCATCACCACCACATCTGCCCAAACCAAGGGGGATAGAAAATTGTTTTATTTTATGGCAGAGAAAGTATCATTTGTGAGTCAATGATATGATATCCACCCAGTCTGGCTGGTCTCGCGGTGCAGTTTCAGTTTGGTAAAAGATAAGATGAGAAAACATAACATTACTTGAGAGACTCTCTCTCTCAGTCAGTTAAACCAGCCTCCTCTTCCCCAGAACAGAGCACAGTTGCATCATCATGTTACCAAACAATGGAGAAAGCGAGTGAGAGAAAGCAGAGCACTCACGTTTAAACTGGGAGAGAAAAACTATGTAGACATCTGGCAAGGCATAACGGCAAAATAATATCCGAGCAAAAATAATAAAATAAGATTCCTCCTTCCCAGTCCTCTCTATCCGAGAAGAGAAGAAGAGTATAATTAAGGTGCAGCTTATGACGACGCTTAGGAACACACCTTTTCCTAACACTAAACTGGTCTGGCTAGGTACATATTCCCTTCGGATTTATTTCCCTATTTTGCGAAATTGTTGGGTAAAACTCCTTTTAGAGAGAGAGAGAAAGTGGGAGAAGGTTTATTGGGACATTCGTTGCCTGCTATATTGCAAACATTTCCATTTATTTTCACAATGTTATTACATACAAAAAGGGACGACAGAAATCAATATGAGAGTCCCTACATATCCTGTCCGGTCGGTATGGGATGGGAATCAGGATCACAGATAGAATCAGAATTGACAAGGAAGATGAAATTCGTCCTACTTCCTATTGTTTTCCATTAGTATGACACAAACCCATACCTGACCGGGCTGGAATATTACTTAGTTGCTCTTTTGAAGTGGGTCTCGGATCGAAATTGAATCTTTCTTTTGTCAGGTGGACATTTTGCGACAAATAAAAGGCAACCAAACCAGACAGGCAGCAGGATTGAAATGTGTAATGAAATGAGATTGGATATTATTGGTGAACGGACGGAATATAAAGCTGACTACTGAACATCACATCACCGCGCTGCCTTTGTTCCGACCACCCCTGGTCGTCTACCTTTATAAAATTAAATGAGAATGACACCATGTGACATGACCACGATGGCAAACAATGGACATGAGAGGGGATAATATGTAAGTGGCATTATTCAATTTCACTCGCTTACATGAATACCATTGTGGGTTGCCATTTTCGTGAAGTTAGTGAAAGGATGACATTTACGCATCTACATAAATACATAATGACTTTTACATTATTTCATACTGGACCCAAAATCTATTTACCGATTTCCGATTTATTTTAGCCCGAGTTTGGGTTACGGAATCGTTATTTGTGACACGCTAGAGGATGATGAACTAAATTGATGTGACCAACTTGGTCTTAAAATGCATATTTCGACAAGGGCTTGAATGCGTAAGAAGGTGGGCATGATCGGTCCAGTGGTTGACTGGTGGGGGTAAATAACACTTAAATAAATTGATGCAGAAACTTAAAAGAAGGTGCACATCGGTTCAAAGAGTATGACGTCAACTTCAGAATTTTATGCAGGTGACATGGTAATCAACACTGGTCTTTGAAATTGGTTAAAAATAGCTGAAATTCGATATCATGGAAAATAACAAAATAACGATGCCCCTTTTGTAAATATTGATCAGGGGGTGACTGGTTTACGAAAGAAGCAAAATTGACTGACTCGGGCTATATCGATTCTGCATCCATTTCATAATTAGACACAGTCACCAAGTCGACAAAATATCTAAATATGCATAGCGTTTAGAACCTCGGATGATCAAAAATATTTCTGGTAAAAATAACAAAAGGTTCGCATCCAAGATTCCTAAACTTTTTAGCTTGTTTCCGTGGAGTGAATGTATTAGGATTTTGTAATGAGGTTGTCCAAGGATGGGCCGTCTTTTAAAAATTATTAAAAATTTTCGAGTTGGGGACAGGCACGCATTTTTTGGCGTTGTCACCCGTTGTTGGGTGAGTGAAAAATTATTTTTCTGTGGAGTTTTCATTTTTAACTCAAATGCATATTATGTGGTATTGACCACTTCTGCCCCTGATACTTTTGTATATTTCTACACTTATTTGTGCACACATTTTTATGAAGATAGCGACCACAACCAGGAGGATAATTCGAGTTCCAGATAAAAAAATGTTTATTTATCTAAAAAAACTGACAAATTGTCATTCTAATGATTTTAAAAAATTATACCGTTAACGATTTAGGTTATTTTACCAGCATTTGTTTACCGACCTAATTATATACCGACTAAATATTTTCCGATCTAAATATTTACTGACCCAATAATTTATCGACGTAATGCAATAAATAGAAATAAAGATCAGAAATCATAGTAAACATGGTGAAAGTCGATATCTAGCTTCAGCCGGGCCTGAAAAGTGCGTCGCAAGTAAAATTGTCCCATGTCGAAAGGGAACGATGTCGTCACGTAGAAATTTCGACCTGATGTCCATTCAGAATATGCAAAAATATCATGAGAAAAGTGTTCGTGGACTTTTTTCCTCTAATCTGGTCTTTTTGGATAGTGTGCACGGTAAATAATTAAGTCGATAAATATTTAGTCGCTATATAATTAGGTCGGTAAAAAATTGATCGGTAAATAATGCGTCGGTAAGTTGATGTCGGTAAAAAGGTGGACACCTCAATATCACATAATATGCATTTGAGTTAAAAATGAAAACTCCACAGAAAAATAATTTTTCACTCACCCAACAACGGGTGACAACGCCAAAAAATGCGTGCCTGTCCCCAACTCGAAAATTTTTAATAATTTTTAAAAGACGGCCCATCCTTGGACAACCTCATTACAAAATCCTAATACATTCACTCCACGGAAACAAGCTAAAAAGTTTAGGAATCTTGGTTCGCATCCAAGATTATTTGACACCTTATCACTGTATAAGGTTACGACAAATGCCCGAGTTACAAAATGAATTTTCGTTTTAAAATTGTCGTGGGTTACAATTTATTTTTTAAATATTTTGGCTGGAGAATTGGTTTTTCGCCCATGGGAGAAAAACCAATTTTGAAATAATTTTAAAAATGAATATTTTTTTGCAACTTGACCATTTGTCGCAACCGTTAAGGGAGAAGCGTTACTTAGATACTTAATGTCAAGCAATCGTGGTTCGCATCGCCCAGTTCTTCATTTAAGAATTTTAAAGTGAAGCTGTTATCAGTGGCATGTAAAATGGATTTTGAACAATTTTATCAAGGTTTTGTAAGTATAATTCATTTGAAGTCGTACCATTTCGAATAATTTAACTCAAAAACTTCACAAACGATGGTACATACTACTAATATTTTTTTCAGAAAAGGGAAATCAGTATAATTCTTCAGGTGGCGATTATATTTACGACTGTAGATGCAACCGTGCTCCAAAACGCGTTTAAGGATGTGCTCCAAATGATGTCACTTACAGCAATAAGTCTTATGCTTATATGCTTTTATGTAGTTCTCATGATCACGGTGGGGTTTCTGATGTGGAATAACTTCCCACATGAATGCATTCAGGTTAATTAATTAATTTTCTACCGAATGATTCTCAAAATAATAAGAATCTATGCTATTTAGACTGCTATAATTGTGGATATCACATTCATGGTCTTAATCCCACTAATCCCAGTCATCATGCACGTCTTCTTCTCGTCAAGGACAGCCCCAAAAGAATTTCATTGGTATGAAAAGGAACGAATATTCTCGGGAGACAAAAATCCGGTCACCCAAATCCTTTTCAAACTCTTCATGAAATTCTTCATAAATATGGCCATGGTCGGGAGCTTCAGTTCAAAATAAACCGTTGCAAACGAAATGTAGCAATAGGGTGAAACCACATGAGATAACTTTTTATAAGAGAAATATTTTAAGTAAATACCATCCCCACGGTCATCGTACGTCAAAACCATGTCGATTTTTGAAATCCCCGCCCCAAAATACGTCTAAAACGGTCGAAACGACAAATTTCGACATTTTCGACATTTTTTGTCCGTCTACACGGTCACACGGTCATCGAACGTCAAAATCATGTCGATTTTTGAAATCCCCGCCCCAAAATACGTCTAGAACGTTTGAAAAGACAAAATTCGACATTTTTTGTCGTCTACACGGTCACACGGTCATCGCACGTCAAAATCATGTCGATTTTTGAAATCCCCGCCCCAAAATACGTCTAAAACGGTCGAAACAAAAAATTCGACGTCTTTGAACGTTGGCGTCGTCGCCGTGGCGACGTGACCTTACGACCTACAATGCCCATCTTCGAACTTGTCCGTACTTTTCAAATTAGAAACACGATGGCGAAAACCGCATATCGAAATTCGAATCCGTTCAATAGTTAGAGCACGAACGGACAGACAGACGGACAGACGGACAAGGCACATCCATAATAGGGTTTCACCCTATAATAAATATCATGAAAGGCACGTTCCGGATAGTCAAGAATCTATGGGATGAGCTCAGGGACTAATGGGATCGGCCTTATCATTCACAGAAACAAAACTCCTAAACTTCTAGCATACTAATAATGACATTGCACAATTATAGGTCATGAACTCAAAATTGAATTGTCTCCTTTAATTAATTTCTGAAAATACATATGTAAAACGACTGTATTTAGAAATGCTGCTACTCTGGTAAATAAAAATGCAGTATTTTGCACTTAATTCGTGCCCACCAACAAATATGTATGTATACTAAAGGAAAGCCTCTCCTTGTCATCAGGTTTGTCTGTTCTGGTCCACTTGAGCACAGGGTTCGTCACGTCAAATAAGATGCATTGTTATCTGTCGTACCCCCTTCCGTCCCCAGAAGCAACTGGCTCGGGGTATATCAATTTAGCGTCCATTTCATAATTAGACAAGGTCACCAAGACGCCAAAATATCCAAATATTAAAACCACGGATGATCAAAAATATTTCTGGCAAAAATTACAAAAGGTTCGCATCCCACTCCACTTCATCATTCAGAATCTTAAAGTGCAGCGGATTATCAGTGGCATGCAAAATGGTCTTTGAACGACTATATGAAGACTTCGTAAGTAAAATCCATTTGAAGTCGCATCACTTCGAATAATTTAACTCAAACTTCTTAAACGATGATAAAACCACTAATTTTTTTTCAGAAAAAGGAAACCCGTTTAATTCTTTGGTTGGCGATCATACTTACGACTGTGGATGCAATGGAATTGAAAAGCATGTATGAAGAACCGATCAAAATAGTTATAATGGCGGTATATGTCGTTGTAGTGATCGTTACGGTAGTTCTTTGGTGGCATGACTTCCCATTCTTCATGAGAATTCAGGTAAATTAATTAATTTGCTACCGAGTGTATTCTAAAAATAATAAGAATCTATATTAATTAGACCGGTATAATTGTGGATATCGCAATCATGGTCGTAATTCCAGTGATCATCTCGTCAAGGACAACTCCAAAGCAAGGCGTGAATTGGTATGAAAGGGAACGTATATCCGCGGAAGAGAAAAGCAGCCAGGTCATGCTAATCCTTTTCCAATTCTGCAAGAAACTCCTCATAAATTTATCCAGCGTCGCGGAGCTCCAGTTTAAAATAAATATCATAAAAGCCATGTTCCGGATAGTCATGAATTGGTAATGGGATCGTCCACACAGAAACAAAACTCCTCAACTTTTAGCAATCTAATAATGAGCATCGTGACACTGCACAATTATAGGTCATACGCTTAAAATTGAATTATCTCTTTTACGTAATTTTTGAAAATACATATGTAGAATTCTTGTAAAACCACTGTACTTCGAAATAAACTCTAATAAATTAAAAAATGTAGTGTTTGCACTTAATTCGTGACCACCAACTAAATATGTATGCGTGTACATATGCTGTACGTATATCGTATTAAGAAAGTACGCCCTTAATTGTTACCTGGTTTGTCTGTAAGGGTAACTAGGCAGTAAATGTCAAGCAATCGTGGTTTAGAACCTCGGATGATCAAAAATATTTCTGGCGAAAATAACAAACGGTTCGTACCCCAGCCCAGTTCTTCATTTAAGAATCTTAACGTACAGCGGGTTATCAGTGGCATGCAAAATGGTCTTTGAGCGACTTTATCAAGATTTTGTAAGTAAAATTCATTTGAAGTCGTATCATTTCGAATAATTTAACTCAAAAACTTCATAAACGATGATACTACTAATATTTTTTTTTTTCAGAAAAGGGAAATCAGTATACTTCTTCAGGCGGCGATTATAGTTACGACTCTAGATGGAACTGAAGCCATAAACGCGTTTAAATTAGCGATTAGAATGCTTCCAATAGCAGTAATAGGTCTTATATTTATATACTTATGTGTATTTCAAGTGATCGTGAATGTATCGCTTATGTGGAATGACTCCCCATTCATGAGAATCCAGGTAAATTAGTTAATTTTCTACCGAGCGTATTCTAAAGATAATAAGAATCTATCTATATTAATTAGACCGGTATAATTGTGGATATCATATTCATCGTCGTAATCCCAGTTATTATCTACGTCTTCTTCTCGTCAAGGACAATCCCAAACCAAGACTTTCATTGGTATGAAAAGGAACGAATATCCACGGGAGATCAAAACCCGGTCACGCCAATCCTTTTGAAACTTTTCAAGCAACTCTTCATAAATATGGCTAGTGTCGCGGAGTTCAGGTTCCAAACAAACATTATGAAAGGTATGTTCCAGATCGTCAAGAATTGGTAACGGGATCGTCCTGAAGAAACAAAACTCCTCAACTAATGCATCTTGATACTGAACAATTACAATAGGCCATGTATTCAAAATTGAATTGTAATTTTAGTAAATACATAATGTAGAATTCTTGTACAACCACTGTATTTAGAAATACTACTACTCTGGTAAATATAAAACCTACTCCAAGCAACTTTGCGGGGCCTTTTAAGATAGCATTAATACCATCTTAGTAGTTAAGGGCAACACATTTGGGTGGAAATGACCCCCACCGGCCAACCACTTGACCGATCATGCTCATCTCCGAACTCATCCTTACTTTTTACCCGAAGATGAAGCTTGCAAAATTTCAACTCGATAGCTTTTGTTTAGAGAGAGTTATCGTGCCTACAGACGGACGGACAGACAGACATCTTGACAAATCTATAAGGCCATCTTAAAAGGCCTAAAAATGCAGTGTTTTGCACTTAATTCATGACCACCAAAAATACATATCGTATTAAGGAAAGCACGCCCTCCCCCTGTCACCAGGTTTGTCTGGTCTGGTCCACTTAATTGAGCACATTAAGGATTCGTCACGTCAAATAAGTTGCATTGCATTGTTCTCTGTCGTCCCCTTCTTCTCGACTTAATAGCCAATTACGCCTCGCGACTTGGGATAAAATAGGCTCAAGTACTTTCCACTTTATTCGCTCATAGTGCAGTGCAGTGTCCACCTTGGTTGATTGCACCTCAGAAATCCCTTTGTTCTCCACTTTCATTCAAAGTGCGATAAAAGAAGAAAAGCCTGGTAGCAGCAGGTATATAGGATTTAGTTGGCAGCGTAACATTGCTATTCCTTTGTTCTCATATATCTCGTCAGCAATTTCAATTAATCACGTGAGTGAGGTCCTCACATTACAAGAAGAAGAGCTTCGTACTTACACAATATTATAAAATAGGAAGGAATGCTGCGTGGGCCTCGTCAAGATGTCCAGTCCAGTAAGACGAGAGATGAAAGCAGACTCTTCAAATACGTGCTTCATTTTACCCAAGCAGAAATATTTTTTAAGAGGAGGACAAATCCGATCTTCTTCTTCACAATGTGCAATCTGTGCCCAATTCATCCATCCATCCAACAAATTCTTTTACTCGGGCTGACTTTGATCCCTTATTTACTCCCACTTCACGACGGAAAAGAAGAATATCTGAACATCCCACATTTTCTCAGACTATTTCATCATCAAATATTTTCGCTAGCCTTTACACAACGAGTAAATAGTAAAGTAAAGTAAGGGACGGATTTATATATATTTTCCCCCAGTGAAATCTTATTATAAAGAATACTTGTACAATTCCAAGCCTCATTTCATCCCAATCCTCAGCAGAAGACGAAATTGGTTTCAGTCCAGCAAAGAAAGAAAGGAAGAAAGGAATAAACAGTGCAATCCTCTAAATATAAATACAAATACGACTTGCCTCCCTGCCTGCCTAACCTCCAAATGCAATGCAGCCAAATCGTGCTAGACGAAACATTTTTCTTCTGATCTCTTTATTCCTTGCTGGCTCTCTCAATAAAATAAAAATAGAAAAATAAATGTACACATACATATTTTGGAAAGGAAACCATTTCATAATATGCAGCTGGATATGGAAAATAGCCTTAAAGCTGTACAACACTGGGCTTATCTTGAGAGAGAGAAAAATAAAGCCTGCAATACAATTTTTTTACCCTCTACATATGAACGAGTACATACATGCAAACACTAAATAGTAGATTCTAGTTTAGATCGGGATCTAGAAATTTTAGGCAATTTCCCCACAAATCGGTTTATTCCATGGTATGAAGCAACAACCAAACAAACCGAATTTCTACAGTTGTCGGTGGGACGGCGACGACATTCTATTGTGCAACACCACACCACACCACTCATGTCAAAAAGAGGAGGAAAAGATGGTTTGGTTTGGTTTGGTTCTTCTCTTGTTGATGGTTCGTTTGTTCTTTTTGCCTCATTCTTTACTTGTTAGTGAAGGAGACAGAGATCCCAAAGGGGTAGTAAATCCTTAAATATGCTTCACTAAGCAGGTCAGCCCAAAAATAGGGAGCTGAACCAAACCTAACCACCGTATATTTATAGTGAGACAAGAAGTGAAAGTGGGTCTCATCCTTCACTTTTCCGTTATATTCTCCTCCTCTCGACTTTCACTGCCTGCCTGCCTTTCTCTCTTCGCCTTAAGTACTGGCAAGTGTGGGCTTGACGTGACTCGATCTAAACTCTGAGTCAAAAGACAAGAGGAGGAAAGCGGAGAGAGAGGATACTCATCCATGTATCGATTTCTACTCGAGTGACCTCTGAACTCGTCTCAACTTTTGGACAGGTAGAAATTACGACGTAATCTTTCCTTATCTGCGGACGGATAAAATGGACTGATTTATGTATTTATAACCCACCAACCAACCAACCACTCGGATTTCAGCTACATTTCCAAGTATTTACCTAATTCTAATGGACATTAATAACTTGCTCAAATCATAATAAGTTGCTGCTGCAGAGAGTCACCCACTTAGGAAATTATTAGCAAGAGTGAGTTCTTTATGATGATGATGCCCCAATTTCTTCCCGTGATTTCGTAACTTTCTCCCAGACCTCCTCCCAGACCTTGTAACTACCTTATCCTCCTCCCTCCTCCTTCCACTCCTTTCGGTCGAATCCACCTTAATAATAAAGTAGTTGAACTCGAAGGCGAGGAGGTAGGTACGCTGTACGACCCTTAACTTTCCCCTCGGGTGAATTGAACTGTAGCAGATAGGTAGTAGGAAAAGTAAGTTGGATAGAAATCAGATTATCTTCACAGCCAGAGAGAGCGAGAAACTAACCCAACAACTCAAAAGTCTTTTGCAAATGCTGAATGTGACAAGTGGAACCAATTTTAGCTACTCCACTTTCCCATCTTATTACTCCAACGATTCCACTCTACTTTCACTTAATGTCTCTTAAGCAAGGAGAGATAATCATAAATTTTGCAGCACTACATAACAAAACCGCAGTAGTGAACCACCACAAGCCACCACCACCGCCGCCACCAGGACGAGAGATAAGAGGGAGATAAGATGACGTCTCAATTCAAGTGATTAATTCCAAAAGCATTCCAGTTCGTCTTGTATTCTGCCACCAGCTTTTTCCTACCACTGCGATGCGATAGGGAAATATGCCATGGATGGATGGGACAAAAGGACGAGAGATGGAAAATGTCACCAACCATCACGCCACACCACAAGGCCCATTTTCACTCATTTTCCGTCTCCCGGATGGGTGACACGATTGACGTTGAAGGCTTTTAAATTTAGAAGACCAGACCGCATCACGAAAGACAAGACACGAACTTTTTCTTCTTGCCAAGATGATATAAAACTCTAAAAAATTCCTTTACGAGCGGAAATAATACGGTAAAAAACATCTCCTTATATAAGTAACTACATACATACGTGATAGCGTGATGAGATATAATGGTTTTGATAAATCGTCACATAAATTGCTCCTTGTCGGATAAAAACTCCCAAAAGTGCGCTGTTCACTCAGTTAATGCCAAGCACACCGACGGAGTCTTAATAGTCGTCTGTTGCTACGTACCACTAAACAGTACCCACCATATGCACTTAGGTACACCGGAGAAAGTAGTAGATACGGCTCGTAATTCTTCTCGTTAATCAATCAATCACCGAGTCCTGCACCCATCTCGTGTTATCCTTCCCCAGAGAGATATTCCCCTCAACTGATGAAGATAAGATAAAACATATCCATCCCTTATCAACCAACCAGAAGCGACGTCAACGTCAACATTAATCCTGATTGAAGTAAGGAAACGAAGGAGCAATATTATTAATAGACAATCATGAATAATATCATCAGTTTTTGGGAGAAAGTTTTTTCCCCACTTTTATTACCTCCGTATGTATACTTATGTACATACACACATACGCCAAGATTTTTGGTGAGTGAACTATCCAAATAAATAAAAATAATGAAGAAAAGGTGCCCTCATAAAATATTCAGGGCTTCACAAACGTGAATGGGACCGAGGCACGATAAACATACATATACTACACGGGAACCCATAAGTTACATACAAAAGTAACAGTACCAGCAGCTCCAGCAGCTCCAGAAACACCCACACCAGACCCAACTTTCCCTTTCCTCCGTTTATGGGGAGAAAGTGGATTGCATTGCACGAGCAGCAGAAGGAGAGAGAAAGACGCGATAAATAAATGGGTGACTTGTCTCGTCCGACCCTGTATACATACGTATCTTACATCACACACACATGGCTTTCTTTCTCTTGAAGGAAATCCCAATTTATGGAAATCATGCAACCAGAATAAGATAGAAAAAAATCCCTTTCCTTATCCTAAAAAATTTCAGTCACAACTCTCAAATTAATTTACACCAGCAGTTGTAGTTAGTATGCCTTCATACATACAGTCAACCCAGTTCTAAAAGAAAGACTAATGACTTTCCCACAGAAGGAAGAATAAAAAGTCGTTTCGCGCTAGAGTTTCGTGCTCTGGAACTTTCGGACTAACTGTAAGATTACTTCGACCCCTTTTCTTCTCTCCTGCTAAACTCAGCATTTTCTTAAAGAAGTAAAATCGAGTAGTCGACTCTTCTTAACTTAACTAGAAGAAAACTGCAGCACATCACCTTTTTCTTTTAAAACAGTTTTTTTCTACAAGAAAGTCGTCTCGGAGAGGATTTATGCCCATTATTTGTCACTTTTCTAGCAAACCATCCCTCTCTCCAGGCGGGTGGAAGTAAGTAGAAGACACAATTATTCTGAAAGTATAATCTGCTTATTTACCAAGATATTACACGTATTAGGAAGAGTGCAGCAGAGGGAGGAGGATGAAAATATGGAATGCTTAGTGGTGCATAGCATGGAAAAAATGTCTAAATATTATTTACGACTACACCCCCTAACTTGACTTCTGTTAGATAACTCGCCATAAAAATGCTTAGTGTACAAGAAATGCCTTCCGTTCTACTGTCACCAAGTGCTCAGTACTACCATGCAACCTTAAAGAAAAATCGATCCCAGTCACCCATTTCATTTACATATTATACATTACATTCTCTCTCCTAGCCTTCCCGCATCATTCCGTCTTTCTCTCCTTTCTCCTGCGACACATGCCTCCGCGGAGTGAAAGTGATTAATGCGAAGGAAAGTGTGGAGAGAAATGTAATTAAATTGAATGCACAAATTCCACCAACCAGTATCTTATTAAATACTGTGTACATCCCACGTTTTGTCGGAATTCCTTCTCCCCGTTTAGGTAACGAGGGATAAGATTACACGAGTCATACATAAATGAATAACTTTGACGAAACCCCAATTAAACGGTTTTACTCCCGGTACGGTAAGACCCTAAACATAACATGACATCCAACCACCCAACCACCCGCGGTAAAAGCCAAAGGTGGACTCTAATTCATTCAGCGGAATGCTGCCAGGCGTAGCGCGGAGAGAACGTGTCGTGTCATCGTCGTCAGAGTAAAAGTAATTTTACTGCGAGCACTATATAGTCTCCACAATCATAAAATGTCATAAACCCAATTGCACCAACCCAGGCCATTCAATCCAATCCAGTCTTTTTTATATCTTTGCTATGGTTTCATTCTACTACTTTCTCCGGATTTTTTTCTTTTGTAAAAATACAGAAAGCGAGCGAGAGGGGAAAAAACCGGCGGAAGGAAATCCCTGGAAAGAGGCAAAAAACGAGGAAACCTTTCGAAATAAATATTTTTTTGGCAACTCGTCCGGTCTCTCTCCCTCTCTACCAAATTATTATTACATGAGTCAGATTGGATTAGCGAAAATCTGATGATCGCATCATCATTAGATCCACTCCGTCCTAGAGAAAAAACTTACTTTTGTGACATACCACCACGCAATCAAGTCGTACCAACAAGTCGAGTGAATTTCTGACGAGGGAAAAATAGTCAAGTCGACTAAATCCTTCAGACTCATCTTTCAGCTTACGTAGAGAGTAGGACACTAACGAAAAGAAAGTTAAGTCTGCTGCTCCTCGTCGTACATAATTCTTGCAGTGAGTGGATCGTCGTATCGTAACTGGGTTGATTTTGATTCCTCTAACGGCCAAGTTTGGCTAAACCGGTGATTTGGAGGCTCTCCATGTCCTCTTTCTCCTCCATTTCACCGGCGGAAAGGGAGACGAGAAATGAAAAGGGAGCAGATGTCGTTGACTTAAGAGTGAATGTTGGAATGTCGAGAGAAAAATTTCACCTGGTTGTTAAAAAAATGTGGTGGAGTAAGTTTTCTAACCTAATCTCCGGCCGGAAAAGGGAAGGCAAATACATATATTGCAAAGTTTCCACATACACATAACCAGCGATACGTACCTGTGCACACTGATTACTTTACGTAACTAAAGTACTACTGATTCCATATCTACGTCTGTGCTTGACTTTGTTTGAAAATCATGATGCCGGTTGTGTCACGTTATGTCATGTAAATGTTCAACTACTACCAACCCAACTTTATTCCATAGGTATGTACGAGCATATATCTACTTTTAGTTTCCGAGTTTCGTGGTGGTGATGAATAAATAAGGGCGTGTTGCATTACAGACCGAGAGAAAGTGGAGTGGAGTCGAATATGAGAGAAGAGTTGATGATGAGATGAAGTGCTTCCATTCCAGTTCACTTTATCATTTGCTAATTGGCACAAGGCTTCCAGCCTACTGCAATCCTTCCTTTCGTCTAAAATTAAACATTATTTTGATAATGACGGACGACGACAAGGACGGACACGTTTAGTACACAAAGTTCTGGGTTGTTTCTGATTTCAAGCCTTTTACTAATTAACAGATTTATCCTGCAGTGATTCACAAACCTGAGAAGAATGACAAATTTATTTGATAATGCGTGACGACGATGCTTTCTCCTCTGTGTGGCACCTACTTTAGCTAGATACCTGCAGACTAAGCAAATAATGGCCAGCAGATCGAACTCGACAATGAGGTGGTGCGGGATAAATCAGCGTCACTGTCTACTTAATAATTACAAGGGCTCAATTAGTCACACGTTTTAGTCAAATTGCTTTCTCCCGACTTTGCTTTGTTGTCCCTTTTCGCCTGTCAATTACGACATTACTTAATTACGAAAGATTCACCACCAGCACCGCTACCACACCTCAGAAATAAAGCTAAGCTTGCAAAATTGTCTCGCGCAAAAAGTGTGTGTGTAACGGAACGACAATAATTACTTACTTGCACAAAAGTTGGGGAAAAGTTGGGTATAATTAAGGAGAAAAGTTGGCAAATTTTCTATTTTTGCATGAAAGACTTTCCCCGAATAAATTAAATTACTATTGCCTCCTTCTTCAGTTCGGTTTCAAGACCTAGTTTTAAATCAACTGCACGATTTACTTGTACTTTCTCTTCACCCAACCAACCCACCAACTTTATCTCTGATTTTAATTTATTCCTCAAACTTTTCTCTCGTCTATTATGTCGTTGTGGAAAGAAAGTTATTTCACAAGAGAAATAATACAAAAGAAAGGAAATGAGCCAAACTATGTAGAAAAGCCGAAAGAAAAGAAGAAATGCATCACTCTGCCCGACAGGCCTGGCCACCCCTTCCTTTTACGGTATTATTCTCCCATTTAGCTTAACCAAAGTCAGCCAAAGAATCAGGATTGACTGACTAATTAGTTGGTGAAGACAGTGTATTTTTCATTTTCTAGTCGTCGAAACAAATCCGGTTTAATTCTTTACTTTCTGTCCGTCCATCCATCCATCCGGACGAAAACTTATTATTATTATCATTATTTGGCGTAAGGGGGATTCTCCCGTGCCAAAAAGTTTAATCAAGTCCCAAAAGAAGGCAGAAACCAGAAACCGCACAAGTCAACGAGTAATGATGTAATTTGATACCTTCATCCTCCCCCCATTGGATTCTATTCTATTTTATTCCCAACTTGGCAAACATCCTCTCTGCGTCTTCTCAAGATTAGTTCCAATTCAAATAACAGATAAAAAGAAAAGAGTTGATGGAAAGTAAGCAAACGCCAAAAAAGAAGAGAGAAAATTACGTAAAAGTGGAGCCAGAGCACTGATTGAATTTCCTTTGTTTAACCCTTGCCATCAATCACCCCACACTTTCTCCGTTAGCTTACGTGCTGTCTTCTCTCCTCTCCTGCTTCTCCTGAGTGAGGTGAGCCATCAGTCAGTTAGTCAAGCTCTTCTTCCGACGACGGCGTGAAGTAAAACAGCTCTATCCTTTTATCTCGCAAAGTGCAGCATATTGAGTTTGAAAATCAATGAACAATTTTCAATCCACAAATTGAACAGGTCTCAAATTGAAATTATACACATCGTTCCATGTCCAACTCCCAATAAGTTGTGGATCCCCGGGGGAAATTATTTCCAGAAGTGGAGTGGTGAACCAACTACTCTGAGCTGCAGTCTCTCCTCTAAACCAAACCCAGCAGACTCAACCACCATGGATGGAGAGAAAATCATCAAACCGAGAAATTTGCATTTCTCGGATTCATCTCCTTTCTCGGACCCAGCAAGAAGCAAGTAATTGTATTGTGGGTCGTAGTAGTAATGCGGTGGCAGCGGGTTCAGCCAGCGACGACACGGGAGAAATCATGAGCCACAACTGAGAACCATGTCGGAATTGTAATCCGCTTAGATGATTCGCTCCCTCTAAATGAGATTCGTCCATAGTAGTGGAATCTTCTTATGCAGCTTGTGTGGTGGGGCACGTGGGAGGATTATATACTTTCACCCACGACGAGCCGTCGAGGAGAGAAAATATATGGAATAAAATCGACCAGATTCTGTCCGAGATACGTATTTAATGATGTTCAATGTTTTTTTAAATTAAGGGTGAAAGCAAGTAAATAACACTTCACTGCCTGCAGCCACGGCGGAGGAACAACCAAACCGCAGTGCAGCCACGCCACACCCTTCATGTCCTCTAAACCTCTCGAACCAAACCAAACCAAACCACAGAAAGTAAATGAATAATCGGGTGCAGGTTTACGTAAGGTGGTTCTGTTCTTATTTGTGCAATAGTGACGTGCAGAAAATTTTAAGCTTTGTCTTGAATGCCAAATGACCTTATGCTGTGCATCGTACGCTATGTTTTGGTAGCGTAATAACTAGAATATAATCTAATCTCATGTATATTTCAACATCAAAAAAATAAAATCATTTTTTTACAGCTTTCTAAGTTTGGTCCCAAATTTGTAGATAACACGAACATGTTTAGATTTTTAAGGCGTGTATAATTTCTGGATAGTCATTTTTGTAAGTATTTCAAGTATTACCTTGGTCATGGTCTGGTCGCTCTCCTGCTAGTGACGAGCTGCTATGGGTGTGACTGGGTGATTGTGCCGCCGTTCCTGAACTTCCTCCATAGGCGTTTCCTGAGCAATTCCTCACCAACAGGCCAACTTTCCATCTGAAAATAATATAATTTCCACAAAACAAGTCAGCAAAACCATTTATTACCAAAGGCACAATAACTCAAAAACAACCCACTTTTGGTTTCTCCACCCTATTTGACAATTAACTACTTGTCAATATTTCTCTCCCCAATTACACACATTTTCAAACCAATCATGCAAATGCTCTGCCTGCTAATAAACGAAAAGCAATTTTTCTCCTCCCGTATTTATTCAGCAAATTCATTAAAATGTCGTTTACGATCCGGTTACTTTGTCCCCATAATAATTTAATCGTTTCACGTCGACATTTTACACATACAATGAAAACAAAATAGCAAAAAACATTTTTTATTACTAGAATATAAACCTTTACTACCCATTCCATCCTCGTTGTGATCATCATCATCATTATCCTGACCCCATTTTTTAATTCAATTCTTCTTAAAACGCCATCATAGCAAAAAGTCTTTACTTTTTTCAATCCTGGAACATCCCCCAATCGACCCGTGTACAAACTAGCCAAGTAACTTTACACAGAAAAATATTAGGTATTCAAACCCCACACGGAGAAGAGGAGGCACTCTACTTACTCTCTTTACTTATTTGCTTATAAGGCTTCATAAAAAGATAAAAAATTCATAGAAATTTTCATCCATATTAAGAACCTGCCTGGCTGCCTCTCTCTCAAAGCCAAGCCAAGTGGCCACTAACCCTTCTTCTTCTTGCTTTGTAGTATGTAAACGTAAACTAAAATCCAATCCACGACGCGTATACATACATAAACTAAAAATCAATAAAGATGTTTATACAGGCTTTTTGCAAGGCTCTAGTTTTTTCTCTCATGCTAAAGTGAAGGGAATCGATAACTCATTTCAGTTTCATTACGTAAAGAAAGCAAAGATGGGATGGAAACTAGGGCCGGCGAGTAAATGGAGAAATAACAAAACGTAGCAGTAGTAAAAACGAAAAAAGAAGAGTAAAAGTAAAAGTATTAAGTACAACAATGCGGAAAAAGGAAGAAAGCTAACGGCGTGCGTGAAGTGAAATAAAATTATATCGGAAACGGAACATCTCTTGCCGAGCACGTGCGTTCATTTCATTCCATTTTCATGTGAGTAATACTGGACGAAATTTTATTGATATAGGATTTATACGATTCCCTTCATTTCAAGTTCTGTGTAAATGTTTATGATTTGTTTTGTTTATTTTGTTATGATTGAATTTACACAAGGAGAAAGGAAAGCTGAGTTGAGTAAGTGGATAAAACATGCATTAAAGTTGTGTAAGCAAGTTAAGTAAGTACTTGTCAAACATGGGGAGAGTATTAAAGTGAAAAGTTATGAAATATTAACGTGGAGGAAAGGAGAGTTAAGTAAATACTAATTGATTTTCGGGACTATTTATGGCCTAGGCAATTATGTATGTATGCTAGTGAATTGAATAGGAAACATAAATATGACCCCGTTCGACAAGATGATCCCGTTATTTAGTAGTTTCATTTAATATAATTGAATCCAGAATGGGACACAAGAATTTGTTATTACTTGCGGAAAGTGCATTGAATTTACTTTTAGCAGTCGGAATGGAATGTCGAAACAGGAAATAAGACCAAGTAGCGAATTTGATATTGAGTGAATTCCGCTTTTACTCGATGCAAACAACAGAACAACAAAAACACATAAATCACAGACAGCCATAATAAAAGCCATGCAGAACGAACATAAAATTTCCATCCATACCGAAAACGAATTTCTGTTTCTGATGTATTCTCAAAAATACGAGGGAAAAAGAAAATCTTTCCCAGAATTAAATTATCTACGAAACTATTCTGCAAAAAAAAATCGCTGTTTTTTTTGTTTACCTGCACTGCTGGATATGCGGACCTCCTATAAACTTCGTCCCCATTGTGAAGCCACGAAGTTGAACAAACACTTTGACATTTTGTGTCGGTGGCAGCAGTCGTGGCCAAATTGTGGTGGGTGCGGTCGTTGGAATTCTGTTGACCCCCCACGACGAGATTTTTCCCAGGAGGGGATGATTCCCTGACGCCAATCCTCTCAAGGCACGCCGGGCACTCATTTTTAGTACTTAGGTCAGCTCACCCACAACAAACAATGATATGATTGATGACAAGTTAATTATTTTCAATCTAAATATCAACCACACTTGTGCATGAGAACACGACCCCGCTATTGGTACATTGTTCACTTAAAATCCTTCGAGTATGATAAGCAGGATGTCGCTGTAAATGATTTGTTGACACGCTTTATTTAGTTTGTTTTGTAAAACTGTCCTCTTCTATCTGAGAGGAAATATTCCTGATTTACACTGATTTTTCGGCTATGTAGTCTGAGCGATTCCTTCCAAGCTGGAGATGAGATGATTGTTGCCAATTTTTTGCTTTTGCAGAGACGTTAATTACCACTGGTTCGTCTGCTCTCTTATTCTTGCCAAGCTTTTCGTTTGCCTGGAGCAAAAAAAAGCGAGATCATAATAAAGTTAGTCTCTCAGCCAATATTACCAACTCACTACTACTAACTACAATAGAACACTGTTGATGTTTTGTGCAGAATACATAAAGTCACGTTTCATGTTTTGTTCTCCCTTTCATACCGTCACCGTCCGTTGTTACTTAACTTAGGAAGCTGTCCCCAGCTAGCTAACAAATTTTTTGGAGGTTTGCTTTACAGTAGAAGAGACGAATCTAAACTAGCTAACTAACTATACCTAGATAAACTGGTCGTGGGTAAGTATGCACACACGATCAACTCGTCGTATGTAAAGTGTTCACAAAGATCGGAATACAATTGCTTGTAAGAGAAGTTTATTATTTTGTGTGTTATTTTCAGAGCATGAGTAACCCACATAACACTTTAGAGTACCACTGCACTGTGTTTTTTTCGTTATCTGCTTGCAATATGTGTGTATCAGAAAAGATGCAATATTATACAAATAGTTTTCATTTTTTTGTCGGCAAGAATGAAATGTTATCACACTTTTAACTTATATTATGTTAGCAGCCGCAGCGGATGAAAGGTTCTCTAGATGAAGGGGGCCATAATGGGAATGGTTATTAGGATGCAAAACAGCTAAATTGGGATGATGATGATGATGACTGAGTCACTATTACAGTACCAACACTGCTGAGAAGATGAGACATTTGTCAAATTGATGAGATAATAAGTGGAGATAAGTACTTATCTCGGTTGGTGGTTGGGTTTAGTTTTGTTAGGGTGCAGCCGAGTTGGGGTTTCGAGAGAAGAAGAGAGGCCGAAATTACGTAAATATTGGTGGTCTACCAATAAATACGATACCGCCCGACCGACCGACCGACACTAACTGGCTGACTAATGTATCTCTCTATGTAACAACAACAATGATGAACATTACACAAAAAGTTTAATTAAAAACATGCCTTCCTTCTTTACCTTGCTGATTAGTTCAATCTCAATTTACTAATTAATTCCTTCCCTACTTGAAAATCACCTTTTGTCAACAAGAGATGCATCAATTTAGTTCTTTTAAAGTACAAAAGTGAGCACTCACTCAAGACGAAACTTTTTCCTCACAGGGTCGTCACCGTCGTCATCATCGCTGGTGGAGAAAGTTTACAAAAATATCTAGGTTCTTGTTACATAAGCAACTTATCCGACCCGGAAGAAAAAGTAGAACAAGTAGAATTATCCCCAAAATATGTTCTCCTATCACACCCACCGGAGAAAGAAGGAGAGAAACGATGTGAAATGTACGTGTCCAATTTAATCCACCACGATCTGAGACAGAGCAAAATTGTGTAGATTGATATGGACACGGGATGAGAAAGTTGGAGCGAGTCCAGTCCCTTCCTCCTCTCCTGGTTTGGCAATGAAACCCAACTTGTGGTTCGTGCTAATGTATATGTGGTCTTGTATTTCCGGTTACTTTGACTTCACAGCCAGTGGTCGAGGTCAAAGGTCAAGCAGTCGTAGTAGTATCTCAGCCATCATAATTTCTCGGACCACACACACTACTCTCAACCATAGCCAGCCGGGCTCCAAACAACTACTGCAGTCCACTCGATATCTGCCACCCGGAAAAAGGGTACCACTTTCTCTGCTCTCTTTTTACTTATTTCGCTCCCACCAGCACTGCTAACTAACTAACATGCGGCTCCAGACTCAGTCAGCTACTACTACACTCTTTTGCTCTAGATCGATACCTGTCTCTGCAGAGTATGGAGAAAGCATGGAGTGAAAGTACAAACTTTTCCAATGGTCTGGTCTGGTCTGGTCTTTCTCCCCCACTAAAACTGTGTGGATGGATTCTGTTAGTATCTCAAAACGAAATCTCGCTCCTTCATACTCATGGGTCATGCATACGGGCACCACCAGAAGAAAAGAGTACGCGACACCACCCGCACTTATGTATGTAGACTGCCCGGAGAATTGCAACGGAACAACCCGACTTGTTGTGTAGTGGATATTTGGATATATGTGCCAATCTTCATTCACCAACCACCACTACTTAATGAACAAGTAGAATAATAAACGTGGAAATTGTAGTGCTTCAGATGGACACACAGGGGAAAAAAATACACGCAAACATAAACCTACTAACTGTTTACAAAGTAGAATTCTCGTTCGTGTTTCACTTTCTACTTGCAGATTCATGAAAAAAAAGAGAAAGTAATACTTGTGAAGCTTGCATTTGGATGCAGAGGAGAAAGAGAGATTGGGTTCCGTTCCTTCGTCGTTGTCGTTGTCGTCCACCATCACCACCAATTTTGCTGGGTTGGTTGCCTTTACTTGCAAATACGTACGAGAGAAATTCTGGAGAAAGTCTTGAGGGGAAAGTGGATACTGCTTCTGGTCCATGCATGCGACTCATGCGAGAATCCCTTAAGAAAAAGGAGACTGTTTTGGGAACACATTTACATTCACGAGGTGATGTCCTGGGTAAGTGGAACAAACACGAAATCGCGAAAAAGGAACCTGAGTGAGTACGCCTTAACGAACACTATTGTTGTTTGTATGTATGGATGGTGATGTGAACAACACGAGGGTATAAATATATAACAACTTTATTTCGACTTGTCAGAGTCGTCAGTGTATACTAACTAATTACTGGAGAGGGATAACAGTGGTTAACAGGGCATAGAAAACTATAGTATTATTCTGTAAAGGCTTCAATTCTAAGAACTACGAAATGTTTTGTAATGATTTAACTCACAATATGTAGTGGGTTAAAAAAACGGAAAAAAAAACAAAAAAAAATATTATCATTATACTTAATCATTACATACACAGGCTACGCATTGGTTTGGTTATTTGAACACGGTCACAGTCAGATACATAAATCATCTCGTTTTATCAGGATCATTATCATTTCATTAATTTAATTTATAGTTTCTCTGGACTTTTCTTGGTACATTTAGTTTGGTTGAATTAATTATTTAATGCTTTAAAATTTCAAGCTATTTGGTGTCGTGATTAGAAATCAAATCATGCTCTTCTTTTTTACATGCATGCATGCAGTCTATTCTACTATTACGTGAGGTGTGTGTACTGACTAAATGTGTTAGCACGATATTAATGCACTTGAACTTTTCTGTATAAATTACTTATTGAAATCTGTACTAGGGAGACAAAGTCTATTTGGTAAGGCATGAATTTTCGTCTTTTAAATTTGAAATTTGGAGGAAAAATGAGAATGGTGAGGAAAAATCCAGTCAAGATTCGTCAATGATTAAACGATCTTCATCTTCTTCGTCGGGATTGTTATCATCACCTGGAAAATAAATATATACGTATTATTGCGCATATTATTACACGGAATTGAAATAAAGAAGAATTACAAGTACATATGCATACCCGACTCGTCTTGAACAACAGACCAACTCTTCTTCGACTCTGATTCTGATCTAGATGAGCAGGACATATCCAGCGGAAGTTCAACTTCGTCATACTCTTCATCGTCGTGCTCATCTCCGTCATCATGGTAAATCGTGGGCGTGACTTCGACGAGGTTTCCCTCATCACTAGAATGTGATTGTCCACTTTTCATCGACAGGTCTAGAGACCCATCCTGACTGATGGATGGAATGAAACAAGTGCTTTTACTGGCAAATGGTGGCGATGCAGAAGCAGGTCTTCCACTATGGTGCGACCCGCCGTAGGTAAATGAGGATGAAGCTGAAGACAGCAAATGAGGCGTGCTTGTGGTGGTGGTAGCAGTGACGGAAGAAGTTAAATTCTGGCGTCTTCTTGGACGATACTTGTAATCGGGGTAAAGATGGTTGTGCAGTTTTCTGAGAAAATAAATGGCGATTAAACATCATTTCTAACGAAATTTTCAGTGATTTTGACAGTTGTCATACCCTAGCCTCTGAGCTTCTTCATAAAATGGTCGCCGTTCCTCCTCCGACAAAGCTTTCCAGCCAGCACCTGAAGGAAAAACATTTAAAACATATGCGAAAACACTTCACGAGTACAAGCCAATTTGTTTTTTTTTGTACCCAATTGTTTACTAATGACGGAATGATGCACTGTAGAATCATCATCCATAATTTTGCGCCTTTGCAGCTTGCTCCATACCATGAACGCATTGAGGGGGCGTTTAATCTTGTTATGATTCTTCTTTCCGGGCTGCATCATCCCCTCCACAAGCACAACGCCGTCCCGTTCTCCGAGAGACCCGTCATTGGCAGAGTGCCGGACAGGGGTCACAGTCACAATGGGAGATGACGAAGGAGCAGATCTACGTCGAGGTACAGGTTCGATGGATTTTCTTCTCCGGATGGCTGGCACAGGACCGGATACCTCCTTTGCCATAAAGAAAGAAGCCATTTCCCCGATGGATGAAAATGATGTTGAGATACTTTGATTGATGGCCTAATTACAAATTATAAAAAATATAATAATTCAATCCAATTACCAGAAATAATTTAAAAAAAGTTAGTTAATTCTTATCCAAAACTTACCGTCCTACTACCACCCTGAATACCTGATCCTCCTCCTCCTCCCCTCCCCCTACTTCTCCCATCCGAAACATACTGCTGGATGGGCGACAGCGTCCTCATCTGCTTAGGAGCCAACCCCCCATTCTGCACCATATTATGATGTTGTACATTCACCATATTATTAACTGGGCGTGGAGATGGTGAAGCCGCTGGCAAACTAACATATGCAAAATTCGTCTTCCCTGGCGCAAACTGCTCGGCTTCTTCCTCTTCCTCAGATAAGACAGATGAGAATCTCGCCTTCTTATTCTTCACAACAACCCCGTCAGTTTCTTCGCCCACAATTCTATCGATAATTGACAATTCTCTTCGTTTCCGCCCCACCTCGTCATTTACTAAATTTACGGCACTATTATTGTTCCCTTTCCTCCTCTTCTGATGCCGCTGATGGTGGAATTGTTGGACTACTTGTCCTTCACAGTTATTGTCGTCATCATCCACGTCAAGATTAACTTGCACAATGTCCACGTCCAAGTCCAATCTGGACAGAATGCCGGGAAGGTGATGACCGGGCGGTGTCGAGGTCGATTCTGTCGAGGAGGAGGACGAAGAAGCTGCCAAAGAGGCGGCTGCCAGTGTCCCCATTTATTGTGTGACCTGACGATGATGGCGGAAGTGTGGTGTCAGTCCACCATTGTTCACTTAATTTTTGAAACAATCGAAGAAAGGAGAACAAATGAAATGACGAGGAGGAGGATGGATCGTGTTGGATGTTGAAGAAGGATTATATCGCCCGCTTGGCTTTGTTACTCGTTTTGCCTCTTTCTCAAAACAATCATTAAATTTCATATTTCATTATCCTCGTGGTCTAGTTAAATTTTAGATTTCAAAACATTTCATCGAGAACAAAAGGTACGCATTAAAAATAAACGTTTGTTATGGGTCATGCTAAAATAATGCAATGAAATTGGCTAGGTGGAGATGATGGTTTTATGGAATTTTTGGAGGTTGGATTTGCATACTTATTCATCAAATCATTGATATGTTTTGGGGCGGATTTTGTTCTTTAATACTTTCCACAGGTTTAGTTAGTAAAATTTTTTATTAGTTAGTAGATAAGTTTTGAATATATAATAGCATCAAATTTTACATGGTATGATAATAAAATACATAGGAAAGGACGACGACCCTTCACGCACGACCCAGCGGCTGGTGTCATTAGACGTGATCAAATTATGTCCCACTTCCAAGAACTTTTGTCCCAAGAAATTGTCAAGAAACTGAGATAAACGTCCAGGAAGAAGGAGTGACTAATTTGCATATATTTCTTATCACTTATAAAAGCATGGGTTTGCTAGAGTAGTACCGGAGAGAAGTAGACGAAATATTAAGGTCAACAATTATCAAATCTGAAACTCTATGCCTTTATACTTGACTCCTGATAAGTTTACTTGTCCCATAATAATATGCATCCTTTAAAGAAGGAACACTTGTAAATTAAATTTAATTAAGAGGTTCATTATTAATCATCTCATGAAATGAAATAATGTTTGCCTAAAAATGGTCAGTTTAGTTTGTGTCACTCCCCTGGACACATCTTCGATCTTCGCCTCGATATCTTCACCTCCACCTCCGCCTCCCAGCCATCCGCCCACCTTCGATAAGCCCCCACCACACCCACCACCACCACACCTACGATGCAACTATCCTTGCATCGATCCCTCTTCTTTTTAGGAGTCATTATTATCACAATAGTCCAGGTTGTGCAAGCTGATAAAAATAGTACGACAATAATCCAAGATGAGGAGGAAGGTGATAAAAATAGCAGCAATGTCGACGAATGTGCCCATTTTGGGGCGTGTTCCCAAACGTGTACAAGTCTTGGGGGTACTTCTCAGTGTTCATGCATTTCCGGGTTTCGCTTGAAGGAAAACAGATCTTGCGAACTAATTGGTAAAGAAAATAAGTTGGAAAATTAAAAAAGAAAAGTTAAAAGAAAATTGTTTTTAAAAATAAAATTTTAGATAACAATCCCATCCTAATTTTCGCCCAACTCTCTGCCATTCGTGTCCACCAACTCAAACCGGGTAACGAGCAGGATTACTTCGCAGACAGGTCGGGTTCGCCCGTGAGCGTGACGTATGACGCGAGAAGCAACTTTATCTACTGGTCAGACGTGATGGATAAGGAGGAGGCTATTTGGCGAAGTACGCTCGATGGGAAAATGAAGGAGAAGGTCGTGACGACAGGTAAAAAAACGTCTCAATATCTTCAACAACTTTCTTTTGCTTCGAAAGCTTAAATTCTGAAGTCTCAATTTTCCCGTAAATTACTTTCCCCAGAATTTGGATTTATTTCTTGTATAAATTCCAGTCTCAATTTTCCATCAATTTTGCTCAGAATTTTAGTTACTTTTCAAGCCTCAATACTTGAACTCTGACCACTTTTAAAGTTCCACTTTCACCCACGACTTTCTTTTCCTGCAATTATTAAACACCTTTCACCCCACTTTATTCGCAGGTCTCGTCCTCCCCGAAGGTGTAGCTTTCGACTGGATTGCGAACAACATTTACTTCACGGACTCCAACAAGTCTCATATTGTCGTCTGTACCGCAAACGGAGGCAATTGCAGCGTGGTCATTGAAGAATTGAATAAACCTCGAGACCTCGCCCTCCATCCGAACATGGGGTACACAATAACGAACTAATAATTACTAATTAATTATCAGCTTATTAGAAGATTTCATTAAACTTTTCTCCTTGTTTTACTTATTATTAGGCAGCTCTACTGGACAGATTGGGGTCAAACTCCGTGCATCATGAAGGCCGGGATGGACGGCTCTGTACCGATCGCCATAATCCTCGACAATCTCAAGTGGCCCAACGGGATCACTGTGGACCACGGAAACAATCGGATATATTGGACGGATGCGGGGACGGATAAGATTGAAACGGCCAATTTGGATGGAGGTGATCGCCTCATCGTTCATTCTGCTGGGATCAATCATCCTTTTGGGATTGATGTGTTGGGGGATGATGTTTATTGGAGTGATTGGAACTTGTATGAGATTCAGGTACATCGCAATTCGGCCATATTCGATTCATCAATCACTAATTAATTGATTACGACTATTTGTATCAATTCTCCAGAAAAGTAACAAGTTTGACGGATCCAACCATCAAAGTTTGGTCAAGGAAAAGTTTGAGCAGCTCAACGGACTCGCCGTCTTTCACAAAGCGAATCAACCCATCACTCGGAAAAATCATTGCAAGGATTCCGACTGTTCGCATATTTGCACCCTGACCCCGACCTCGTACAAGTGCAAGTGTCCCGTAGGGATGTATCTTGATCGCCGGAATAAGAGAACCTGCTCAGGTAAGACTGACTCTTTAACATGCGAGTTTATTTTTTTCCGGAATTTTACCACTTCTTAAATATTTAGTCGACAAGTCTTGGCCAGCCTTTGTCATCGGGTACAACAACACAATCAAAATCTCTCCTATCAACGCCATCGGTGGAAATACGTTTGCAGAATATGAGATCCCGGAATTGTCCACGATCGTCGCGATTGCCACGATCCCCTTCAACACGACAGTTTTCATTAGTGACCTCGACACTAAAAAGATTTACTCGTACGACACAAAAACTCTTAAATTGGCCCCGATCGTGGACAGTGTGGGTTTCGCCAAAGGGATGGGTTATGGTGAGGGAATTTGTTTTAAATGTTTAATTTGCATACGAACAAGTTTATGCAAAATTTTATTGCGCAGATGAAGTCGGAAACAATCTGTACTGGGTGGACTCGATAAGAAAAACGGTGGAAGTCATGTCACTCAAGACGATGACAAGAGTCATACTCTTCAAAGAAACCGACCGACCAATTGACATCGTGGTTGCGCCAAATATCAGGTAAAAGTGAACTACGTTTTGGCTAAATTTGAACCATTTAAAAAAAATTCAAGTTAATCTTTTCCTAAATCATAACTTCTTTTCAGAATGCTCTTCCTCGCCGAGACTTCCGATCGCGGCGCAAAGATCGTCCGAATGAACATGAACGGTTTCAATCGTCGCGTTCTCTACCGCCAATCTCGCGCTGAGCCGATTTCCTTGACCTACAACATTGACATGCAACGACTCTACTGGACGGACGTCGTCTCTGAGACGATTGAATCCGTGGGGATTGATGGGACAGAGGGCTACACGGCCGTGTCCCGGGCCGGTTATCCATTTGGAATGACCTCTTTCCGTAACTCGATCTACTGGACGGACCGTCACACCCAATTACTGATGGAGAAGGACCTATCCAGCTTTTCCGACCACAGGGGCATCTTCCTCGGAGACTATGCCGCCATGCGAAGAGGGGAGGTCATCTACTACGGATCGGGCAGCATGATGGCGAAGGTGGCTCTGCTGAATGGGGAGGCTGGATATAATACGAAGCTGCTGAATGACCATGAGTGCACAGGGAATAAAAATCAGTGTTCACACATTTGTCTATTGTCAGCGACGGAGTTTGAGGTGAGCTCAATTTGATAAATTGATGGTTGTCATAAATGTCAAAAATCTGTTTTTCCAACCAGGGAACTTGCATCTGTCCCGACAACTTAAAGCTCCACAGCGACGGGCACACTTGTATCGGCCTCTCCGATAAGGACGCCCCTTCCCCCGCCATCTGCGTGGAAGGACGCTGTAGGACCCAACTCACCACGAAAAAACCGTCATCCAAGAAGTCAAAATCTGGCAGCAAGTCTGGTTCATCTCGAGACAAGGGAAAGGATTCGAAAGACAAAAATACGACAGATATTAGTGGCCGAAGTGATAGTGAAACCACAACGCTTGCTTCCACAAATTCGTCGTCCTCCACAGAGTTCCTCGAGTTCTTGTTTCCGGATGGACTCTCCTGGTGGGATGATGCCGATGACGATGTTGGCGAGAAGGATGGCAAGAAGAAAAAGAAAAGCAAGCCTAAAAAGCCATCTTTATCCGAACTTGAGAAGGATAAGAGGAGAGAGAAGGTAAGTTTAGGTTCTTAAATTTGTTTGTAGTATTTTTTAACGTCACGTTTCTTGTCTACAAGATCTTGGAATATGACGAGTACGATGGCAGCCTCTCCTCCGAGGCGAGAGTTCTTCCCAATGGGAAAGTGGTACAGAGCGGAGACGCCGTTATCCAACAGGAGTCGGACGTCGAGAAGGACGTCATCGTAGAGGGGACGCATCCACTAGCGATCGCATTGGGAGTCGTGATTCTCCTCGTTCTGGTCGCCGTCATCGTTGCGATTGTCCTTCACCGGAGGAACGTCCACCCCAAAGTTTTAGTTCGACCATACGTCCAACATTGGTACGAATATCGTAATTTCACAATTTTTGTTTGATGCTTTTCAAAACTATGCAAACTTATTTCAGGGTAAAATACGTAAATCAACCGGTGCAACGCTTCTTTGAAAATCGAGGGGATCAGATGGATTCTGGGAAGCGACATATTTACGACGAAGTGTATCATCGCCCAACTTCCGCAGAACATTCCTACTCCAACTTTGATGTAAGCAAAAAAAAATTCCCATATTAAAGACATCGAAATAATGTAAATTGATGATGGCAGTAACTAATTGTTTTTTTTTGTATGTCAGGACTCGTCCGTAAATGTGTATGAGGAACCTGGGGACAGTCATCGCATTACGTACAGTCAATCTGACAAACTAATTCCGTGATGGAATCAGTCATCATCATAATCATGAGTTCAAAGGAGATTAAGATTTCCACATGGGGAGCAATGCAATGGTGTGATACATATATTTATGAATTATTATACTGTCGTGATGGAGGTGCTAAACAGCTAGCTGGTAATTAATTTATGCTAATCAAAGCTTACTTTTTATATTGTACTGTCATAATATTAGGAGTGAGGGACTAGTTAGTCTAATTTAATCTATAACGAAGCTATTATATTATAATTTTGTTAAAATATTGAGAGATATTAAAAAAGTTTGGAAATTTGCATTTGAAATAATTTTTAGTGCTGTGAGTTTCCTTTATTTTGTCATTACAAATCACAAAAAGTACACATATTTAGTGTATTTATACGGAATTTGAAGAAATAATTACTTTTATAAAACTAAAGCTATTTAGATGCCTCATTTTACTCGTAACTAACCCGAGGTATTTAGCTACATACATATTACGTACATAGAACTAAAGATTTTTTTGTAATAAAGCAGTATAGATGAAAAAATGCAAAAAGCTACAAATGATCATCACAGTTTTCATATGAAGGAGGTTTGGTATATATCGGAGGGAAGAAGAGTATCATGTTGTAATTTTTACTTACTTGGCAGCGAATTAACTCTGCTCTTTAATGTTTTCGGTAGATTTTGCTGTAGAGTTTCTCCGAGAATTATTAGCGTTATTGTTCGACGACGATGACGCAGGAGCAGCGCGGTCCGTACGATCTGTACGATCCCGATTTCTTGATGGGGGTGGTTTTCCATTTCCATTTCTGCCACCGCCACTGCCACCACCGCTAGAAGTTTCCTTGTTGCCGTCCTTTGCAGTAGAAGTTCGCAAACTTCCGGGACGATAAATTTGCATATCGGGTCGAGTATGGCGACGTTTTTCATCCTTCTTTTCTGGATTACTTTCCGATACAGGAGCGTCTGATGTTGGGGCTGCGGAGGGAACCTTCTTGACAGCTTCTGTTGATTTATTGGTAGTTGAGGATGATGTTGAAGGTTTTGCAGTGCTCGGCTTGTTGTTATTATCATTCCCATTCCCTTTGTTGGAAGATAAGCCAGGAGGTCTTTTAATAATTTTCACATCGCCAGGATTAGCGTCACCACTACCACCTTCCTCTCCAGATTTTACAACCTTCTTGACACGAATAATTTTCTTAACAATTCTTGTCTTAGGTTTAGTGGTAGTTGGTGGATCACCACTGACTTGTTCTGCGGAACCATCACCCGATCCATGTCCACTATTACCCGCATTGCTGGACTTTTTGCCTTTAGGACCAGGAGCATTGTCTTCTCGTTTGGGTTTAGGTTTGTCGATGCTGCTCGTGGAAAGTTTTCTCTCGGAGGTAGATGTGGATTCTGGCTTATTTTTCTTGTCTTCTCCTCCAGCGCAACTACCTCCTCCGGATGAAGAAGCTGGTTTTGTGGATGTGTCAGTTTTTGTAGGAAATGGTTTTCCAAATCGAGCTTTATTTTCTTCTTGAGGTTTGTCAAATTTTCGGACATCTTTCGAAAACGGATTATTAATAGGTGGTTTCTTCTTCCCAAATCGCGAATTTTTGTCCTCGAATCTAGGTTTGTTGGATGGAAATGGCTCCTTTGCTTTATTGTTGTTATTTTGGTTGCTGCCACCTTGAGACGACGGACCTGGTAAGTCTGTCGTACTGCTTGTAGTTGGTTTATTAGTCGGATTGGGTTTATTATCAGGAGCTGGCGACGATTCTTCAGGGTCCTATCGAGAAAAACAAATAAAAAATGCTACAAAATTATGAAATGTGCAAAGAAATTTAAATGCCTATGCAAACCTCTTTAATGTCGTCTTCTTTCCTCTTCGCGAGAGGACCGCTATTTCTAGACCATCGCGTTCCTTGTCCGCTTTTCGAGTACGTCACTGTCATTCCTTTAGCTTTGGCATCTTTCTCCAATTTCTCTCGCTCTCGTTTATCTCGCCGTTCCTTATCTCTTCGGTCACGTTTCTTTTCCTGGAGAATATTCAATAATTAATTATGAAAGAATAATAATATATTATTTGAATTATTTATACAAGAAATTAATTGATTTCTCGTACCTTTTTTACTTCACGGTCAACTTCTCGATCTTTATCGCGCTTAATTCTATCCAACCGTTTCCTTTCACGTTCCTTCTCTTTCCTCTGTTGCCGTTCTTGTTCCCGTCTGAACTTTTTATTTAAAATTGACTGTGTTAGTGGGGTTGGCTCAGGTCCTGATTAAAATAAACCCGTTAAATATATGTATATATGTAACATCATAAAAATGACAACTTTTACGAACACAAACTAACCTTTCCGTTTCGGCTTGTTCTCAATTTCAAGCAGCATTACCTCTGCAGTTGCATAATCATAATCCGGAAGTGGAGCCCCTGTCCAAAACTTGAACGGGTTGGAATCATATTTTCTCATAAACTCGATCCATTCCTCAGTTTCGAGCAGCTTTCCCCTCTCCTGATTCACTTTGTTGGTGCGGAATATTTTCTGCGACATGGCAAAGTCACCAATCCCGTAGTATCCCTCACCGTCCTCGTCAATAAACTGATACCCGGTAAAGCGCTCAATGAACCAGAGAGCGTCATCGGCATCGAGAAAGTTTATGTGAGCTACTGATTTTCCATTTGGCCCTAAATATGATAGATAATTAATTAGTGTTATTTAAATGTGTATATTCAATATTTATTAAGTTAAACTCACCCCATGCTGGATCAGGATTGTCTACCGCAACATAATCATATTCGGGTAGGGGAGAGACATAGTCGAGAAAATCTTGACACGACAGCTTCGGAGGGAGCATTCTTAAAACGACCTGGTTCAATAAAGAGCATTTGTAGTTTTATTCAGAAAAATCCTGTCTACAAAAATTAGTACTTTTGTTGGTCGAACAATGTTCGGGGCCCATCGGCTATTTTCATTATTTGTTGGATCATCTCCTCCCCCCTCAGTGACGATGTTGGCTTTCTCGTCGCTTCCTCTCCCATCATCGTCCTCGTCGTCCTCATCCTCCTCCTCCTCGGTCGAATTATAGTCTCGATCTTCAATAACGATTGGGGTGGTGGTTTTAATTGTTGGCATTATTGGCTCTTGGATGTTATCTGCAGATCGCTGTTTATTTCGATTTTCTTCTTCCTCCTCCGCCTCCATCTCGTCGCCCCAACGAAGTATTTTAGAAGTTTGACCAGACCCCTCGACTAGGCTCGAAGATGAGCCCCCCGTTGCATTAATCTCTGAAGGATTAAGGTCATCAGGAGTCGGTTGACGACACGAGATCGTCGCGTCGTCCATTGTTGGCGAATCCTAAATTGACAATTAGGTAATAATGCAAGATTCCTAAACTTTTTAGCTCGTTTCCGTGGAGTGAATGTATTAGGATTATGTAATGAGGTTGTCCAAGCATGGGCCATCTTTTAAAAATTATTAAAAATTTTCGAGTTGGGGACAGGCACGCATTTTTTGGCGTTGTCACCCGTTGTTGGGTGAGTGAGAAATTATTTTAAAAATTATTTTTGCTACATTTTCTGGGGACTGCTTTTAATTTTTAACTCGATTGCATATTACATATGTGATATTGATGACCATTTTTGTCCCCGATACTTTTATATATTTGTACACGTATTTATATGAATATTTTTATAAAGAGCACAACCAGGTAGATAATTCGAGTTCCGGAGAAAAAATTTTCATTTGTCTAAAACTTGACAAAATTTTCATTATTAAATTATCACTCCCACGATAACGGTGGACCTGGAGGACGAAGAGGAGGAGGATAATTTAGTTCTGGAAGATTTTGTAATTGATGAGGTAGCAGCTGCTGGTGCAGATTCAGAAACCACTCCTGCTGATACCGAAGATGAGTTGTTAACGGTATAAGTTTTTAAAATCATGAGGATGTCAATTTTTGTCAAGTTTTTTTAAAGATAAATAATTAAAAATAAACATTTCTTTATCTGGAACTCGAATTATCCTCCTGGTTGTGGTCGGTATCTTCATAAAAATATGTATACAAATAAGTGTAGAAATATACAAAATTATCGGGGGCAGAAGTGGTCATCAATATCACATAATATGCATTCGAGTTAGAAATGAAAAAGTCCACCGAAAAATAATTTCTCACTCACCCAACAACGGGTGACAACGCCAAAAAATGCGTGCCTGTCCCCAACTCGAAAATTTTTAATAATTTTTAAAAGATGGCCCATCCTTGGACAACCTCATTACATAATCCTAATACATTCACTCCACGGAAACGAGCTAAAAAGTTTAGGAATCTTGGTAATAATGGTAATATTAATATTAATATTCTTAGTTTATCATAAATCACACTTTCATAGTCCGTCAGCTTACCTTCTCCTCCTCAACAGGAGGAGGATCAGAAGTAACTTTCGACGGTCCAGCTTGACTTTCTATTTCTTCGACAAGGTCAAATTCTTTTGTCGCCGGCTCGACAACTTCTTTTTGTTCTTGTTCTTCCTCCAGTGGTGGACTTGTGTCCATATGCTACTCAATTGGATTTTGATTAATCCCTTAATAATTTAATTTAATTGTGCACCTTAAACTTTACATATAGAGCAAAATTTATGTAAATTCATATTCACACGCCGCACGACAGAAAAACACGAACAAAGCTCGTTGTTATCGTCTTAAACAAATTCCCTATAAAGCTGACAGCACCTTTAATGATGCAATTTTGAATTACAAATTGTAATGAGCGTTATTAATTACAATTTAAATTTAATTAATTATTTGTTTCGTTCACCGTGTCTTTTGATCGAAGGGAACAAATTCATCTCTTTATACCCAAAATCCATTGTCACGCCGCGAATCAATTCCGGCGTTCAACTACAACTCTGTCGAACTCTATTTACAACACTGTAAGATTTATAAAGTTTTGGAGTTCTTTTTTTTTACACAATTTTGAAATTGTTTCAAAAATTTGTGCTAATCCTGGGGTGTCAATTAGCTCACAAAGATGTCGAGTCGTGGCCACAGTACGAAGGAAACCTTGCTTCAGTTGGTGGACGATATCGAAACAATTTCAAAGTGAGCAAAAGTTTATTTGCAAAAATATTTTTAAGTGCACAAACAATTGTAAATTGAATTGAAAAGTTGGAACTAATTTTGTAATTTTGAATTTTAGGGAAATGTTGGAATCGATAATTGCTCCTAAACCGGAAAAGCTGTCTCATGCTGAGCAAACACAACTGATTCAGTTGATTATGGCGAAAAATGAGGATTTAAGGGACAGTTTGAAGGTAATTATATATTCTCATATACAATTCCATTATGTTTTATCATTTAATTGCTATCTGGGATAATTAATTATGCGGTGTAACTTACAGATTGCAGAAGATCAGGCCGAAATAGACCGTAAAATGTCCGACCTCGCTGTAGAAGTATCCCGACATGATCAAGACATACAAATGTTACAAAAACATTTAAAAGAAGCAGAGACTCTGTTATCCACTGCCCTGTACCAAGCTCGTCTAAAATTGGATCAGATAACCAAGGCACAGACACACTCTGTCAACTCGGAAGACCTTATTCGATTCGCTCACCGAATTTCTTCCACAAATGCTGTCGCAGCACCGACAAATTGGCTCCCCGGCGATCCGAGAAGACCTTATCCGACCGATTTAGAAATGAGGATGGGATTACTCGCGAGATTGAACGAACTCCCAATGAACCAGGTTCGCAAATTTACTCGTCAGAATTATTTTTACAAGAATTTAGAAAGATTTAATAGTCGAGTTGATTACTTATGTGAAGAAAATCATTATCAAATTTTGAGATTCACAATATCTGGCTTCATATTGTTAAATGGATAGTTTGGGTGCAATTTACTTGACCTACTGATCCTGATCAATTCATTCCCACCTCGAAGTTTGTCATCCATTTGCATCATGCGTAACCAGTGGGCAAGATTGTACCATTTCGCAAAGTCGTGTGGCTCCCAGCGTTTCTTTATTAACATGATAAATTGCACATTTACAATTTGCCAGTCCAGCCACAATTATACTCATCTCCCAGTACTCACCATCCTATTGTAGAGACTGACATACATCAGCGTATCCGCCATAGTTCGATAAGTCCCCCCAAAGAAACCATTTTCCCCCAAATGATGATCCATCTCGTCCCACATGTATTCCGAGACTCGCCTCCCCCTCACGTTTCTCACACAATAATTTATCCACTGTCGAATCAGGGCATTTTGGGCTGGACATTTCCCGTAAAATCGATCCTTTAACTCCACAAAGTATTGCGTCATGTACGGCAAGATGTTGTTGAAGCTGATGAGGACGTCGTCGTCTATGATGTACCCGACGTTCCGCATCTACATAATTTCCAAACGTTCTTAATCATGAGATTTAATTACAAATTTAATTTTCTCACATTGCACTCTTCATCCAACATGAAACAATCCAGACAACTCGACATGTCATGAAAATCAAAGAGTTTCTTCATATCGGCAATTTCATCTCCGCGACACTCGACATTTCCCAAATTGACAAATTTCTTCAACTGTTGCAAATTTTCAGAGTAGTCCTAAAATACAAATACGCATATAACAATTTTTCAATTAGTAATTAAATTTCTTGCGGATTATTATCCTTACCCACAACCGGAAGCAGAGCCAGATCGGAGTTTCATCATAACTCCTGCAAGCATCCAACACCGCCACCATGTCGAGTTCTGTCCTCTCTTTGGCTAGCGCTTCCTGTGGCGTGACAAATTTGAGCGTGGGCGTTTTCTTTTTCAACCTGGGCTCCTCGATACTAAACAACGTTTTGTCTTTTTTCGAAGCTTTAGCCCATGCCGGGTTATAGTTTCGTGATGCGTTTCGAACATTGCCTAAACTTTGGGGAGGAGGATTTAAAACAACCATTGACTTCTTGTCCTGTATTTTGGTAATGGGGGCATGACTACTCGAGCGACTAATTGATGGCATGGTGAGATCCATTAGTTCAGGTGTGTGAGAAACTGGAAGTCGGACCGGGGGGAAAGTAAGCGGTAAGGTCTTGGTGTTGAGCGGGGAGAACAGAGGCGTTTGACCGCTCCGATTTGTGGGATAGGAATGTGTCGTTAGTCCTCGAGACGACTTTGTCGACAAATCGTTTGCTCCAGCAGTGAGAGATTTCTGAACAGGTTTTTCATGTAGGAGAGGAACTGGGAAGTTTTGTTCTTCCACGACTTCAATACTACTGTTGGTGGGGTTTGGTGATGGTGGGGGTTTCCTCCTCGCGGTGGAAGGTCGGGTTAGTAACGGAGTCGACGCAGTGTCCACTACCACTTTTACTTGATGAGGTCGAAGATTGGGAGTGACGCCGTTTGTGGATGGAGTGGTTTTTGAGACTGATTGCGACACGGGATGAGTATTTGGAGGAGGACGCAAAGCTTTTTTACTCGGTTTAACCGATGGCCGATTTTTTTCTGGGGGTGGAGAAAGAGTGAGGTTTGCATTTGTGGTGGATTTTTTCATTTTGATGAAATTTAGAGTTATTTACTGAATTAGTTGGTTGGGTTTAACAAAATACTGCTTTTACAAGGTCGTCAAAATAGTTTATGTCTGAAGTTGTATGAAACTTTGCCAACTTTGCCAACTTTGCGTTTCCTTGTATATCCACAGAATTTTGAAAAAGTGGTAATTAAGAAAAGCGAGCCACTACTACTACAATTATTTAATAAAAAGCTTGGAATTATTAATTATGCTGTTTTTCTTAGGTATTGGACTCCATGCCTCGGGAAACCATGATGGGAAATTCGAATCCTTTGGGCAACCCCTTTCCTCCCTGGCACCCACACGCCCATCATTCTGGTCAGACGCCGGATCACTCTGGTTCTGCCTCTTCCTCCATGTTCCAACCCCTCGCTCATGCCTCTGCCTCCCCACATGTCGGTATCGATCCCTCCACGCGAAATCATGAAGACGTCGAAGTTATGAGTACGGATTCGTCAAGCAGTAGTAGTAGCAGTGAGTAGTTAACGGGGCATTATAGTTTGCTCTGGCCGCTCTATCAGCCAATACAGTCCCTCGCTCAATATTTCTCCCGTATGTTACCCCATGCATTATTTTTTGCACAGGTTTTTGATCTTGTAATTCGAAAACCGAGATTAAATGTACACTCAAAAATGTGAAGTATGTTGGATTATAACTAGTAGTTGTTGCACAACAATAAGATAAGGCCCTTGAAGGAATTGATAAGCTACTTGTATTTATATTAATCATCGAATCTCGAGGAAAGCAAAATTTAGACGAAACTTGACATTCGTCGATTAATATAAATAAAAGTAGCATATCAATTCCTTCAAGGGCCTTATTTTCTTGTTGCGCAACTATCACTAGTTTTAATCCAACAAATCTCACATTTTTTAGTGTACATTTAATCTCGGTTTTGGAATTACAAGAAAAACATTTTGCAATTTTTCCTGATTCGTCTCATCTCGTCATAGAGTATGTGTGCCGGGAAGCCACCACCACACATACTCTTCCCATTGGAAACCACTAAAAACATAAACAACTCCAGATGAATTTTGCAGTTTTTTTGCAAAAAATTCAAAATTCCCACCAAAGCTCGTGAACTTTTTACCCCACCGAGTTCATCAGTTTCGCCACTATGTGATTTATGAGGATTAGAATAACATAAAATATTGTCAACTCTTAATTCATCAAGTTCTAGCTCGAGTGATTTTTAATGGGTAATGTATTTTTCTACTGTTTTATTTTTAAGTTGTATTTGTAACACAGAACAGATTTCGTATAATTAAAAGCAGAATTATGCATGTAGCAATGACATTAAAAGTGGAATTGCGTTTCACTTCACACTACAGATTTTTTTAGTTGTGCTCAGGCTTTAATATTCTTAAACAAACAATCTTCCCAATCCGCCCAGTACTTTGCCCTCATTCTGATACAATATTCTTTCAGATTGGTCAATTCTGCAAAAATTGGTTATTAATTCAACTTCAGGATTTCATATTAATGTAATTATTACCATTTTCCACCAAATTGTGATACGGTGACCCCGGCATAGCCCACACACACTGAGCAATAGAGCCAAAAAGTGCACAATCCGCTTCACAAGGTTGATCCCCGGCTATGAAAGGTTTGTCCCCCAACAGGACGGAAACGTCTTTCAAGTCGTCAGAGACAAGTTTGACGATCGTGTCAGGAGGGTGTCGTCCTAATCCTTGAGCATTCATTGATTTCTTTATCCGGCCCGGAAATACCCACTTTAGTAGACGGAACTTTACACCGGAAATATTTATCAGATTGGGTATGCTTTGGACGCCTTCAACAAATCTCCAACGTGCCATCCCCCTGAAAAGTTTATAAAAAATTACAAAACCTTATGATGAATTTGCGAATATTTACATAATTTTACAACTGACCAGAAGAAATGCTCTTCTAGCATGACGCGTACAGTTCGTGCGGATGCTTTCTGTTCAGGGCTCACATTTTCCCAAGGGTTTTTGTCATATTTTCTAAAACGGGATACACAAATTGTGAATTAATTTACTTAATTACACTTAATTAATTTTCTCCATACTTGTTAAGAAACTCAATAATTAGCTGAGAGTCGGTCATATCGACACCGTTTAAAGAAATCCAGGGAGTTTTTCCGCTTGGTCCAAAAGGTTTGGTAGTATCGACCTGGATTTCACAATTGCACATCATACTTGCATAATGCAAGTTGCATTAGATATGTAAATAAATACGTATATTTTTACCTGATACGGAATGTCCACCATGCGGAGATAAGTTTCCAATTTGAGAACGAAAGGCGATATGCTCGGAATTGGTTTGCCCCTTTCGATACAATGAAGGATCACTGTATCTTTAAGATCCAGTTTCGACATTGATTTCGAATTCCTGTTTGTAAAAATAATTTCGCAATTATCCCATGATTTTTAAATCCATAGTAAAACTTACATGATTACGATGATTTTTCAGGACGGATGTTCACGAATTTATCATCCAATTCTCAACTTCGCATCAAACTTAATACGAGAAGTTTGTTTGCCTAGCTATGTAATGTGTGTACTTGGCAAAAATTGACAAAAAATCGAAAGGCCTTGTAAACTTAATGCGTGTCCAGCGATTTTGTATGCCTTTTTTCTCGAATCTCGAATCGTTAGCGTCACTGCATTAATATTGGACCGTAATCACTAGACTCTGGACTAGTGACTCTGAAGGCTTTTTTTGCGACATGGCAAACACAAAATATGTACATATGCCATTGTATTGTTTAGCTCATCATTTAGTTCAGTAGGTTTACGTACCGTGTTTGCAAATATTAACATTTGAGGACATAAAGATAATTCACATACTTCGACTTTAATAGAGCATAAGTACAAAGTAGGTGTAAGTGTTTTTATCTAATCAGCAGGAGTTACATATGGGCATGTTATTATTATTAGGTAATTAATATCGTAGTAATAAATTGATGAAAAGACAAGTACAAAATAAATGGGACATGACGTGATCAATACCTCAATTGCAAACTCAAGTAACAAACTATTCAATTTAATAAATTAGATATGTATGTCGTCATTCGTAAATATCTTACTCGCGATGATTGCACGTGTTTGAAATACAATGCCAAAGAATGCATGAATCTAATATTGATAATTAATAAAATTAAGCTCTTATGTTTGACATGCTATTAAAAAAATCTATATTTAATAAATACTCAATCATGTTTTTAAGTCTGATAAAAAATTCACATCATGGTATTTAATCTCCAATGCCGTCACCAATTTCGTAATAAGACTTGTGTATTCTTCTCTTCATTGAGGCAGTGTGATTTCTGCCGAGTCGACATCGATGTAAAACTTGCTGTATGAAACTTGTACCATAGCTCTGAAAAGAAAATTGTATTTAGGATTTTAAATGTAATGATTGTTAACAATTTTATAATTTCATACTTGAAGAACACAGTCCCCTCATACTTCTTGGGAGCATTCCATGTAAACTTTTTGCTCGTTCCGTTAAACGGGGTGTCATTTTTGTCAAAGTGAAAGGCGTAGCAGTTGACCCTAATTTCCTGAAATGCATTTTTATTAAAAATGTGTCACGTGCTAATTTAATTATTAAATATAAATACAAACTACTTGAAGATATTGATTGTCAATGCAGATGTAGCCCAGCGTGCATTTTCCTCGTTGAACCTGAGGCTCCTCTTCCCCCAGACCTCGGGACCCCAACTCGTTCAAGTTCTTGAGGTATTTCGCCTTGATGGCGAACCGAATATATTTCATTTCCGTCGTGTTGGCTTCAATTAAACCTGGAACAATAAGTCGTATAGTTGATTATTTAAATATTGCAAAATTCTGAACGCACATTCCGTAAGGTGCTTTGCAACTATGGCGGACGCCCTGAAAGACTCTCGATCCTTGTTGCACATCGAGTCGCCCCCAATTTGGCACGTTATCGATACGTTTTTCCGACAGACGTTCATCTTCATTAGAAATACTTCCGATGACTCTTCTGACATGTCGATGCACTTTCTTTCGCCAACCGTGTTATCATTGTCCTCACTCGTCGATACTGGGTTTGATGTCCATAAAATGATGACGAGGTAAAGATACAGGAACAAGCAGGTTCTACTTCCTCCGTGAGATAAGAAATGGAAAAAAATATGTAAATTCTTCATCCTCACAAGGCAAGAATTATGCAGGAACAAAGTTCAAGAACGAGATGCGTGCAAAGTAAAGAACAATTGCTCATAAAAATTTTAATTGCATCACAAAGGCACAAACAACAATTAATAATATAATAATGCGTTACAAATTTCGCATGTATGCAAATGGGGCTGTAGAATTTAATATTAAATTCAGGGTTAAATATCTTAACGCAATTAGTAGGTGCGTCGTAAACCCGAGGTCATAATCTTTGGGGAGAATAACAGAAAGTGTGATTTATAATATAAATCTTGATGTGTTTAGTTTCAACAGCGTCAAATAATAGTACAATAAAGTTTTTGTCATAATGCAAAGTTAGAATTACTGACTAAATAATTGGGAACAATGAAAAGACAAAAAAGTATTGTCAAGTTTGTGACATTACAAAAAGGTAATGGTTAATCTTCCTCTTCCGTGTCTGAATCCTTAGTCCTGTTGCGAACCCCTAAACTTGCCATCATTTTGTCCTCAACCTTAGGTCTGGGGTCTTTCTTGATGGATGTTGGCACTGCGCCAGCTTTCCCCAGAAGGAACTCGAGTTCTGAGAAGAAATGAAAAACCATCATCAGTAATTTTAAGATAATATATGTAGCGATAATATTACGTGCCATACCGTCTATTGTCAAGTTCATTCCTCTGAGAGGAATTGGTCCAATAAATTGTTGCTTCATGTTCCCTTCAAAATAGACGAAAATGGTGGGTACGTTTTTATCCGGGTAGTTTGGGATACAAACGGTAGAAATACTCTTGATAAATTTTGTCGTGGGGAACTTAGCTGCTAGCTGAGTCAAGTGTTGATTGATTAAAGCACATAATGGTATCCTATTAACAAATGGACCAAGTCGTCAAAAAATTAGTAACCCATAAGGTTACAAAATTGGCTAAATTATTGCAAATATGGGCGCACCCTTGTTTATACAAGTGGAGGATGACCCATACCCCCTCCCCTGCTTTGTTGACCTCGGCTGTTGAAACAATGAGACCGAATGACTTTGATTGCGAGATTCAAATGATTTGTCCGCTTACATTTCGAGATTGAAATAAAATTGTCAACATCATTAATTATCAATAAAAATGGAATTTCCTGATAGTGAGTGTGTTCGGGTTTTTGAGAGTATGAGTCTTGTGAAATTGGCAGCTACATTACAGGCTGGCCAAGTTATCTTGACAAAGAGATTGTCACAAGGAACATTTACTCCAAATATAGTTGGTGGGGAAAGTGGGGAAAGTTTTAGTGAGATGGAGACAAGTTATAGTGAAAGTGGTGACAATAGTGAGGGGGGTGATGGTGGTCCAAGTCGAAAGAAGAAGAAGAAATTGTTGAAGGGCGAGGTGGACTTGGACGCATTGAAGTGGGTGGTTACGCAGCCCTGTAACCAAATTAGCAAGACTGACCCACCCCAGCCATTATGTGCTAAATGTCCCAAAGTCTATTCTGGATCAGCAATTGCTAATAAGTATGTACAATAAAATCATGATGAAATGGGTGAGGTTTTGATTATTTATATTGCATTTCATATTAGATGTCCGTTATCCGTACCTATTCTGCTCAATCCGACCCCTGCATATTCATGTCTCAACAATAAAATCATGGTTTATGGTTTCTGGTGCTCTCACCCTAAATGCAAACGACCTGATGGTGGCCCTTCTCTCATCAAAATCGGTCAAACGGGGAATGGATTAAATGGTGACCGCGTTGGACAACAATTGGAGCAAGTTCGAACATGCACTATCCCTACAGATTTTGATAAGAAGGAAGTTGCCAGACATTTCCACCAGCACTGGTTAGAGGATAATAAATCGTGCGACCCTTATCAATTTGTGCATTTCTCTATCATACAACAACTAACTCCTGATAAGGGTGGGTTAACAACATTATTTTAAAATGTACATATTTATGGCTGATGAATATTATGTCATTTGCACAGGGGAGGACGACAGATTATCCATTGAGAGAGCCTTGATACTCAGATTTCACACTAATCATCCTGACTTTGGAGTGAATGGTCAACTTCCTAACCCGCTTGCCACACGTACGAAAAAATTATCGTCGTCCTCCTCTTCTTCCTCGGTTGCTTATAAAACTAACAGACCCAAAAGCATACGAACCGAACGGTAAGATTAATGAAGCTCAGTATGAATAATAATATTTGTGTTGCTAATTTATTATCTAATCGCAGAAAACGAGCTGTTCCATTCAAAGTTATGGTGGCTATTGCACTAAAACAAGATCCGGACTTTTACCAGGCTTCATCAACCGAAATAACTACATTCATTCAGCTAAATTTCCCTGATTATGGAATGGAGGTCAGAAATATGGCTAAGATATTGCGTCTTAATGGAGATCAAAGTTATGATTCAAACAATCATGTAGCTGAGGAAGACAAAACGAATTGGTTCGTCACTGTAAAAAAAGGGAAAGGTGGTTCTGGTGGAGGCTCCACCTACGGATTTAGTTTACCACGTTGGCCTGCCACAAATGCCGAATTAACCTCATGGTTGCATGATGAGGAAACTATCGCCAATCTCAACACAATTGCTAAAGAAGGACTTAATTTAGATGAAATGTTAACTTGAAAATTGTACATAATTATTAATGAGTGTATTCACTAGTAAGCGATCCCACTATTTCTCAAATAAATAAATTGGATAATCGTCCAAACCAGTGTAATCCTGAGCAGAAATTTCCAGCACGGTCCCAAATTTAGACCTGACCAACTCCGACTTCAATTCTCGCAACCTTTTCGCCTTGTATTCAGCCAAGACTCGTTCCTCCTCATCGTCTTCTAGTTCGTCCAACTCGCCAAGGGATAACTTTTCGAGGTTAACACCTACATATAAGCTAGCTTATCATACATGCTAACTGCACAATAATTCAACATGTTAAAATAAACTTACTACCTCCCGTTTTTTCTTGAATCGTGCCTTCCAACATTTGCACAATTTCGTCCTCCGTCATTTCCTTCTCGATCGGTTTTTGTGGGATTATCCCCTTGGCTCGCAAAACGTCGTTCCATTCCGTGTCCTCGTTAGGGTTCTGGTTAAATAATAAAATTAATGTACACCGGAAATACAAGAAATAGTGTTTCATGATTATATTTAATACCTGCATGCTGCTGGCCAAAAACCAAGTTCACCACCTTCCTCCCTGGTTGGACAATAGAACAATTAAATAGGATTCAATTTAAATTCAAAATGACTATTAAATCTAATTAATTTCAAAACAGTTTTTACCGAAAAATGATAAAAATCTGAACAAAATACGTCGAGCGAAACTGAGAGAAGTGTGAGACTCCGACAGCGGGATGTATTTTTAGCACGTGTTAAAAATAATTGTACAGCAATAAACAATAACAAGTTTATTTTTTGTATTTTGTTTGTAATTTTTCAATGTATTTTTAGTAGTTTAATTTAGTTCACAATTAAAAATAAGGTTGTACAGACTCAATCCACAATCATGAGTGCATCCGGAAGTGGAAAGAAACCTGGTGGTAAAACCACTTCCGGCGGTATCGGAAATTGGTTCACTTGCGCCCAATGTGGAAAACGGCTTCCACGCAGTGCTTCTGCCAAACATGCAGACGCCGATTGTGGGGACGCGATGTATCCCCACATTCTGGATTATGGGAAAGAAACAGCGTCAACGTGCGCCTTGCTTGTGAATGCGACGACGACTTCCAGTAAAAATATTTTTATGAAATTACGAAACTATTGGTTTATTTTGCCTATAAAACTTGTGTTTCTTGTTAAATTTCAGAGATTCAGAACCTTCCATTCATCAAATGTTGTCGTTTGTCATCCAGCACCATTTTTATTCCGGAAGAACTCATTAGAGAATCGGTATTTGAAACGTTCAGCTGGGTCAGGGTGTCATTCATTAGGGAAGCTGGTGATGGCGACAAAGTCGACGAATCAAGCCCGCCCGTAGCAATGAGAGTTTGGCCTATTCCGGATTCTGTTTCGTCATCAAGTGTGTCTGGAAATGTGATGATGACGAAGGATGGTTTCCTGGCGAATAATGTAAAACGTCAATTTTGATACTATATGTATATTATTGGTGGTCAATCGCTTTCTTCTGATTGCAGGTACTCGCGTGTACTAATCTTGCCGTGAAGATTCAGCCATTGTCGCCTCGCATTGGGCGTAATTTCCCTGTCATACTTCCAGCAACATGCGTCATTCTTGAAATTGACGACGTTGCAGCAGAAATAGATCAAGTCACATTTGAATCAGACCGTTTCAGTCAAACGTTCAAAAACTGGTTTAGAGGAAGACTGATTGCAACCGGAAATCAGTTAAGGATAAGATACTACGCAGAAGTGGTGTCATTCATCGTGAAGAGCACTACACCACCTAGGCAAAAAGAAAGCCATGTGGAAGAAGATATGAACAAGTTATCCATCAGAGACGAGGAAGAGAGTGAACAATTCTTTGAAATTACAGACAAGACGGATGTGCAACTAGAATTGAAAAGTGGGAGTGAACAATTGGCAAAAGACATGGAAAAAAATATCGTCACGCTTAGTGATGTGGGAGGACTTGATACTATAATTAAAGAATTAGTTTCCACTATTAATTTTATATTCACTTCACAACTAAATGGTAACTTTTGTAAAACGTTATATGAAAGAAAACAGTTACCAGATTTTGATTTTGATTTGCTTTTGATTTTCCAGTTGCGAAAGGCATCCTTCTTCACGGACATTCTGGAACTGGGAAGACGCATTTAATTTATGCTCTTTGTAATCATTTTAAGTTGACACCTGTCCTCTTTAATGAATTTGCTTCTGTCTCCACGAAACAAATTGGATTGTCTGCTGCATCGAGCAATTCCATTTCAAAAGTGTTTCAAGATGCGATTGCAAAGTAATTTCATCGTGTTTATGTTCATTGTCTTGTCATGTTATAAATAATATCCTTTTTGTCAATTTGTAGATCACCTTCAGCAATTATCATAGAAAACTTGGACATTTTGGCCCCCAGCAAGTCATCGGGTGACAAACGGTCTTCAAACTTTGCTCAATCTCTCGTCTCCCTTGTGCCTACCTTATCCAAACTCAAATCTTCCACCAGAGTGGTCATTTTTGCATCCGCTACAGACATTGACAGCGTTGACTCTGGCCTTCGTTCTCCCCGAATCTTTGGAAAAGAAATCGATCTTCCGGTGCCCTCGAGAAAGGAAAGAGAACAAATCTTGAGGACGATATTATCAAAGATTAGCCATAAGTTTTCTAATGATGAAATTTCTGGTAAGATGTTTGTCGATTGTGTAATTGTCATAAATTATGTAAATGTAAATGCAATTTTAAAACAGAAATTGCTGGTGCAACTCATGGTTTTGTGGGAGCTGACCTTCACGGGTTATGTACTCAATCTGTTCAAGCTGCTGTTGAGAGGAATAAGGAAGCAAGCCATGTTAAAGTCGAGATGAAAGACATGGTCCCTTGTCTGAAAAGTGTGAAACCAAGTGCGATTAAAAGCATATTGGTCGATGTTCCTAATGTGAATATTAACTTATTCCATATTCGTTATATGAAACAAATCTGGATCATACTAATAAATACAATGTTATCCCTAGGTTCGCTGGAATGACATTGGTGGACAAACCGATCTCAAATTTAAATTAAAACAGGCAATCGAATGGCCTCTTAAACATCCCGAAGCGTTTCAACGCTTAGGAATAACTCCGCCAAAAGGAGTTTTAATGTATGGACCACCAGGTATGTGTAAACAGTAAACCTGATCACGATCATATCAACTATTACACGTATTTTGAATCGAAAAAAAATTATGTTTCCATCTAGGCTGTTCAAAAACCATGATAGCCAAAGCAATCGCGACTGAAAGTGGATTAAACTTCATCTCGGTGAAAGGATCAGAATTGTTTAGCAAATGGGTCGGTGAATCAGAAAAAGCTGTTCGAGATGTGTTCAGAAAAGCACGCCAAGTGTCCCCCTGCGTGGTATTTTTTGACGAAATCGACTCCCTCGGTGGTGAACGAGGATCAACTTCCGGTTCTTCCAACGTACACGAACGAGTCCTTGCTCAACTTTTAGTAGAGCTTGATGGGATCGAACCCCTTAAAGATGTTACAATCGTGGCTGCTACGAATCGACCTGATATCATCGACAAGGCCTTACTCCGTCCAGGAAGATTAGACCGTATAATTTACGTCCCTTTGCCAGACGTGGAAACTCGGATGGAAATTCTTAAAATACGGTTTAAGAAAATGCCAGTCGACAGCGATGTAGATATTGAAAGTATTGTGGGTTCAACAGAGGGCTATTCGGGGGCGGAGGTAGTAAACAAGTTAAATGTCAAACTAACTTAATCCAAGTAATTGCTAAATATTTTTTTGCTTCACAGTTGACTGCGTTATGTCATGAAGCCGCCATGAAAGCACTAGAAGATGACATCACCTCCCAAAAAGTTCAAAATCTCCACTTTCTCAAAGCCCTTGAAATAGTCAAGCCTCGAATTAACAAGGACCAAATACAATTTTATGAACAATACAGCAGTTCTCACAAAAGATAATCAAATTGTAACGGTAATTCCAACAATAAATTACTTAGATTAAGTTATTTATTACTTCATTCTACTACATAGAACTTTACAACTTGCCAGTACGAATTATTAGCATTTTGTTCAAATTGTCCAATGTTATATATGTAACATGATCGCATCACAAAAACTGACTTTATCTGAATACTTTTTAATTAAATGACTTGTTTTCCCTACATAACTGAGACAATAATGGCAAGGGCAGTAGCAATCGCAGCAACGGTCACCCCGGTAGTTGCGACTTCCTTGTTTTCGAATCCTTTTCCCATATCCCACGCCAAATGCCTGATCCCGTTAGCAAAATGGAACATGAAAGGCCAAGACAGGGCGTATTTCAACAGGAAAATACAAGCACCTCCGTAATGCATGGATTCGATAATGCCCAAATAGTGAGGAAAGCTTCCAGGCAGCATGAGCATTCCTAAGTAGTTGAAATTGATGTTATTTTTGTATATACTTGAATAGATGCTAAAAGTAATTACCAATTGCGAATCCAGACATGATCCCTGACATGGCCAAACCCGTTGCTCGATGTGTGATAGAACCAATCATGGTAACTTGCCATTTGTAGATTGTCAAATGTGGTGACATTGGGCGATTTAGACGCTTATTCTTGTCCCAAAAATCTTCCCCCTGTTTAAGAACGTCCGCCTTTGCACATGAAGAGGTAGCTAGCCTGGAAATTAACATTGTACGATTAAAACTTTGTAATTGTAATTAAATTAATATTAAAACAAAGTAAAGTACCATTTTGCTGCTGCTGGCGTAAGTTGTAGTTGACGTTGGAAGACGCCTTTTCCGAAAATTTGATACGATTGACGGGCTAGAGCCCTGCACATTAGAGAAATTACTCGATTAATACGTATACCAAAATTATTTCGAATTTACAAGAATTATAAGTAATAATTTGCTTCACTTACGTCGTGAACATTGCCATTTCTTGTACTTATCTATTAACGTCAGCCGGAGTACGGACACTAAATGACTGCAATTAGCGAATGAAACACGGTTAACGTATGATATAACAATTTAACTTTTCTTTTTAAATATTACGGTATTTTAAATTGTGTACAATAATTAAAATTAATAATATTACCTTTTTTATTTGCAGGCAGAACAAAATTCTTCCAACACCGCTCCTATGAGACAGAAATCCGGGCGGGTTGAGGATGACTTTCACTGCACAAAGTACGCGTACATTTTGTTGGATTCCATTCTCAATTTAATTTGAGTGACAAGTCGGCCCCCAGAAATTTATAACTTTAAACTTTACTGTTTTTAATTTGTAATTATAGTTAAGAACTAGATTTAAATAATTTGAACAGCGTCAAATGGCAGGTCGATCGAAAACGCAGCAGCGAAATCGCCCCACGGTCGCAACGTCTGAAGACTTTGACGAAGATGATCCCGTTCTAAATGTTGTACGGTTTGGGGTGGACAATGTAAAAAAGTTTATTAATGACACCATCCCTAAATGTCCTCAAGGTTAGTTAGTTTAGTCCAATTATTCATTTTACATGTATTTATTTGTTATTATTCATACTCTAATTCCAGAAAAGGGGAAGAAAGTAATGGCAACCAAAATGGAAAAACTCCTCGTCCGACTTATCAAGGCGGAAATGGTGTACACCAAGGCAAATAGTATTGTCAGCGAAGTTGTGGAGGAAATGCCGGATAACGTCACTGCAGAGGTGGACGACACACTCAAAACTTGTGACGAGATCTCCGAGGTAAATTCTTAAAACGCAACATTACACTTTCATAATGATAAATATCCAGTGATAATTAGATGGATGTTTAAATTATGTCTGCTATTAAATTATACAGACGTCCAATCAACACATTACAGAATTTGAGGAAGGACTTTCTCTCAACAAAATTAAACAACATCCCATGTACGAGAGAGTCATGCAAGATATTGAAGAAGCTTTAGATGGTACCGCACAAGAAAAATATTTATTGTTTTATCTATTTTAATTTAACTGGCTAATAATTACTGACTGATTCAATTTTATTACAGTGACGCCTACACAAAGCACTTCTTCATCATTGCAGCAGACTCAATCATCTCAGGAAACTACGGAGGACGAGGATGCTGGCGATACTACAGTGGACTTGGGAGGAGATGAAGATGTCGAGGTAAGTTTTTAAAGTATGAATTTAACTCACATTATTATGTATGAATTACATCTCTGTTTTCATTAACTGTTTCAGGGAACTCAGGATATGATTCCAACATGTGACCCAATTACAAAGGGACCACTTCTAGATCCGATAAGGAATAAAAAATGTGGTCACATTTATGGCAAGGCTTCAATTACCCAGATGATCAAGGCTAGTAATAAATTAAGGTCTGTTTTATTTCTTATTTTATAAATGGATACTATACTGTACAAATATCATTTCACGTATTTACTGTTTCAGATGCCCAATTGCTGGGTGCTCTAACAAAGATTTTGTTAGAGTAGCTCATCTCGTTGCGGATGAAAAATTGACTGCAGCAATAAAAAATCGGCAAGATGCTACCACAAAACAGACAAGACGTCGCTAGACCCTAACTAGCTTTATTTTAAGTAATTTAATTGGTTATAATGTTTCTCAAACTGTTAACCTTAAAAACTATTTTGTACCTTTCACAATTTCCCTGACGTCATATCATGACCATGACCAGACACATGTTGAAACTTACATTACTTTTCAATTGATTTTGTATGTAATAATTTCTTGTGAGTTTCTCATGTTTAAAGTACTTTGTAATAAATATGCATGTATAAAAATTATTTCGATAAATTGTCATTACGTTACGACACGACTATGACTGTAAGATCCATTTGATTTATGATTAAATTTCATTTATTTGCAAAACTGCATAAACGCTGGACATGACAGTTTCCCACATTGAGCAAAAAGTCTGGGAGACTTTCTCCTCACGAGTTTCATTTGCTCGGTGCAAGTTTGCATTTCACAAATTTGGGTCAGATTACTCAGATTCAAATGCACACTTTTTTTGTGTAATTTTCGCATAAACTTCTAAATGAGTGATTAGTCAAACAAAGCTTTAGAACTAAAATTCAATTTATGTGGGATTAGGAAATATAAAATTACAAGCTAAACATAAACTAAGGTTTCTCGTATCACATTTGCATAGTCGACGTCGACACGAAATAGTTCATCGCTTCCTTCCTTCGCTAACAAATACAGCAAATTGGGCTTATCATCAATCACATAAAATAATGGCGACAAACATGGGTAGCCGGCTATTTACCCCAAAAGCTACCAACAAAATCGTAAAGTAATAAAATTGGTTTTCATTCCTTGTTGCTGTTCACGACTTATCAGCAATAATTGGCGAAACTATTAGAATTTTTCTAATTATTTTTTAATAATTTACAATTTTAGGTTTTTATCCAAATTAAGCAGTGGGGTGGGACCACCTCCCGTCCCTAATCATCAATTCACTCCAGCAGGTAGCTAAATCATATGAGTAATTTGAAAAAAATATAACTGAAGGCTTTAATTTGTTGTACTACTTTAATTTTCAGGATGGATTTTTTGCTCATTCGCCCCCCACTTCCTTAAATTCTCGTCCAGAGGAGCTTTACATCAAAATTCTAATTTGAGCTTACAATTTCGTGGATTAAGATCGCGTCCATTTCAATCTTCAATTAAAACTAAACCACCGCAAACGGAACGAATAAAATCTAATGGTCAAATTCCTCACCGTTTTAATAACATGGATCGATTCAACTTTATCTTTAAACCGTTTGCATTCACAGCTTTGGTAATTATAATGCTAATTTTTGAATCAAACTTCTTTCCATGCTAATAATCTTTATTAACTAGGTCGGCACGTCCAGCATCATAGCATGCACAATCTGGCAGTATGAAGATTACCGGAGAAGTGTGATATCTGGAAGGTTTTCTTTATCTGCGTTAAGAGACTCGGTTTTTGGTGGTGGAAGTTCAAGTCAAAATCAGAGAAGAGTTAATGGAGAACTTATCGATAAAGCGGAAGCTTGGTGGAGCAGTTTATCTCCAGGAGAAAAGATATTCTGGCCAATTTGTGCAATTAACTCATTGGTTTGGTTAGCATGGAGGGTTCCAGCTTGGGCACCGACGATGGTCACGTATTTTAGTGCAACACCAGTAGGACGTAAGTAGTTAAATTTTTCAAAATGCTGTGCTTAAAGAATGTGGATTAATTCTATTTTCATAATTTCAGGAAGAATATGTCTACCAATGCTGCTCTCCACGTTTAGTCATTACTCATTTTTCCACCTTGCTGCCAATATGTTCGTTTTGCATTCGTTTATTCCAGGTATTTTAAATACGTCGCATTCAAGAACATCTAAGCACATCACAGTGAGTTAATATGTTAATCTCTTTGTTTCTAGCTGCTGCACAAATCCTGGGCAAAGAACAATTCGTCGCAATGTATTTGACTTCCGGAACAGTAGCCTCGTTAGGGTCACATTGTCACAAGTTGTTTGTTGGAAACACGACGCCTTCCCTGGGAGCTGTGAGCTTGATTTACTCTTAATTCTATACGGTGTTTCTCAATTTATAATTTCACTTTTCATGCAACCCTTTCTCTAGTCCGGTGCAATTATGGGAATCTTAGGATTGGTATGCACAAGAATGCCTGATATTCAGTTGGGTATCATTTTCCTTCCTGGAGTGCAATTTACGGCCGATACGGTATACTCAAAATTGGAATATTGCCTTTAAAAGTCCAAATTGTATGTCCAATTTTATATTATTTTAAATTTGTAACAGGCATTGAAATGCATTCTCGCAATTGACACTGCTGGAGTAGTCTTAGGATGGAAATTTATGGATCATGCGGCTCACTTGTCTGGATGCCTTTTTGGGATGTAAGATTTTCTCACTTCTTCAATTTTACATATTCGCATCATATCCCTAAATTCAAATTCGAATCGTGTTTGATATTCTACAGAGCCTTTAGCCATTACGGAGGACAAACATTTTGGGCCTTTCGCGATTTTGTGATGACGCAGTGGCACAAGTTTAGAATATCTTGATGAAACCGCGTATAAAAGCTTTAAATTTTAAATATAAAACAAGTCTAATCATTCTAGTAAACTTTTAATAACAACAAACAATTTGCAATCAAGTATTTTTATATGTCTGCAATTTATTTCAATTTTAAGGTTTTCTAATACTCATACTACGACTACTATGCAATAATTTCTGTGATCCCAAGATATAACATTTTGAATAATGTAACAAAAATGAGTAACAATAAGTCTGCTTAATCACTCACTATGGTCTGATAAAAACCCAGGGGAAAAAAATCAACAATGGGACACTGGATTTCAATAAATAGACTCTAGAGAATAAATAACATGGCACAAATAAATTAAGCTGGAAATTGTGCGAAGAAAAACTCGAGACTCGAGGGCGAACATGGTAAGGTCAGCAAAGATTTGTATTATTTTTGTTATATGCTGGACGAAGAGGAATATTGAAGTTGTGGGATTTGATTGGGAAAATTATTATTATTTATTTATTACAAGAGAGACTTTTCTTTCATTATTTTGTCGAATCCGGAAGGAGGGGAATGGATAAAGGTATCAAATGTTACGTCCAGTACAGCTCCTTCTTCAACTGTGAACAGATTAGAACAAAAATAAATTTAAAAATTCAGATACATTAAATATTTTGTTACTCTCACTTACCATACATCGCAGGATAAACGGTCCCTCTGACATTGCTGAAGGAAATTCCACCTTTATTACCATTCACATAAAAACTAAGTTCTATGTGGTCAAAACTGACTCCCTAAAAAAATTTTAAAAAATCACATTGAAAAGTGAATGTCACCAGATTATCAATATCAGATATGTTCATATATGCTACGAGATATGCTCACAATGATGTCCCCCTCTTCAATCTTTTGATCAAGTTTCCCAATCGACATTGAATTGAAGCAGAGCTCTCCATTATTTTTAAGTACCCATGAATCTGGATCTGCTCCCAGGGGTCCTTCCAACACCGCATTTCTTGTCCCCACGCCCACCGACCAGGTACCCTCTTGTTGTACTTTTACTTCAAAGTAGCTTTTCGTCTGCACGAGTGGGGCAGACCCAAGGGCAGCACCTTTGCCACAAATTCGCAACCCGTTCTTCACAACGACCACATCATTTCCGATGTAGCCGTTGTCCAAACATATTCCGGAAGCTATTCCACCACTCCCACCATTGCTGCTCATGGCCCCATCACTACTCACTGTCACCGTGTCTGCCCCTCCCGCTCCGATTATACTGTCAAACAAGAATTTGGCGGAGGAAGAACAGCACCACATTGTTAATGATTGTTATTTGGTTCTATCAACTAATTGTTACACACTGCTTTTAAGTCAAACTATTATTCACTGCATTATTACAACTATCCCATTAAATCAAACTAGTAGTAGGACTGTTAGTAATGTTCCCAAATTTAAAGATACAAAGACTCGTCTATTTCTGCAAATCCTAAACGATATCTTCCTCGCATATGGTACGGAAGTGGAACTACAGCAGGACAGGGGACTTGACCAGGTATTTCACAAAGACAATGACGACTACACCCGTATCCAAAGGAAGCCGGATTCTGTTTCACTTCCGCCGATTTTGCCTCTTCGTCAAGTTCTGAGAAACGTTAAAAAAATAATATCATACATCACATTTACAAAATTTCAAATGATCGTATATTTAATTACCCTCCTTGGTTTTGCACAGCGTTCTAACAAGCCTCTCTTGAATTTGGTCTTTGGTTTGACGATCAATGTCCATCAACAGGTCCCTCCCACTGTTGAAGAAGACACGGATGAAGGGGGATGGTGTTGTGTCGCGAAAAGTGATGACTTGCACGTCCGGATTTTTGTACTGGAGTTGAGTCAAGTGCCAGTATACGAATTGTCTCGCCCCCTCTGAGTTCCCCCCCTTGTTATTGTAATTAACGGAGACGATTCGGACAAAGGGTTTCAAAATTAGTTTGGTATCGTTTAAGTGTTGTAGTGTTCTTCGCACAGGGTGAAATCCTTTCATAAACGGCATAATGGCCCAATAAACGGAATTGTGGGAGGAACGACGCCTTGCAGGTCAAATAGGGTCGTAGATTAAAGATGACCAGTCCGATTTTAAGAGTTTGGCCGTTTGTGACCTAGGTTAATACACACTAAATAGTTACTGATCAATAACAAACGTACCATTCTTATTCATCGTGCATTTAGTTAAAATTTTAGTAAAATATTTGATTGAAGACTTACCAAGAAGTATTTCCGCGGAAGAAGATATTTCAGAAGTGAGAAAAAGAACAAGAAACGAACAAAAAGGACAAATTACTAATCTACTCTAGTACATTCTGTCCTTATTAATAGTTATAGAAGTTTTAAATGATTCAATTACAAATTAATTTTAATATGATGACGTGCGGAAGACAAAATCAACGAATCCCGGATCACAGATGGGAACAAATTCACACGACTGCGCTCCGCTGGCTCTCACTCACAAAGTCGTCATCATTTATGAGCATTTTGCATGCAGCATGAAGAATGCACTGGGTTTGCAAATTATGGAACAAATTTATACTTGACCTCGAAACTGTTATATAGGAAATATTTCAATCATTTCCGTTCCTGAAGAAGTGCGTGGCCAAATAAGGCATTAAAAAATATGGAAATTTTGAAGTTTCAAAAAATGGGTTCACAGAATGTCATAAAAACAAATTCAGGAAAGTCGAGTAGACTATTGCGTAACGTTCCAGTTTTAAAATCGGATGCAGACTTGCATAAGAAATGAATGCCGACCATTATTTCTGGGTGATATTAATAGTAGGATACAAGTTCTGAAAGCATGCATAAATAAAACAAATTCTGATTGGCATAAGTATATGATGATATATATCTGAGAGCTCTTTGGAAAAAGTGGTAACCAAATAAATAGCAAATTAATGTTGTCATCTATTGGTAGATGGTTAAATTAAAATTAACATTATTATTTTCTAGTCTGAAGTATCCCCTGACTCTCATCTGCCCCCATCGCCCCTCTCTCCCACTGGAATCAATCGAAACGAACAACCTGCCCGGATTTTGTCTACATTGCATAATCAAGTCAGCTAGAACTTTGTAGCAAATACGTGTAGCTCATTTAAAAAATAATAATTTACTTTAATTGGTTCACTTTGTTTAATGTCTAAACCTTTGTAATGCACATACATACATGTACTTAAGACCAAAAATGTTTTAGCCCATAAGAATTAATTAATTACCCGTGATTTTAAATGTGTTCAGTTATCAATCAATCAATCAATCAATCAATAATTTGGATTAATTATTTTATACGGTGACCATTGACCATATCAAAAATATAATTTGTTCCTTTTCTCTCATACCTCAAATGTGTATAAGTATTAACAAAATATTATGTGCGTTTTAATCCTTTATTATAACTTAATTACCTATTTAATTAATCTATGTAGATTAATTAATGGTAGTTTACCCTACCATGTACCGCACCGTTTACATTTATCGTTAGAGAGAGCTTGTTTTTTGTGATGTACTCTACTTTGTAAAAATAGTATGCAAATTATATATGTGTACACGCTTTAAAGAACAATTATAAATATAACTCTAATCTAATCAAGGGCATAATTTGCATTTATAACATTCCCCGGGGAAAGCTTTCTAATAAAATAAATCTGACATTAACATTTTGTGGACGATCAACGATGTAGAGTGTGTCAGACCTTGGGATGTGAAACTTGTGTACCAAATTCATCTACGAAACGTAGATTGATATTATTCATTGACCTGGGCAGAAACTCTGGTTTTCAATTTCAGTTTTAACATTGAACACTGAAAATTTGCATAAAAATTGTAGGAAAAGGAAAGTCATGCATGAGCGTCATATGATGCAGAAACAGCTAAGCATGCATAAAAAACAATAGCTAATTTTGAATTCATATTAGTACAAATGACAGCTCTTTGGAAAAAGTGGTGGCCCTTAAAAGGGCCGTTGGTTTGTGGTTGAGTAGGGTTGTTTCCAGTTTAGGCACGTTCTCCACGGATTCGGCGAGCGAGTTGGATGTCCTTGGGCATGATGGTGACCCGCTTGGCGTGGATGGCGCACAAGTTGGTGTCCTCAAAGAGACCGACCAAGTAGGCCTCGGACGCCTCCTGCAAAGCCATGACGGCAGAGGATTGGAATCGGAGATCCGTCTTGAAATCCTGAGCGATTTCTCTCACGAGTCGTTGGAAGGGGAGCTTGCGGATGAGAAGCTCAGTGCTCTTCTGGTAACGACGGATTTCTCGGAGGGCAACGGTTCCAGGCCTGTAACGATGGGGTTTCTTGACACCTCCGGTCGCAGGGGCGCTCTTCCTGGCAGCCTTGGTGGCGAGCTGCTTGCGGGGGGCTTTCCCTCCAGTGGATTTACGAGCAGTTTGCTTGGTACGAGCCATTGTTTATTTGTAGATTGGGTATTAGAGTTGTTCTCAAGAGGAATATGAGACAGCAAGTGATGAAGTTTTTCACGTTGGGCTGCTGTTTTATAGAGAAGGGCTGAGTTCTGAGCGAGAAAGAGGATTGGCTGAAAGTAAGCAGTGAAAGCCCGCTCTCTTCTCAGAACTCAAGAGGTCTGCTCCGCAACTCAGCCAGTTGGTATAAATTCAAGCTCGACTCCAACAAAGTTCATCACAAGCTGCTGATATCTCACTCTGAGAACATCTCTCCTAGTTCAATTACAACCAACTACTCATCATCATGTCTGGCCGTGGCAAGGGAGGAAAGGTGAAGGGAAAGGCAAAGTCCCGATCCAGCCGTGCAGGACTCCAGTTCCCAGTGGGTCGTATCCATCGTCTCTTGAGGAAGGGGAATTACGCCGAGCGAGTGGGTGCTGGTGCCCCAGTCTACTTGGCTGCCGTCATGGAGTACTTGGCCGCTGAAGTCCTCGAGTTGGCTGGAAACGCTGCCCGAGACAACAAAAAGACCAGGATCATCCCCCGTCACCTCCAACTCGCCATCCGAAACGACGAGGAGTTGAACAAGCTGCTCTCCGGGGTCACCATCGCCCAGGGAGGTGTCCTTCCCAACATCCAAGCCGTCCTTCTCCCCAAGAAGACGGAAAAGAAGTCCGCCTAATCAGCTTTCACAAATCTACACGCTCATAACCCAACGGCCCTTTTAAGGGCCACCACATTTTCCAAAGAGCTCAATATGTGCGAAATAACATCCACATTCATTTGTCATATGTGTCGAATTATTCGATTTCAGATAATGATAAATTCAAATCAGGACTTTGCATTGCATCTAGTTATTCAATGGAATAACTAGACTGAGAAACCTGGAATATAAAACCTCAGAATTGGAATCATTTTGAAAACTCAAAATAGAAGTAATATGTCTTTAAATTGGGGAGTTTTATTTTTGGGCGCTGTATGGACATTTTGTGCAGACTTATTGTTAGTATTGAGGAGGAACCAGCGACAATTAATAAATTATGATTCTTAAAAAATCATTAATTTATTGAACATGAAGATAGTTATTTTGATCCTCATAATGCCATTGTGGTGTTTGAGTGAAAACCTCTACTACGCCGTCACCTACACCGAGCACGCCAAGAGGAAGACCGTCACCGCCATGGACGTCGTCTATGCCCTCAAGCGACAAGGCCGCACCCTTTACGGATTCGGCGGTTAAACATCTCGTCCTCCAATCTTATCTGATCTCGTAAAACCCAACGGCCCTTTTAAGGGCCACCACATTTTCCAAAGAGCTATAAATCTATCAATCTACATAATACATTAAATAGATATATCATGTGTTTACTTATTATTGCACTGGTCAAGTTTATGATATGAGATGTATGCGATGTATCGTGTATCGGAGCTTCCGTGTCAGTTGATGATTATGGAGGAAAGAACGACTAAAAAAAATTTTATGAAAAATAAATACAAACTGAAATGATTCTCAAAATTATATTGCTGTGATGTAAATGATGAAAATCTAATAAATTTTGCATACATGAATATTAAATCATTGATGATGATGATTTGTTATTGCACTGCCGTGCCGTGTGGGGGTCCCACTGGGGACAGATAATGTCCCCTCGGTTATTGGATGTCCGCATCGTTTACCCATGTTATACAAACCCCTCCCTTCTCTATTCTAAAGTGTTAATGTTCCCACACCTTCGAAGACCCCTGTGCAAGTGCCACCAAATTTTGACATTAATTGCGATGTGAGAGTTTATTAGATCATGATAACTCGTAATTTCATCAGTATCATTATATTGGTTTAATGTTGGATTCACGTTTCATTGGACTATGCGCTTGTGGAGTATGATGTGGAAATCTCTACTAAATTTGCAGATTTTTTGATGACATCGTGCTCTTGGCAGGCTTATCATCTCGTCTGGACAGTATCGGTAGGTAAAACTGGACATAGGTCAAAGGATGACGTATCAAATTGAGCATTTAAAATAATTTACATTATGGACAGTTATTTTGCTTAATGCTATGCATTCGAAAAGCGTTGTATTAACTGCAAAGTAAAGTCCCATACGATTTTAACTACCAATTCATAACACCATACCATACTTCTGTTCTACACATTCATAAAAGCAAATATCAAGTCACATTCGCCAGGCAATAAGTAAATCTGTGCAATAAGCTGATGATAAAATCGCTTCATAAAGTTCTCACTTTTTCCCTCCATGCAAGAAATCTTACCCACAACTCAACCGCCACTCTGGCAACTCAGGAGGGAAAGCAGCCGCCCCGAGTACGTCGGCACTCTCGTATCCCCATCCCCTTATAAATCCAGTCTCAATCTCAATCTTGCCTCATCCTGCGTCAAATACTGCTGTCTATCTCACTGAAAGAAAAAGCATCAAAAACAACAAACTGATCATCATGTCCGAAGAAACTGCGACTGCCGCCCCAGCGGCCACTCCCGCTCCTGCGAAGAAAGGCAAGGCCCCCAAGAGCCCCAAGAAAGCTGGCGCTGCAAAGCCAAAGGGGGCGAAGGCTGCTGCGTCTCACCCACCCACTACTCAAATGGTCATCAACGCGGTCAAGTCCCTGAAGGAAAGGAATGGCTCTTCTCTGCAAGCAGTCAAGAAGTTCATCGCCGATACCTACAAGGTTGACACCACCAAGCAAGCCACCTTCATTCGTAAAGCCATCACGAAGTTGGTTGAGACTGGAAAACTGACCCAAACCAAGGGAACTGGGGCAAGTGGGTCCTTCAAAATTCCAGTCGCTGCTAAGGCTGCTGCTGGGGAGAAGAAGGCCAAGTCTCCAAAAAAGAAGACCACCAAACCCAAGAAAGCTGCTTCCCCAAAGAAGAAGGCCGCCCCCAAGGCGAAGAAATCTGCGTCTCCAAAAAAGAAGGCAGCTGCCAAGCCGAAGAAGGCTAAGGCCGCAGCACCTGCAGCCGCACCCAGTGCCCCAGCTGCAGCATCATCATCTCCAGCTGCACCCAAACCTGCTGCTGCCAAGAAGCCGAAGAAGGCTCCAAAGGTCAAGCTTCCCAAGGCGAAGAAAGCAAAGTCCCCCAAGAAGGCGAAGCCAGCAAAGAAAGCGGCCCCCAAAAAGGCTTAAACATCATCCTCTCTTCTGACAACAAACTTTAACCCAACGGCCCTTTTAAGGGCCACTACTTTTTCCAAAGAGCTATGGTCTAATAATGATCCTCTTTCATGAATTTCAGCTAATAACTAGAGATGAATAATTCATGCATTTTGGGCATAATGGAAATATGTTGCTCAAAACTTAATTCATTTAATATACTTCCAATTAGTATGACATGAGCTGCGATTGACCAGAGCAGTCACCAACAAAATGGTCGATGCGCCTCCGTGGCTGGGTTGCAAAAATCCTTATCCACAAATATGATGCTTCCCCTCCAAACCCTTCGGATGATAATGTCCCCATTGTCCGGGTGAGGCGTCGACGGCTCGGCGAATAAATGTCGACGAATCTCCAATCTTCAACCGCGTCCTATGCAAAACATCTCTTAAAGGTCCCGTACATATTCAACACTTTCTCCTCAATTGTCAGTCTGCTTTGCGTCGTTGTTGTATGCATAATTTGTTTAATAATTAATTCTGGTTTTATGACAAATCAGTAATCAATGATAAGAACCAGAATCTCACATGGGGCCAGGATGAAAATAAATGCAATCGCCGTTGTCTGCATCAAAGTTTTCGAACAAGCAAAATTAATTTGGTTGAAATTTGCAAAATTGAGCACGACTATTTCGATTTGTGACATGAAGTCCAACCATTTTATTTTTCATTCCCTCACTTGCATGCAAATTTGATTTTCCCATAGTATGATATCCATACCCCGGACAAATATTTTTTTATCCTACCCTACTCGTGTTGAGCTCAACATGAGTAGGGTAGGATAAAAAAATATTTTTGGATGATATCATTGATATCATCCAAAAATGCATGCACAATTTAGTAGAGGTTTTCACTCAAACACCACAATGGCATTATGAGGATCAAAATAACTATCTTCATGTTCAATAAATTAATGATTTTTTAAGAATCATAATTTATTAATTGTCGCTGGTTCCTCCTCAATACTAACAATAAGTCTGCACAAAATGTCCATACAGCGCCCAAAAATAAAACTCCCCAATTTAAAGACATATTACTTCTATTTTGAGTTTTCAAAATGATTCCAATTCTGAGGTTTTATATTCCAGGTTTCTCAGTCTAGTTATTCCATTGAATAACTAGATGCAATGCAAAGTCCTGATTTGAATTTATCATTATCTGAAATCGAATAATTCGACACATATGACAAATGAATGTGGATGTTATTTCGCACATATTGAGCTCTTTGGAAAATGTGGTGGCCCTTAAAAGGGCCGTTGGGTTTTACGAGATCAGGTAAGGTGGGAGGACGAAATGATTAACCGCCGAATCCGTAGAGGGTGCGGCCTTGTCGCTTGAGGGCATAGACGACGTCCATGGCGGTGACCGTCTTCCTCTTGGCGTGCTCGGTGTAGGTGACGGCGTCTCGGATGACGTTTTCAAGGAAGACCTTGAGGACTCCACGGGTCTCTTCGTAGATAAGGCCAGAGATACGCTTGACACCCCCACGACGAGCAAGACGACGGATGGCAGGCTTGGTGATTCCTTGGATGTTATCACGCAGGACTTTACGATGTCTCTTGGCGCCTCCTTTGCCGAGTCCCTTTCCTCCCTTTCCACGACCAGTCATTTTGAAATAATTTGATGAGAAGTAGTTTAGACTTGTAAAAGTTGTAAAGTTGACGAGTGATGTAGACTGACTGAAATGAGATTGATTATATACACCACGAGAGCGGACGTTGGTGAACCGGGTAGACTTTTTCCTCCTCTCTCTTCCCTCCACTCGAGTTCCTCCCAAATGTGAGAACTCAGAAATTCTCTCGGCAACTTAACCCAAGATTTTCCCTCCATTCTCAGCAACTCCGTTGAGTTCTCCACAACTCAGCTCACAACTCAGCTCACAACTCAGCCTCCGCATATAAAAGCTTCGTCGTGTCTCTGGCCTATCATCATTCAATTTTCTGAATTCACTTCAAGCAGATCTCAAACTACAAACAACTTTGCAAAATGCCACCAAAAACTGGAGGGAAAGCTGCGGGGAAGAAGGCAGTGTCCAAGTCCAAGAACTTACCAAAGGGGGACGGGAAGAAGCGACACCGCAAGAGGAAGGAGTCCTACGCCGTGTACATCTACAAGGTCCTCAAGCAGGTCCACCCCGACACTGGCGTGTCCTCCAAGGCCATGTCCATCATGAACTCGTTCGTCAACGACATTTTCGAGCGAATCGCCTCCGAGTCCTCTCGCCTGGCCCACTACAACAAGAGGTCAACCATCACCTCTCGGGAAATCCAGACGGCTGTCCGACTCCTCCTCCCAGGAGAACTCGCCAAGCACGCCGTCTCTGAGGGCACCAAGGCTGTCACCAAATACACCTCTTCCAAGTAGACGATGACCGGGTCCGGCTCCCATAAAAAAAAACAACCCAACGGCCCTTTTAAGGGCCACCACTTTTTCCAAAGAGCTGAAAAAATTACTCGCATTTATTTTCATTCTCGATTATTCATTGATCATATTGCACAATTTATTGATACTTTACACAGTCGTACATATTACTGACATAAAATTGAGATTGTGTAATGTTGCTAAAAACTAGGATCAAATGCAGTCGAGTAGTTGGATTATCATGATTATGTAAACACTATTTATTATTCAACTCGTAAAATTGAGATTGCATTTTGACTCGACTTTGTCAAAAGCAGCTGAAAATAAGTTATTTCTTAATAAAAATTGTATACCAATAAAATATCCGTTCCATTCCGTTAACAAATTTCTCATAATTTTATAAACGTTTCAATTTTTGTCTGCTACTCCGTGCATACAAATATGTAATTATATGAAATTTTGATGAGATTGCAGCGATATATTTATAAAATCTGCATGCATGTATTTCTAAAATGCTGAAAATCCTGCGTAAAACATAACGAGTAAATATTATTCGGTTCGGATTAGGTTATTATGCACAAACCTGATTCGAGGTCAATCATAACTAAACTATGGAGGAGCATTATTATTCATCGTATGCATTTGAAGAGGATGAGATTCCTGATTTGAAATCAGTGATTTCAATTGTATAAACAGTAAATGCTCTGAAAATGAAGGAAAAATAATGAATGATACATCTTGTTTTACATCATCTTAGAGTATTTAATAATAATATAGTATTTAATAATAATAATAGTTATTATTATTATATACTCTAAGTACATCATTAACTGCACTATTTTGTTATTAATTTCTCAACTAATAACCGCATGAAAATAATTGATGAAGCATATGAACGAATAAAGTGCATGGTCATAATTATGTCGGTATTGGATTTGTTTGAGCTCTTTGGAAAATGTGGTGGCCCTTAAAAGGGCCGTTGGGTTATGAGCGTGTAGATTTGTGAAAGCTGATTAGGCGGACTTCTTTTCCGTCTTCTTGGGGAGAAGGACGGCTTGGATGTTGGGAAGGACACCTCCCTGGGCGATGGTGACCCCGGAGAGCAGCTTGTTCAACTCCTCGTCGTTTCGGATGGCGAGTTGGAGGTGACGGGGGATGATCCTGGTCTTTTTGTTGTCTCGGGCAGCGTTTCCAGCCAACTCGAGGACTTCAGCGGCCAAGTACTCCATGACGGCAGCCAAGTAGACTGGGGCACCAGCACCCACTCGCTCGGCGTAATTCCCCTTCCTCAAGAGACGATGGATACGACCCACTGGGAACTGGAGTCCTGCACGGCTGGATCGGGACTTTGCCTTTCCCTTCACCTTTCCTCCCTTGCCACGGCCAGACATGATGATGAGTAGTTGGTTGTAATTGAACTAGGAGAGATGTTCTCAGAGTGAGATATCAGCAGCTTGTGATGAACTTTGTTGGAGTCGAGCTTGAATTTATACCAACTGGCTGAGTTGCGGAGCAGACCTCTTGAGTTCTGAGAAGAGAGCGGGCTTTCACTGCTTACTTTCAGCCAATCCTCTTTCTCGCTCAGAACTCAGCCCTTCTCTATAAAACAGCAGCCCAACGTGAAAAACTTCATCACTTGCTGTCTCATATTCCTCTTGAGAACAACTCTAATACCCAATCTACAAATAAACAATGGCTCGTACCAAGCAAACTGCTCGTAAATCCACTGGAGGGAAAGCCCCCCGCAAGCAGCTCGCCACCAAGGCTGCCAGGAAGAGCGCCCCTGCGACCGGAGGTGTCAAGAAACCCCATCGTTACAGGCCTGGAACCGTTGCCCTCCGAGAAATCCGTCGTTACCAGAAGAGCACTGAGCTTCTCATCCGCAAGCTCCCCTTCCAACGACTCGTGAGAGAAATCGCTCAGGATTTCAAGACGGATCTCCGATTCCAATCCTCTGCCGTCATGGCTTTGCAGGAGGCGTCCGAGGCCTACTTGGTCGGTCTCTTTGAGGACACCAACTTGTGCGCCATCCACGCCAAGCGGGTCACCATCATGCCCAAGGACATCCAACTCGCTCGCCGAATCCGTGGAGAACGTGCCTAAACTGGAAACAACCCTACTCAACCACAAACCAACGGCCCTTTTAAGGGCCACCACTTTTTCCAAAGAGCTGTCATTTGTACTAATATGAATTCAAAATTAGCTATTGTTTTTTATGCATGCTTAGCTGTTTCTGCATCATATGACGCTCATGCATGACTTTCCTTTTCCTACAATTTTTATGCAAATTTTCAGTGTTCAATGTTAAAACTGAAATTGAAAACCAGAGTTTCTGCCCAGGTCAATGAATAATATCAATCTACGTTTCGTAGATGAATTTGGTACACAAGTTTCACATCCCAAGGTCTGACACACTCTACATCGTTGATCGTCCACAAAATGTTAATGTCAGATTTATTTTATTAGAAAGCTTTCCCCGGGGAATGTTATAAATGCAAATTATGCCCTTGATTAGATTAGAGTTATATTTATAATTGTTCTTTAAAGCGTGTACACATATATAATTTGCATACTATTTTTACAAAGTAGAGTACATCACAAAAAACAAGCTCTCTCTAACGATAAATGTAAACGGTGCGGTACATGGTAGGGTAAACTACCATTAATTAATCTACATAGATTAATTAAATAGGTAATTAAGTTATAATAAAGGATTAAAACGCACATAATATTTTGTTAATACTTATACACATTTGAGGTATGAGAGAAAAGGAACAAATTATATTTTTGATATGGTCAATGGTCACCGTATAAAATAATTAATCCAAATTATTGATTGATTGATTGATTGATTGATAACTGAACACATTTAAAATCACGGGTAATTAATTAATTCTTATGGGCTAAAACATTTTTGGTCTTAAGTACATGTATGTATGTGCATTACAAAGGTTTAGACATTAAACAAAGTGAACCAATTAAAGTAAATTATTATTTTTTAAATGAGCTACACGTATTTGCTACAAAGTTCTAGCTGACTTGATTATGAACCCCTCGCGAGTTTGAGGTACGGTCACTCTGTAAATTAGTGGGGGCATATTCTACCTGACCACGGCGGAAATATGCTGCGCGAGAGAAAATTTATTAATTTAATAGTTTTTAACTGATTAGAATATAATTAATGACTTGTGGATTCGTTACCTTGTCCAAATTCGTGTAAATGTGGTCCATACTGAGGTAACTGCCCGGCAAGGGTGCACGATTTACAGCAGAATCTCGCATAGTATTTATTCCTGCAATAAATATTGTAATATTGCAGTAAAGAGTCTCAAATAAATTCATATGTATTTGACATTACTACATAAATATATATGAATATCCATATACGAATGAATGCACGATTGTATGTCTTCATATGTGTTTATAATAAAAATTAATTGAATATTCATACGTGCAATAGTTCGCTTTCACGATAAGTTTACAATTGGCAAAGAATGGATTATCCGTGCAATTCGGGTGGAGATAGACACCTGCAGAAAATGTTTGAAATTATTGTTCATCCCCGATGCCGATAGATTTGCAGATTTACCTTCAACTGAAATTGTAACCGATGACGATGACGATCCATACTCGTTGACAGCGTCGCACCGATAAGATCCGGCGTCTTGCGTGGTCGAGTTGAAAATTCGGAGCTCGTTCTGGTTGAATATTCTGACCCGGTCGTCTGATTCGACTGGGACGTCTTCATGGAACCAATGGACGCTGGGCTGGGGGTAACCTTCGACTTCACAGGGGATGACAATATCGTTTCCGACGGGGTAGAGGAGTTTATCCATCTTTATTGAGGTCCGTAGAGGAACTGAGTGCGAGACAAATTAATGACAAAAAATTATAAACCAAACAAAATAATCGACATATTATAATTAGTAAAAAAAATAATAAAGCGGACAGTATTTTATGGTCAGGACAGTAAAATACAATACAGATTTGGTAAAGCGGGACGATGACGATGCAGACAACACGATATCGACGGCGACAACACTGTTGTTCCATCCATTACCAAGATAATTTGGTACGATGCTCCTCTCCGTTGTCGTTGTGGTGGACACCGCGCCGGGCCATGGCGGTCTGACAGCAGGGGATTGATAAGGCGGTGGTTGCTGTCCTGGTCGTCCTCTTCCTCCAGCCCCTGTAAAGTTGCCACCCACATAGACCGGCCTCCTCGCCCCGGAAATGACATACTGGAGAAATTCTCTATCCTCTCCGGTCGGTGAGGTGGAAACGGGACCCATCGTTTGTACTGTGACCGTCCAACTGGCCGCCTTTCCTTGACCGTTGTACGCTTGACATGTGTACGGTCCCAAGTCACGGAGGGAAACGAGGCGAATTAAGAGACTGTAGTCGCGCATTTGTTCATACCGTTCAGAAGAGAAGGGTAACATCTTTTCGCCCTTCCACCAAGTGACCTAAGATGACAAATAGCGAGGAAGTTGCTAAACTAACATTAGAAACTACGGTAAGAAGGTTAAACTGTTAATTACTGAGGGTCGTGGCCAGCCCATGGCGAAACAACGGAGGGACGCCGCACTTCCGAGAGAAACGATGACATTGGGTTCTGTGTCCTCTTCGACGATGGATGCTTGATGTGGCGTTGGGTCTGAAGGATGGGTGACGTGAATTGAGGAAAAGAGGAAAATAAGAGAGACATAGAGAAAGTCGTTAATGAAATGTTAAAATTTTGCGAGTACTTTTTGTCGAAATTTCAACTTCGAAAATTTTTGGTAGTTTTTGGATGAGCATGGATATTTAGTTCCATTACATACATACCATTAACGACTAAAGTAATGTCTAACGTTGCCGGTCGACCAATCCCGTTATCTGCGACGCACGTATAAATTCCTTCGTCTCTTCTGTACACACCCACAATTTGGAGGACGGAGCCGTCTTGGAGTGCTCGGAAGCGGCCAGAATCAACGGAAACCTGGGAGAAAAATTGGTAAATTTCGTCTTTTGATCAAAAGCATGCATGAAATTGTGATCACCTCTGCATTGTTGAATCTCCAACTGATTTGGGGTAGAGGATTTCCGCGACAGAGACATTCTAAACTGGCCAGACTTCCCTCCTCAACTTCAACTTCGGTCAATGTAGACAAAATCCGGGCAGGTTGTTCGTTTCGATTGATTCCAGTGGGAGAGAGGGGCGATGGGGGCAGATGAGAGTCAGGGGATACTTCAGACTAGAAAATAATAATGTTAATTTTAATTTAACCATCTACCAATAGATGACAACATTAATTTGCTATTTATTTGGTTACCTGTGGAACCATGCAACTCGTGCCACATCCGTTCGAGCAACATTTCAGGTCAGCCATGCAATCCGCATCTGAACCACACTCTTGAGCACAGATACCGGCTCGAGAACCTCCGTTCCATAAACTTGGACACTCTCCGTTCTTATTTTCTGCAAAAAAGGCGAAATAATTAATACAACTTGGTCGAAAATGGGTTAAAATATTTTATGTTTTCATACGTTTCCTGCAAACTGGACGGAAGCTGGCTTGGTGTGATAGGCCGTAGGAGTGTCGCCCATGGGTGACGTGTGGCTTGGAAATGGTGCCAACGATATCTAATTAAATTCAATAGTAATGATAAAATGAGAATTTAATGAGAATTATGCAATTAATTAACTACAAAACACAAACTCACCCACTGCACACTGCTCGTCGTCCTCGCAAGGGAAATTTCTACAAGGGTCGCGACATTCACATTGTGGACAGAGTGCACCATCAGCGTCAACCTTCTCAACGCCGTACGGACACTGTAGCGTCTTACAGTAGGCAAGCTGGTCACTGCACTCGTCCAGACCAATCTCGTTCTCTGTGAGGGAGAAAAAAATGCAAAACATGACATATTTTGGAGCAGACAAGATTAGATTTGTGCAGATAAAGAGTAAAATTTGGCGAAATATAATACAGAAATTATTAAAAGTGCAGAGAATTAAATAATTAGTGCAGGGACGTGGTGTGGTCGTGCTGGTGGTGGTGCAGTGACGATGGTGCTGCTGGTAAAAAACTGACCATGTCCATTCTCGTCTTGTCCACCGTGCTGGGCTGCCCCATTTTGGTCACCCCTATCGTCATGACCTTGATCAACTTCCTGGTCCTCTGGCAACCTCGATCTGCTCAGACGTGGCGTGTCATTGGACCTGTATTCGTACTGCAGAGCTCGCTGACAATAATTGAGGCAAGAGTCGAAGCTCTTGAAACTGTTGAGGTTTCCAGCGCAGCCTCCGTAACTGAAGGCGAGACACGTATTCTGCTCCCAGTCATAGTACCACCGCTTGTAGGCATCGGTACATGGACCAGTGTCCGCGTTTAGACGACAAATTGCTAACAATAATAAGCGGTTAACATGGATTAATCGATAAGCAGAGATTTTCTCGATACGGTTGAAATGCAGACATTCATTAATTAGTTAATTAATTAGAATAATAATTACCAGCCCCGGAAATCGTGTCGTTCGCAATCATTTCCGACCTTGAGTGACAAACCGACTCGCATTCTTCTCGGGAAGAAAAGCGATTTCCATTTCCAGCGCATCCCCCGTAATTAAATTGCTGACAGCTGCGCTCGTTGGGGTTAAAGTACCATTTCTGAATTCGTGCCCGACAAGGGCCCGGATCTGCTTGGGTAATTCTACAAACGTCTATACAGAAAAGCGAAGGTCAAGAAGAGGTCATGCAATAGTATAGATTTTTTTTAAAAAGCTGATAAAAATAAAAAAGCTCTCTGCAAACTAAAATTAATTAAAATTTTTTTTAGTGGTGTCACCTTCCCCTCTGAATTGTCCGCATTGTCGTTCACACATTTCCTCAGTCTCGAATCGATTCGCATTTCCGGAACAGCCACCGTAAATGAAGGCGGAGCATTTACGTGTCCTGGCATCGTAGAAGAAGGCCGGCATGGAGGCGCGGCAAGGTCCAATTTCCATGGGAAGGGAGCAGATCTCTTCTTGTTCGATGAAGGGGGCGACAGTAGTTGGGACAACGGAACCTCCGTCCTCTTCCTGCTGACGGCGACGTTCATCCTCAGCTTGGCGTTGGCGTTCGTATTCCGCATAGTATTCGGCTCTACGACGTTCCTCGTCTTCTGCGCGGCGACGTTCCTCTTCGGCCTGGTCGGGACGGGGGACGTTGGCGTAGGGGTCTAGAATTATGTATGGTCACATTATGACAGAGGTCGAAGTAAGGTTAACTTATATTGCCTAAGTAAGCACCTTGACCACGTCCGTACGGATCGTGACTGTCGACACGCCCTCCTTGATCGGGTGTCTTGCGACAACGTTGTTCACACTGGACAATGGTATCAAATCGATTCCCATTCCCTTGACAGCCGCCGTACTCGAAGAGTTGACAAGTGTCGGTGTCAGTGTCGTAAAAGTATTGTGGGAAGGCGCCGCTGAATAAGTAGTATTTTTTAAATATAAATAAATCAACGATGCAATGGACAAAAATGCAATGTTTTTAAGTACCTGCACGGACCCTGTACTTGCGGGAGGGAACACAAATCTGTCAAAAAAAACTTCTTTAATAATCAATTCACAATTTACTAATTGATCAATGGATACCTTGCGCTTGTTCACAGCGATCTTCACACTCTTGTCGGTTATCAAACCTGTTGAGACCTCGTTTGTGCGCGTCGCAGTCAGAATACCAGCGGAATTGTTTGCAAACTCCGTCCTGATTGTCGTAAAACCATTTCACTTGAGTGTTCGAAGGGTCAGAACCGTAACACTCGTTTTGATCAGCAGGTGCTTGGAAACAGTGAGCTGGAAAGAGGTGTCATTTCATTAGCATATTGGTACAAATTGTAATAGATAATTTGTATGTCATAATTTTTTCTACCCGTGTTGAATTCGTTGGGCGTAGTGACGACCGGTTGGGGGATGTAGCTTCGCTCACACTTGTTCCTACAGTCGTCCACGAGCATAAAGTTGTTCGAGTTGCCACCACACCCTGAATACACGAAGGCTTTGCAGCGTCCCTCGTACGGGTCGTAATAGTAGCGTTCCGTATAAGAGGCGCAATCTCCGACGGCGGGAGGTTGCAGACAAGTGTTTTCGGCTGTAATTTCGCCATTAATTACAAATTGGTATTTTAAAACTAAAACGGGATCGGTTTACCCAAGAGTGCAGCTGGACAAGACTTCTCGCACTCGCCCAGGGTCGTGAACCTATTCGCATTTCCTTGACAGCCCCCATAGTAAAATGGGACGCAACGCTGCTCGTGAGTGTCGTAGTACCAGCGGGCCAATTTTTCCCCACAGGGTCCAGAAGTTCGAGGGAGGAAGCAGGAATCTAAATATGTGTCACAAGAAAAAGGGTTAGCAAATTGAGAGTAAAATTTCGAATTTAAAATGCGACATGCAAAGCAAGCTTTTATTTAATAACCGACTAAGACTACACTCACTCCTATTACTTGACCCCTTCCCTTTCGTGGTGGTCGCCGTGTATGGCAAAACCCACTCTGAAGTTCCCAACAGGTTCGGATGTGGCGTGGCTAGCGAACTATTTGCACAAATTGATAAGCACTCTGCCCTTGAGACGAACATGTTCGAATTGGAGTTGCCACAGCCGTCGTACGTAAAGCGGAGACAAGTTCCGGCCTGGATATCGTAATACCAGCGGATCAAATCGGCCCCTTTGCACTGCTCGTCATCCGGAGATATGACGAATGGAGCGTTGAGCGATTTTATCGTGACGTTACTACTTGTTCTACTCGCCCTGTTTTCACCGGGGTGTTGAGTACATTGTTCTAAGACGGCTGGGACAATATACAAGGACAACACGGAAAGCGTGATGACATAATGAGACATTTACAGATAATGAATTAATTAATTAATCACACTGATGAGTTTACCTCGAATTCTGCCCTCTTGACTGCACCGTTGTTCACATTCTCGTCCCGTGAGGAAGTTGTTGTTGTTCCCTTTGCATCCTCCGTATTGGAATTCGACACATGATTCTCCCTCTTTGTCGAAAAAGTGGCGAGTGTAGTTCCCTTTGCAGGGACCTTCAGTCTTGGGCTGATCACAAGCATCTAAGAAAATATGGCGTTTATTTGTGTGTTGATTGGAATTTCGGTCATTTGTAATTAGTTCGATTCACTCACCGATACGATCAGGCATGAGACAATTGTTTTCGCAAAGTTCTCTCGTCGCGAACCTATTGTTATTGCCGAGACAGCCTCCGTACACGAATTGGAGACACATTTCTCTCTAGATTTTGAAGCAATTATTAAGCATAAACAAGATGAATATTGGAATAAATCGGTACAATTTTGCTCCATCGCTCACCTGCGGATCATAATACCAGGAGGGATAGTAGCCCTCGCACGGTCCTGGAACTTGAGGCAGGTAGCAGGCATCTCTCCCCTCGGGTTCGACACAGACAGACTTGCACTCGTCCTGGGTGGCGAAACGATTTCCATTTCCATCACAGCCGCCCCACCAGAAGCGAGAACAGCCGCCATACTCCATGTCGAAAAACCATTTGACCGTAAAGTTGCGACAAGAACCTCGCTCCTTGTCGAGACCGCAGACATCTGACGATTTTATTTATTGAGTTGATGAGTTGTATCGAGATGGATAATGTTTATTAATGTTTTTTTTACCTCCAGGTTTAATTGGAATCTCTTCGCATCCTTCGAAATCTTCTCCTTTGGCTTCCGTGTTTCCGTCAGGGCAACCTTTATTGTAATGGATGAGAATGGTTAGAAAAATTAAGTCAATCTGATGTAAATTTAGTACGTAGTTTTACTTACAACCAAACCATGAGCTCTCGCACCCGCAGGAATCGTCTTTCTTTGCGGCAGGCGTTCTTCGATCGGGACAACCTTGTAATTTGTTTCGAACATGCACAATTAAGGAATAAATTAGAGCAATGCATGACGAAAATAATGGTTCGCTTACAGCCAAATTCCGTAAATTCGCAACCACAGCCCTCCTTGTTTGGTCCCTTCGCGACAGATTCGCCATCTGGGCAACAGCCGAATTGGTACGTGGCACAGGGACAGCCTTCATAGTTGGACCCGTTCGCAGCCGTGTAGCCATCAGGACAACCTATGAAAATATGATATCAAATATTCGTAAAAAAAGTATTCAGATTTTCAATATGAAAAAATTATGTATGTGCATACAGTTGTGTTCGGAAAATTTACAGCCGCAGTCGCCACCAGGTCCACGGGCAGCGGTCGAATTATCCGGGCAACAACCGTAGAGCGAGTTTTTACATGTGCATCCTAAATAGTAGAATTTAGTATGTGCAAAATTGTGATTTTAAAATTTTAAGTTATCTAATACCTTCCAAATTGTATCCGGTAGCGGGTTGAATATTATCGGGACAGCATCCTTCAGATACAAAAATCATAAGTACAAATTTTCACAAATCAAAATTTGAAAACATTTACCAAATTGACTGCTGAGACAGCATCCTTCCTTGTTCGGTCCGTGAGCAGAGGTGACTTCGTCCTCGCAACAGCCAAACTTTTCCGAGACACATGGAGGCATTTCTGGACAGCCTTCTTCCTTCTCGCCAAGTGCTGGAGGAAATTAGTGAAAAAATTAAGACAAGTTTTTGAGGAATTTAGAAAAATTGGATGTTTTTAAACCCACCCGCAGTCTTTCCGTCCAAACAACCTGTAAAAAAATGGCATAATTGTTAATACGGAAGCATGAATATGACACTTTTGCAGGCAGATCAATTGTTAACTTACACCCAAAGAAGTTGGCCGTGCAGTTCTTCTTGTTGATCTCTTTACAACCTTCGTAGCGATGTCCGGTCGCAATTTCCTTGTCTTCTCCGGGACAGCAGCCGTATCGAGTGTCTTCACACTTAATTTTAGGGCAACCTTTCCCTTTGGGACCTTTTTTAGGAGTCTTTTCATCCGGGCAACAGCCGAACCTGGGCATTTACAATTGTCATAAATAGATTTCATAATTTTTCATAAAAAAGCTTACTCAGTTTCCGCGCAATGTTTCTCGCATCCGAGAAAGTCGTTTCCTTCTGCGGGCGTTTTTCCATCAGTACAACCTTATCAAGGATAACATGTAGATATTACAGAGAAGATAATGATGTGTCAAATAATTGTATATTTACATCCAAAAAGGGATTTTTCACAGTCAGGCATCGGACAGCCTCGAAGTTTGAGTTTTCCTTGGGCTGGCGTAACCCCATCTTCGCAACAGCCGAATTTTGTTTCCGTACAGGTCTTTGGATTCGTGCAACCTGCTCCGAATGGTCCCGTGGCTGGATTGAGTCCATCGGGACAACCTGCAAAAAGAATGACGAAAGAAATTGGCGAGAAGATAATTTAAATAACTATTTAAGGAATTGTTTACTTACAACCAAATGTCGAGGTGGAACAGTTCTTGGACTTTTCAGAGATCGGTTTAGGACGCGGGGGACATTTTGGAAGTTTCATCTCGGTTGTGAGGGCTTGTTCCAGGGTGGTTCGTGGGGCTGGAGATAAGAGAGTGAATCAGTTAAGAACAATTCGTTCTGCATGAGTAAAGTTTTCACAAACATAAAGCTTCACATTAAAATGCACAATAATTTTTATGAAAATAAAAACTTAAGGAAAAGATGAACTGAAAAAAATTATAAAGGATGAAATAAATTTAAGCGTTTCGAGACAATTGGCCAGGACAAAGACATACACTTTTTTGACATTTTTTTAGTTCTGGAGAAACCTTCACTCGTTCCCGTAAGACCTTCCGGCATTTCTCCCGATCCCGACATTTCATCATCACCACTTCCTGCCTCCTCTGTCGTTGTGGACATGATTTCTTCGTCGCCAGATCCAGAACCCGAAGTGTCGCCGTCATCATCCTCCAACGGTTCGAGGACGTCATCATCACCAGAACCTGACCCTGACATTTCGTCACCAGAACCGGCCGTATCGTTGGATTCAAGTTTTGCAGGAATGGCTTGCACATTCTCGTAATCAGGTTCTATAGTCGTGGAAGTGGTGGACTCGCCTGGAAGAAACAAATAATGCACATTTGCTGGATTAAAATCGGTGTAAATTCCCCTTACCGGTCGTCGTGGAGGCGCCTGTTGTCGTCGACCCGTCCATTTCAGTCGTGCTCGACATTTCCTTAGTCGTGGTCGACATTTCCTCAGTTGTTGTTGTTGGTTCTTCAGTCGTAGTCGTTTCCATTTCTGTTGTCGTCGTGGGTTCTTCCGTTGTTGTTGTAGGTTCTTCAGTTGTTGTTGTTGTAGGCTCTTCCGTCGTGGTGGTGGGTTCTTCTGTTGTGGTTGTTTCCATCTCTTCTGTCGTCGTACTCATCTCTTCCGTCGTTGTCGACATTGCCTCTGTGGTGGTCGTATCGTCGCCAGTTGTCGACATGTCGGAAGAAGTAGTTTCTCCAGTGGAAGAAGAAGTAGTAGTGGATAAAGACAAAGTAGAAGTGGAAGAGTCAGTAGAAGAATCTCCAGAACCGGAGCCGGTCGTGAGATCGTCAGGAGTAATGAGGGCATCGGAGCCGGTCGTGGTCTTACCCATTTCGTCATCCTCCGGTGATTCCCCGCTGGCCGAAGTGTCCCCGGAAATGACGTCCTGGTGGGTGGGCAAGCAATTAAATGATAAGCAATTTACCCTTCATTAATAAATTCAGTCTCCCCACCTCTCCAGATCCCATATCATCCCCGCTCGCTTCTTCCGTGCTTGTCATCATCATGTCGTCATCGGTCGTAGTGGTCATCTCTTCAGTGGTGGTGGATTCCTCCATTCCCTCCGTTGTTCCGGACCCTTCAAGCTCATAGTTGTAGTAATATTCGTCCTCGTAGTCGGGCTCGCAGTCCACGCCGGGTTCCATCCTTCCAAGGTCGTCGGCGGATTTGGGCGTGCTTGATGCCGACATTGCCGTTGAAGAGACGGATATCATTTCGTCTAAGCACAAAGAAATACATGTAATCAGTTTTTGTTGGGTTTAAATTTCTTGTATGAATTATGTTCGGAAATTTACCTCCCGTCGCTGCAGCGGTATCACAATCCTCTCCAGTGCAATCTTCCGACGCGAAAACGAGGGATTCTTCCCCGCATTTCGTTACGTCCGTGGTAGAATCGTTACCAACTGTTAATCAAGCATCATTTAGTTTCGAGGAATGATTAATAATCTTTAATAATTTTATTACCCATGCAAATGACTTGTCGTGACCTTGTTCCCGCCCCACAGTTTTTAGAACATTTACTCCAAGGGCCGGTGAACCAGGCAGATTTTTCGAAACATTCAGAACGGATAAAGTCCTCGTCGATGTCGCATGGCTCCGTGGCGTCGTACTTTTTCGTCTCGTTACATTTTTCCTCGTCTTCCACAATGGTGACGGAGCCGGATGAAATCGTCCCGCAAAATACGAGCCGTTGTCGTTGTCCTTTGATCTGACCGGTCGTGTTGTCCGAGGAGGTGCAGCTAGTTAGGAGGCACTATGCGTGCAGATGAAGGATATTAACTAGTTAAATTCCATATGTTAATTAAATTAGGTATTAATTATGATTACCTCTCCCCATTGCATTGCAAACCAGGCGTATTGGCATTTATTCGCACTAGCTTCGGTGGAAGACTCGCCCCCTTCGCAATCTCGAGAAGCGTTCGGTTTCCGGTAGTCGTGGCAAAATTCGTCCCCATAAACTTTCCCTTTGGCAGAGGAACAGTATACTTGCCGAGTTTCGACGGGGTTAAGCTTGTCGTCGCAAGGGTCAGCACTTGCCTTGCACTAAAAAGTACAATAATTTGTATACTCAAATAATTTCTTGTAACTAAAAAACTTCAATATAACGAAACTTACACCAGACCATGGCCCACTAATCCAATCCACACCTTCGCACGGTTGTAAATAGCACGGCTTCCTATCCTCCGGTTTCTCGTCGGAACAGTGAGAATCTTCATAAACGGTGGTGACATTGTCCTTCTTGGCGTGACACCTCACCGTTCTCGTTTCCCATCCGTCGCCACAAAGAGATGAACACTAATTAGTAATTATCATGATATAATTAATTTATACATAGGTATGTAAAAAATAATAGTGCAAAAACTATACCGAACTCCACTCTCCTTCATGCCATGAAGCACAAATGCCTCCTTCCACCTCGCCCGTGCACCGACGCCCATTCTCCGGCCGAGGTCCGACCTCTGACTCACAGCGTGTCTCGTCATGCACAATGGCGGAGGAGCCTTGAATGGACTGCTCGCAAAAAACGGTCCGATATTGAACTAAAATAAACAATTATTAATAGATTAATAAATCTACGAAGATAATAATACACTTTTGTCTACCTCCAGTCTCGTTCGAGCCACATTTCGCCGAGCAAGGTTCCCAGGCGCCCTCGTACCAGCGAAGAGGACAAGGTTGCGTGTTGCAGAGCTGCTGTGCAGCCGGTTTGTGTGTCCCACTCGCGTCGCACAAGTGTTCTTCAACGTACTCGATACTCTCCTCGGTCCTCTTAGCGCAGTAGACGTACCTTTGTTGATAACCACCTCCGCAGGTGGCGGAACAGGGGGTGAACTCGTCGTATATCCAATAATAGGAGCCCGGGGTGGTGAAAGCGATCTGATTCTCTTTGTCGGAAATGGAGTACTCATACCTAAAATGGAGAGAAGATTGGATTATTGGTGAAATAACTGCTTATTTTAAAGGTCAAAAAAGGTCGTACTCGATCCCAGGGTTAGATTCTTGGTAGAGGACGACAATGTAGATGGCTTCGGAGATGGGGCCGGTGGCACGGATGGATTCGGGGGCAAAAAACGAGTGTGGCTTCCGTTCATAGTGGAAAATGGTGGAGGCGAAGGCAAGTTCTCGAGGGAAATCTATTCGCCAATTTCCATTGAGGTAGTAATGGTTCGACGTGTTACGGATGGCTGGAAGGAAGAAATTTACATAAATATGGATACTACAATTAATTATATTAATTAATTACCCAGATAATTGTTGGACGCTTTCTTCTCCTTGACGAGGATATTCGTGGCGCCCATCGGGATGAGAAGGACGTCGTTGTATCCCACCTGCAAATTATTGTTAGAGTCGAACGTCCCCTGCACCGTGTGACACCCGACCCCGTCGCCGCCACACTTGCGACAATTATCCTCCCTGGCTCGTGATCCAAGCACATTATCGCAACCGACCGGCTATACAGCGGAAATAAAATATATAAATGATCGGTTATCTTGCGCGGGTACAATTGATAAGAGCCTACTAAACATTTCCCATCAACGCAGACGTGTTTATTCTCATCGTCGCAGTTCGTCCCATCGATAACTTGTCTTTTGTGTCGATAGTAAAACCGCTCCCCTTCCGGCATGCAGTTCAGTTCGCACTTGTTGGGCGCTTTGGTGTAGGGGACCCATCTAAATTAAGTTCATTGAAAATACTTTTCCATACGTTTGATATGTAAATATGAGCACACTCACTTGTAATATCGCCCTTCGAAAGGCACCGTGTTAAAAGCGGCACACTGTTCAGCCCTGTAGTCGTCGTCACCGCCGGGACAAGCGTGCGTATTGCAGGAATAGAATCGTTTCGACCCACCGTCGCTGCAGGATCCGTCCGGTCTATGAAAAAGGTCAGGTTACAGTCACCCATAAAATAATTGACCTCAATTAATTATTTATCTCAACCTTAGAGGATCTCGACAAATCCGCTCTTGCATGGCCACACCGCCCCCACAACTGCGAGAACATTGACTCGGTGATGACCATTCGTCACTCCTCCGACCATCGTCACGCCATTCGGAACCGTCTTCGGTGACGTAGAATTGCGGTTTTGTCGCGGATGAGGACTGATGATGGGGTGAACCGTAGGGGTCTTCATAGTTGGAAAAGTATTGACGTTTCAGTCTCCTCAGGTCGGCCAGAGTTTCTTCAGAAATGTTTTTCGGGTAGAGCGGTAGGAGATCGTCAATGGGGGCGACGTGGTCCAACGGGGGGAGAGAAAGGGGGGCGTGACCCTTCTTCCTCCGGTGGTGGTGATGGTTATGGCGATTATTATGGTGTCGGATTTTGTGGGGGTGGTCACCCTCCTCATCGTCGATATGGTTTGACTGGTGGAAAGAGAAAAGAGAATTTTGTGCAGGTTTGGAGACGAAATTGGAAAAACAGGATTATTTTTATGAGGAAACTAATAATAGATTGAAAAATGCTGACAGTTTGCATATTGGTGTATTTTCCAATAATTACTTAAATTATTTAAATTATTAACTACTAGTTAATTAATTACTCAGCAAATTTGGTCATTTTTTTGTATCTAATTTTAAGTTGACACATTGACCGAGCTGGCTGGCAATTAACTAACTGTTGAGTCGTTGAGTCTAACACTGAACAAAGTTAAATTTTGCATTCTCATTTCTTTGTTAACATTAATTCCTAATTAATTCTGAGCCACGGCTTGTTCTGACTGCTAATTGCATAAAATGTACAAGTTTTTTGCCCGACTAAAGTGCATTATTAAATCAAACTTTGTTTTCTGTAATAATTAAACATTAAAAGTTTCACGAAAAAAAGTGCAAATGTTTGAATTGCATATTCTTCAAGGACAAAGTTTTTACAGCATGCATTTCAGGAAAAAGAATGCTACCGAATAATATCGATCTGAAAATGTTTCGTGAATTCAAAAACGTCCAGTATCATCTCATAAAACTTGACAAGTTTGAATGAACTGAAGAAACGACACAAGACAGGAAACTAGTCGTGATAATGAAATGTATGATGATGGGAAGTACTTAGCTCATCTTCATTCATAGACATTTTATTACATAACCGGATTACCTAACATAACATGATCCTTCTGACATTGCATGAAAACAAGAATGAAAATTTGTTCCTCATTTGTTCCTTATTTGTTCTTAAAAAACAAAATTTCTGGAAGAATATTTTACCAAAAATATATTACCCACCTGCGAAAATGACTCCATCAACTGTTCCGTCTTGTTATCATCTATCTCCAAGCTGGGCGCGGTGCCCTTCTTCACTGCCCCTTCCACGATCGCTGATAAGGTCACACATGACACAATTGCAGTCACCACAACCACCCACATTCCTCCTCCTCTCGTCAACAGCCCCATCCTTCAAATTCGAGTGTAGTAACTTTCACCAAGAAGAAATTGTAACTAACACTTTCTTAAATTTTGTCAGTGATGATGTTGATCCATCCCTTCTTAGATTCTGAGAGTTGACGAAAATTTTTTTGAAAAAAATCAATTCAATCGTGGGCGTGGATCTCAGAAAAAAAACGAATCAAGATTTTAAATCCAATTTGTATTCATCACGACGCAACGCACGAAGAAAAAGTGATGACAAAATTGCACACACGAGACGCAACGCAGCCCGGCCGACTGAACAGTATTATGTAAACCGGATGGCGTCTAGCACTTTGTGGTCACTCCGGATGACCTGGAATGATGAATTGGCGACTGGATACAATTATTGGCGGAAGAATAAATGAATGATTGGATTAATTCGTATCCATGAATGGGAGAGAGAGAGAGGCAGACAAATGTATTTTGAGAATTGAATTATATTTTGTCTCTCATTCTTCCAACTGTCACTGTCCTCTTGATAAGTCCATTCTGCGAAGAGTGATAAGTTGAGACAACTGCTGCTGTTTCCTGTCCTCCTTCTTCCTGTATCGGAATCATCCACTTGTCTCACTTTTATAGAAAACCTCCCATCAGTCTGAATCTATGTAAATGTATGGTGTATTGTGTAACGTTGAAGAAAAATTCTCCAGTCAAATTAATAAAACCACAAGTACTAACTAAAGTCAGACAAGAAGAAGAATGAGAACGAGATCTCGTCGGAAGAATGGAATGGACTGGACTACGGAATTCTTCAGCATGTTCATCTAATAAGCGAATGATGATGAGAAAGAAGAGATGAGACGAGACCGAGACCAATAATCCAGCACTACTGGAGGAAGTTAGTTAACCAGCAGAATTATTGGGTGTACATGCATAAGAAGGAATGTTACAAGGGGTACACACCGACCGTATAAGGAGGCATACAGTTCTTATTCTTATTACTCTTTAAGAGGGAGAGATAATGAGAGAATGAGATGAAAAAGGGACGACATCGTTTCTTTCCTGCTGGCCGAACTGACCTGGAGAATGGGATCTTTCTTGGACGGACGGACGGATTAGAAGAAGAATTGTATTGTTGTTTCCTTCGAGGAGCAACTTTTTCTTGGCTGACTTTTCAGTTTTTTGTGTGTCTGAAGTAGGAATTCTTGCACATGGAAGAGATGACTGTGTGGTAATGGGTACTTAGTAGTTACTTCGTTGTGGGGGTACTTATGTAAGTATTTAGTATAACAATGGTCCAGAAAATGGGCAGCAGCCTTGGTCGATATATAGTTAGATAGTTGCTTAAAAGGGCATGAACAATGCGTCGGGTAACTGTTTTCTCGTTAACTGGACTGGACTTGGATGCACTTTTTCTTGTTGTTGAAGGCACCACGTTGTGTTATGTCATCCAGATTGTGAGATTGGGCCCTTTTTTATTATTGTTCCTCGGCGGTGTATGTAGGATGAGGGACGATTTTTGTAGAGAATTTTCTAGTTGAGATGATGAAATTGTGGATTATTTATAAAGAAATATTATGCACGTATTGTTTTAAGTCTGAATTTTTGTAGATATGTACATATCTTGCGATCCTTAAACCTGGTAACGATTAAGGATATATAGCATAATTGCGAATTAAGATTCGGTGGTATAAATAACAGAGAAATCTTAACATTAACTAATCTCAAGTTGAATTACACCAGAGGCAACTTGAGACAGTTGAGAATCCGGTATGGTATACAAGTAGAACTTCCGAAATGTGTAACTCTTATTTTACAAAAGTATAAAATCAATCCTGATAAATTACAAAATTTTGATGATCCTTCAACCACAACGAGCTAGATAAGACTACTTTGAGTCGACTGGAAGATGCAATCCTGGCAAAAAATCTTCCCCACTTGATTATCATCTTCTTCTTCCCTCCTTTGCACAATTATTTCCTGGATGGAGTTTGTTACGTGAACGTCTGTCTGGTGTCCCGAGTGGAGTGCACTATCCAGCAAATTGAATTAATTTAAAAGATAAACATCATAACAATGCAGACACATCATTATCATCATCGGATTCATCCGCGAACAAAATCTTCTCCATTTGTTGGCTGCAGGAATTATACATATTCTTATCATCATCTCTCTAATTGGAGTGCAGTTTATTCTGCAGCAGAATCATCCGTCTGCTTAAATATTTTCACGCATCTCATCCTCATCTAAAAGTTCTTCTTCTGGAGAATGGAATGGCAAATTTGAAATATGGGAAGGAAGAAGAAGGAGAGAGATTCGTCTCACACTTTTATTTACGACTAGGAATGAGCGTCTTGCTGATAGTTTAGATAATGTGGCTGACTGAGGAGGTGAGATTCGTATGCAATGCAATAATAGCTTTATTGCTAATTGCTCTCTTCTTTTTGACGGTTCTTTTTTTACTGCATCTTTCAAAGTGAAACACTTGAATGATGGAGTCCATTTTTTAGTAAGGAGAATTTGTGGAGGAACACAATGAGAAGAAATGTACAGAAGAACGAGAGGAAATTGAGATTTCTTAAGTTACCCCAATAGCAAGATTGAAGATAAAACACTACATAAAAATATATTGATCCATTACATCGGCATCAGAGGACATTTTAACTTGAAGTATTTATTGTTGCAAGCTTTCGATATTCATACAGAATTTCTTCATCAGGCAAAAATATATTTGTAAACTAAAATTCATGTGTACGTTTCCTCCTCCAAGTCAAGTTTTGTTTGATATCAAATAATTACATGGTTACATTTATAAATTTTTACGTGGACTTTGAGGGCTATTGTGTATATGTTAAAAAGTTTGTTAGTGTACTTGACCAGATAGGGCTGACTGCGACTCCTCTCGAAATGTTCATCTTGTTAGTGGTACTTTTGATGAACAGTGCTTCTTTAAATTTCCGAAAATATCTTCTAGGTTCTTTTAGAATTAATTTATACGAATTTGGGTCCAAATTGTGTTCATGTTCATGCATGTGTAGAGCAACAGGAGATAATCTTACATTTCCACTTCTAATGGCATGAATGTGTTCCTGAATTCTTGTAGTATAATCACGTCCTGTTTCTCCAATATACTTTGCTGGACAATTACTGCATTGAATTGAATAAATCCCACAATTTATTGTTCTCGGTTTCTCTTTAGTGTTGGTTAGCATTCTGGATAACTTCGGGCCAGGAATGTAACCTATTTTCATTTCTAGTTTTCTTTCTAGAAATCGTGCAATTTTTGTGGTGGTTTCACCTGCCCACGGTAAAATAATTCTTTTGACTGGTTCGTCTAGTGAGTTGTTGTTATTGTTATACTGCATTTTGTTTTTGACTTTCTTCAGTCTGTATTCAATCATTTTTCGTGGGTAATTATTTTCTTCCAAGATTTTGATTGTGTATTTGATTTCATTCTCTAAATGGTCTTCATCTGACAGTCTTAAAGCTCTTGTCAGCAGGGTATCCGTTACGCCAATTTTGTGTGCCGGGGGATGAAAAGAGTGATAATTCAGGTACAAGTTTGTATGCGTAGGCTTCCTGTAAATTTGATGACCAATCGAGTTGTCCGGTTTCTTGTACAGCATGAGATCCAGGAAAGGTAATTGTCCCTGTTGTTCATCCTCAAATGTGAATTGAATGGATTCATGGAACGAATTGATTAGACTTAAAATGTGGCTTTTCCTTCGAATCCTTATTATGGCAAAGACGTCATCCACAAATCTACGCCAGTAGATAATGTTGCGATTGTTTTTGACAAGCTTTTTTTCCAATTCTTGCATAAATATTTCTGCGACTATTGGTGAGATGGGGGATCCCATAGCGGTACCTTCAGTTTGGTGATAAAATTTGCTATTGTATTTAAAATAGGTGGATTTTAAGCAAATTTTAATCAGCTCCATTAGATCATTGATTGAGAGTTTTGTCAGTTCATTTAGGTTATCATAATCTTGAAGTCTTTTTTTGATGATTTTCAGGGTCTCTTTTATGGGAACTTTTGTGAAAAGTGAGACAACATCAAAAGAAATCATTTGATCCCCTGGTCGTATTTTGATATTTTTTATTCCTTTCACGAATTCTTCTCCATTTTTGACAGTATATTCATGTTTCGAGGCTACTTTCTTCAAAATGTTGGACAACATTGCTGCAAGATTATATGTAGGGGAACTTCTGAAATCTACCACCGGCCGGAGAGGTGTGTCTGGTTTATGCACTTTAGGTGCACCGTAGATAAGTGGAGCTCTGGGAGTTTTTTGATTTATTTTGGAGTATTCTGCATCAGATAACTTTTCATTTGTTTTCAATGAACTTGAGTGGACTTCAATTAAATCTGTGAAATCTGGAGTAGGATCTTGAATGAGTTCATCATAGGGGCCTTCATTGATCATTGTCTGCATTTTTTGGTTATAATCATTTTTGTCCAAAATTACCACTGCGTTTCCTTTGTCTGCCTTAGTAATACAAATGTTGTTATTTGTGGTAAGGGACTTGATCGATGAGGATATCCAAGTATCAATTTTGTTCATATAGTTTCCACTATTAATTTGTTTTTTCATGATGTGTGATACTCCGGCTCTGACTTGTTCCTTTTCTCTCTCCTCCAAATCGGTCTCGTGCAGTTTCAAGTCAATAATTGCAGCTGTATCCATCATTGTCACACGTATGTCTTTGATTGGGAGGGAGTAATTCAGACCTAATGAGAGTAGTTTTTGTTCATTCTCCGAGAGTGGATGAGATGATAAGTTATGGATGACTTTTTTAATGGTTTGTGGATTTTCCTTTGTTATCAGGCTTAATTTCTCGTTCATTAAAGTATTGAATTTGTTGATTTGCCGATTTCTGATACAATCATTGGTTTTTTGTCGTGTTCGATTTATTAGGTGACAAATCAAATGCCAATATTGTGGTAATTTACATCTAATTTGGTTCCGGAGTGAATATATTTTCTTGTCTATTTCGTATAGGTCTTGAAAATTCGACTTGATGAGTCCTTTGAGGATTTTTTGGTTTGTTTCTTCAATTTTTGTAAAATAAGACCTTGAGCCAAATTTTTTTGTGATGAATTGGTTGTGAAGTCCCCTGGGGATGATTTTCATTTTTTGGCATCTTCTTAAAAATACTGTATTGTTGTGGAATTGGATTTGACGTTTGTACATGAATTCCAGTTTTCGGATATCTTTGACCAGGGCTCCACCGTAGAGCGGTCTTAGTTGATTTATTAAATGTTTCCATCCTCGACATATATATTGATCCATTACATCGGCATCAGAGGACATTTTAACTTGAAGTATTTATTGTTGCAAGCTTTCGATATTCATACAGAATTTCTTCATCAGGCAAAAATATATTTGTAAACTAAAATTCATGTGTACGTTTCCTCCTCCAAGTCAAGTTTTGTTTGATATCAAATAATTACATGGTTACATTTATAAATTTTTTTATAAATTTTTTTTATAAATTTTTTTTTTAATTTTTTTAAATTTTTAACTACATAAAAATCTTATCTTTCACACTAGCTAAAATTACAATTAAAGTATGAAAAATACTTCTGTACAAAATATACCTTCATTTGACATCGAATTATATTATTTACATCAGAAAATCATTTGTATAAAGAAAATTCGGTTAAAGGAATAAATTCATTTTTTTTTACATATTTTTCCATTAAAATCAAATCTAAATAGGTACAGTGGATTAATTTTAGTAAAGCAAAAGCCAAAATTTGCATAAACTTTGTGCAAATTTTTTCTTCACATTTTTCCTTTGCACAATTATAAGTAGATCCACAATAAGAAATAGAATACAAGTACAGCTACATAAAAAAACACATCCATCCCATCTTTGCACGTTCATTTCATCCCATTTTCTTCTTAAAAGTAGACCACTAGCAAATGCTTTCATGTCTCAAATTATTACATGATAAATATTGTACTGTTTGTGCCAAAGTGTTTTCTACGTTACCTTACGTTACATTACGTTATGCGTCTATAGTTAATACTGTCTCGTATACAATGTGCGGGTCATTAATCTCCTCGACTAATCCTAAACAGCTCAACTAACTACTAAACTAACTGCTAAAAAGAAAACTATTATAACTGCCCGGCACGTAATAATGTCACGCTATTCAATTCATCACAAGTACACATCGGTCCGTCGGTCGGTACGCGTGATGATGATTGACAGTGGCCGCGGAAGCGTAGTAACAATGTCCCCACGGTTATTCGATGTCCCAATCATCTCCCCATCTTATTTAAACCCCTCCCTCCCCTATCCTTCAATGTTAATGTCCCCACGGCTTCCGCGGCCGCTGATGATTAAGAAGAAAAAGAGATGAAAAGTGCAGCATGTCTCCTCCTTGGCTGTCGTAATGATAATAATAATAATAATAAATGTCAACTCAATACTATTGACATTGCGATTGCATAACGTACTGCTCTTTTTTGAATTTTGAATAAACTAAGTGGCAGTTGGGAGAAAGAAAATCTTAATTAATTTGACACAGGGATGGGACTCAGGTACATCAGTAAGTATTTAGTAGCTTGAGGTGCATAAGTAAATACGTACACGATGAATTAAAGACGGAAGGATGACAAGATGTTGAGAACAGTTATGAAAATGAGGCATGGTTTTGAATTCCAGAGTGGTTAATGTTTTTCCTAGTATGATGTTAAGATGTTGTGAAGATATGTGTGGATAAGAGAGGCTTAACGGAGGTATTTTTTTAGAATGAGTCACACACACATTGTAGTTAACCCTATTTCGTTGTTATTGTTTTTGGAAGGGATGATTTGCTAGAAATGTATTTAGCACAAGAAATATGAATTTGGCAAAACTTGTAAAACTTGTACGTTTTTCATGAAAGTAATAAAATTTGTGAGGTTGGATCCAATTTTAGATTTGAAGTTAACCAAACCAAATTTCTATGTGAGATTTTTGTTTTGTAAACTATTAACTTTAGCATGTAACCAAAAAGTACTAATTTTGTACAAAAACGTAAAATTATGAAAAAATAAATGTCTCTCCACTTTAACTCCAAATACACACACGCCTCTCTCGTCAACAGATAAGTGTTAAACGCATCTCAAACAAAAACCCCGACACAATTTCAATAATCAGCAAAACCGTTGTTGTGTTGTGGTAAATCATTAACTTTAATGCGTCTCCTGTGTAATTCGTAATAGTGATAATGGAAACATATTACGAATCGTACGGAACTTTTTAAAAATCTTGTACCTACTATTTTTCCCCTTACCGTTTCAATTAGAAGCGACTTTGTCTTTACAATTCAGGCTTTTACAACCCTTTTAATTCAAACATTTCACGCTGCATACGCCAAAACAAGACCAATCAAAACAAGAATGTATTGCATTTCATTTCATCCTTTGTCGGGGAATGGAATAATAATAACAAATCGGGCCGCATAATAAACCGTCGCAAACGCGCATACGGAAGTAGCTTCAGACTACTTCACCCCAACCACTCCCATGACATCGCGAAAACACTCAATTTCACTCCATTTCACCTATAGATTCAATTTTTTTAAATCTCATTTTGCCCCGACCACACCCCCTGGCGCGGAGGGGGTGTGGCACAACTCGGGATCACTTCATTTCACTCTATTTCATCCATAGATCAAATTGCACTATAAATCTCATTTTGCTCCGACCACACCCCCTGGCGCAGAGGGGGTGTGGCACAACTCGGGATCACTTCATTTCACTCTATTTCATCCATAGATCAAATTGCACTATAAATCTCATTTTGCCCCGACCACACCCCCTGGCGCCAAGGGGGGTGGTCCGGTTGCCCCCAAAAGTTGATAGGATCCTCCCCCTAGGGTCATATGTATAATGGCGAAAACCGATTTCGATTATCTCAATCCGTTCTTCCGTTATCCTGCTGACAGACGGACAGACAGACAGACAGACAGACAGACAGACAAAGTCTTCGTATAAAGTAGCTGAAGCTACTTAATAAATGTTTCTTTTTAAATGATGGATAACATGATTCATTTAAATTTTTCTCGCAATGATTTGCGAGTCCAATCCGTGCACAAACATGCAGGCACAGACCAAACCAAACCACGGGCAGAAGTAGAAGTGGAGATAACAATGGATTCGAAATGGGAAGGAAGAAACAATTGATTTCCATTAGAATATGGTGATGCGATGTGACGGAACTGCAAAACTTACTTATGGGAATTTATGTATATCTGCACTTGAGTACTTTTAGTTAACAACATCACATCACCGAGTTCATTTCACAGGTGGGTTGAATTGTCGATGGATGGATGGATGGACGGACGGACGATGGTTGTTAATGGTTTTCTTTAAAGGAGGGGTGACTACACGTACGTATACGGGAGGCATGAAGTGGCCGCGGAACTTGTGGGGACATTAATATTGTAGGATAGGGGAGGGAGGAGTTCATATAAGATGGGCAGATGATGCGGACATCGAACAACCGTGGGGACATTGTCCTTCTGTCCACACCCTTCTGCGGCCACTGTACGGGACGCATGTAAGCCTATGATACAGTGAAGCTTCAACTATGATAAATATTACTTGTTGGATTGCATTTTCAGGATGGAATGGATCTCATTATTGCGGTGTGACATGAGAGGAATCATCAGTTAAAAAGATATAAGTTGAGATTCACAAACTTCTTTTGTCTCAGTTGGATAATTTCATCGGTGCGGTGGTGTGGAGATCAAGGACGACGACAAAGAAGAAATTTCAAAGTGGAAGTGGTTTCGATTTCGTAGAGGATGAGCATTATGTAATAAGTGGGAAGAAGAAGAAGACGGGAAGAGAGGAATTTATATTGAAGAGGAAATTTATTAAAGAAGGAGAGAAATTTCGGGGAGGGTCTTACCAAATAGTGCAAGAAATTTATAAGTTTGCTGAAAAAAAGGAGAGAAGAATTTGTAAGGAAATTTATTTTTTTGGAAATTTTTTAGTGATTTTTTTTCAGGAAAAAGTAGTGTTTTTAATTTGCTTTTAAAGCTGCGAAGTGTCTGAGAATAAAATTTACTCCAATATTAACAACTTTGTCAACATTATTGGTAATTATGTAATCCGTTTTTCATCTCAAACAAGGCAGAAAATATAAACAATTCATATGGAATTGAAACCACTATATCTACAATTATTACATCGTAGTTATTTTCTTGTATTTTATAATTTGGCGTTGAAATCACACATTTTTAAGGTGTCTCATATTTCCTTGTATGAAATCAAGGAAAGTTTTTCATAGGTTCAAATTTTTATAAATAACTTTAAATTTTTGTTACAGTTTCTTATCAATACGCCATTTTGTTCATATGAATACTTAAAAAAAAGTGTTTCATGAAACCGAATTATTAAATTATAAAAGAAAAAAATGCATTATTATTTTCTTTACTACAAAAATATATTCACAAATGCAGACATTTTGCTACTTTTCACATTAAACATAAACAATAGTTTGCAGCAGTCTCACTTTTCACATAAACTCGAAATAATGAGATTATACAGGGTGTTAATAAAGTCCGATCCCATTTTTCCTGTAAAAAAGTGAAGGCTAGTATAAAAAAAAACTACCCGTGATACTTACAAAAAATGTTCGACATATTTACCTTAGTATTTGGTCTTGTTACCATTTACTTTAACCATGCCCTCAACTCTTTGTTTAAGGCTCTGTGCTAATTTTTCCAATGTGCCTCTGGAAATCGAATTCCATACATCTTGAACTTTTTTTTACTAGCTCTTCCCTCGTCCGGGGTTGTGGCTCTTTGTATACATTTTCCTTAAGTATGGACCACTGGTTCTTCAGGGGATTCAAATCTGGGCCGTTAGCGGCCCACACCCCCTTGCTCCAGACCGTTGAAACTTGCGTCTTGATGAGACTCAAACTCGCTTTTGCTGTATGGGCTATAGCACCATCCTGCATGAAAACTATTTTTCTTTCATTCGGAAATATTTCCTTGTTCCCCATGCTATCGAAATAGATAGGTAATATTTTTTCCATATAATGCTTTGCATTGACTGATTGGCCTTTTGGTATGATATGTAGAGGGGTCACGCAACGTGCACAAAATCCACCCGCTACCATAACTTTAAGCCAGAATTTTGGGATCGCTCTTGATGGTACATCCGATTTGTTTTCTGTCCTGTAACGAACATTTTGTTGGTTCAATTTTGGATATAGTTCAATAATAGATTCGTCAGTCCAAAGGATGTGACTGCGCAATTCTTCACCAAGTCTTTTTTCACTCAAATGGGCACTTTTCTGAAGGAGTTCTTCAAATTTCAGACGGTCATCGATATATTTTTGTGACATGAGAGGTTTTTTTGGTTAGTTTGTAAGCTGTGTGACCCCACTTCGTAGTTTTCACAAATTTTTGCACGGTCACACAGTTAATTTGCTTCTTCTTCTCTTTATAGCGTTTTGAGTCATTTAACTCCCTTGCTCAATTACGTAATGAACTACCGGTTTTCTTGCAAAGTCTGTTTTTAATCATTCTTTTTGTGGTAGGTGACACCTTTCTGGGTCGCCCTGGTCGCTTTTTGTCGTGGACAAAATTTTTATTCTTCCATTTCCAAACAGTTCTGCGGCTGCAGCCCAATTTTTGCACAATTTCTGTAGGTTTAAGCCCCTGCTGATGCAATGTTTGTATCTCAACTCTAAGATGCTCATGACTTACACGTTTAGTTGTTCCTCCCATGGTAAAAATTTGAAATAAATAACTTCACTGGTTCAAAAGTTCCAGCTGAATTTGTAACAACCACGCTCCAAAAAATGCATGGGATCGGACTTTATTAACACCCTTTATGTACATTGTACATATACATAATTGCCCTGAAATAAAATTAATTACTCGTTTATGTAATTCCATGGATCAAACACATACATTACAAAAAGTGCAGTAGCAGTCCCACAAAATTTTGTAAAATTAAATGTTTTCAGGTAGTCGCAGCATCCTTATCGACAACGAGAACAACCCCGATGGGAACCTTGTTAGGGAAATTCACACTCTTCGGCTTCTCCTTCCGGTCCATCAACTCTTCAAAGTTCCATGTCTTTCTCTACATTCTTGCTTTTGTTGTCGTCAGTGGTGGCGGCAGGGTTGTGACCGGAACTACTGACGAGAAGACGAGCGACTTGATGAATCATGGTGATTATGAAGAAAATGGAAAACCACAGGTTAGCAAGTTATTTAAATATTTTGTTCGAGCAGGTGTACAAAAGTTACTCATCCGCGTGTCTTGGCAAAAAAATGCACATTTTTCAATAATCATGGAAAAAGGAAGTTACAGTTGCATGCATGCAAATTTGTGATATGAATTATGAAAACGAAATCAATTGAAGTAAGTAGGGAGCAAAGTTGAGAATTATTGTTTTTAATGCGATAATGAGAAAAATAACCGGAAATGTTAATGCACTGCACCGGAGAGTGAAAAAAGAGTGAAATGTTAGCAGGCAACGTATACTTTTAATGCGAAACGTGACCAGATAAATGGAAAGATATAGATAATTGTGAACAAAGAGGATTCAGCATAAATCACACGAGTTTATAGTGTAATTCTTTGATTTTAATCGTGAGATTGTCCATGTAACACGAAGAAGATGATGATGTAAAGTGAGATTTTAATGTAAATCGAATTATTATGGCAGGTGGAAAATGTGGGGTCGCGCATATCACCGAAAATACTACCACAACCAATCCTTTCGAAACCGTATGGTGATGAAGACGCCCAATTATTGAGCTTTTATCCACGAAGGGGAAATTTGGGGGAAGTCGATACCGATGGAGGAAGAGAGAACCACATTCTGTCGAAACGTTCCGTTCCCTTGAATTTGAACGGTATTTTGAATGGGGGTAAATTTTGGTGTAATTTTTTTGCTAAGGAAAGGCTGAGCTTATCAGTGTTCTTTTTTTTACCAGGACACGTACGGAGATACACACGTCAGGCACAGAACACCTTTGATCGCATTTACCTCTGCATGTTTACCCTCTTTGCCAACCCAAACTGTCGAGATCAGCAGAATAATTATGTACAGAATCATGATCAGGGATCGTTTGGTGGCGGTGGCCATCAGCAGCAGCAGGACAGCGTAGACAATGGAGGGGGTACGTATTTCAGCAACTTTCTCCCCACGGCGCCTCCAAATAATAATCAGAACGGGTTTGGAGGGTTGTTTGGAAGCAATGGAATTTTTGGGGGTGATTTAATTTTTGATTTCCTGATTAATTTGAGATCATCTAAAAAGATATTTATTCAAGACTCTTAAAATGAGGATTTTCAAAATTTATTTTTCAAAATTTCAGGCCAATTTGGACTCAATCCTTCTCCCCAGCAGCATTTCACTAATAATTACAATCCTTTCTTTCAACCCTCGACTTTCCGACCGTCCACGCCAAACTATTATTATCCTCACCAACAATTACCCATCATTCACCAGACGCCATATCCAGAGCAGCAAATTCATCGAAGACCGGGACCACCCCCAACGCCTAGCACAACCACGACGACAACTACTACGACTCAAAGAACGACTTATCCCACCACAACTCAGACAACGACCACGCCCACTACGACGACAAGACCTACCACCACCACAACGACTCCTACGACGACCAGACCTACGACCACACCTACTACGACGAGACGAACTACGAGCTACACACCGACTACGACCACCTCTTCAAGAAAAGTGGACACCACCACGACTGGCATTTTCCCCGCAGTTGAAAACTTGTCAGATTTCGAGAATGGCACCGGACCAATTCCCCCACCCACTAAAAAAGTATAGCCAACCTTTTATTCTTGTCCCCTGAAACTTGCTTAATTTATACCAATCTGTTTTTATTTTAGGTCATATTTTCCCTACCCGTCGTCCCCACGACGGCATCCTCTCCCACGTACTATCCCGACTTCACTTCCGGCATAAAAACCATCGCGAAAGAGAATTCTGCCCTCAAGGCAGAAGTCTCCACGATTCGACAAGAGTTGACGAGCTACCAGGTCCAGAACAAATATCTTCAAGACGCCCTTTCCACACTGCAAGGCGATAACTCCAAGCTCAAGGGACGCGTTGGGCAGCTCGAGAGAACGAATGACCACCTCCAACAGCAAAATGGACAGCTGCAACATTCCACGGGGGACATGAGGACGCAGCTGAACGAAGCGCGAGTCAAGGTCAAGTATGCGGAGGAGAAGATGGTCAAGTTGGCGAGACAGGTGAGCTAACAATTATTAAAGGCCTCCAGTTGATGTTCATAATTTATTTTGCATAACACCCATATGACATAAAGGGAATTTGACTAAATTCAAATTATGCAAAACAACAATTTCGCATAATTCGTATTTATACAATCTTAGTTTTCATTCGTTTGGCACATTCGGTAATAAAGTTTTACCATATCGGTAGAAAATTTTTACGGTCCAGTATAATTTTAATACAAAGCGGTAGCAAGTTTAGTTTAATACCGATAAATCAATACTTGCTTGACTATTACTAGATTTCCAAAAATTATGCAATATCAAATTTTCTAAAAAGTTCCTTTATGTGAAAAGGTGTTTAGTCAAGAAATATTATACAATATGACCCTCATGCAAAACACCTTTATGCAAATCCACCTAGAACATTTATTAAACTATAATTAACAAAATTTTCTAACCCTTGACCTTTTAGGGCATCGAGGACCAGAAACAACTAACCCGCACACAAAATCGCGTCCGAGATCTGAACAAGGAAAATAATGAATGCAAATCACAACTCTACCAACTCCAACTTCGTCACACGCAACGCATCGTGCAAGAAAGTGTAGCGTCCTCCACGGAGATTGACCTGCATGGTGGCAGCGGAGATAAGGGGCAGCGCTTTCCCCAGCAAATTTACCGGGACGATATCCTCTCAACCTCGACCGAGCAACTGTCACATTTCCCACAAATTGTGGAGTTTGACGACGATAATTTTAGCAGCGAAGTAACCACGACGGGTGTCTCGGTTGACGTCGAGGAAGAAGTAAAAAGTGATGATGACGTAACGACAACGACAAGTCCTGAACAGGAACAAGAAGTAGAAAGCAGGACGGAAATGGTGGTGGAACCAACGCCAGTGGTGGAAGTTGTGGAGGTCACGATCACACCAGGATCGACGACGACGCCAGTGTCGACGACAACTCCAGTTTCGACATCAACGCAGTCACCCCTCCCATCGACACAGAGGACAATAGATATCAAACAGGAATCAGTCAATCCATCTCAAAAAATACCCCAACGCCCCACTTCCGGAATAATTTTTAACGATGACGATGACCAATTCGGACTGCACATCGTGGGAGCGGATGACGATTCTGATGAGAGTGAAAATAACTCTAACGAAGTTTCAATCATATTTGGAAATCCGGTCGTCATTGTGCCGGAAAATGTGACATCAACGAAGTTTACGACGACAACAACAACCACGACACCGCGACCTAACCCGTACGGTGCAATTTTCCCATCTTTAACTAATTTTGGCGACCCACACCATCAACAACCCGACATTATTTTTGATGATGACGACGTTGATCCGTTCGGACTTGGCGTGAGCATAGTTGGTGCCGACGATTTAGAAAGTGACGACGACTCCAACGAAGTTTCAATCATGTTGGGAAATCCAGGCGACGATCTCGAAGATCCGGATCGTTCACTCAATTTGAATTTCCAGAATGGGCAACAACAACCATATTCTCCTGCGAATTACGACGCGTTCAGTTCATTTAATCCGAATCAACGTCCCAATTCTAACCCTAATCTCATGTATTCGCACCCTTTCAGTAATTACTGGCCGTATCAGCAGTTCTCGGGAGGGATGATGGGGCATGGTGGGGTACGGATAAGTCCGGGTGGGGGTGGTTATGATGATCATGTCTCGAAATAGATTTTATTTACTTCATTCCTTAAATTGCTTTAACTCATTAATTACTGTACAAACAAGATAACTTATTTGTGTATATGTATTTATACTGTGCTGTATGTAGTCATTTTATTTATTAACAATTTTCTTTTTTTTGGGGGGGGGAGGGGGAGAGTTTGGTAGATGTATTTACAGATATAAATAAAAAGGTGCAGCTAATTACATAACGTCAAATCTATAGTTTTCATATATTGAATGTTCTTAGATTCTTCATGAAAAACGAAAAGGATATCGCATATGCATCTTTGTTCATGAAATGTTTGCAAATTAAGCTGGGTATCATTTTTGCACGAATTGTTTTGCAAATATCCACACATACACATATACGAGTTAATTGCTTAATTCCCCCTAAGTTACTTACAATAATCAACAAGTGTAACACAGCCAAAATTTTAAAGTCCGTTTAAAATGAAATTAACCCCATAAAACGGAAAAGTGTTCCATTTTCTGTCCTTAGCAGATTGGCCATTGCGAAATTTAGTTTAAACATTACTCTCGCATCCAGCAGACCCATGATGACATGACACGAACAGTATTCCGAACATACATACATAATACATACGTATAGCGCATCATTCTCACAAAATAAATGTGCCCTCTACACGCCATAAGACGTATAGTAAAGGGATGTTTGTTTTACGGCCGGAAATTAAAAATTTATACTGTGTGCCGTACCCATCCATACGTATGCATTTAAAGGACAGTATTATGATTATCCTGGTAAATGACATTATTCAATAAATAATGCCCACTTTCCCGTGTCCCGTGATGCTTGACTTTTGTCGGGATGAAATTCCTAAGCAAACAATATCCTCATCACGTCATGCGATTATCCATCCTTGACTTTCTCTCTGATCAAAATATAACTCTGCCAACATCCGGAGAGTCGTTTTACATGTTCTCTCAATTTTTGTTAAAGGACAATAAACTTGTGTTATACATGCATATTTGCCCTGTATGGCAGGAAAAGGTCGAATTATTTTATTATACACCCACCACCACCACCTCCAGAGTGCATAATATATTCCAGGCCAACTCGGAGAGAGAAAGTTAGTGTGTAATACCCGGGGAAAGGATGACTCGGAGGGGAGACGGAAAAACCCGCAAATGTGAAAACTTACTTATACTACTGCTTACTATCAACCAAGTCCTGCTTTCACTAGAGAGAGGTGTTGCAGAAAGGCAGAGATTGGAGAGAATTCTTCCGTCTTTGAGTGAGAGTTGTACTTACAAAATCACCCGAAAAGTCACATTTCTTTACACAGGAGAGAGGTCTGCTGTGTGCTACACGGCTACTTAATCGTTCAAGGACAATTTGTTGCTGGGTCTTGAGTGAAGTGAGTAATGGAATCATTGTAGTTTAAAATTGAAGCTTTATTGAAAAGTTTTTAGATTTTGGGGAGAAACCGTAAAATGCAAAACGTAACTAAAACTTGTCTAGCGTGGAGTCGTAGGTGAAGACAAATAGATGAGAGACAGGATCAGTTTAAGAGTGAAAGTTGGTGAGAATTTTAAGAAATGAAGACAATTTTAGCATTTTTAGTGAACTTTTGTGCAACATAAATGTGGGGAAATTCGTCTATCTTCTCCTCCACATTTATAAACTGGAAAGGGAGCTGTACTAGTAATTTCTTACTGGATGGTGGCCCCTGTGGCGGATTGCGCCCAAGTCTCGTCGACATCACCACCACCAAGACCACGATCTCCGAAAAGTTATGCATGCCACGAGTGCACAACGTGTCGTTTCATTAAAACGGAAACACAGCTTGGAACGGGCCCGCAGTAGGAGTCGCCTCCAACGCGGTCTTACGAATGGCGACCTCTCCCGCGACGAGCCGGATGAAGACGATAAGGTGAATAATTCACCCCACAAGTCGTGGTATGTGAGAAAATGGAATGAACGGAGAGCCGCGTTCGCATCAGCTAAAAAGGTACGCACCGAAAAACTAACAATGCGATGGTGTGAAATGTAACCCTCCGATTTGGCTGAAATTTTAAAATTGTGTGGTCCAAGTCAATACAAGCAACGTTTCTTGAGGAAGTTTGTGCGATGATTGGAATTTGTTAAAATATTTGAGGTCAAAGTTGAAAAAATGGGCGATTCTTACCCAGCGGAGAAAGCAAACTTATTCCCTTGGAAGGGAAAAATCACCCATTTTTCAACTTCGACCTCAAATATTTTGACAAATTCCAATCATCGCACAAACTTGCTCAAGAAACGTTGCTTGTATTGACTTGGACCACACAATTTTAAAATTTCAACCAAATCGGAGGGTTACACTTCACACCGTCGCATTGTAAGAAGTTAGTAACTTATGTTAAATGATGATATCCTCTTATCTTAGAGTGGCCGCTGGCACCTATTCCACATGTTTGCCATCGTTGCCTTGCTCGGGGTGGGGTTAATGGTTGGCTCCCTGTTCGTCGGTCCGGCCGCCGGATTACTCGAAATTGGTGTGAGTGCCCTCCTTTTCTCCATATTTTGTCTCATCTTCGTCCGCTGTGATGAAGACAACACGGACGATAAGGTGGAGACCGGAGGGGTCGAATTTTCCGACATTGTCATTGAAGAAAAGGGACCTGATGGGGGTGAAGGAGGGGAAAAGTTGGCATGCCAAAGTGGTGACGATGACGAGGAGGATGGTTCCGCGTCGTCCCTGTTGACGCGAAGTAATCCGAGACGAATCCCATCCCCTTTACGCGTTTTTGGTTATGAAATGAACTTTTCACCAATTCCGGAATGTTCAGAACCAGGGTCGAGCGCGAGTAGTTTTCTGACCAGGAATAATAATAGTATGTCGCGGATGGCGAATTCTTCCACGGGCGACAGTCTGTCCCGGGTGAGCAGTAAGACGTCCTGCACTGCGGGGAAGGAAGGAAGTCCGATCACGGAAGAGGGGGAAGATTTCGATTATGACCAACAATTACAACTTAAATTGGACGATATGGGTGAGATATTGATGGCAATCATTGGCAATTTTTTTTTACTCACATTGGGGACGCAAACCACGCTCAACCCAGATTATTTTTTGACCATCTTAAGTAATTCGGAATAGCAACTCGATAGAAACAAAATTTAGTGCGACACTTGCGCAGATTCGAAAAATTCAAGTTATGGGCGCTGCTGGTTTGCGAAAACGCGCGGTTTTCCAGCGGACTTTGTGTCTTGCGGCAAAAGCGACAGCTTTCTCGAACCTGTGGCGCCTATAACTTGCTGAATTTTTCGCATCTGCATAAGTGCCGCACTAAATTTTGTCTCTAACGAGTGGCTCTACCAAACTAACATGGTAAAAAATAATCTGGATTGAACATGGGTTGCGTCCCCACTGTCAGGATGACCTCTATTTTTATTTATGAATGCAGGACCACGACCCATATTTCAAACCTACTCGATTGACGATGACTCATTTGATCACGACCTCTTGTCCCTATCTCCGTCGAAACTTTCCAACAATTCGGCCAGTTTTGACGACACGGACGACAGCATCACGGCCGACTTATCCGTCGTGACGGTCATTGGACGGGGCGATTGCGCCAGTAGCAGCCCAAAAGAATCGACATCATCTCGAACACCAACTCCGCCGTGAAGTTGTAGATATCAAATTCTCTGCAGACAGGCGACAAATAAAAAAATGGAATCAATGGGAAAATTCAGTTCAATATTTTTATCACTTATCAACACAGAAATAATATATAAAGAAAATTATGATAATACTAGTTCGATAATCTTTTTTGTATGTACTAAAATTAATTAGTTTAGTAAATTAGTAAATATGACTCCTCAGCTCGGTAATGATTCCAGCAGAATAATAAATTGTGATCGATTTTAAATCGGTCACTTAAATAGTTAAAAAATAGGTTTAATTGCTACATTAAATTTGCAGCAATACATAATTACCCTCAGAATATATAAATTGTTATAAATTATATTATTAACTTATAAACTTGAGTCTAATGAATAGTTGGCCTTGTTATAAAGTTGACACACGCATGCATTCCGTCAACTTTTATAAATAATTAATTATAATTATTGATCTAAAAAACGCGTGCAAATAATTTTGCTGATGTTTGCATATTGTTGCAAAATTGCCACTATTTAAATAAATACATATTTGCGAATTGTTAATAAGTAGAGAAGCCTCTTACGCTCTAATAAAATAATAATTAAAACTGAATTTCTAATTTTAAGCAAAAATTGCCAAATCGCATAGTCTTGGAAAAATAGGATGCCGTGTTATTAGCATTAAATAAAAGCGTGTTAAAAATAAAGAGACTATCAGCGTTCGAAATGAATTAAATTGTGTATTTCATAAGATAAATAAAAAATAAATTATTAATACACTTATGTATGAAATGAGATTATTATGTAAGTTTTAGTCAATAATTGTATGTGAAAGTTGGGAAAATTATATAAAAATGTTGGCTGGGCAGAACATGGATAAATTATGGAACCAAATAACACATCGAAAAACGATTGAACAAAAAAATCTTTGTAATAAAATTTTAAAAAATGAACTTGATCAAAGAATGTAATACTGCATTCGTTAGTGTAAGAGGTGGATCAAGACTCGTCTCATTTTGTATCCATTCAGTAACAAGCTGCATTATTTTGTTCGTTGATTTGTCGGATCAATTGCCCTTTGAAACATTAGGGGTTTACAATCGACTTATTTTGGTTTTCCCACAAATTATAAGTCATTTCTATAAATCAATTATAAGTGGGTTCTATTTGAATGCTCCACTTTTTGTTTAAATTTTATGTTGTATGCAATTCAGGCGACTGAAATGCATTAAACGTCAAAATCATTGCAAAAACAAACATAGTAGCTTTAAAAAGCCCTAAAACTTCAACAATAGGTACAACCTTTGAATTCTTGCCTAATATATAAATTACATGATATTTATGAAGTGAAATGATTGAAAATTTAATCTTCACTCTCATTTGAACTTCCCATTTTAAATATTTCACTGCACTATCGTAATTAAACCAATTTCAATTATGCACCATTTTAAATAACTTGAATACGGATTAAAACTCGATTGAAAAATAATTTATTGGGCAGCAAGTGCCCTGTAGCAAATTTGAGTGAGTGAAATTTCAACGGCAGCTGATGCTCAAAACAAGCGAAATAAGTGTCTTATTCCAGAAAAAAGTCAATCCAGGAGACTTATTTTCCGATCACTTATAAGTGAAATACTAGCTACTGCGCATGCTCGCGCAGTGTCACTTAAAAGTGGAAACGACTTATAAGGGGTCGGTACACTTATAAGTCAACATTTTGTAAACACCTATTGAATGACAAACACGCATATATATGCTCCATGATTCTTAAGGTGCCACAGGTGGGCGAAGTTAGAAATTTCAGCGAAGCGTCAAGCCTATAAAGCTATGACCGAGTTTTATTTGAAAATTAAAGGACATTTTGACACCTGAAAATGTTGAAACAGAATAATAAGTACGAAGAGAAAGTCCAATCTTATCTGGACAAGGAGAGTTTGGGCGAAAAACGAGTTGAACATGTTTGTGCAGCAGATTGGTAAAGAAAATTATTGTTGAATCATAAATCGGTGAAAGTTGATGATTTGAGTTAGCGAATTGTCATGTAGGCCGATTTTACAGTATTTTCGAAAATTATAATCACTAATTAAAGTTAAACTTATCGACAATGTTCCAGATTTTCATTCATGAAAAGAGTAATCATACACAAATGAGATACTTTTGTAATGCAGAAATTATTTATTTACAATATCAAGAATCCATGTCACACGATAATTTGTGGATTGATAATTGTCCAATTTAATTATGAGCAGATTTCTTTCCTGATTTTTTGGGAATCATGGATTTTATCCCGTCTCCCACGGCTTTTTGGATCTATCACGTATCATAAATTCACAGTTTAATTAGTGGCTTATCAATTGCTTATTCAATCATCATTCATACCTTCTTCCCTGCAGCAGTTGCAGCATCGGCGACGGCTTCTCCTGATTTGACCGCGGCAGCGACCATGGCGCCCGGACCACCCCCACCACTGGCGGGAGCAGCGGAATTAATGCTCCCTCCGATTCCTCGGGTGGGACGTTTTTTGTGCCATTTGCCGTGACAAGTCTTGTTCTTTTTAGGCGCTGGCGTGGTTGTGGTAGCCTTGGTCGTGACAGCTACATATTGTTAAAAAAATTTAAAATTATGATTAAAATTTTTGAAAAATTGATTTACACAAAATTTAGTATATGTATTTACCTTGCCCTTCGGCGACAGGGTCAAGGATTGAAACGTAGCAGACGAACGCCACAAGGGCAGCGAGAAGTACGAATTTCATTTTTGTTTTGGATTTGGATTTATGCACACTGAAAATCTGGAGAAAGTTAGCTAATCAATGTGATGATAAAATGTGGTGAACTGCGGTTCCCTTTTATATGAAAAATATTAGGATCTGAAAAAATGGATTCTATTCATAATTTTTTGAAATCTCTTGTTCAATACACGCACAAATTGTGTGGAGATGATTTCGCTTTTGTTACACATTTTGAGGTAAATGGGTGTATTTGTATTATGGCATGTCGGTAATAGGGTGGGTTCCAATAATTTCCGGATTCTGATTGTGATCTGTTATGAAACCTGGCATGTTAGATCTTTCGTCTGGAAAATAATTGAATTTATGTCAACATCATAATTTCACAGGATATGGATGATTATAATTCATAATTCACGGAGCATGCACGTTTACAATGATGGTGGAGAATAATCAAATTTTTGTTCAATAATTTGAAGTATTGTAAGTACGACGCGTGGAGTAATTGATTCGCAATTACTCCACGCGTCGTATTTACAATAGTTTAAAAATTATTTGTGGTTATTTATCATCAATTAAAATAAGTAAATTCGCATCCGGAAATCACGACAGTACGCGATCAACAAAAAAATCTAAAAATTCAGAAACTTAATTTGCATGCTACGAATCTAATCTAATCAAAATATGCACATCCCATTTTTTTTTACTCGCATCCTCAAAAACATGAAATGCAAAATTTGAAAGTGTTTTTGTTTTTGCAAAGCTGCCACAAAACACGATAAATTCATACTGACAGCAAGTCATAATCTTATGCATGAAATTATAACATGATTTACCACAAAAAATTCTTTAATCTCATCTCATCCTCACAGCGGAATATTATTCTCATAAAAAATCCTCTTTGCCAAACAAATGCACCTAATTTATTCCGTCAAGAAGAACAACAAAAAAACACAAATTGAGTTATTACACTTCGCCGAATATGTAGTTTCCATTAAGCTTCATAAATAACAAAGAAAACACAAGAAGACCCAGGAAATCTTATTTCGTTACTTTCTCCCGTATACTAAAAATATGATGTACATGCATCGAGAGGAAGGAAGAAAGGGCATCATGATTAGCAAAGCAAGCAGACCCACACAACTTTTCTAAGCTGTTATGCCTTGGAGAAAGGCAGTGCTTTTGCCTGCTCAGTGGCCGCGGAAGGGTGCGGACATTGTCCCTCTGTCCCCTCTGTTCTTCAATGTCCCCATCATCTCCCCATCTTGTATAAACCCCTCCCTCCCCCATCCTACAAGGTTAATGTCCCCACAGCTTCCGCGGCCACTGAAGGTTGTTAGGTAGGTACTTGTTTTGTACACTATATTATGCATTATTCTGCCAACGACCGTGCCAAACTATGTGCAAGGTTCTCTCTAAGAAGCGTGTGGATCAAGCATGTCTAAAGAAAATAAAGCCCTGCTTCTGCTTTCTCTTACACCAGAACCACCACCACTAAACTGAAAACTCGAAAACTTTCACTCGCACCCATACCAAACCAATCGATACCCACCAGAAGACGGGCATCGCATAGTACACAACTTTCACTGAACTGGACTGGAGACTACCTCCGTAGAAAATATATACGCGGAGAAAGCAGCTTCACAGTCCAATCTTCTTCTCTCAATCAACTTTCATCTCCTTGTGTACACAAATTGAGAAAGAATAATAATGTAAAAGAAGTCCAGGGTAGGAAAGCAATATTCTTCTCCTGGCTTCAAAGGGAGGACTACTTATCAGGTGAATAGCAAATAAGTAGGATCGAGTGGGCATGATTTCAATCCATCATTCCGAGATTTGATCGATTCGATTAAAGAGATTTTTTTTTCTGGAAATTTAGAAGAAAGAAAAATGGAGATCACGTTGGTTGACGAATTCACCAGCGTGGCGGAGGGGGAGTGGGGCGATTTTATCTTCAGATTGGCTGATACGTCGTACTACCCGATTATCTTGGATCATCTGAGGGACACCTTGTACGTTGACGAGCCACTGAATCGACTCGCTGGAAATTCCCTCGCCAAACAGAGTGAGCTGGATTACTTGGCGATACAGTTTATGGAGGAGAATCTCTCCTTCTTTGCCATCCATAAGCCAACGAATCGTGTAAATAGATTTGTTTTATGGATTTAATTTTTGTGGGGGGGATTTCTTAATTTTTTTGGGTGAACAGGTCGCTGGGGTGAGAATCATGCGGGAAATGACGCGTGAAGCGAAAGCCCCAAATATGGAGGCGTTCCAGTCGCTTGAATTGCATAAAATGATTCCATTCTGCCTCAGTATTCAGGAAGATTGCAAGGTTTTTGATAAGTTGGGGGTCGAGGTAAGGAATTATTAATTAACTTGCATACAAAGTTTTCGAAATTTTGAAAAAATGTTTTATTTTAAATTCTACGATTTTTGATCGGTGAAATATTTTCTTTCAGGAAATGGTCACCTTTGTGACGATCTCGGTGGACAGGGAATTTCGTCATCAGGTTGGACATATAATTTTGCAAGTCAAAATCTAACCCATATTTTAACTTTCTCTTATTCTTTTAGGGTCTCGGAACGGAAATGTATCGCAGATCGATCGCACTCCTGAAGGAGAAAGGTTATCATGCTGTCGATGGGTGTTTTACGCATCCGTATGCACGCACGATTGGCGAAAGGCTGGGGTTTGTGGAGCTCGGAAGAGCATACGTTAGTCAGTATGAGGATGCAAATGGGGTCAAAGTATTTCCGGATGCGGGTAAGAAATTGCTTATCAATTTAAAAATAATGATAAGTAAACTTATATATTTCTTTCAGAACCGGAAGACTTCGTCAGCCTGATGGCACTTAAATTTTGAAAGTTTAGTCATTATACTTACAAACATATTATGACCCCTTCTGAATCTCATTACCCTTTCGTGCCCAAACTTGAAACAATCAAATGCAAAAACGTGCAAATATTTCTGAATTTTACGAAAAACACAGCGATAATTGATAAATTTTCTCCCTTAAAGGCAGACATCTTACTGTAGAAAATTTGTAGAATTTTTGCAGTAGGTTGTACCACCTAGACATTTACTTGAGATAGACATGTTCATTTGCAGCAATAATAATAATAATGCATTGATTTTTTGCCTTTAATAGAAACTAGAATGATAAGTGCTTATCTACAAATCAAGTTGCCTCTATTTAACACATAGAATTGCACACCTTGCTTGATTTTTCCAACAACTGCCCTAACATTGCCTGCAAAAAAGTATGCAAATATGTACATATGCAAAAATAATAATGTCCCTTTGCTAAAAGAACAAACCTTGTTATACTCATGAGTACAGTACAGACACCTGTCAAGATATATATGCAAATCTGTAATTAATGTCCAATTAACTAAGCAAATAATTAACTAACTTTCCAATAATTAAACTGACAACTACCTAAGTACATACTTTTCCACTCTACTATCAATGAATTGATAATTTATGATGATGACGAAGAAATAATTGATAAATTTCTGACCACTTTCAAAGAATTCGAATTTCAAACCGATTCAGTATTATTGCTGAGGAAGAAAAAAAACTTGCCTCTTTTATCTTAATCTTAATCTTTGGCTGTCTATGCACCTTTTAAACGGGACTTTCTCCAGTCTGGAAATGTAATAACAATGCAACAAAGTAGCTTTCATTTAGATAATCACAATGTTCAAATAAATATTGAAGAGTAATAATTGATGTTTGTAGTTTATAATATGTAGGAGATTGATGATATGCTTGTTCAAAAATGTTAATTGTTATTTAATTATGCATTAAAATGTAAAAAAATGGATGGAGGAAAGCAATAAAGAAAAGCAAATACAACTTGTTGGAGAAACGATGTTGATAAAAGTTTTATGTATTTTGACTGCAGCACTTATCATTCACTCAGCTTAAGCAGGATAACCACTTATCCGTGTTTACGCATAAATAAATCACTAGTAAATGAGGATACACAAATTGGCGAGGCAGAATGAGACGTGACTTTATTGACTAAATGACGACACGAGCATATGGCTCAAAATACGTACATTTCGAGATTCCGTCTGACAAGAATAATAATAAAAGTTCACACGAAATGATGACAAATCAATTAAACTCGTGAAAATAAGTCAATATAAATCTGAATTTGAAATAAATTTGTGAATTTTTACTTATTCAAAAAATAGCCGGAATGGAAACTATTTTGTGAAAGGATTGTTAATACAGAAGAATCGAAGATAAAATGAGTTCTAGTTTTTGCAATTTGTAATCTGTGTGAAGACTTTAAAGACTGGATAAGCCAGATAAGTTGTAATCAAAATGGTGTCACGAAACCTTACCGAGGTTTTTATCCTCATGCGGAACAATTCTATGACGAGTAGGCAAATCTATAATGATCAGGTGGCATAATCAATTAGGATCATTGTTAAATTATTAAATTAACTTACTAAATTAATTATTTGATTGGTAATTCGTAGACATCAGATTCTACCTCAGACCGTGTCGCCCTGATAAACAAGCGAAGACCATTAGTCGTCGAGGAGGACATCGAACTGGGTGGAGATCCGAGTCGAGATTCGTCCGAATTTCTGAGCATTCCACCCCCTTGGATCGACGATCTGGAAGATATTAGATACAATACGACACTTATCTCGCAAAAAACCAAGGTAGTCCATACAACAATGTAAAATAACGTGCGATAAAGTTAACCGAAATTATGTATAGGAACTTGACCAATTGCAAACTAAACACGTTCAACGACCCACATTTGACGACGATGCTACAACCGAACATCAAATTGAGGATGTTACCCAATCCATCACGAGGGTAATTAATTAATAACTCGATTGATAATTGTGACAATATATAATTTAAATTTGTGAAATTTTGTCCAGTTGTTCTCCACATGTCATCGGATCGTGCAACAAATGCAGGGCAAAGGTCAGCGATCGTCCTGGAGTGAGAAAAAGTTGAAGGAAAGCGTCATTAAGTCGGTCATCCAGTCACTGCAAGAGCTCTCAACCAGTTTCCGATCTAGTCAAGGAACTTATCTGAGAAGTACTTAATGATAAAAGTCAAGATGAATTACGAATAAGGAACATTATTTAATTAATTGTTACTTATTCTCACATAGAAATTACAGCGAGAGAAGAAATGTCTGATCGTTACTTTGAAATTCCAAATCTCATCGGCGAAGAGGCCGGACCTTACCGGTACGACCAAGACTTTCTCGAGGTGAGAGATATTTAAAAGCGCCGAATCTCCAGATTAATTATTAAACGTCTTAATTCTAATTAGGGAAATGTCCACAAAAACCAAGAGTGGACGCAACAACAACTCCTCGCCCTGGAAGATGACAATGTCCATTTGCAAGAAAGGGAGCGAGAAGTTCAACAAGTAGTCAAGTCGATTATGGACCTCAACACGATATTTCGCGAGTTGGCTTCCATGGTCAAAGAGCAGGCCGATATGGTGGACAGGATTGATTATCATGTCGAAACGACCCATATCAAGGTGGAAGAGGGAACGAAACAGTTGCAAAAAGCGGCCAATTATCAGAGAAGAAATCGAAAATGCATATTTCTAGTCTCTTGTGTCATTCTCACAGTGTTACTCATTTTCCTCCTCGTCGCGCTCGGAACGTAGTTTTAAATTGAGGTTTAATTTACAAAATTGTCATTCCGTGAAATAAGTTAATGGGAACTGTCTTCAGTTACGAAATGTGCAAAAAATTCAGAATGAAAATCATGTGTTAAAATTTTGCATTCATATTTTGCTATCACTATAATTTTATTTCTTGAAAGTCAAATCCGCACTATGTAACTTATTCTTAAAACATTCTTGTCATGTCATTAGATAAAGTTAACCAGTTACCGATGCAGCATAATTTATTGACAATCACCTCCTTGATATTAATTATTTTAATTTAGTTTATTAGTCTATATGTAGAGTTAGCTGGATATATACATACTTAGCAACTTTTAATTGACGCATGTGGTGCTCTTGATCTGAAACACTCTCAATTAATCAATTACAGTAACCATATCCTTTTGTTTAACTTCTCTGCGAAATGACTTGCATTTATCATGACAAACATATAACAATCATCATAATTTTTTCGATTATACTGTTCAAATGTTGAGGAAATAAATATTCCATTCCATACGAAATTTGAAGTTGGAGAACTATCACCTTTTTAATCATTTCTCATTATTTACCAAGCATAAAATTGACGAAATAGGCTTCATGGTTTGTCAATCTTTCTCAAATCTCATTTTACCAAAGAGCGAAGAAAAGTTCCCTTTCACTCAGGGTTACATTACATGAAGTAAAATAGAGACCTGGCATTTGAAGGTTATTCTGCACCATTGTCCGAATGGTAAACAAAAAACGGAAAATTTATCCCGCTGTACAAAAAAAAATCCGCAGGTATAATGTGTTGACTTTACTAATAGCCCTTTTTTCGGAAAAGAATTCTAGATGAGATCAAGTTTCCCAATTACTTTGTTTTTATCTCGCTCTTATTTTTAGCAAAATGTCAAGTCAAGTGGTTACATAAGTAGGTGGTGTAGTTTATTACCCACAGAATCATCTACGTACGTAATACAGCAAATGTTAGACAAAACAAAGAGAGGATGACGTTCTGAAGTTCTGCGAATCAAGAAGGTCAGAGTAAAAGAGTCGCCAGTAGAAAAGTGGAGTTGAAGTTCATAACATGACAAGTTTTGGATTTTTGCCAAAAAATAATGATTATTTTCCAAGAAACTCATCAAGTTCAAGATGTAGTAATTTCTTGATTGGTAAGTCAAAAATTTTACAATCTTGTACTGTTCAGCTTTAAATATTATCACGAAATAGCAGTAAAAATTGAAAAAAATAAATGTCATGTTTCTCAAGAAAATAAACCAATGTCTCCAGGAATATGCATACATTGCATATGCATTTTTACAACCACTTAGCACCTACAATTAGCAAGTACATAAATACATACATATACTCATAATATAATAAATGGACATGCCAAAATTTGCCCGTGCAAAAACTAAGGCCTGAATCATATACATATTTATAATGAGTTGGTCACAAAAAATTATCATGCCCAAATTTTGTCCAACTTTATTATGTATGTAGCTGTAATTCTGTATTCCAAGAATTGCACCAGGATTACAGTACGTATGTGTGCATGTAAGTAGTATTACGTACGTGCTTGGATAATTTGAGCTCATGAATAATTCAGGTGAATCCATTTTAGATAAAAAATCTGTACTTTTCATTCATTCTTTCAGACAGATTTTATAAATTCGTATGCACTGCATTCATGTCACAAAGTCACAAGTTTAAAAAAATCCACCTGTTGTACATAATTCCTTACTTTTCAGACCTGAATACGAGCAGTTGTCACTCCATAAATACAAATTTCAATTTGCATGTAAAACCTGTAAAAAATATGGAGACATAAATTAGTGAAGTGAAGATCTTGTTGTGACTTATCGTCACTTAAACAAATTTGGAGTCAAAAGTCAAATCTTCCTCACCCACTCAAGTTACGAGAATGAAAAGCATCTTCGTGGAGGTCTGGTACATAAATAAATATTAAAAATTAGCTTGCATTGCGTTGCGTGCAGAATTGTTTATTTTTTGCCGACATAATGATCCTTGATTTTGAGCATTATAATTTTTTTCTACATGTGTCAAACGAAACTTGTGTTTAAAATTGGACAAGTAATATGTTAATGTTAGGTACTTAATAAGCAGTTAGTCAGTCCAGTGTTTAGTTGGTTTACTGGGCAAAAACCAATATTTAATTACATCACATACTTACTACAACATGCACAATAATAAAATACATAAATGTGTAATGTTATTCAGGCTTCGTGACAGGAGAGAATGAACATTTAGTTAATAATAATATCAGTATCACAACATTATTTTGTCGGTTTTGTCCAGCCATGCAGTGAGCTGAGATATGAGAAGGCAGGATGCATTACATATTTATTATGCACGATAAGTTGTTCACTTTTAACTTTAGCCGGAATTTTACATGAGTCATGACTAAAAACTACCCTGCAATTTGATTCTTCTAAACGACCAACCATACAATAAACAACTATGTTTGGGTTATGATTATTATTATGGCCAACTTTTTTGGCAGGACGAGGGCGACAGAAATTTAGTAGCTTTCAAAGAAGTCGGAGGTTGACCATGAGAATTATTTCGGTTAGTTAGTTATCAACATCGTTCCGAACATATCAAGTCTGCAAAGTCGGACTGGAGTTGGTTGGATTTGATTACGTAAAAAAAGGCAAACATTTTGCTATCCATGCAGGATCATCATCATAAAGATCACTCATCAGTCGTCTGTTTTGTGTACGCGTAGAGTGGTGAGTGAAGTAATTTTAGTTTATCTGTGGTGCAATCGATGGTGGTTGGTGACCCTGGTGGATGTGTTTTTGATATCTGTTTACTACATGCGTGATGAGGATCTGTTTTGGTGAGCATCGATAAATTCGGGATAATTGAATTATTCGTAAAAACTACTGGAACAAAGAAAGTCCATTTAGAGACGAAATAAACTTGATTAATAGCAATTTACTGAAGTGAATCATAAAATAATAATTGAGTCAACTTTTAATTTAGGGGTAGTTAAATAAATAAAATAGCATGTACATATGCGGTTACAAAGTTGCAGACCACAATCTTAATCAATAGGAATTCTGGACGCGAGAGGAAATAACCTTGCTCTTTGGAATGAATGAACGGAATGTAACGCACGAGAAGGACAATTTTGTAAAGTGGTCAGTTCCAAACTGGATTTTTTGTTTGTGAAATTAAGTTGTTAAATTGCTATAAATAAATATCTTCACCCGTGTTGGGGAAAAATGGGGGTGCCAAAAAATAAGCCACTTTTTTGTGGACTCGTCTTACTGCTGGTGACAATTGTACTCCCGAAAGTGAAATGTGACCACACCCACGTCGAAGTGATAAAATGTCCCGATTCTCCGTTAAGATTAAGTGCCCCGTGGAGAATACAAGTTCCCAGCTACCCATTCACGATGAATGTGACTCTCAGGTACCAATCGCAAGAAAATTACGTATCTACATTAGCTTTATTTATGGTACTCAACTCTTAATTTGTTTTCCTTTTGGCGTAGACAAAGCACGCAAACCTTCTTCTACTGCTCGGACAATCCTGCAACGTCGGTGAAAAACGTAGCCTACTTTTTCACAACGGAGGAAGAGTTGGCCGAGCTCGAGGAAGAGTTTGGACCTCAACAAGCAAGGACTTTTTTGATGGAGAAGGTTTACCTGACGCCACAGGGAGTGCTGGCCGTCGACCATGCAATGTACAGAGGGGACGAGTTCTGTCTTTTTAATTACACGTAAGGAGGACAATTATGCATGCATTTTAGAAATGCAAAAAATTGCATACACATTTTACTAATTGATAATTAAATTTTGTCGCATTCTGTGATTTTTTTTATTGCACATCCGGTTCAATTATCTCATACATATGACGCGTGGCATTCTGCGATGAGTACATTACTCATGTTCATCCTGTCTACTTATCTTCAGATTAGTTAATATGTCCAATTTATTTATTTTTTAGAGCCATGACACGCAATGGTCAACCCGAACTGATATTTAGAATCTGTCCTACCAATTGTAGCAGCAAGGGTTCCGGTACTTCGGCTGTGGATAAAAAATCTCTCAGAAATGAGCCCTGCATCAAGAAATGTTGTCCGACCGGTATGGCTGTCGATTTTTCTGAAGGACATCCCGATTGCCTCCCCTCCTCCCCAGATCGGAAGGTGTGGGAAGGAAAGTTTTACAACAGCCGGACCTGGAAGAGGATGTCCCCCGAGGAAGAAGCCAAACTACGCCCCCACTACTTTCATCACATCCTAAGCGCAAACTGTACAAAGTTTGAGACCTGGTTCGGAAAAGTGGTCACACAGGGAAATAATACAAATCCGAAGCAGTCGTACGTAAAGAAAAATACGATCTAAGCTGATTATGCAGATTTTAAACGGTGCGTTGTTTGTTACTCAGAGCGAGATTGCTTTCGGACGGGAACATGATTTACATAAGTGGAAATCGACGCTGGGAAGTGCTCGATGGCGTGGACTTCTGCCTTGACGGGATGCAAAACATTGAAAACGATGAAAGTAGTCCGGTTTCAAAAGATGATGGCGATTCGTGGCCTGAGTCGGATCAGGTCCTCGTCATTTGCGCGACGGATTTCAAATCGGCTAAAAGTGTTAGTTTTTATTACTTTTTCATGCAAACAGTTTCATGCAAATAGGCAAGAGTTTAAACATAATGTTTTTATGTATGTAGAGGGACCAGTCAATTGTGTATATGTATTTCCTCTTCGGGGCGGCCTTTTTCTACTGGCTGACCGCCCTGGTGCACGGATTATTGTGGGATAAGCAGAATTCGAACGGCTGGTCCATGTTTTGTCTCACTTTGTCGATGGGTTTTTGGAGTATTTTTATGGGGAACGCTCATCGCCTGGGATTAGATGGGGATCCGGCGTTGAGAAAGTCAAAGACTTGCGTGGCGAATGGTTAGAGCAATTTTGCCAGTTTGCATGAAAGATGCGAATTCTGAAATGTATGATTTTTTTTGCAGCGATCCTGGCACATTTCTTTATGCTGGCTGGATTCACATGGCTGACGCTGATTAATTACAGCATTTGGTCAACGTTCAGGTATTCACGAATTACATTGTAGAGAAATTTACATATCTATATTATTTAATTTTTCCCCTATTTTTTAGAACTTTGGCACCACGAGCTGAAGGGAAAAATCTTAAACAATTAGTAAAATTCATCGTAATTGGATTTGGATTCCCACTAACCATCGTGTTAGTTGGAGTGACGTTGGAGCAGATATATCCGTAAGAAAACAAAAATTTCATTCGAAGACATAGTTTTAGATAACAGCTTATGTTATCTACTACTTATAATTTAGGGACAAGGAGAGCCTGGTCATCATCCCAGAATACGGTCACAATATCTGCTTCGTTGCCGAATATGCGCAAGGAGTCTACATCTACTACATTCTGGGCGTTTTATTCGTCATAATTTTCACCCTGTTTGCAATGACGTGTCTCAAATTGCACCAGTTTCAGCAGGACACGGCCACGGTTAGATCAAAGTCGACTGCAGGGGATAGGTCGATGTCAGTACAAATAAAATAAAAATATGGTCACTAAAATGAGTGTTAAAATTCTATTTAAATTCCAGGGCCCAACTTTACGCCAAGCTCTCGGTCGTTCTTGGCATTACTTGGGCCTTTGAATTCATCTCCTGGGCTCTCACGAATGACGGACAAAGCTGGTTTTGGGCTTTTCCCGATCTATACAATCTCCTCACGTCAGTAATCATTTTCGTCATTTATGCCTGTAAACCAACCACGATTCATCAAATGGAGCAAAAGTACCCCTTCATTAAACGTGAGTGAAAAAAGCTTTGTCCAATTTAATGCGGGTCGGAAATTTTGTAAATGTGTGTCCAATTTATGTTATAGCGGTCACCCAAGCAGTCGGAAAAGTGGTGACGGCGGCGAGACAGACATTCCAAAGTGAACCAGCCTCCAATTCGACGGGTACGTCACATGTTTATCAGCAAGGTTCAATTGCCATGAATGCGTCAGGACTCGAGAAGGGCGAATCAAAGTCAGGGATAGAAATGTCCAGAGTGGACATTAGTACAAAGACGATGGGCGCTGGTGGGGACAAAGAAATTGTGAATGGAGATTCAAAGGAGCGATAGTTGGAGGTCAGAATTTTTGTGATTTTGTTTCGATTTTTAGATTCAAGAACAACAAGTATGTTAATTTGTTATTAGTTAAGCCGTATTGTTTTATGTGTGCTTTTTACTAAGGAAGAGAAAGTCAATGCCTGCATACTTATTATTACTCACTCGACAACAACGACACTCATCATTGTATAATAAGAAATGTTCATTTATACATTATATTGTTTTTAATTTATTTGTATGTAACTTATCTAGGTACATGTGTATGACTAATCATGTAAATATTTCTAAGATTTAAACTAAAGAGGACTATTTATGTAATTATGTATAGAGATATAAGAAAACAACAATAGTGAAATATAATCAAACGGGAGATTGCTTACTATAAATTATAGTCTATAATTCAGACATTTCGTTGTTGGGAGGTTTGCATGCATAACTGTGAACATGCATATTTTCTTTTCTTATACATCACATAAACTTTGACTTACGCAGCTATTGATTCATCGTTAGACTCGTCAGAGTTAAAAATGCTGGTCATAGTTACGTCAGGTGGACCGTCGAATCGAATGTGCTGTGATGATTTCGCAGCAGCACGAAGGAGTCTATCTTTTCCACGCTCCTTTTTTCGAGGTTGTTGCTTCTTCTTGTGTTTCAAAGCTTCTTGGACGCGAGCTTTGTATTCGAGTGATTCTTGGACTGTAAATTGATTATAAGTTGAATAATTAAATGAAATAATATGGAATAGTAAATATGTACTGCAGATTTTTTCACCTGTTAAAATTTTCGACCACTTGAACACCTTTTCTGCATTATGAACAAAGGTGAGAAACCTATCGGCAAAGAATTCGTCCTCTCCAAATCGCACGTAAGCTACCAGTCCACCTTCTTCATAATCGACGTATTTCACTAATTGGCTGATGGCTGCTTCTTCTTCCGATTGGCCACATAAGTCGACTTGGATTTGTCTCTAAATAAGGCAAATAAATAGTAGATTGATTATTTAAAAATAAATCCGTTTATTATTAGTTGGTGAATAAGTTTATAGCCTACTTTAAATGCCTCCACCGATTCTGCCGGAGAGTCCATGTGAAGTTCGACAATGTTACCATGCTTGCTCTTTGGCTCTTCAGAAACTTGACAGTTTTTGTAATATTGCTCCCTCAAATTGTGCTCTCTTAGTTGCTGCTTCAATTTGGACATGTTTTGTCGCTGAAGATTCAGATAGCGATTCCTTAGCTGTCGCCAGGTACGTTTAGGCATTACTCGTAAATGGATAGAGTCCCCTTCCATTCTTTCCTCTGGAGTTTTTGTTAATTTATTCCTTTTCTTTCGCTTCTTCTTTGTTTTTTCTGCAGCAATAATAAAATTCAATAAAATAAACCGTCAAACACATAGAGTTATTTTGGCCAATTAATTACCTCCGTGTGCACCATGTACATTCTCATCCGCGTCTTCTCCCATTTCAGCTTCAACGACGGAAACAGAAGAGGTAGGATTAGTCAGCGTGTCCGTCCCAACTTCGGACGAGGGTGTCGTAACCGAGACAGTAGATCGGACCGATTGACTTTCTTTTGGTCGTTTGGTTCGATCAGAGTCAGAATTATTCGAGGGATCGTCGTCTAATTTTCTCTTTCTGGAATTTTGTTGTCCAACTTTTGCCGGAGATTTCCCTACATGAATTAAAATTAGTCAAGATACACAAAATATAATCAATACAGTATTTACATTATGCAGATAAACAAAATAAAAATAAATGAACAACTTCCTACCGGAATCTGACGTGGCCCTATTCTGATTTTGTTTCTGTTCCTCATTAAATGTCAACACGCTCATTAGCTGACCAGGGTCCATGTCATCCGGAAGAATGGAGCCCTCTCCTTGATAAGCTTCAAGACATCCTTGTGCACTTTCTTTCCGCATGAATTCTATGAACGCGAACCCCTTGGGTTGACCTGACTTGAATTTTGGTAGGGAGATATATGCGATAGGACCAAAATTTAGGAAATTTTTCTCCAACCAAGCATGGTCTACGAGGCGTGGAACGTTTTCGACGTAGATTGTACACTCCTCCATTTCAGAGTCAGATTTCAACTATACAAAATATACAAAATATAGTGACATATAAATTTCGTTTGTATTCCTAATTTAATTTGCAATATCTATGTCCAACCTTCTTTGGATCGTAGGGAACCTTCCTCTTCACGCCGGTCCCGTCCTCGGAAACCGTTAAACTCTCTGAAGTCCCAGTTAGCGCCTTGGCGAGATCAGTTACCTTCTCCGTCAAACTTTTGATGCGATTAAAGTCTAAAAATTTCTCAAGTGGGACAAACTCTGCTGCAGAGACCATTTCCAACATTAGTCGGTTCTTTTTAATGTTGGCGTCACTGAAGTAGAACTCCATTTGTTTACAAATGTCGAGAAAGAGTTGGCGTTTCCGTTTGCGGTTACGTTTCTTCTTTCCAGTGTTAGCATCATCCCCCGTTTCTTCTTTGTCTCCTGCTTTTAAACAATCCCAGAAATTACTTTTATTACACAAAAATCTTTGAAAATCAAGAAGATATGTTAACTCACCAATTTCTGTTTTCTGAACCTTTACAGAATCTACGATATCTTCGCCTTGTTCCGTCTTGATTTTTTTAACTCCTTCGCCACAATTATCTTCCTCCTTCTTAATTTTCTTTGCTAATTTTACAGAATCTACGGCATCCTTATCTTCTTTCTCCACCTTGATTTTAACCCCAGATTCCGCCATTATTCTAATTTGTGCTTAACTTATCTGCCAACTTGCTTATCCACAATTTATCAATTTGATTATTATTATGCGCACTACAAATACTTCACAAAACGTAAACACATTTCTCACCAAGAAATTTACCCGCAACGTAGGCTAACCGGCAAGTTTTTTTCCACAGGCCTCAGCCCAATTTAGGCGTCTCACGTTTCCCCATCTCGATTTTCGCTACAAAAAAATTAGGAAAATCATCAAAATTTTACAAAATTTTATTATGAAAGCATCCCGTAATTTTGCATATGTACTTCTGCCAGATCTTGGGCAAAATTTCCAGCATATAGGAATCGAAATTTACATTTCCGCAAAATTTCCTCTAAAATGTGGGAGTTTCCAAAATTGGCCGTTAAGGTATACAAATTATAAACCGTTCGAGATGGATCTAAGCCATGATAAGAAATTCGTGAAATTTAAAGTAGAAATAATTTCCTGATTATGTATGTTAAAGAAACCTTTAACAAGAGAAGGGAACCCTGCAAGGTGTTTACGAAAAGGGAAATCGTATGAATATGCACTTTTCATGTTTTATTTGATTTGTACGTAACAGGGTCGGCCTTGGCGAACCCTTCAAAAAGTGTTTTTACCAGTACCCAGTTAGGAGAATTTCGGTATTTTGGTTGGTACTAACTAAATAGCAAATCATAAATCATACATCAACACCCACGGATTATTGGCAATAATTTATTGCATAAATATTAGATTCTTTCTTATAACAAACTAGACAAAAATTCAAAAGAGCGTAACAAACAAGCTAATAAGCAACACTAAATAACAAGTCCCTCAAAAATACTACTTATTTTCATCATTTCATAAATTTCTCTCCCGTCTGAAACGCAACTTTCGCCCTTGTGCAAAAACCGAGCTAGTCTATCACTTGGAAACCTCCCTTTGTCTATCCGCCTGTGTGCCGCGGTTGGCTAATAGTAAGTACAGAGGGATCTCATATCCGCTCTCTCTCTCCGTTGGTGCTGGTGCTGCCGATTTTGCTTGAATGCAACTCAACATACATTGGACGACTAGGAATGAAATAAAAGTTCTTTTCCACTAAAATTCTCTCATAGAGAGAGAGAGAGGCGAATACTGCCCATGCTAAGGAAGCAGAATGGCTGAGAGCTGAGCAACACGGGTCTGCCTGCCTGCTAACTAACCTATAACTACACTACTCCTCACTTTACTGCTACACACTACTTGTTAATTATTATTAGTCAGTCTCTCTCTCTCTCGTAAGGAAAAAACTCCCAGGTCGTAGCGTTTCAAATCAGCGACCTGTGACCTTTTTTAGGCAGCGCAGCCAGCCCTACCCAACATCAAACACGAGGGCGTACAGTACTGGATTCCGACGATTGTTGGATCCGTTGTATAAATATTTCAAAGTAAGTGGGGAAAAAAATCGACGAGAAATCTTTCTTGGTTTCTTCTCAATTAGTTAATTATTAATGTGTGATTAGATTTATGTAAAAGAGTTGATGGGGGAAAATGAAGGGTAAATGAGATGAGAGAGAGGTAGATTTCGTTATTTGTTTTTCTTTTTTCGTGGAGGAAAGGATTTTTAAGGGATATAGTTTTAATTGGGTTGTGATCTTTTTTTGTGTATTTTCAGAGGGAGTCGTTAATTATAAGGATTTCAATACGCCTCGATCAACGTTAAAGAGAAAACCCCCTTCTTGTCCTACCGTCAAGTAAGTAAGGAAATATGTCGGTTGTGGGAGAGCATGATGTGTAACTGCGACATACGAACGGATGTGATGACTCTAGGTTTTGTATAGGGGAGAGAAACTTGCGAAATTTTTGCATATTTTTTGCAAACAGTTTTCGCCATTGAGAGGTTGTGGTCATTTCAGGTTGTTTGTATTTTGAAATCAGTATCAATAGATCACAATCCCGGTGGTAGTGATTTCAGTTTGTTGTGATGATATGCTTCGCACCACGCTCCAGTCCAGCAGCGTGGTTAACTTTAGAGAGTAAACACGTGGCATTGCGTTCGAGAGAGTATCGACACGAGGTGCATCGTTAGATAGATGTGAATAGGATTAAAGTGTGTGCCCTGATTTGTATTGTTAGTTGTGCAAGACAATTATTTGGTTGACTTGATTAGATTAGATAATAAGAAAATAATAAGTATTGAAAAGTCCAAGTTGTCCGAGTCGTACCATTTTTGTAAACACAACACTACCGCCTAGACAATGTTACGTGCCTGTGTATTGTCCTAGATTTTAAATTTTTATTGTCCCCTGCCATTAGAAAGTTTATGTAAGGTGTTACAGAAATTGAGTTTCACCTACTCTACCTATACAGTACTCACTCACACATCGTAATTCGCAATTTTGATATCGACCACTGTCAACCTTTTACAAAAAGAAATAACTAATTCTTATTGTTTTGCTAGGCGTGGATTAATGTCTCGCCACACCATGTCAAAAGGGATGATGACCAAAGGACAGAAGGGAGTCGCGCGTCGCGCCGCTGCGCAACAAATACCACCTCCACCCGCGACCACCACTACCACCACCTCCGTGCTAAACAACAAAGAGCACAACAACAACACCTCCTCTTCCTCCTCATCTTCGAAGGGCAACCCCTCCTCTCAACCTCAATCCTCTGTGCCTACTTCCAAAACTACCACCTCCTCGGCCAAAGTGTTAAAGGAGGGGGGAAATAAAAACTCCTCCTCTTCCCTGCCACCCGCCGCACCCTCCTCCTCGCCAATACCTCCCGATGATCCGGCCGCCGAAGACGAGCTGCTCGACGTGGAGGAATTGGACGTTGAAGTTGTCGACGATGATGATGACGACGACGACGACGAAGAATGCGAGGAAGAAGAAGATGACGAAGAAGGCGACGAGGATGACGAAGAGTATGATAACGATACCGAACCTTGTGAAACGAGGGTGACTCCCGGGAAGAGAGGACCGCCCAACAATCCCTCCTACAACTCGAGATCCTTCACCCATTCTTCCTCCGAGGAGGATGATGAGGACGAGGTAAGCAGAATGAATAGCAATAATATTTTAATTAGCGTTTTAATTGCGGATCTATATCTGCAAGCGGAAAATTGGATTTGGGGTTTGAAAATGGAAACGAATTTTGTGGTGCACGTCAGAATCTAAATCTTGCCTTTGGTATCTTCTCCATCATTTGGTGACGATAAACGAACCTTGAAATTTGATTCGTTTTGCGTATCTACAAGACATTTTTACCCATGATCCACTTTCCGGGCCAAAACTAAACTAGATTCAAATTCCGACTAGAAGATTAAGATCTAACTCGATTTCGATATCAAATATTGATCGAGAGAGTGCACCGTTTAGTTTAAATGTTTGTACGTCAGTGCGGATTTGAGGTTATATGATTCAGTTTACAGTTCAGGTGTCGTCGTAGATTTAGAATTTCCAGGATTTCAGAGAGGTGAATATATTACATTTTTTATGCATAAGAAGATTGACGTAGGTGGATGAGATGAGCATGAAGTTATCAATTATGGATGTATCCAGGAGGATGGAATGGGTCGATTAACACGATTTGTAATATTATGTGGATGTGTTTCATATGAAATAGCAATTATTATTACGGGCTAATGACCGTCAGTATGATGATTTGAGATCAAGTTTACATTTTTTTCAAGTTTAAATGGATGTCCATTTTGCTCTTGTTTCATATTTTTTTTCTACCCGAGCACTCGGCTTCTCCATTCTGATCTCTCTTGTTTGAATTATAAAATGGTTCATCCTGTTTTAATAGTCCGTGACAATGACGAGTGCCACTACTGCGAGTTTCGCTGGATGAATATCATTGATTTATGTGTAGAAAATCTCCCAACTTGCAGCAGTGTCACACATATTTACCATACACATAAGTGTTTTGTGCGTTGTATGTACTACATTCATACTTGGACTTGCATGAACATGAATTGAAATCCTGTTCACAAAAGGAAGCTGAACTGAACGGAAGGATTCAATGCCCTCAAATTGTGTATTGAGCAATTACGAACGAATTCGCCAATTTTTGTCATTTTTACCAAATCCATCCTGCCCTAAGTAAGAGCCAGCAGCCTTATTTTTTATGCCAATAAATAATCCCACTCAACCCACTCTAGGTATGTATGTACCAGTCAGCTATATTTACAAGTTTTACCTGTGCACATTAAATCAACCACAGGATCACACAACAATCAGAAATAACGTTTTTTTTCTCTCCTCGCCATATTCCATCTCATCTTATATTTTATTTAGGGAGCGATGAATCCTCACCTGTCTAGCAATAAATAATCTGGCTAAAAAGATATCCTTCCTAATGGATATTATGTGGATGGATGGATGAAGTGTGTGTGTGTCTGGCTGAGAATCGATTGTTGTCAATAATGTGACTGAAATAGGAATCTCTCTCATCATCCTTGATTGAATTGCGGTCCACGTCATCATAATAGATATTTTCTATTCTCATCAGCATCACGACTAATGAAATGGGAGCAAATAGCAATAATTGTTGACGAATGTTGGTTAAATGAAATGAAATGGTGCTGACATAGATATTTCAGTGTGAGTGAGTGTTATGATGATGATGTGATAATAATAATTCTGTCTTCCCTGCATATTCTTGAAATCTTAGACGAAAAAAATATAATGATCTTGTTAGTTTAGCCATTTCATTTCATGGCGATTATGATTTCCGTTCCCTTGAGCAGCTTGCTTTTAGAAGGTCTCTGAGCACAAAGTTAGTCATAATTCGACTCCTTCTTGGCTGGCATGATTTATGTATGTAAACGTATTTAGAAATTAATTTGGCTAATTGCTCCTGCGTGTATCAAGTGAAAAGAGTGTAGACAGTCAAAAAAAGTGAGGGTTGTATGCGTTGAATAGATGAGTAAGTAAATAGTTGTGGTATTATTATTGTAGCCAAAAAAGATGAAGAATCGTGGGCAGCAGGCATTGACATTGACGTGTGACGTGTGATGGGACCGTCCGAGTTTGACCGACACGCGACATTAATTTGTCATTTATGGCTGTGGCGTGGCGTGGCTTGGTGGTGTGGTGGGGTGATTATTATTGGCAGGGAAATAAACAGCACGATTTTTTCATAGTCATGTACTTAGTGTGTCATTTATGCTTCTTTCGTATCATAAAATGAGATCTGTTTTTATTTGGTAAATGTGGAAATGGGGATAAGTTTAAAACCTTTTACGGTAGGATAATAATTGCCCTGAGGAAAAGAGATGAGTCGTGGTCGTCGTCAAAATTGTGGTGCACGACGACGACAGGTTAAAGTTAACCATCATGGATTGTTCTTAAGAAGGTTCAAAAATTTTGGTTTAGGTTTAATACTGGTTTTATGTATGTATATATTGCCGGGAGGGGAGAGAAGAAATAATTCCGTGCGGTTTTTACGGGATAATTTCTGACTCAGAAATTCTGAGTGAGATGAAGATGATATCGATCCGAGAGGAAGAAGTTTAGTTTTTAGTTACATTCGAGGCGTGCATAATGGGAGTCGTTAAAAAGGCATGGCAAGGTTGTTATCGAGGTGTTGTGTAGCGTGGAGTAGAGTAGACAATTGTTGTGTATTATTTTCTCGTGGTTTTTGGAATTGTGTGTGTGGCGATGCCGTATATGCGCGAGTGAAAGCATGACATGGCATGACGTGGGAACAGGAAATAGTTCCTAAAATCGGTCTGCATCCTCACCAAAGTAGAAAGGAAAGGAAATAATGTGCTTTCTCTCTGCTGTGGAGTGGGTGGAATGGAATTGGAGATTTTACACTACCCAGCCAGCTACTACTACTTACTGCCCGGCTCCGGATCGGGTCGGGGGAGTCATAAAATTGCATTCGCCAATTTGTGCCAAGCTTTTCAGAAGGACGAGACCGAGACGTAGAACGCAACGCAACTTCCATCGCTCTGCACTACACGATGTTCTGTGGTAGTAATGGCATTGTTCTTTCTTTGTCCAGTTCATTCCAGTTAGTTTTTTTAGTTGGGGAATAAAAGTTGGTGTCATTCTTGAAGAAATGAAAAATGGAATGGGTTGGGACAAAAATATTAAAGATGTGAATGTTGAAAGCCATGATTTTTTGCTTAGGAGCGGAAATTTGCAACGACCTTTGCAACGCAAATTTTGAAATCCTTTGGATGGAAATTAGATCTTTGGCAAACATTTAAGATGGTGATTTTCAGGATTTTCTCCTATTTGAGTGAGTGCGGCGGGGGTTATATGGCCCTTGGACCTTAACCCTCCTTTCCTTTTCCTATTACTACAAGTTATCCAAATAGCATCAAAATCTGGGGTTACAAACGTCACACGTTCTCTTCTTTAATCTCATAGAATGAAATTGGTTTTATTTTTTTTCCAATTAATTTTCTAGAGGGTCAAAAGCAAACGAAATTGGGAAAAAGGACGTGATCTCTTCGTTCATTGCTCTTTCTGGTCTACTTGATTGTTGCTTTATAATTGAGTTTAAGTTTAACAGGCTTGCATTCTATACTGTAATACTGTACAAATTTATGTGTTCCTTTTCCCGTTCCAAGGATGACGAGGAGGGCGTGCTCGTTAAATGGTTTTAATTGCATTTAATAATATTTCTCTTGGAATGAATTGAATGTTTATTGTTTGGTTGGATTGTTCCTTTATATTGTTCAAAATCACACGATACGATATAAAATGCACTGGAATTTTATGGACGTCATTTTTTTGTAAAAAAAAATCATCAAGATTTTGTTTACCATTTTAGGACCCACGACTGACTTACATAATTTGTACAACATTTTCGGAATGTCTCCCTATTTATATTTGTAACCTTTTGTAACAAGTTATGCCATTCATTGCAAAAAGTATGACTATGTATGCGTGCAAATCGTTCCAGTCTGGCACAAGTCTCGTCTCTCTTTCTCTCTATTTTGGTTGCCTTATTTTGAGCGTGGCGTTGTAAATCAATACAAACTAAACATGATGCTCGGAACGAACGGTTTTTGTACTCTTGGAAAAAATGGTAGCATTTGTGTATAAACCATTTTTGCTCACTCAAAAAACATACATATTCACATTGGTGGCGTGGAGTTAACGTTATTACCTGCATGCATATAACATAATGGAAAAAGCGAGGAGGAGAGGGCGAAGGAGAAGAAAAGTTAAAAATGTGTAAAGAGTTTGAGCACAAGGAGGAAAAATACTGAGAAGATCATGTGTGTGTCTTTTTTATGTACATACACCGACTACATGCATATGATCTCATCTGCATATATCGCATCTCATCCGTTATACTTGTCGGTTATGTCGGATCAGTTTTAAATTAAGGAGAACACTCTTCTTTTCCTTCCTGTCGGGTTTAGGATTTGGTTTGGTGGATAGTATGCACGATATAGTGTAAAGAAAGTTGATGGGCTTTTGCCAAAAATGTGATGCAGCTGATCTGATCAGTTTTAACCGAAGAGAGTATAGAAACTAATAGAATTTTCCATTTCCCAGAAAAATGTCGAGTATTTAATAAACTATTTTGTAATATAAATTTTGTACAAATTATAATAATTTACGTAATAATGGCAGGAGAACTGTTACGGTTCTCGTGGTGGCATCAGTTTAAACAAGAGTGGATCTGCTACCTATTGAAGGCCCGACTGGTAAAAAAAACAAGAGCGTGCAATGTCAATAGTGTGTATTTTACTAGTGCGAACTGACTACGAAAGCATGTTGATTTTCTTCTTGGGATCTCACACTTTACATACCTCCTCTCGGGTCGCTGAATTGTTGAGTAATTGGTCGTGGTGTACATAAAGCAATTTATTATTATTATATGGAGCATTTTATCATGTAGTCTTGATCTTAATGGTGAAGTGGTTGGTAGTAAAAAGTGACTTTTTTTCGACAAGAGTCATTCATTTCCTCCTCCTCGTTGTAGCCCGGCTATTTAATAACTGACACGAATAATTAGATGGTAACTAGTTCGTACATACATACGGCATGGTGGCATTGCATTATACGTGCATACATAAGTGTACGTACGTAGTGTGAAATTTCTGCCTTGCTTGATTCGTTTTATATTTGCAAGCTCAAGTGGCAAATATTTTGGCAAGAATAATGAGGAGAGAAGAAGAGACCACCTCTGTCTCCCGTTATGTTATGGTATTTGGTTTCTACCACCACCACCACCATCTCGCACTCTATTATATGAACGATGAGGTTATGCATATTTAATTTAATTGCAATGCATGCAATTACTCGCACATTACGAAGTAACGGTAATTAATTCTGTTCGGACGGACGGGTGGAGGAGGTTTGTCAAGGGTCCGGCATCACCACCACCACCACCTGTCTGAATCGTTGATTGAAAAAATCACGCATTTATGTGAATTGTGAATGAATGAGGATGGGTGGGAAGTGAATATTTATTTAGTGTGTGTATCTAATGGGACGAGTTGTAATACCTGTTGGTTCGGCTTCAATTTATGTATGGGTTTTTGGCATGAATTTGTAGTTTTGCTGGCAATCATGATATAAGTTTTAATAAGTTTGTTGAATGGATTCAGAGGATTTTGAGTAGTGACGGAGTAGCGTTTCCATATGTGAAGAAAGTTGGAGAAAGTGGGAGCTCCAGAGCACGTGGGAGGAGGTGGAGGTGGGTTGGTAGGCAGGCAGGCACTCGAACAACTTTTTGGCTGCGGCTGTTGATCGGCTTTTGCTTTCACTCCTGTTTGGGTTTCTCCTTTCAAAGTAGCTTTTCGTTTGATTAATTCCACTTCAATCGGAAGGAGGCTTCGCCGTGTGTAACATGGGTTCTTCTTCTCCCACTGCCAGGAGGATGGTTGGTTAGACTGGTGGTAAACTATAAACTTCACTTGGACGAAAAGGTCATGCAATTGTATCTGGGGAAATCTTGTAAATGGGGAAATGGTGTTCTTCTTCCATTGGAAACTTGTTTAATGGGTTTAAATATGCCTGCGAAATATGTAATACGATCCTGTAATCAATGTTCTGATTATTATTGCCACAAAGTGGAACGATGGACGAAAGAAGAAGCTGGGAAACATTAATGATCAAAGCGGGTGGTTTCTACTTTCACTTTTTTTGCGCTACTTGAATTTGCACGAGAGAGAAAGTCCATTTTCCGGATTGGGTGATGAAAACAAGGATTCGACAGAGTAGCAGTGTTGCTTGGTGGAGAACTTAGTAGGCTTTACTAGTGGTGAGTCTTCTCTCTCGTCGTAGCTGGATGTTGTTGAAGAGAAAGTGGTATTATTAATTTGTTTGGTTTGGCTTTTTCTCATTTTCCTTTAATGTATACATCTCGATATTACATTTGTATAGAAAGAGTTATGAATTCAGAGAAATGGGCTGCTGGCTTCATTAAATTTATTATTGACGTTCTGGGTTTTGATTGAAATTTGATTTGATACTTGTTGTTGACGATGAGATGGATGTTATTAGAGAGGAGAGTTGATTTATATTTGGTGTTTTGTATGTGTTCAGGGTGAGGGGGACGATTCCCTGGATCGAGAAGAGTCTGACGACGAGGACGAAGATGAGGATGAGGACGGCCTGGAGCCGCCAGGTTTCCTCCTCAATGCTGACGGAGATCCTTCCATCCAAGGAATCCCTCCCGACGCTCAAGCTCGTCTTGAAGCCTTTTTCGAAGCTGCCGGTACGTTACCTGCTAGTTTTTTTGTAAATTTATTTTTCCTTTTTCATGGTAGAGTCAGAGTACTGTAAATTGTGGAGATTCTGTCAGTTTTATTTTAAACTCTTTGCTCGTTAGAATGTATATTATATAGTGCTCTGAAATACTGCTAATAATTCCTCCTTTTACCTTAGTCTGTCCTGTCGTCTTTTATTACTTTAAACACATTTATATTGATTTTTTATTGGCTTATTTTATTTATGTTGATAAATGTTTTGGTTTGACTGTTTGACTGGAAAAGTAGGTTTTACAGATGGGAAACTCATGTCGGATCCGGAAAACTTGAGAAAACTGACGTTAACCGTTTCTTCAGCCCTTGGCGAGGCTTCCGCTGCCATCAATCGCATGCGTGACTCGCAACGGTAGGAATTATATGGATATTTATTATTGTTAGATTACTTTGATAAAATTGAATGAAAATGAAATAGTAATGGGTCGTTTTTATTATTTGACGAGAACTATTTTGATGAATTGTATTTGTTCTTTGTTGTTTAAGCAGGAAGTCCTTAGAAGAAGGTCGCAACGATTCCATGGAAGAAGGCGACAGTAAGTTGTAGCATTTGTTTACAATAAGAATTGTTGTAAAATTCCATCTAATATTTTACCCATATTTAAATTCAGGTCTCCTCGCCCTTGCCTGCTCCTCCGGCTATTTCGAATTGGCCAGGGTAAATATTCTACGAGTTTTAAACGAGAAATGCCATACAGCATGTATGATATGAATTTATAAAAAATGTGCGCCTCTTTTCCAGGTTCTGCTAGCAATGGGTGCAAACGTGGACGACCGTGGGAGCAAAGGTGACCTAACTCCACTTATGGACGCCGCTTCCCAAGGCCACGTCGAGATTGTGAAACTCCTCATAAGTCATGGTGCAGAAGTGAACGCCCAGTCCGCCTGTGGTACGTACTAGATTTAGAATTGTTATAGTAATTTAAAATTGGTATGTACTGATTTTTGTATATATGTATTATATAGGAAATAGTCCTCTCATGTACGCCTCGGCCGCCGGTCACGACGACATTGTGAAGGAGCTTCTAAAGGCTGGTGCTCGAGTGGAGGATAACAATGAGAACGGTCATACCCCACTAATGGAGTCTGCTTCTTCTGGTCATACCGGTGTCGCCAAAGTAAGTGTTGTCACCTTATTGTAATTGAAGGATTCTTGGTATTCTAATTTTCAAACTATTTTTTATTAGATCCTGCTAGACAACGGAGCTGGGATAAATACTGCCTCAAACGAGTTTAAGGAGTCTGCCCTAACTGTCGGTAGGAAGGCAGAAATTCTACACTTTATTTATTACAGTTGTTTAATAATTCTGATGGATTTGTTTTTATTAGCCTGTTACAAGGGTCACCTCGAAATGGTTCGATTCCTTTTGGCTTCTGGTGCTGACCAAGTGAGTAGTAGTGTCCTGACTTTTGTACTGGCTACATACACTTCTTACTTGTTCTTACTTGACAACAATAATATTTTGATTTATACGTGACAAATATTTTAATTTTTAATAGCAACATAAAACTGACGAAATGCATACTGCTCTAATGGAAGGTAAGTAAGGCAGAAATGCCACATTTTAATATTTATATTTATAATAGTCAATAATAATATTTATAATAATAATTTAATTCAATTCTTTTTTTTCTAGCATCAATGGACGGTCATGTCGAAGTTGCAAAACTCCTTCTTGACTGTGGAGCTCAGGTTTGTGATAATAATTGGACACCAATGTTTTGTCGTGGCGTGAAACTTAGCAGTGCTAGTAGTAGTTGTAGTAGGAGGAGTGTTATTACTAATCGTAAAAAGTGCATGAACTTGGAGCTAATGATGGACCCCGATAATTTGTACCGCAATCAGGTTAACATGCCAGTCGACAGTTTTGAGTCACCTTTAACCCTGGCTGCGTGCGGCGGTCATGTCGAACTCGCCCAACTGCTCATCGACCGTGGAGCCAATATTGAAGAGGTCAGTGCCCCTATGACCTTTTATTTATTGATTTGTGTATATTCATTAAGAAATCCACGTATCCCAAATCCACCACTAAATACTGAGAGTACGGCATGAAACGATAGACAAAAATATAATTACGGTTCGTTTAGTTAATATTGACATGTATTCGGACGGACTTATTGTAGTTGACACAGAGTGTCATGTGGCCAGTGACATTTGATACTCTAAGCAAAACCTTATTATTAATGACCCGTAAGTATTAGTTTCCTAATTAGTCATGTTCCAACGTCTTCTTTAAAATAATTTCGCTGTTGATTACGAGAAAGAACTTTGCATTTTTAAGGTTCCACTAAAATGAAGATGAATTTCCCCTTCTTCTTGTACCTTATGATGCAAAGGGTACCTTGGTATCATCAGCTTATCATGCTTTTCTGTACCGATATGGAAGTAAACGGATAAAGTAATCCGATATGCGTAAAATAGTTTTGTTATTGTATGTCGAACTGCTTTGTGCATATCATATGTCAGTCGTACACTTTATTACTTCTTCTTATCATTGGATTCCATGATATTATTTCATTATGGCTCAGCAACAGCAACAACAGGACCGTTTTCTCGGCAAGAAGGTGGTTAGCGGCATGGAAAAATTTCTAGTCAAGACGGCATCAAATATTACAGCAAGGAAGAGATGTACATAAGCAATCCCTAATAAAAACCAGCACGTTCTTCATTCTCCTCCGTTGAATGGAATAAACGGCTCGATAGTACATGAACATAACAGCAGTTATTCGGTCCGTAAACAAAACATAAACAATTAGTAGGAAGTTGACACTGCACTCTGAATACCATTAGTTTTTATATATGTACGCATATATAATATTGATGTCTATACGGCTTTATTGTTAGTTCGTTGGACAATAGCCGAGGCTTGACTCTTGTTTTAGGATAAAGTGGCACAGTGACTTTAAACTGTTTTTTAACTGTTGATCCTTTCGCACGAAATTTCAAATTTATAACTTGACAAAGTACGTGAAAGGGGAGTGGATAGATATGCCAGAAAAATTGACAGACGCGTACGTATCTGGCCACGTGGTCGACATGAATAAAATAGAATTTGCCGACGCCTCCTGTTCAGATGAAGACTGTAGTTGTAACTACTCAACGTGTGACGATGACGATGATTCTGCTGACTCCGGATCTAAGAATGACAGCGACGAGGAAGAAGAGGACAATTCAACTTCTGAAGAACCTGGACTGGTTAACGACGAAATTGAAAATGATGATGACGATCATAAATCTGAACCTGCCTACTCGCTGAGAAAGTGTGAAAATCTGCTCCATTTTTGTCAGCAAATTGAAGAAACGTTGAACAGGGTGAAGAATATTAAAGAAGAGGATTTAGAATGGGAGACGTTGCATGAAGAAGTTGAAGGTGGTAGTAAAAGTGGCGATACTTTTTGCAAATCCATGTGTTATACTCACAACGGAAGGAGGAAATTATCTCGACGCCAACGACCTTGTCTGTATGATCACAGTTCTATCCTCACCGCCGCTAATGGCGAATCCAATTGTCTCAAATGTTGCTCAGCCGAATGGACCCGATTCTCTCCCGGATGTCCGTTCTTTGTCTGTTTCAAATGTTTAGAAGAGGTTCAAAAGTATGTCGAATGTCTCTGCCACTCTGGGGAAGTAATAATCTCCATGAGCGGTCTGTCCAACGACCTTCGCTACTTTTGGTGGAACACGATGAACTATGAGGCTAATAAGAACTATGTCTGCCCCACCGTTTCGGACCGGCGGTGGAAACAGAAATTCAAGAAACTTTCCAAGAAGGGATCCGTCGTGCGGAAGAAACCGCTCGGTGTGATTAGCTGCCCCGTCGAGTACGGCTTCCGATTCCACAAATTGCTCGAAGAGTACGCTGACGATATCAAACTGATGGACCCACTTAAGTTGCGGAGGAACATAACTGAAGCGTCCGGCTATGTTAGGATCGTGTACATGTTACTACGCCTGGTTGGAAACCATTATTACGGGGCCAGGAAGATTTTTGACGTTTCGGGGAGGGAAATTAGGGAGAAGCAAATTAATGATGACGACGAAGTGGGACTTGACGATATGAAATTGACAAGAGAAAATTTTAATACTTTAAGGCAATATTGTCTTGAGGTATGAAAGAAAGTGGTGGATGGGTGGTTGGATTTGGGTGGATTTTGGTTGTTTAATGCGGTGGTTTGAATGACAATTTAATTTGCATCGTTTTGTCTTTTATTTTTATAGGTTAATGACGAAGGGTATACCCCATTGATGGAGTCATCACGTGAGGGCCACATCCAAGTCGTAAAATGTCTGATCGCTGCTGGGGCAAAGGTGAACGCGGAAACGGACGAGACTCATGAAACTGCGCTAACCCTGTCCGCCTGTGGGGGCTTTCTCGAAGCAGTGGACACGCTGGTGAACAAGGGGGCAGATATCGAACTTGGTGCTTCAACTCCGCTCATGGAAGCAAGCCAAGAGGGCCACTACCAAGTCGTGAAGTGAGTAGAGAAGAAGGAACAGTGTAGCATATGAGATGGCTAATTTATTGTTTATTTATTTTGTTTATAGATATCTCCTTGATAAGAACGCCCAAATCCATCGTGAAACTCAAACCGGTGATACGGCTCTGTCATATGGTAAGAAGGCAGAAATGTTACATTACACGAATTCTTGTTACATAAAAATAAATTCGAATTTATTTGTCCTTTAGCGTCAGAAAACGGTCACGTAGATGTGGTTCAACTCCTCGTCGAAAATGGAGCCAACCCCGAACATCTCTCCGAGGGGGGACGAACTCCGTTAATGAAAGCATGTCGTGGTGGTCACGTCGATGTCATCAAATTCCTCTTGACTCGAGGAGTGGACGTGAACCGTCAAACGGCCAGCAATGACCACACACCTCTCTCGTTGGCCAGTGCTGGGGGGCACTTGGCCGCGGTGGAGGTGTTGTTGACTGCTGGGGCCAATCCGTACCACAAACTCAAGGACAATTCAACCATGATTATTGAGGCTGCGCGAGGAGGTCATACCAGCTGCATTCGAGCCATCCTGGATCATGAGAAAAAGCTGAGCGAAAAGGGACAAGCTCCTGTGCCTGGAGGGAAAGGTGGTAAAGGGGCTGCTCAGGCTAAAGCTGTTCCGGCCGATTCGACAAAAACGAGTAAATGTGACTAATAATTAAGATTGTAGAAATATAGTGGGGTATTATTATTATGTTTATTAATTTGTAAATTTGTGTTTGTAGACGCGAATGCGACCAATCAACAGGGAAAGTCTGTCTTGCGAAAGAGTCGTTCCACTTCCACCCTCGACTCTTCTCAATCCAATGAAAAGACTAAAAAGGTGGACGTATCGGCATCACCAGCTTCCAATACAACCAATACCGATGCGATTGCAAAGTCGTTGTCCAAGTTGCCACCACCAAATATAATGACACCAATCCCGGACTCTCCAATTCTGAAGAGTTTGAATCAAACTTTGCCATTGGGGGATGGTAAAGTTGCTTCAACCACTCCAGCAGGAGATGACATTCGAAAGAAACCCGTTCCAGGACTTCCATCCGGCAAGCAACAACAACAAACCGTCATTACTCAACATCAACATGATAAAAGTGGTGGAAATTTGAAAGCTGCCACCGCGAGTCAAGTGCAGAGTCAGAATCAAGCCAACGCCTGCACCGAGTGCAACACCACCTCCTCCTCGACACCATCTTCAAATATTGCGGTACCATCAATCATCCCAAAAACACCGGAACAACCACACGGCGTGACGAAACGTGCCGCCGCAGCGGACATTTCTCCCGGTTCTGCGACATCGTCTACCACGTCGCCCTCGTCAAATACGACGAGTCCGGGAGGACCACCGCTCGTTCCATCGCAGGTATGTTAATCTGTTAATCATTGTCCTTGGTTTACACTTTACATAAAAACTTGAACTCTTTTTTCTTCACGTTTTGTCTATTTTTTCTCCTTTGTTTGCTTGTGTCTAAAACCGTTTCTAAATGTTTTGGTGTGAATGTCTTTTCTGTTGTCGCAAATGTGTGTGAGTGAATGAATTGAATGAATGAATAATCGAATGCTTGTTGTTCACTTGTGTAATTTTTGGTTCTTGTGTGATGTGGTATGAAACGCTACATTCCAACATAACTAGTAAATTTTATTACAGTGTACATAAAGCGGATTAGTGTAAAATAATAACAATACTAGAATTAGATTAGAACAGGAGCATTACATAACTAATTATTAATAATGTTTAAGTTCTCGTTAGCTAGGACTACCACTTACCTTGTTATATAACTCTTATCTTAATCTAATGGATCAAGCAAACCGCATTGACCTTGGATCTTCTTACGTATCTCCCACCCCCAAATTAAGTAAAGAAAATTGGTAAAATGTGCAGGTCACTTTTTCATGTTCATAAAAAAGACTTTAAATTATCCAATAGTAGTCACTCGGTAAGTTGTTATCAAAAAGCATGCAGTTGTTCAATGCTTATCTCTACTTACATATAACTTTGTTTCAGTGTTGCCGTCGTGCGGCTTAATTAGCAGATGCATTTTGTTATATAATTTTGTTTCAACCTTTTTTCAATTTTTTTAAAATCCCTTATTTTATCCCTGCTAACTGACTGAGCTGATTTATATGATGATTAATGATTGGTGGTTGTTTGTATTGTCGATAATGATTAAATCCTTGCTTCCTTTTTTATCCCCTTGTTTAATCTAATGATACTAAAGTTACTTGATTGATTCAACTAATCAGAAAAGTAAGGAAAAAGTATATCTAAAATGTGAATGGTGTCCTTGGTGGACTCATCTCTGATACGCTAGGTGACCGCAGCCACAGCTATAAGTGAGCGACCAAAGGTAAAGGCCAACAAGCCCTCTGCTCGGAAACAGCTCCAACAACAAATCCAACAACAGTTGCAACAGCAAAGCCAAAGTCCCTCTGCTCTCGTTTCTTCTTCTGCTGTGGGTGCGGTTAGTCCAAATAATGGAGGCGTGGTTGTCGTGGGTGGTGGTGCTAAGGCTGCTCCACTCCTCACCACTTTGGCTAACCCTTCACCACCACCGGTAAACAAATAAATAATAAATAAATTTTTAATTTAGCAAGGAAAATATTATAACAAAAGTCGGAAAGTAGAATTACATATACAGCGTTTTGACAGACTTCGTGCAGATTTTCCATATTTGCATCGAGTTCTGGAACTAAATAATTATGTGTTTGTGTCCTCTCTTTTTTCCTGAATGAATTGAACTGAAGGGGATGTGGATATTTTTGAAATTTTGAGTTAAAAAATACAAATTTTTTAAAGTATCCACACGAAAGTTTCTTGTTCTTGTATGTTTGTTGTGTGGTATTTTTGAGAAAAATTGGGTACTGGATTAATGGTTTTTTGTTTGATTAGACGGTGCCGTTCATCCCAGGACTTCCCACGCAAATGCTGCAGATGCAAGTTCAACAGGTAATTAAGAAGGTTTGTGAGTTAATATTACACATGGGGATGATTTGACGAGGCTTTGATTTCATAGATTTTTACGCAGCACCAATCGCAGCTGATTTACCAACAAGGAAACCCTGGAGATCGGAAATTTGAATGTTTCGAGTCAGGAGTGGGGGCCGCGGCTGCATTGGCTTATGACAACCCGGAAATCACGGCAGCAGACTTTGCTCAAGTCCTCGCTGCAGCAGGAACGTTTACTGCCCAACAACAGCAGCAATTACCACCTTCGTCATCTTCTGTCATCATCCCAGCACCGCCACCAGGAACGACGACAACTACTACGACCACCACGGTCGTCGTGACTCATGGGAATGGCGAGACAGAGACGATCATGGAAGGGGAATTGCCTCCCGGAGCGAATGAGATGATCATGACTGCTGCTACGGCCGCCTTTCCACTAGACTGTCAGGGACAAGTGCAAGTAGCCTCATACCAAGTGAGCTCTCCAATCAGTGTGGGCGTCACAGAACTACCACCTACCTCCCTGACCACGACTACGATGCATACGACCACGATCATCAACTCTGCCGGGGGTGGCTCTCAGATTCTTCTTCCTCATCCGACAAGACACCCACCCCCTCTTCCAGTCGCTTTTTCTGAAGCCGCAGCCGCTGCAGGGTTACGTATCCCAAGTGGAGCTCCACCCTCAAAACAACCCAATAAAACTTTGTCCGGGAAGATGGCTCAGGCTCAGACTCAAACTACTCCAATCGTGAAGGATCCCAGACCAGGTCCTCCAGCTCCTTCCAAACCTCCAAGCGCGAGCTCCGTGGCAGCCACTGCTGTTCCAAAGAAACAAACGGCCAAGAGAACACGACCCTTTAGTCAGGGCCCTCAAGGTCATAATCATCACGGCGGTCCTTGTCCGAATAATCATAAAGGATGTGGCGGTCATACCAACGCAGTGGGGACGCAAACCCCTGGCGCAGCTGTGGATAAGAATGCAAAAGCTTTAGATGTTGATTCCGCGACGGAGAGTAGTGGGGAGACTTCTCTCAGTATTGCGGCGGGACAAGGCCATTTGGAAGTTGTGGAGTTCCTATTGGAAAGGAATGCTTCTATTGGTAAACTTAGTTTTAACTATTTGAATTTTAGATACACTTTTTTATAACGATTTTAACTAATTTTTATTTTCATAGAACACCGTGACAAAAAGGGCTGCACTCCACTCATCCTCGCAGCGGACGGAGGTCATGAAAAAGTGGTGGACAGATTGATTTCGCAAGGTGCGGACGTTGAGGCGCAATCAGAGCGCACAAAGGACACAGCATTGTCACTTGCTTGTACCAAAGGACGTTATGAGGTGTGTAAATACTCAATTGTTATTAATTTGTCGGCTGGAATATTTCCGAGACAATTACTTAATTTTATTCTCTCTTATAGGTGGTCGAGCTCCTCTTAAAACGTGGAGCTAACAAGGAACATCGCAACGTATCGGACTACACTCCACTCAGTCTCGCCGCTTCAGGAGGTTTCGTCAACATAATAAAACTCCTTTTACAAACCGGAGCGGAGATTAATTCCAGGACTGGGTCGAAACTCGGAATTTCACCTCTTATGCTGGCCGCGATGAACGGAAACACTTCCGCGGTGAGACTCTTGCTCGACATGGGGTCCGATATTAATGCGCAAATCGAGACGAATAAGAATACGGCCCTTACTCTGGCATGCTTCCAAGGGAGACATGAAGTCGTAAGTCTGCTGTTGGAAAGAAAGGCTAATTTGGAACATCGTGCAAAGGTACAGCAACATATTTGATTTCTAATTCAGCTTATCAATACTACTTGGTATTGGATGTTATAATATTTAAAACCTTGGCTTTCATTTTTCAGACGGGACTAACTCCCTTAATGGAAGCCGCAAACGGTGGATACGTTGAAGTTGGAAGAGTTTTACTAGAAAAGGGCGCCGATGTGAACGCACCTCCCGTTCCTGCTACACGAGATACCGCTCTTACCATCGCTGCTGACAAAGGGCATTTTCGTTTTGTGGAAATGTTGCTCGGAGCGTGAGTCAAAGACCTTAAATTTCTGTTTAAGTAGTAGAAGAAATATCATTTCTAACTGATTGTTAATCATAAATGTTTAGTGCCGCTAACGTCGAGGTTCGAAATAAGAAAGGCTGCACTCCACTCTGGTTGTCGTGCAATGGAGGACACCTCGACGTTTGTCAAGCCCTTCAACGAGCTGGTTAGTTTAATTTTATTACTTTTTTCTGTAAAATTTGTAACGAGACTCGAATAATTCATGCATTTCCATGTTTCAGGTGCCGATGTGGACGCCCAAGACAATCGAAGAATTTCCTGTTTGATGGCTTCCTTCAAGGTAAATTATTTATTATGCAAAACTAATTAATAATTTATTAAATATGGTATTTGTTAACTAATCATTTATTAACATAATTTTTTAACCAATTGTAGAAGGGTCACGTCAAAGTGGTCCGATGGATAGTCAAGTACGTGAAACAATTCCCTGGAGATTCTGAAATGAGCCGCTACTTTATCGGCCTAGCGAATGAAGCAGAACTTCTCAAACGAGCTCAGCAATGCATGGAATACATCAAGCAGGCCAAGGACAAACAGGCCCTCGAGGCCAGCAAGAATGCCAACATCCTCCTTGAAGAGCTCGAACTGGAAAAGTGCCGCGAAGAGAGCAAGAAAGCCGCCGCTGCGAAGCGACGAGAGAAAAAGAAAAAGAAGAAGGCGGAGAAAAAACAACTCAATGGTACGAATGTTTTGTTTAGTAAATAATTAGTTTCATTTAATCTTGATTACGTAGTTCACTAATTAATTTGCTTAATAGATGACGGTGATGGGGATAATGATGACGAGGACGATAATGATATCGACGTTGAGGATGCCCAAGAACCGGTAGAAGACTTGAACCCTCTCGGTTCCCACTCCTCCTCGCTGGACAAGAAACAACAAGCAATGAAGGGTTCCAAAGGGAATAAAGGAAATAAAGAGAATGTCCAAGTTCCAGCCCATACTCCTCCCGTCGTCGTCTCCGTCGTTGTGGAGAGTAACAACAATAACAAGAAGGACAAACCGAGCAGTCGAGAACCAGAACCTCTTCCCATCATCGAGTCATCTAACGCTGCCTCGTCCAAAGTGAAGGATACCAATGACTCCTCCTCAAATGCGAAGAATGCCAAAAAGAAAAAGAGCAATCATAACAAAGTAGCAAAGAGTTCTAGTTCAGACGCGGTTGGTGTTGATTCTCAAATTCCTCCACATCAATTGTCTACCAACACGGCTTCTGCCGTTGATCCTCCATCCTCCAAGTCAGCCCCTTTTTCGTCCTCGAATGAGAAAGATGTCACTGGGAAGAAATCCAGCAACGGAAAGCACGACAAGGACGTATTAAAGGAGAAGGTAAAGGAGGTCGAAGATGTGTATGGAAAAGGAAAGAATGGTTCCAACAAGGAGCGAAAAAACAAGGAGAATGCCGAGGAGAAGAAGAATCTGAAAGATGAGTCGTCGTCTCAGTCTAGTACCACAAATACCAAAGAATCTTCCGCCAATCATCACCACCACCTGCACAACAGTGCCCCCACCAACGCCAATAAAGGAACAAGTCATGTCACTCCATCAAAGAAAGGAAAAGCATCCGCAGCCTCCATCACCTCAACAAACTCTGACCTTGGGCAAGGTCCAGAACCGCTAATGAACATTTCTCTCAATCCACCTCATTCTCATTCAAACCGGAAGGGTGGAGTTAGCAATAGCGGTGGCGGTGCTTATGAGCACGAAATTCACAATACGTTCCCTCACAACAATTACGCATCCACCATTATGACTCCTTCGTCCCCATCCTCTACCGCTCCCAATCTTACGGCGTCATCCGCAACAACTAGTGCTACCTCTCCTTCCTCTGCTTCTGCCGCGGTGGTTGGGTCCACTCTTTCTAACAAGTCTCCCAGCCAGCCCAACAAACCATCTGGACGGAAAGACGACGGATGGAAAGAGGTGACGCGCAGTTGCCCTTCCTCCCGCTCCAAGAAAGTCATGGTTCCATCCACCGTCATTTCCCGGGTGATTGGGCGTGGCGGCTGCAATATTAACGCCATTCGGGAAGCGACCAATGCCCACATCGAGGTAGAAAAGCAGCAAAAAGGTCAAGTCCAGCCCGAGCGAAGTATCCAAATCAAGGGGACTAGTGAAGCCACGAAGCAGGCATTCAATCTCATTACAGCTTTAATGAACGAACCTGACGTCGACATTAAGAAACTTATCCCACAACATGTGCGACCATCGGGAGCTAGTGCAGCATCATCAGGAGCGAGTGGTGGGGCCTCTACACCAACACCTATCCTGAGCAATGCAAACGCGTTTCCCGTCATTGGTTCAGCCTCTGCACCGTTGCCACCAATTGGTCAAACTATGACCGCATCGTCAAATACTGGATCTTTCACTTCTGCGGCCACTTCTGCCCCGATGACGATTGGATCGACTGCCGGTGTAATTGAAGCAAAATCTGCATCCTCCTTCTCAAAGAAGGGTTCACCAACACCGAAAGTTATCGCAGCCAACTCGTCCGTGTCTCCCCCGCTCTCTTACATGATCAAGAGTGGGAGTGGATCTCCACCCATTAAGAAACCCAGCGTGGTCTCCACGAATGCGGGCAACTTTGAAATTGGAAACTTTTCCGTGTCTGAAGTTCCAGCAGAGATTTACAGCAAGAATTATACTGGAAAGAAGTCGATGGTGTTTACGAATTCAGGAAACGGTAATAATAACAGTACCTCGTCGTCATCCAATAGTACTACCTCTTCTGTTCCTGGAGGAGGTTCATCCTCGTACCCATCTAAACATCATCACCATCAACAAGTTGACTCCTCTCAAGGATCGGGAGGAAATAACTGGGGCGACACTAAACCAAGAAACGCCACTCCAACGTTAAACATGAGCAATGAGATGAAACAGCAGCCGTTTAATGCCAGCACGGTACATCCTTCTGTCGCCGTTCCGAGTGGGTCACCTCCGCTTTTGGGGAATCAACAGAGACAACAACAGCATCATCAACAACAACAACAAGCTCCTCAAAGTTTCTCTCATGGTAAAGAACAGCATCAACAACAGCAACATCACGAGACTGGAAACCAATTTGGACCAAATAATATGAATCCTCATGTGAATGGTCCGAATGTTAACGCTCCCCCGTCAATGGGAGACGCTTATCCAGCTCCTATCACCGTTCAAAGAAATCTTGCCCCAGGATCGCAACCTATAGGATCCAACCGAACCACCATTGGAACAGAGAGGTGCGGTTTAGCTCAAGACCTGACTTTTAATTTATCTTGCAAGTTGGTCAATCTTAAAAAAAAATTGAATTATGTTTTGTTTTTATGTGTGCAGGAGCCCAAGTGAGGCCAGCAACAATCAAGACTCATCCCAACCACCACAGCCCCTCGAATATTCTCCGTTTAATTACACCTTCTCCAAAACTTCGGGTTGGTTTCCTGGCGATCTCGCCGTCCGTGAACCTTCGTCCCAATCTGGGGGGCACCCTCTGGCCAGCAGCTTCGGTCCTTCTAATCTGATTTCCTCCCTTACTGCAGGTGGAAGCACATCTGCTCTCTCATCTTCGGCGGCAGCTCGTGCTATGAATTTCGCCTCCGTTGCGGCCTCCGGGACAACCACGACGGCACAAATGACTCAAGCTGGAGGAATTACCTCCATTGGGAAACCGTTAATGGGTGATGTACCAATGTCACATCACCATCAACAACAACAACTCCCTTTGCAAAATCAGGGTCAAGGTGGACAAATCGATCAGGGTCTGGATCAAAAAGCTGATGCCGCTAAAGCTCCAGGTTATCGGGGGAACACTTCAATGGGTTCTCCCGTAATGAGGATGCCACATCCGCAACAACCCACGGTGAGTTTTATCATTTAAAATTGATTATGATTAAAATTTTGAAAGTTTTAAATATAAATTAATAATTATTTACATGTGTAGCCTCAACAAATGAATCCCCACGATCGATTTAATCTCGACATGAATAATCAGATGAGTTTTAATCCCCGATCTGCCGGACCGAACTACTCGGCTGGACCATTTCAACCTCAAGATATGGGTCTGATCAACTCCCATCAACCTGTGAATGGTGGGAATCACATGTTGTATCAACAGCAGCAAAACAACAGGTGCGTTAAAAGAAAGTATTTGTTTATTACGAGGATGGTTCTACGTCATTTCGTCTCCCCCTAACTTGTCTCCCTTAGTTTTCCTTCTGTACACACTGTGCACACTGTTGACTGTTTTAATCTGTGGTCGTAGTACTATTTCTGTGGTTGGTGTGTTGTTCTCCTATCTGTATTTTCAATTTTAATCGGAATATGTGGGTCGTTCTTGTATTTCTTTTGTTTTTTATTGAGCTGTTTTTTTAAGTGGAATCTTTCTTTTAATTTTTGGTTTTATAACGTTTTCCTGGTTTAAAATCTTTTAATCTTTTTTTAAACATTAACTGTAACTTTGTTCTCATCTTGTGACATAACACCGTACATTTGTATTAATTGTTGTTGTCTATCTAATCCGTGTAAGATCTAACAAGTTTTTTCGGGTGTTGGTTTTTGGTTTTTGTTACTGGTGTCGGGCAAAGTAGTGGGGGAGCGCCTAATCTGCCTATCGTAGTACAACAACTACTACCACAACCCCACTCAATTATTCCCCACCCTACACATCCTCCTCACGGTGTGGTCAACCACCACCCACATCCACCACCACTAGTTCCAACCAATGTCGTACTCTCATCTAGGCTCAATCCTCGTGCGGCCAGTTTCCTTGTGAAAGTCGCTCCAGGTCAGCAGCAGCAACAACAGCAACCCCTCTCGATTAACCAACAACACCAGCAACCACCCCCACCACCCAACTCTGCCTTCGCATCGACCCAACAACTTGGGCAGAATGCGTTCATGCAGCAGTATAATAAAGGTATGGGTGGTGGCCACCAGCAGCTGCAGCAACAGCAAGGGTATGGACAGCAGCAACAACAACAGCAATCGAGACGATTGGGGAGTAACTGGGGGGGATATACTAATGGAAGTTTGGAAGACATTCCTGGATTCCAAAATTTGGCTGGACCTGGAATTATGGACCCTGCCGCCTTAATTGGAGGCTTGGGGGATAACATGCATGACAATCAAAGTGAGTAGATAAAAATTTGTGTGTTTTTGTATATTTCGTGTGAAGTATTTGTTAAAATGGAATTGTTATTTACAGACCCAATGAAAGTGGACCGTCTGCCACGACCCATTGGAGGAGAACGAACCTGGAAAGGATCTAGTTCTTCATCTGGTCAACAAGCTGTCGGCGGAGGTGTTGGAGGAGGAGGAGTGAATTTACCATTTGCAATGGACGGTCTGGATCCAGCCGCTGGCTGGTTAGGAATGTATGGCTCCTCAAACCAGCAACAAGGATTCCCCACAGGTGCAAATCAAGGTCTACCACACCCACCGCGAGTAGGAGGTGGTGATCGCGGTGGCATCGGAAGGAGATATATGGAAGACTTGGATGCTAATCGAATTCTAGAGATGCAGCAGCAGGTACATACCTATGAGAATTGCCGATTTGAAGAATTAATTGTTCGTAGTTATTTATTTGTTGCTAAATTCTACTAATTATTATGTATATGCAGATGTATGATGGGCAGCAGCGCCAACAACAACTGATGAATGGCGTAAATCAAATCCCCCAAATGATGCATATGCAAAATCCTCTCCCACCACAGCCACCAGGCGGCATGTACCCCTACGGACTTGAGCATATGGACCAACAGCAACAACACCAGATCCCCAAGTTGGAGCAGCAATGGGAGTCTCATCTTCTGATGGACGATAAACACGTGGTGCGATTTATTTATTTATTTTGCATTCTTACATATTTTTGTGAACTAGTATAAATTAATCAATTATTTATTATAAATTTTAGCAGCAAGGATGGGGAAGCAACAGCAAGTGGGGAACATAAAGAACCTAAAAAGCCAAAGGAACCACCTTCACCATAATCACAACATCCTATTGATTATTTTGAACCTGATCGTTGTGACAATTAGTTTGTAGAATATTATTTGGTTTTTCAATTTATTATCTCTGGTAAAAGGATTATCTCACTTTTTGATCTTCGTAAAAAATTAGTTTTAAGCTGATCCATATCGTGGGTCTTTTTGGTATTTCTTGTTGATTAGACACAAAACCAAAATATTTTTGGTTAATGGTTATCGATTGTTACTTTAAAATATGAAAAATTGAATGAAATGTCCTATTAATAATTTATCTGCAATTCGTTTAGTATTCGTATTCCTTTATTTTACCACACACGGTCAGCCAATCAAGATAGTCCTTAACAAAAATTAAATGTAAAATCTTTAGAAAAAGGTAGGTTGCCCATTCTGGCTAAAACTGTGTAAGATATATCAAGTAGAAAGAAGTTTAGTGAACCGATAAAATGAAGACCGTAACGTTTAGGATGTAATAAGTTTGCAAAATTTTGAAGAATGGCAATAACTTGAAAGTTGAGTTCAATGCAAACAAAAAACCGTTTTAATTTGTAAATTTTTCATTGTGGTCACCGATTTTAGGCAGATTTTTCTCACCAACTTAAAATGCCAACCAACCAAAAATACGGGAATTTATTAATAACTGAATACAAAACTTTGTGCTTTGTGACCTCCATCATAAAGTGCAGATTTTGTTTCTGCGAATATTTGTCGTGTATCTGACGCGCTCTCAATTGTTTGATAACCCCCATTAAAGAACTTTTGATGTTAACATGCGTCACAATTACGGACACAATCTTTCCCGAGCAAGTATACTCTTTAAGAGAAAAATACTTAATTGAAACCTTTACCTAAAAATAATTCAACTACAAACACGTATTCGTACACACGACTCTGCTGCTGCATTTGTTAATGTATTTAATGGTCGTGGTTGATCGAATTTGTTTTGTGCATGTAGTTCGTAGAAAAAGTCAAAGAGACAAGAACTTTTAAGACTCTAAGAAGAAATAAAAATTTCATGGCAGTATAAATTTAATGAAGAAGAAGACATGAAACAAAATAGAATGAAGAAGATCTGTCGTCGCATAGCTGAAAATTTTGTTGTTTGTTACATAAAAAAGAAGAGGAACATGATAATGATAAAGATTTGCCCACATTGTCAATTAATTCATGATGATGATGATTCTAAGATTTGCTGATGAAAATGCTATTACCTTTAAAAAAAATTACATACCTTTATTACCACTTCTCTCTCCTACCTTACCTCCGCCTCTGACCGGAGGCGGGGTGAGGATGGCGAGAGAAGGAGGAAGAAGAAACCGGAAACGGGGAAACCGTTGTTACAACTGATTACTTAGATTTTAGTAGTAATATTTCTAGTTTAATTAATTAATTAGCTGAACGAATAAGTACCACGACGAGGCGGAGACGTAGAAGAAAGAGAGGCGAAAAAGAGGAACTTTAGACTATGTTAGAGATTTAACTATTATTACAACAATTACGTAATTATTAATTAGGATAAAGTAATTCTATGTAAGATGATGATGATAGTATATAGTATGTATTATTATGGTAATATCTATCTCTCTAGGATAAGGTGTATCCGCGAGTGTGTAAAAAAGTCAGAACAAGACAAGAATACACACACACGACACGAATCAAATCAACTATTCGACTATGAACTGTTACTTATCCATTTTTTGAGGCCTGATAATAAATTCAATTCAATGGGAAACTTTATGATTTTTTCGGCTAAATTATTTACTTAATGTATGACGTGCACAAAATGCGACAATTTCATATATACGCATCAACATCTCGGTAGGAGATCAACCTTCGCGTGTCAAAAAAAACAAGACGCTATTCATCCAATATACATACCGTCCTGTTAATTGAACAGTTAGTTAGTATTGATTTGATATGAAATGGAGTTGATTGATTCAGCCGATTAAGTAGCATGTGTGGATTGGATTGTGTTATGAAAGGCAAAAAAGTGACATGAATCCGATAAGAATTTCATACTGTTGACGGAAGAGGAGGATCACGTGTGAGATATCGATACCCATTAAATGCAGGGTCTGAACTTGCTTGTTATCCTGAACAATGTCCAATTTATTGTCAGACGGACCACTTAACCGCGTCAGGCATCAGTCAGTCAGTCATTGCAAATAAGTAAGAGCGATTTATCAATATTGATGGGAAAAAATAAATGCATACGTTTAAGAGGTCGGGTGACGTTTGTTGGTATGCGGAAATTTTTTTGGGGGGTGGGACTGGTAGTAAATAATAATGATAATGATGATGAACATTGATTCTGATTTAAGTGTACACTAATTTTGTGCCATTATTTGTAATACGTACATGATCTCGAATAATTTCTGAGAGATGAGATTATTCAGAATGCAAGTGTAGTGTGTATCCAATTTCATATCCAAGTTTAGTACTCGAGTACCAGTCCAGCCGTATTTTTGGGCGTTGTCACATTTTTGCGATGCGGTCTGTGTCGTTTAGGCCTTGTAGTAAAAACTCGTTTTACGTTAAATGCATCATGATCATCCCCACATGCACTTGTCGCCAACCTGTACTTTTTTGCTCCGAGGCTCGTTTCAGTGCCATGAAAATAGCTAAGCTAAATTCGGTGCTTGAGGTTTTGCTTTCACTTCCGGCATGGTTGCTTAAACTTGAATATTATGCTTTTCGAGTCTTAAGATTCGCATATCCGGATTTCGAGTTAAATTCATAAAGCATTTATCAGTATTCGACTGGGTCGCATGTGGAAAAAATTTGTGATCCTTAATACGAGCAGCAAATACTTTTACATAATGTATAAAAAAAATTTCTAATGCCTTGATTTATAGCTGATTTTGGGCTTCTTCGACATGTTTTTAGATATGTGTGTACCAAGATACCTTGTGAAAAAGGCTTTGTCATCCACTCTAATTGATTTCAAAGTTAAACAATCAACATTTTGTTTGATCATGGATTATTCACTCTTGTAAAAATAATTGTTACACAAAATCACTCTAATTTACTCAATGAGGCGTTTTTATATGCGTAAATTAAATGTTTTAATGCGTATCAGGAACAAAGGATTCGAATCCGTGCGTCACAAGGAGACGAAAACCAAGAAGCATGAGAAGGATCCAAGATTAAAGTGATCCAAGATACACACTTTTTTGTGTGCTGCTAAGATCGCTCCTGATTCGATGAAATGATGCATGAAAAAAATCAATCTCAAATTTTCAACTTACAAAAAAAAACTTAAAACTTTTTATTATTGACATTCACAACAAATTAGCAACTCAAAGTACGCACATCTAAATTCTGATATTTAGTAACACAACCCAGATGACCACCCTGATAACCCATTATCAATTGATTACTTATCAACTGTAATTGAAAACCCAAATGGAACACGGAACAAAAACACAAAGTTTCCGAAGGTGTACGTACGTGTGTACAAAGTGGAGGTAAATATTTACAACGATAAAACTTTATCCGTTCTCCTAATTAGCAAACCATGTATGGCCAGTTATAATCATCAATCTCGTAATATGCAAATTAATTACTTTGTAAACATGCCCACGTGCCTGTACCAAAGGGAGGGCGGCCTGGTGGATACGAATTTGACCTTGAATAACCCCGGAACGGTTTGTCGTAGCGGGTCAAAATTTTGAACAGACGAGCATGTTATCCTCAGATAGTTGTGTGCAAAATTTCAGCCCTCTACTTTGAAAAATGCCTGCCCCACAGCCCCCAGAAGCTGAGACAGTCATTTCAAATAGTTCCAGAAAAAATCTCGCCCGTGTTTGCAAAAAATTTTATTTGAATATTCTGGAATAGAAGTGAGCTATTGGTGACAATTGACGAAGAACTATTTTCCCTACAAGTTACTAATTGGGTTCGAAGAGCTTACTACACGACAAATGCCGAAAAAAAATTCAAGAAATTTGGTGCTTTTTAGTGAGGAGAACTTTTTTAAACAGTTGATGGTCGTGGGTGCAATGTCCTGTCGTGGTGTCCTCCCACTTATCAAAGTCCCCCAAAAAGTGAAGGAATCTTCGAAGTATTATGTGGACCTTGTACTGAAACCACTTTTAGAATACAATTTTCCTAATTTGCACGGTAAAATAATAATTAAGGTGATTTTTCATCATAACGGAGCGTCCTCCCAGACGGCAAAGTTGACCCAAGATTATGCAAATGACCTTGAACCTAGATTGGGGATAAAAATCATTTGGAATAGTGAAATACCTATACAATCCCCTGATATAAGTCAAATCGACTTGTTTGAGTTCGGATAGATGAAAAGAAAATCTTTCTGTGGGGACCGAATTTTTTAGACGGAGTTTGGAAAAAGTTGAAACGAGTGTCTCAACTTCTGGGGGCTGTGGGGGAGGCATTTTTGAAAGTAGAGAGTTGAAATTTTGCACACAACTATCTGAGGATAACATGCTCGTCTGTTCAAAATTTTGACCCGCTACGACAAACCGTTCCGGGGTTATTCAAGGCCAAATTCGTATCCACCAGGCTGCCCTCCCTTTAGTATGTGGTCCGATGTCACGTTCGCGAAAGGAATTGAGGTATCAATTTATTTATTACCAATATATTTTACATTCCAGTAGTAAAACTGCGATCAATTTTGTTGTTATTACTGCCTTTGAATTATTATTTCTGAGTTTTATGGGTCATTAAACAAATTAAATTGGCCCATTTTTTTGCAATAATGGAAATATGTATGTACCAGCTAAATATTCCGATCTGGAATGAGATTAATAAATTCACAACAAGTGTGCGACGACTATGTCGCCAATCGGCTTGTGGTCGGTCATGTTCACGTCAATCAAAAAGAAATCCACAATTTTTTCTTAAATGGAAGACAAGCGAACAAAGATTGATTATTTTATTCAGAATAAAATTAATCATACACAACGGACCTAGATTTTGATTAATTGGATCAAAATCAAGTGTAAAATTAAGATCCTGGTCCGTCATTTATTTACACAGAAAATTTTTCATGCATGAATATGACTCGATTTTCTTAAAGGGTCCTCTACAGTGGCCGCGGAAGCGTGAGGACAGAGGGACAATGTCCCCACGGTTATTCGATATCCGCATCATCTGCCCATGTTATATAAACCCCGCCCTCCCCTATCCTACAATGTTAATGTCCCCACACGGCTTCCGCGGCCACTGGTCCTCATTAACAAGAAAGGACTCGTCCAGGACCTTGTTTACATTACAACATCTCCAATTTTGCTTGCAGTTCCACGAAATTCAACAACGTAAATTTTATCAAAGAGGAAATGATTCGCCAATTATAATTGTATTGTAAAACAGCATGTTACTTTCAATCCGTAATTCATAAGTAATTAATGCAGTTTGACCAGACCAGAATGCCAAACAGTTAAATAATTCGTATAGATAATAACGGATGCAATCTGCATAAATAAAGTAATTGGGCATGGTTGATGATGAATGATCAGTGGCCGCGGACAGAGGGACAATGTCCCCACAGTTGTTTGATGTCCCCATCATCTGCCCATGTTATACAAACCCCTCCCTCCCCTATCCTACAATGCTAATGTCCCCACGGCTTCCGCGGCCACTGAATGAAACGTATTAATGATTCAAGTTCAACCAATTTGCTCCGCATCATCATCACTGATTCATCATCGTCACATCCACCTTAAATAGTAATACGGTACGTGCATGCATATTTATACTCGTAGGTAAGTTGCTTATCAATTAATATTAATGAAATGAGGAAGGTAAGACTGTAGATGAGGAAAGTCGAGCTGGAGATGGATGAGGAAATTATATGTAAAACGACGCTTTAAGTGATAATGAAATTATACAAACATTCAAATATATGCGACCTTTATATTTGTAAATACATTTTATAAATCGTAGCCTACAAATGAAAATGAGATGACAAATCAATCAATAACTAATCAAAATCGCTTGAATAAGTGCTGACCAAGTTTGCACAGCTCCAAAATACGACGATTTTACACGCATGCAACTTGAATTATGATGGTGTGAGCATATGTAATAGTGTCAATGTTTTTGTGTTTTGCATATATTTTTTGAAGATAGCATAGTATCGAGAACTCAAATTAGATATTTAGTGTTAATGGGTTAATCATCATAATAATACGGCGAACTGCATAACCTTAACGGCACAAGTTAATTATAGAGGAGGAATATTATATATTTCTAATTAAGCCAAGGTTGCATTGCAAGTCAGTGTAGTGAAATTGGTGGTTTTCGAGGCTTGAATAGATTTTTGAAAATTATTTTGCTCGAATAATTTATGTATTCGAGATTCAATCGAATTAACAAAGTCGACAATTTTCTGGCAAATATTGCATTAATATTTTTGAATTTTTGCACACCTTTTTATGCAGTCGACATTTTTCTGGCAAATTTTGCATTATTTTTTTTGTTAAATATTTTTGCATAAGTAGCCTAACATTTTTGCACATATATGCGCACACATGAACTTGAACCTGGTTCTTCTCTCTGTTACACAAAGAGACACCATTTCATCTCAGGTATCTCAGGAACCAGCAGTAGCACCTCAATTACTTACAAGCGTGCAAGAAAATCATATCTCGTTCGTTCATACATAGGTAAATATCGTCGTCCTTTAATAAATAATGACCACACCCAACAATGCAATGTGTCCATATGAAAAAGATGAAATGTGTGTATTGTAAACATGCAGAATTCCATCTCACATTCTTCTTTATTCCTGTTCCATTTCTTCATCCCTCACTCACTCACTCACACATTTGTACGATCAGATATCATATCATGATAACACTTTAATTGTAATGTGGCCAGTTTTACAGCATTTATTCTGCAACCATACATACGAAATTATTTAGTTCCTTCTCCTGTCTATCTATCCATCCAGCAATAATTTATCACTCCTTTGTGCCCACCAACAAAACTGGGTCCAGATAATAATCCATTCCATTTATTGTGCTGAGATTTGAGAGCCCATTATTATGCATTCAGGATTCAGAATCAGATCACGAACAGTCAGGTCAGGTTCAGTCCAATCCAGTGTAATGGACATAATTGAGAAGTAGAATCGCAGCAGGGGAAAAGAAATATGAAAAATGCAGACATTTTGCACACTACAACGGCATTTATGTATTATCCAAAGTCCGGGAGTAAACTAGTTTGCGAATTAATTTTACATGATTTTAATAGGAAGTTGCTGAGCAGGCTGGATGGTTTTATGTGGCTTGAAAGAAATTATTATGATCAGGACGTGATTCATGAGGGTGATTCATAATTTAATGAAATCGTTGCTTTTTTTAGGAAACCCTGCCATATTTCTGCCATGCCACGACCAACATGTTTACAAACGATTTGTCACGAAACTCCAAACAATTCTTGAAAGTTGTAATGTAAAATCAATAACAATTAACATCGAACAATGGCGTGTGCCTGGCAAGATTATTGCACTATTATTGAGCCATCATATTTACTCCTTCCTCTTTTATGCCATTTTATTTTTCCATCTCAAAACCCACACCGTCATCCAAACGGTAAAATTAAAATACAAACAAAAATTATGGTCCGCCTCTTCGGAGTTTCGACCATTGTCCTGGTCGCCACTACGTTCCTGATAGCGTACAACTTGACAGAATTACTGTTTTCGAACTGTTCTGGTCGCGGAGACGATGGGGGACGTCTTGCCTCCCCCACGCCCAAGTTGGTCAATCCATTTTGCAACGGCTCAATGGGGATGCGTCTCGGAATCATTATTTTGCAGAATATTTTTAATTTAACGTCATTCATCGCCTTCTACATGGCTTGTATCAACTGGTGGTACAATTATGAAATGGGCGTCCTCATGCGGCACGTTTTCGTCATGGTGGGTATTTAATTGCATATCTGTACTTTAATGATGTAGATTTGAAGTAAATTAAATTTGGGTGCTTAAAACTAGTGGAGTTTTGTCTGGATTATGGCGTGCATCGTGGGGGTGGGGTTGGCATTCTCCACCGTGATTTCAGACCCAGTGGACAACGAGAGAGCCATTTTGTACGAAACTTTCTCCAAGCATTACCGAAATTGGGAATATATTCGTCAGCTTGAGTGGTATCAGAAAGAGGTAAATATTTCGACCAGTGGCCGCGGAAGCCGTGGGGACATGTGGAGACGTTAACATTGTAGGATAGGGGAGGGCGGGGTTTATATAACATGGGGAGATGATGGGGACATTGTCCCTCCGTCCCCACGCTTCCGCGACCACTTAATTTTCCACACGATCAAGTTGACATGAAAAAAAATTGCTAAAATTTGCAGAATAACTGCTGCGGAATTTTTGGTGCGGATGACTGGCTGATTCCCCAATTTAGACTATCACCTTCGCAAATGATTGGAAGATTTGCCGACTTTAACTACGGCTTTCGAAATCCACCCACTGGAAAGTGCCACCTGTCCCTAGACAAGTTCAAGACACCGACCGGATGTGGGGACGCCATTTTGAAGACGTATCACCTCAGCATGTTCAACTATGGGGCAATTTTATTCGTCCAAGCGTTCCTCGGTCTCGTGGCGGCGTACTTGGCCGGAAAAGCCTTTCTGAGAAGGGATGCCGAGAAAGTGAGTGATGTCGAGATACCAGAAATTCCAATTAATAATATTAGAACTTCAGCTGCGAAATGAAACGAAATGGAATTTGTCATGATTTTTTTTTGTGGAATTTGAAATCGCATTTCAATATTTATCATAGAGCAATAAAAAAGATGTAATAAATTCATTTGACAAGATGCGTGACGTGTTAAAGAGACTTGATTAATTTGTTGATTATATAACGTACAAAAAATTAGTCACAATTAATTAGCACTTTATTTTACTTTGGTTTAATGAAGGTTTAATTATCTATGCTCAGTGTCAGTGGAATGGAGACGTTTCAGCATTATCAGGTCTCAATTAAATATTTCCTGCGTACGTACATAGATTGATTGCGCTCGACTTATTGGCATTCGCAGAATCGTCTCCATTTCTACAGGTACATACAGAAGTGTATGTAGTAAGCAATCGTACATGTACAGAATAATTAACTAGATCAAGTTCAAGATTGTACATGGTTTGTGCAGAATAATATGCAATTTGTGCTGAAGGTATACACGCACAGAGTAGTGATCATGGCTTGTGATACATATTTTATCCGGCAAAAACACTGTTGAATCAGATGTACTTATGTATCTATATCTCTATTTTTGACTTTTTGCAATTCCTCCCCCATTTTTTAAAACTTTTTGTGCCAAAGGTTATGCATATATTTGTCTTACATTTTAGTTTCGCCGATCAAAAGATTGTTATACAAGACTAGTAGATTGTAAGTGAAGACGTAAGTGAGTAGCACCCAGCCCAGAATAATCCACTATTTATGAGACGAATCGTATTATGTTGCGTATTTGGTTTGGTTAGACGAGAAGAAGGATTGAGAATGACACTGCTTCTTTTTTTCGTGGTGAATAATTGTGAATAATGCGATCCAAGTACAAACAATGTGACAAGTTGTATGGCGTCAAGATTACGTTGGGCAGAAGAGTTTTATGAAGTTCAAGATCAAGTAAGTGTTCCAGTCTTGGCGTGTAATTTTGGAGACATTTAATATTTTAAGGTGTAGTTTAAGGTGATTTAAGTATTTTTGCATGGGTGCAAATTTTTTGCAAAATTTGGTGGATGTCCAGTAGTCCAGGAGCTCGGACTGCGCATACCTCTAATTCTTACAAATTTTATAGGTACAAATCCCACAATTTGTCAGAAAATGATTTGCCCAACCATATCAAATCCAATTATTGACAACATAAAGAAAATTGTGGTGGTGCTTAATCAAAGTCAAGATCATCACAAAGGATACATATCCACAAGCCACGCTACCCCAAAAAGTCGTCTTTACTCAACAATTCAATGCACAATTACAATTACCTATCTACCTACCTGCCCTACCCCATCAAAAGCCAATATTCTCTCGATACATATATTATGATGATGATAAGCCATCCATTACTTTGCACCATTTTGTGGCACAATTTACCTTCTTCCACTTAATTCTGAATTGCAAAGATTTACATAACGACTGACTTGCTTTCAATTTCTTGTGATTTATTTTTTGTCTCTCTCTCTCTCCCTCTCCCTTGGCAGAGACATTCTTGTTCATCTCATCTCTTACTCCACGTCCACGTCCACGTGATCCAACTGCCAATAAGTTATTTTATAGATGAGATGGTATCGTATCGTCCCTATTGCTGCCTTCAATTCAGTCCAATAACGCTGGCCAACTTGTGGATTGGATCTCATCATAAGGAGCAGCAGTATTATTATAACTTCCTCATGTCCAGGTACCCACGAAAGGCGAGCGACCACACCAATTTATTATTTGCCAGGCCCATTTTCTTATTACTTTGTGTGTCCACTTAAGAAGAATAAAGTGAACTTAAATCTCAACCCCTGTTAAGAAAAAGATGCCACCTCCAGTTAGTTAGTTAGATTTATCATCATCCATTTATTTAATAGGGCTCAACGACGCAGGTATCTTTGTCTCAGTTGTGCTTGGTAGGACGCCATCCTCGGACGGTACTCCTAATTCAGGAGCAGGCTAAATAATTAATTAGTGAAACGGTGTGTGTAAAATAGATAAGTAAATATGAGTTATCTTGCCCCCTTTAATTTCTCGTTCGTCCCGACGGCCACGTTTCCCTCGGGATCAAGTGGTGGATTTGGGGGTCAAACTCCGTACAGTTTGAATCCTCAGCAAGGTCAGAGCCGATTTTCTATTCCACAGCAACAGCAACAAATTCAGGACTTGCCGTTGCCGGAAGCAATTTTGCAGAATTATCAACAACCCCAATCTTACTCATCGGGGACGGGTGACTACTACGGAAATCCTGTGAGTCGGGATGAATTTGTGGAAAATTCGTTCCAACAGACGACACAAACGCAAAACTTTCAAACGTATCAGAACCTTCCGTCGCAACCTGCGGGGAGACGACGTCGCCCAAAAAATAGGGCGAATCGCACCCCCGTCGCGCCCGCATTGAGTTATGGACCCCAACATGTCGAATCTTATCAAAATTTTAATCATGGTTATCAAAGCCAACCTGCACCACCTCCTCCACAACAACAAGCACAACAGCAACAGCTCCATGTTCAACATCATAATCTGTTGGGGCACAGTTTAGTTCAGAGGGTGACGCCGATCGAGGGTCCGATTTACGCCAAGGATGGACATCTCCCAGTCGTGCCGCTGTATTCGTACAATGCCGTGAAGAATGGGACGCTGTATCAGATTCCGGTGAGTGAGAATGAGATCATGTTTTTTAATGGGTGGTGGTTCGTGGTTATGTCATGGAATTTGCGAATTGCTACGTGCACCCAACTTTCCCACCCACACGGGATACACACACGTCGTAGGAAGTAAGGGCTAAATATGGGCGACTTTTGTCTGGAGAAGATAAACATCGATTGATTGGGGTTTGATTGACTATCGATTTACGAATTATTGACAAGTTTAAATTTGAGCTGAACTGATAAAGCAATGACAATTTTTTTTAAATGGTTGTTAATTTGGTGATTGATGCGTGCAAATTATTAGTTTGCAGCGAGGGCATGAGCAAATGCGACAAATACAGTTTTTTTTTGGAAATGTGTAGTTTTCACGTCGTAAAGTGAAAAATTGAAATATTTAAGAAACTCGTAGTTTCTGCAGATAAGACAGACATATGCTCTAAATTTATTGATTTTAGCATTATTTGCACACATGCAATTTCATTATTATAAAAATGAAATTGAAGTCTGGGAAGTGAGTAAAAATTATTCAAAAATATACATATTTAACTAATGAAGACATAATAGCGCATTATTTTCTTTATACAAAATTACAAATAACAAAAAAAAGTTGGGAATTTTCCAGTTTCGTATTTTCGCAAAGATACATTCACGGGAACTTCCCGGACGTAAGGTGTTCACAAATTGAGAGATTTTTTATCCTTGCCTACTTTTTTACATTATTTTTCCTACGACCGGGGTATGTATGGCACGTCACATCTTTTTAATTTTTGTCGTCACAATTTTTTCACACCTTTCATTTTTCTCCAGCAGCACAATTTGTGTGCGAATTTCTTAAAAAAAATAATTGATCAATCACGTCCTCTTTTATTTATGACATGGTTCATTATTACATTGTGTGTCATCAGAGAAGTGCATTTAATTCTCGATCCAGTAAAAAAATGGGGTTTATCCAATCTCATCCATGTAAGTAACGCATGAACGATAAAGGAAGTTTGGGTTTTTGATGGTGAAAAAAGTGGGTAATTAATTATTCATCCTTCTTGATCTCTTGTGAAGATACGTATAAAAGTGTGGCTGGCTAAGTGAATGGTTAGTTGACAATGTATCGATATACATGTAGATGAAGGGCGGATAAGTGCGAGACGTGACGCAATTATGAGAGATTAATAAGAAATGACATGATTATGCAGTGACTTATCTGCACTGCGATGTTATCTCTGGTCTCAAAGTGTTAGAGGAGTCGCACGTAAAGACATCGATAGATTCTGATCTCAGCAAGAACATTGTTTCATTTGTCGTGAATTTTTTTACACTTTTCTGACAGAATTTTTATTAATAAGCTTATATTTCTATGATTCATTTCATAATTCATTCATTATTACACTATTATAAGAAAGAATGTGGTTTTTTTGTGTTTCTTTTTTTGCCAAATAGATTCTATACCGTAATTTACGATTAGTAATTTTATCGATTGCACATAGGTCAAGATTAGATCATTGATTTTATAAGATTGAATTGGAATTTATGGGGTTTCCAGCATTATTTTGCGTAGTAGAAATTTATAATTAGTTACAGTGGCCGCGGAAGGGTGGGGACAGAGGGACAATGTCCCCACGGTTGTTCGATGTCCCCATGCTATATAAACCCCTCCATCCCTTATCCTGCAATGCTAACGTCCCCAGATGTCCCCACGGCTTCCGCGGCCACTGATCAGCTAAGGATATATTTTAGCGAGCGGATAATTCTGAGTCATTGGATTAATTTTTTTTGAAGGATTATCTAACCAATAAAATATGACAGTTTCAGACTTGCGACACGATAGTCACGTTTAGTTCCGTGTTTAATTGTGTAATATTTTTATTATTAATAATTCCTCGAACTCGAACTTGACTTTGTGATTTAAACAAGTCTACAATAGCAGTGAGTGATCTTGATAATGCTGACATAATGAAAAGAAAAATAGAGCTATGAGCTCCAATTGAACAGCAGAAAACAAGTGACTGAGACAACTTCCTGTTGGATTAAACCTGTCTCGATTTAATGCAGCAATTATCTATTTCTATTATTACATCACTTTCAAAGTGATCCATCACCATTTTTTCCTTGTTATTGAAACAACACGACTTTAATAATGGATAAAATGAATTGTTTGTTATGATGATTAATTTTGTTCATTAAATTGTTACGGGTTTAATTTTATATGCTTACGATTATTTAAAGTGTGGACATCTTAATTGAGTTTCAGTTATGTTAAATGCAATGTATTGTTTAAAATTGGTTAAAATATGATCTGTTTCTTCCCTTTCTTGAGAGAAAGACCACCCGTCGTCTCATTATCGATTTGACATTGACTTTAACAAGTCTTGTGCCTTGTTCTTAATCTTGTTCTCTATTTCACTACTAAACTAAGGTGGAGATTGTATGTAGAACAATTGCAATTAAAAGGGATTGGCTACATATTTACAAACATAAAAAATTTGGGCTTGATGCATTGCATTGATTTATTAGGAATTGCTTCCTGATTGATTCCGGTGTGGAATATTGTAAGCAGTTTTTTTTGTTCCACGTGGGAAAAATATTGGCAGAAATTTTGGCACTGCAATTTTTGGCAGTGTCAAATAATGAATGAATGAAAAGCACATGTCATGATTTTTTTGCAATTTTTTTTTCGCCAGGATGGAAATGAATGATCTATTTTACTTCCGATTTTGTCTAGAATACGTTTTGTGGTGTGGTTATCAGGATGTCTGCGTATTAAAAATGTGTGTATGCATGCACTCTGTCTAATTTGCATGTGCAGTTTGCTAAGGATTGAGACTAGTTAAAGGTTAAGGATTTAGGCGATTCAAAGCTGATGAATGAATGAGAGGCTGACTGCATCCTAATTTTTGCATCATTTAATAATAACAGCTTGCTGGTTGGTAGATGTCAAGTACTAAAATTCATGGTCAAGTCAATAATATGCAATTCATGTCCATGTTCACATGTTGTTTTGCTACTTGGTTGGTTTGGTGGTAGAGATGCAGGTAAATTAATTTATTGGTGTGGTTTTTAGTTCCTGACTACTGCTTGACGTTGACTTCCATTTCTATTGTTTGGTGAGATTGGTTGGAAATTATTATTATGTGAATGGACGAGGAGCGTTAAAAAAATGTGCAGTCTCATTCTTCCCGTTTGGTTTTGGGCGACGGACGACTATATTCCAAAGTTATTCCATGTTTGATGTGCCTGGAATTTGTAGGTGTGTCTCAGGCAGTGGCCGCGGAAGCGTGGGGACAGAGGGCCAATGTCCCCACGGTTGTCTGATGTCCACATGCATCATATACCATATAAACCCCTCCCTTTCCTATCCTACAATGTAAATGTCCCCAGATGTCCCCACGTCTTCTGTATCTGTGCAACGATTATCTGTGGTCACTGTTTAATGAAGTTTAATGAATGGAGCACAAATTGAAAAACAAATTATATATAGAAATTATATTTTTTCAGTATGTGAGCAAAATTTGCATATTTATTATTTAGCATCTTTTTTTATACAATTTACTCCTGTAAAAGCTGTCATCACTGCTATTTTTCAACTTTGAAATCGAAATCTACATCTCTGTCTGATCTCTCTGCTCCCACACGATTAATTAAATTGTCCAGTTTCTGATTAAATTTATGATCGTCTACGAGGTCCATGATCCATTTGATGATGACGAATCTTATATTACGAATACGACCAGTCCATCCATGCTGCCCACTATGAAACTCTACCCTCTGCCTACTTGAACAATTATGATTGACGAGATAAAATGTGCTAATTACTGGGTCGACCTCCTCATCCTTGTCAAATTTTAGGGGTAGATTATTATTGCTACTCAAAATTAGTGGTCAAAATTTCGGATTTTCCCCAAAGGCCTCAACAACCAGTAGGTGAATAATAAGATTTAGGTAGGTTGATAGGTTGATCTCCTACCTGCTACTTTTTTCTCGCAAAGAGCGAATATTTCACCCATAATTAATTTGCATACGCCGATATGGTCATATTCTTGTAAAGCCATAAAAATGTTTCCCTCTGGACACAGCAATTTCTCAAAAATGAATGTAATTAAAGTCAGCCTTTCATTCATTCATGGATGGATTTGTCCATGTTTGGCTCTAATGGAGAAGATGCGGCAAACAGTGGCCGCGGAAGGGTGTGGACATTGTTCCTCTGTCCCCATGGTCATTCAATGTCCCCGTCATCTCCCCATGTCATATAAACTCCTCCCTCCCCTATCCTGCAATGTTAATGTCCCCAAACGTCCCCACGGCTTCCGCGGCCACTGCCGGCAAAAGGTGATGTAAGTTAACTTGTACATAAGTGGTTTAGGTAGTAGGATGGATTATCTTTTCTCACTGATGGGTTTGGTTATTATTTAGTGGTCTGTGTGGGTGGGTTGGTGGGGGTGGGTGGTAAAGAGAGAGAGAGAGAGAGAGGAAGAGGAGGAGGGAGCCTTGGACCCAGTCGCCCGTGACCATTCTCCATCCATTCATTCATGAATTGTGATCTAGTCTAGTTTAGCTTTTTTAGACACTGACTGCGGTTGCCGATTTTCATTCAGTTATTCAGATCTCATTCAATGGACAAGAGTTCGTTGGGAAGGATTAGAAAAGTACATTGTTAGCTGGTGTATTTACATAAAACTGGAAAACACGCGCTGTCCGAGTATTTAAAGAGGTTATATAATTGACACGGGTGGTGGTATTTGTTAGTCATTGACGTCGGGTTGGTCAGAGTGGGTGGGTGGACAATTAGCGGAATTATTGTGGTGACTTTGTGGTTTGATGAGATTTTTATTTCTCCACTTGAGTGGTTTATAGGGAAATAAAATACCATGAAATTCTACATCTCGGCGAAAATGGATTGTAGAACGCAATTTTGCATGGTTAGAGATGTTTGTTATTCAAAATGAGTCAGAATGTGGGCAGAATGAATAAATAGTTAATTTTTCATCTCAATTGCGTCTCAATTTCAGATCTTGTGGACGGCCTTGTCTTACGCGTTAGGTCTCGAAATCCGCGGAGAAATTTTAAGGTGAGACCTTATCGGTCTTGGGAATTTATATTTGGTTAGCGATTTTTGGATAATATTATTCTAATTTTGCAGAGGACTTCCATGCATTAAGCGGTTGAATCAACTATTTTGTCCCACGGCTGGAAATACGTATCCTTTGTGAGTATATTTTCAAATATATTTCGTGGATTGTCGTGATCCTAAATTTTGACCCCTTATTTCACTGACCAGGGACAACATTGAACGGTTCATCGATGAGAATAAAGCCCTCATAAAACGGATGTACGGAGAATTCGTGATGAACGATGGTCCCGCTGGAGGTGAAACGCTTGGCGCTGGTGGTCTCGGTGGTGGTGGGAACGCCTTGCGCCGAAGTGCACGAGAAGTCTATGAACACGAAGTGGAAGAATTCTTTGGTAAATCGAAAACTGCAAAGTTTGCCAATCGAGCGGAAAATTTGCACCCAGATCAGAAAAACAATTCGACGAATGGTGGTGGTCAGACTTCTCACTCTAGGAAAGTGAGACAAACCGTAAATCCGAAAAATGGGGGGCCCACCCAGCAACCAAAGTCGAACAGGTTGATCAATAATTTGTGGATTTGTATGACTATACATATTTAAATTTAAATTAATTATTAATTAACTTTGGCAGGGTCGACTCTTGTGAATCCACCACGGAGATAACGACGCCTTACTGGGCAGCCAACTCTGCCGGTAAAGTCAGAGCCATCGTAAACACGCAACATTTCGAGCAGGCAATTAATCCAGAAATATTTATATATTTTTAAATACCAAATATTTATATTGATTTAAATTTTTCTGCATTTATTTCGAGTAGGCTATTCAACAAGAAGTCTGCGCCAAAACGTCGACAAAACATTGCGCTGGAGATTGCGGATGTGAACAGAAATATAAGTGGCACCGCCTTCTGGGTAACTTTGTCAAATTACGATTATTACCCTAAAAATTTGCATATTTTATTTTACATATTTTTGTAGCCTACGATCCTGACAATGATTGCAGAGGAATTTTCATGGATTGGTTTTTATTCCCGTCTTGCTGCGTGTGTAGATGTAACCCTTAAAAATTTATACTTTTTACTAGAAATAAATTTTAACATGACCTTTTTTTGCTATATAAATAAATACTTAATGATTGAGATTAAATTTAAATTTATGTATGTATGGCTTCATTTATATTTATTAATCTCCACATCCACCCACAATCTTCTCATGAATGACAATCATTTCCTTTACAACTTTAGCAAATAGGTAATCAATTCTCGTAAAGATGGATTTTCCTTCTGAATTCGCACCCATCACGGTCTCGATATTTTTCCGTGTCGCTTCTAACGCATTTTTGTAATAAGTTTCCACTTTCATTAAGTCCTCCGAAGTCACTTTGCTCCTATCAGCGGCAAGTTGTCCTAATTGTGCTACCTCTTCTTCCAATCTCTTTACTTTTTGCTCCAAATTTCCCGACTTTCTGACACACTCTTGCCATTTTATTAGCGCAGATTTGAACTCGAACTCTTGTTTGGTTAATTCCTCCAGCTCGTGGCTCGCCTCGGTGATCCTGGCGTGAAGCATGTCATTCTCTGAGCTGACCGTGTCAATCTGCAACTCCCATTTCTTGGCGTTCGTGCAAGACTCGATCGATACGGAGCGGAGGTGGTCATTTTCTTTGAGGAGTGAGGTCAAAGTATCGCTATTGTGTTGACTTGGAATTTTTGGAGTGGTAGAAGTCGTTGTCGTACTCGCGTTTGGAATTGTGAACGTTGCCGTGCTGGAGAAATCACGCTGCGTTTGTGGGAGCGATTCGGACGGTGGGATTAAAATCATGGGAACTTTGGCGTGCGTTTTCTTGACTTGGTGTAGCAATTGGGACCAATTTTTGTACGTTGTTCCGGATGGGTAGATACAGTCTGGATTGTTGGAGGATGATTGTTCCATGACGGAAGTTTTTCTAGTGAGAATTCCAGACTGCGCCTTTTTCAGAGAATCTTCAAACGCATCGAGTTCAAATTGGGATTGGAAACCGATCCCGTAAATTTTTCCGGTCGATTTGTCCGTCCAGTGACCAAAGGTGGCTGAGGTTTTGTGAAATTCGAGGAAGGGGAGAAGGGTAGAGTTGACTAGAACTTTTTTCGCAGAGTTTTGCAAATCCATTGAAATGATGCGGTAGATTGCTCTATTTTCGTCGTAGAGGATTGAGATTGGGACTTCGTGGGGGCGAAGGGGGGTCCATGAAGAGTTGGAGGAGAGAGAGTTGAAGGTAAAGACGTTGGCTTGGGCGAGATAGAGGGGTTGGATGGTTTTCGAAGTGGTGGTCGTTGGAGGAAGAGGGACATCTTGCGAGTTTTGTTGAGGCATAATTATGAAGTGGTGATGCTAGGAAAATAATTTGTGGGGACAGTTAGTTACATGTATACATATGTAGCAGTAGTTTGTGTTAGTGTTAGCATTATACGTACCTCGTCGTTCAATGCGGGGGGATTTGTACAAAAAACGGCAAGTTTTTAGGAATTTTAAATACATTCTGGGTACTTTAATTATTGAATTTCATGCAGTTATCTGGCGTAACCACCAACAACATGACATCCACTGGGGGCCATACATGTGGCAAGTAATGAGAATTATTGAGCCGGATGTACCACCCACAATATATTTCATACGATTGACATGAATAATTAACACCAGGTTAAATACAAAATGGTAGTTACACTCTTATATTTTGATCAGTGGACAAAAAAGTTTCGATTGATTTTTTCAACGCATTTAACGTTACGGAAATATCGGAGTTTATATTATTGACCGTGTAAAGCTCTAAGGAACTGACATCTGAGGAAACTGATGTGCACAAGCCTCTCGATCCGGATCGAAATATGGCTGGAAGTCCGGGTTGGAGGTACGCGTCCAAATTTCTCGTCTGATCTCCCAGAAAGGGATAAGCTCCTCCTGCGCTGAAACAGTACACTCCCAAATTGTTTTTATATCCTTCCAAAATTGTGTAAATCAAGGTGGCGAAGGTGTCGTCGACTTGAGGAGCGAGGATCATGTACTCGTGGTCCTTTCTGGAGAACTAAAATTTCAATAAAATTTCAAAAGAGTTACAAGAAATAATAATGACAAATTGAATTCATGTAACGAATTAATAATAATTATTAATTAGCTAATTATTAGCTTTGTAAATCGGCTTTTATATGTAAACGAACTCACTAAAGGAACCATTGCCACAGCATCGCCGAATCGGACGACGAGTCCGAGAGCGTCGTGGACCTTGATCAAATCCGTCCAGTAGGAGCGATGATGCTTAGCGTAATACTCTTGTGAAATGGCGTGTAACTTTTCGAAAGCTCCAGAATACTGGTGAACCCCCAGCAAGCCGTGAACGTGGGGATGAACTTGACTAGCGCCGGCGTGGGGGAGAACGTCCCACAGGATTGAGGGATACCTGCAGCACACAATGCATACATAAGTATACGTAAATATATAAGTTGAATGTGTCATATTTTCAAGAAATAATTAGTGAGCATAATTGCCTTTGTGTGGTGTCTTGTTTATGAGCGGTTTCAAACCATTGCTGACTCGTGTTGACGAAAAGGTCGAGTAAAGCTTGGAATGAAATGTTCACTGGGTGATGCGTCTTGGGAAAAAATAAGCCGTGGAATTTCGCCAGTTTAAACGTGTTTGAGGCACTTGCGGAATATTTGTTGTCAATTCTGCAATCAATTATTATTTTTAATTGTATTTTTTTGTAGTAGTGATACATTTTCTTCTGTCAGTTACCAACCTGCCAAAGACATCCTCAGCCGTGTGATCCTTATACTGACAGAAATCACAGGTTGATTGCGTACTAGCGGACAAGTTTGCAATGTAATCGACAGGATTTATGGAAGATTTTGATGTCGGTCTTTTCGAACGGAGAGGATTGAACACGGTCTCTTCATGGGATCCTTTTATCACAATTTTATAGATTTTCTAAATAACAAAATGGAACCTAACTATTGTAATTATTAAATTTCAATTCATAAAAACAAAATGAAACGCACTTGATGATGAATCTGTTTAAATAATTCGGGATCATTTCCTAGCCAGCCTTTCACTTCGGCCTGGAATCCTTCTGGTATCACGAGGTCAGCATCGATACCCTCCATAGTAAATATTTCGTTGAACAACGTCCAAATGTTGGTGCATTCCGAATCCTTGGACTTTTTCATGTACTCTAACTTTTCGTAGACGTGACCAATACTTTGGCCTAATTTAAATTCAGGAGGGTAGCAATTTTGATCAAACCAGTCCTGCAAAGTGAAGTTAAGTTACTAATTGCATGTTTCTCTATTTAAAAAATTAACATGGGTACATTTTGCATTTGCATACCGATTTTTTATGTGGTAAACTAAAATCACTCGGCCTTCCAAAGATATGATGTGGAATCTCAAACAGGGAACCAGTTCCGCCTTGATAAGTCCACTCGGCGTAGTACATGTGTCGTATCGTGAGGACTATGATTATTATGATTACGGCCAAGACGCCCAGTCGAGCATATCGATTCGATCGGAAAATTACGTAACGTCCCCCCATCCACATTCCTCCACCGTCTTTGAAGGGGGGAGGGCTAACAGATGGAGATTGACGAGGAGTTGGGATTGAAGTTGAATCAATAGCTATTTCGGATTGCGATAAAGGTACCTAAAAATTTACAAAAAAGAGTTTGAATTAGGCAAATCAATTACAGTATTAATTTGAATTTTTACGAACTACATACATATCGTGCCGTCATTTTCCGCTGTTGTTAACTTTGACAGATGATGATAACATTGCACATTGATAACCCCACATTCCGATTGATGTATTCACGGTTCACCAAGCCATCTCGGGCTCGGTATTTTGCACCAGATCCAAGATGAACTGAATAAGAATGAGCTGTAATTTTTATTCAGATTAGGGCTTATCATTCTTCCAACGATACAACAATACAAAATATGAAAACAGAAATAAATCAGATTTGAACTTACCAAACAATAATTGGCCGCCACCTTGCCTTTGTTAAGATTGGTTATCGAAAGGGGGTTAGATAATCAGCGGTGTAGTGATACATCAAAATCATGAAAACTAATTAACAGTTAACTTTAATAATAATTGAGCAAGATGAAATAAACACTGTACTGTAATGACAACAAATCCCTGTTCACTGCGAGCAGCTGTATGGCATAGAGAAGAAAAACCGGCTGCCAGTTTCAAACTCCATGCGAATGTACCCATGCTGGATACAAATTAAAATTTTGTTCGAGTTTTTTTTCGAAATTTTGGAATTGAATTGTTGCAAAACTTATAAAACTTATTCATGGGTCCTATCCGAGGTGGTCGAGGAGGTAAGTCAAATAATTATTCGTAAGCTATTTTATGCAATATTAGGTAAAAAAACAAGACGCCGGCTTCAAGTTTAATGGAGTATGAGTTTGTTGTTAAATAACAATGTTAATTATCTTGTTTTTTATCAGGTGGTGGTTTTGGTGGGGGTGGTCGAGGTAGAGGAGGCGGTTTCGGGGGTAAGACTTTGGTTTCAAGCTCACCGATTGACGATTGTGTATTATTTGGTTATTAATTTATGTATGTTTTAGGTCGTGGTGGCGGTGGGGGTGGCAGATTTCAGGATCAAGGACCTCCCGAGACCGTAATTCCACTTGGTTACCTTACCCACACTTGTCAGAACGACCTTGTATGTAAAGTCACGCTGGACGACGTTCCCTACTTCAATGCCCCCATTTATCTTAAGAATAAGCAACAGGTTGGGAAGATTGATGAGATTTTCGGAACGTTAAAGGACTATTGTGTCTCGGTTAAGCTGAGTGACGACGCGAAAGCTAGCTCGTTCAAGGAAAAGGATGAGGCAAGTAGTTTAAAAAATTAGCGAGTAGTTATATTTAGTTTATTTTAATGGTTGGTATTTTTAGTTCTTTATTGATCCTGCTAAAATGCTGCCATTGTCGAGGTTTCTACCCGGAAATGAGCAGAGGGGACGTGGAGGAGGCCGCGGAGGGAGAGGCGGAGGTCGAGGTGGTGGGGGACGTGGGGGTGAGCTTAAATATTTAATTAAAATCTGTTGACCGCCTTTAAACAAAATATAATATTATTAGGTGGAGGCAGAGGAGGATTTGGTGGTGGTGGCCGCGGCGGAGGGGGTTTCGGTGGTGGACGAGGGGGTGGTGGTCGAGGAGGTTTCGGCGGTGGGCGTGGTGGGGGTGGTTTTGGAGGAGGTGGTCGAGGCGGTGGTGGCCGAGGCGGAGGAGGTGAGGAAATAAATAATTTATAATTTATTTTAAAAATTGTAAACTAATTTCTAATGTTCCCGTTCTAGGTTTTGGTGGAGGCAGAGGAGGCGGTGGATTCCGAGGGGGACGAGGAGGTCGTGGTGGTTAAGAAGAATACTAAAATCCTTCATACTTGCATCAAATTCCGCCAACTTTTATATATTCTTGAATAATTAGTTTTAAAACGACCCATAGTGTAACCTGTTCATTTCATTGTTACTCTTTGTATCGACATTATTGACAATTTAATACGATATGTATCTCGTTTACAAACTTATATTTAGATATCTTACTTAGCCTATATTTACAACTTTACAGTGCGGTCCGTTCCGCAATAAAAGTAATCCATATTTCTTTACTGAAAACTTTTAAACCTATTTCAGTCATTCCCAGTAGATCTATCTATTTGTATCTGCTAAAGAGCAAGATTATACATGCACTAAATAATGTATACAGGTACACAATTCTCCTTACTCTTTACGCAATGTTAATGAGAACTTTTTACTTATATCGTGGTGTCCCCTATTAGTATTAACGCAGCATAGCATTGTTGCAAATGCACTTATGTACTATAAATCCTGTGCAATATTTACCCATCACATATTTGCTCATGAAATGAAATGTTGTTCATTTCTTGCAATGTAACCACGTCCCATAAGAAGAAGAAGAAAAGGCTTAAAATTTAATCCATTCCCATCCCATCACCATCATCACGGCTTAAATACGCTTATTACTTTACATACATGCACATTGTGCTATTCTTTGTTATTGTGCATCTCAGATAAATCTATGTATTTACCACACAACATGAGAACAAGACTGCCAGTCTTTATTCAACTATTGGCTTGAAGTCATCATCATGGCTGGTTCTTCTGCTTGGAAAATCGTGACTGATTTTGCACCACTTTTATCATAATCCGGACATTTACTTAACAACAATCACATTGATTATTGAGAAGAAAGAAAGAGACTGGTTACACGATTAAAGATCCATCTTTTGATTGATTACATTGATTACTTTATTATTATTTATAAAAATATTGACAATTAGAATCCTTCGTGGAAAAGGAAAGTTTCTGGTCTTCCTACGAACGTCAACAGATTCTGTGAGGGAGGGAGTTTATAGTTGTTTAATAACTTAATGGTGGATTGGATGGGACAATAATAGTAAAGGTACATGCCTTATGTACAAGTATACTGTTAAATAATACCCCATCGGGAGGTAGGTGGTTCCTTGTGGAGAAGGTGTCGGAAGGAAAAAGAATTTCTGATTGGGAAATACATGTGTCAATAATTACCATTTATTGAAATTCTGACCACAACTCTGCTGAACTGAAGTGCGAGACTAATTTGTAGGTTACAAAGGAAAATAAAGGTAAGGTTGGTTGGTAAAGGATGGAATAATTAAAGGGTTAATTATTGTAATAGTTACGTGTCAATTTGTCATTTCCGAATAGAATCCGCCTCAGTTTGCCTCGGTTAATGAGTCTGATCTCAACTTGCCTCTGTACTGTCTCAAAGTCTTGAATTGCCCACATCCTACTTTTAATATTTTTTTTGCGATATAGTTGGCAAATATTTTTGCAAGATGAAATTTCTCTCGTTACCATTTTTGAAACTGTACAAGTTTTACGAATTGTAGACAAATACATATTTTTTATGGGGCTTAATTGGCCAACACCCAACCCAATATGTAAACAATTTGACTTTGTTGTCGTGTCTCACCTTCTACTTTATCACTTCCCATTTCACGGATATTACATTCCATTGTATTAATTAGGAGGACTGGCCAGCGTGCATGAAATTCAGTGTCAACACCAAGATTAGGAAACGTCTCTCGACCAAGACAAACATCTCTGTCTGCTGAAAACTACAAAATTGACAATTCAACTTGATATTATCTTACGTGACACTCTTATTTGGTTGGATTCGTGATCACGCTCATATCCGCAACCAATCGCTATAATATTTTTATAGCAATAATCGATCCTCATGAAGATATTGATTAATTATTCTGTATAGAAGTTTATTTGAAGTGGAAGTGAAAGTGATTGCTTCGAGTGACATCGAGAAGGTACTCACTCCTTCAAATATCTGAATTCTTACGTTAGTCACCCACAAGAAGTGGATATCCATCCATCATTTTTTACTTGCCTCCGACCGTCTACTGTCTGACCAAATCTCGTTGTCGCAGTGTCATTTTTGGGCTGGGAGGAAGAACACGGTGTGAAAAAAAAGTTTTAATTCTTTGGATTTTATAAGACTGGAAAAATTTCAAAGTTTTTGGGTAAGATTTGATTTTTTTTGCATGTATAAAATTGTGTTGGTATTAGTTTAGTTGAGTGAGATAAGCACTTATCGATAACACCATCTTTTGCTTGAAGTGACCCGAAGGAGGAAACTTGTTTAATTTACTTTAATGAAAGATAAGATTATTTCACGGTCACATTTTACCTGGGAATTGTTGCACATGCAAAATAATAATTTTTATAACAAAATTGCCCTGAAAAATGGAGGCATGATTCCCAACGGTATAAAATAAATCCAATTGTATAACGTTTATGGTTTTTCTCTAACAGCGTGCAATTCTCAGAAATTAAGTGGTAAATTAGGTAATGCCGGCTAACTAATAAAAAAATCAGGGGTAAAACTTCTACATGTTGGCAATTCTTACTTACTTAATTAATGAGAAGAAAATGGAAACGTTTTTCCAAGAAGACGACCACCTGGATTTTATTTATTGCGAATTTTATATAATTTTTTTTTTGCAGATTTTACACACAATGGCGATCTCCTACTTCTCCTTCTTCCTGTCCATCACAATCTTTGCCTCGATAAGTGAAGGGGGTTATCCACCCAACGAGGGATATGGTGGATACGAAGTGAAAAAATACCCTTATCTGCCCGCCCCTCCGGGTGAAACGCCGGGGTGTGCGAAGGGTGGGGTCACGTATTGCGAAAAAATTGATACTTATCCAATGTAAGTTTCTCATTTTTAAGAAAATTTGCACCAATTTTTTAAGATAAGTTATGTTAAGCTAAAAGTGTTACATGTGTAAAGCACACAATTTTGCAAAAACCAAGGCGAAACATGTATTTCATTTCATGCCTGCAGTTCAGTCGTATTTATCAAATTACGCCTTGATTGAGACGTTGATTGCTCGCGTAACCTATGGGGTTGAAATAATGGGAAAAAGTTTGGTACGAATCTCACCACGATGATGAAGGGGAAGCCCTCCAGAAAAACTAAAGGCTGTCTTGTTACTTGCTAGTTGCTATCATTTCGCATCTTTTTTTGCATCGTCTCATGTTTTCCTTTTGTAAACTAGATGAATGTCGTGTCACTCAGAATCTCAGATTATAGTTGTGTAAAGGAAACATGTATTAGCTCCCTCAGTTAAAGGACTTTTGACAGCCAAGGGAATTAATAATGATTTAATTTAAGGATAACGTTCGACATGGCATTTAACTAATGAAAATCAGCTCAAATGACACGGCAATATAGACGATCGAGATAAATAATTACTACTTACCTGTAAGATAAGGCTAAATGTGGCGCACATATTTAAATGGAAATGAATATCAAGGGCGTGTTTTGTTAAAAAAAGAATTATTTACAAAAACAAAGTCGCCTAAATTTATTTGTTAAAACAAATCCGCATTGATACTTATCGATTAAGTAATTAAATTGTGGTGACAGGTGAAGAATTGCATTATTCGCGACACCCATGATTAATTCGTGCTGGTACCTAAATCAAGTCCAGGGTTAATATTTTTAGTAGACGATAGATAAGAAGTTATCCATTATTACGTCCTCGTAAAAAAGTAAACAATGACTTCCTCTGTAAATAAATACGTGCATATTTTAATCACAAGGAAGGACTTGGAGATCTCTTTTTTTCTCTGTCTCGACGACGAAAACAAGACCAGAGACCACCAACCAAGTGGTGACTAAATACTTGTCAATCAATCTAATTGAAATATATATTACGTCATAAAGTCCGTAATAATTCTATACACTTTTTATATCTAAGCAAGTATTTAGTAACTTTTGCTGGTATGAATTTAATCTAAAAATAAATGGGATCACTGTTAAGTTTAAACTTTTATTCTTTGTAGTTAGTTTTTAACCTTGAATCGAAATCGAATTAATGTATTTCAAGCCTCGTGTTCTTGTTCTTCTCTCCTCTTTCAAATATTAAGCAATATTTGCTTCGTCTCGTTAGTTTACACTATTTATTACCTTTACGTGGTCGTGGTGGGTACCTTCGAACAAAAGGATGCATCATGCATGCATCATCATCACAAGTAACAACCAAATAATATGACACACACTAAAATAAAATATAGCGATGAATGAAATGACCACAGTCTTCATACACGTTCTTGGGTGGCATAAGCTATTTAAGCATGTATGAATGTGTTAAATATTGTTATTAAGTCTTAATAAATGTGTAACAAGAGAGCCATCCACATTATTGTGTAATGTGTAATAATGCACGTTTTTTACAATTATTTACGGTCTACACACTTCAGGGTTGACAACACTAAATAACGAGACTTGATGTTGAGTGAGATTTTTGCACATTTTGAATGCAGGTAGGTGCATATATGTAGATAATATGCAAATAGGTATTTTATTTAAGGAGAAGAGGGTGATGATTTTTTTAGGGATTGTCCACTTCAAAATCATCTTCAAAGAGGGGTCGGGTTTAAGTTTAAGTTAAGGTTTAATTGAATTGGAGAGGTTTCGCCTTGGCCCATCAAATCCGCGTACCTGCCAACAAGTAGTCGACCACTTTGTATACATAATTTGTACAAATGAGATGCGTCGTCTTTTGAGAAATGTGTGTGTCTCGTGTGAATGAAAGTAGTGCTTGTTTGGTTTGATTATTATTTTTGACACCTAATGAAATGGAATCATGGTCAGGTTTTTAAAAAAACTGTGATGTGTTACATAATGTGGAACATTTTCGAAACTTTTGCATCACATTGTTGTACCTACGAATATTTTGAAATTGTGCATATGCAAAAAAAATTGGGTAGGAAATTGCATAATGTTGAGTATGAAGTGAAATAAAATTAATGATTTCATTACAAAATTTTGTATAAAAGTATTTTGGAGAGGAAATCATATAATATTTTCAGATATGATTTTTTAAATAATTTAAAAAATTTAGGGTTAGATAATTATTATCTAATCCTAAGTTATGTAAGCTATAATTTTGAATAATTATTTAGTGATCTTCAGTTTTCATTATGAACTGATTTGCAAAATCATAACTTTTTTGATTAAATAACCTTTGACTGACAATGAAATGCCTAAGTTTGACCTTTAAATAAACAAATTCTTTGACAGGGAAGTGATTTCCTACTTGCTTTACAAATGGGGCCGAACTTACCAACAATTCATCTCGAGTGAGTCGAACCGTGATTACGTTCCGGTTTCGAAAGCCTACGGGTCGCCCCTCCCGTACGACTCGTACCACCCGAAGGACACGGGCTACCTCCCACCACCCCCACTCGGCGCCCCCATAAACAACGCCACCGGAGGAAACAATAATCATAAGCAGTACGTCGATTCGTATTTCAGGTATGAATTCTGATTTTGTAGACCTCAAGAAAAAATAATTTGATGAAAAAATCTAGAAATTTTGAAAAAGTTTGCAATTTTAGCACGAGTCAGGGCTAAATCCTATCTGTCCGATCGTGATAACTCTCGTTTACCTATAATTCTAAGATTATTTTCCAATAGAATTCCAATTAGAATCCAATAGGATGTGATTTTTGAAATTGATAGAAAGATGAAATTTGGTATTTGGCTAAGGGCACATCTAGCTACAGAATATGAAATCAAATTTAGGAATACTTTTGCGAGATAGATCCAGCAATGGAACCCATACGTTTTTTTAAAATTTTCTAAAAAAAACTTAAATTTTTCATGGTTAATTACATTTTTGTAATTTTTGTAATTTGCATTTGTTACTGAACATTTTTGACAACTAGTAGAATCAGACTCTTGCCCTGACTTTGGCTAATCCTATAGAATTAGGCATACTACACTTACTGCTAAATCAACAATGCAGGTTTTGTACTTCGTGACGCCGTTAAATGTTTTTTTTTTTTTACATTTTATAGCAAAAATATTATCTTCTTAAGATTATTCATGACCACTCGTGGGCAATCGTCATCTAATTATTTTACTGAAATTATTAATTATGCGCAAATTTGATTACAAAAATCATGAGAAATCTACCATAAAGACGATAATTTCAACATCAAGAATATGCTACATTTAACAATTAATTAATTCACTAATTGCTATAAACAGAAAACGTCAACCCGGAAATGGAGGGTACGATTACTCATATGCCATCCCCCAACAAGGTCAAAACCATAATCAAAACCACCACAACCAGCACACGAATGGAGGAGGCGGTTATCAAAATGGGGGCGGTTATCAGGGCGGCTATGCTTCCACGATGGCCGCCGCAGCTGCAGCGCTCCCCCCACTTTTACACTCGGTCTGGTGGAACCATCGGGACCCTTCGAGCGGTACCGAGGCTTATCCACACGTCGCCCAGTATAATCAGGAAGGTTGGGGGCAGAGGTGGCGGAGAAGGGCGAAGAGACAGGCGGAAAATACGGTAATAATTTTTACACTGAAAACAGGAATTTTTTATTCTTCCTGGAACTTACCTCATAATTTTGAAAAGTATTTCGAAGAAATTTATCAAATATTCCAAGAATCTCACCCCCAAAATCGTGCAAATTTACTGAAAAATTCCCAGAATACGAGAACCGATTGAGTCATAAACTTGCGTATGTATGTACATTGCTGGAAAATCCATGCATTTATCTTCATAGTCTGCAGAATACATCTGACGGAAATCACTTTTTAGCACCGTCATCGTCATCATTGACATTAAAGACAATGGATGCATGTAAATGTGTAGAAAAAAGAACAATCGACCCTGTAATGTCAGTAGACAAGCAGTTTCCAGAACCCGTAACAAATTCATTTCCGTCGTAATTGTCGCACGTACCTGGTTTTAAGTTACATTACATAACAAAAACGTGCTCATTGTCATCAAGGCAAGGAAGTCAGGACACACGAGGTGGGTTAATGATGAGATAGTTCTGGAGAACAAGTGGTCAATCAGGCGTGTCTTTCTCGTTCTTTTTATACAAACCTGTCACCCGTGACCATAGTTGTTCTAAAATGCAAATGCTCATTTACCCAGTTCCATTTTGCTACTTAAATAGTTTGCAAAAAAAAGTTGGCAAAAAATCTGCATAATAATTATATTTTTCTTTGACAAAGCTCTGTCCCACGGTGGGACAATTCATCTCTCCTCAAGCCGCCATGAATATGGATGGAAATTGGATGTACGTTTTTCTTATTATTCATTATTCTTTATCTATTTTATGTATCTTATCAATTTCGTAAAGGTACGTCGTCAACATGGGGAACACAGCGCAGCAATTGGTCCGGAGCGAGGTGTGTGCACGTGGTGACGGTTCGGCGTGCAATAATGTTTGCAACGTGGCGCCCGGACTTACGGCGACGTGTCGACAGAAATACGTGCAAAAGAGGTTGGTCGCACTGGACGGGTCGGGAGGGAGTTTGAGAAATGATGTCTTTTGGTTTCCGCACTGTTGCAATTGTGAAATCAATTAAGGTCAGGAATTAGAATTTGTGGGAGGCAAAAGAAGAAAACACAGGGGTCAGTTTTTAATTAATAATTTGCACTAATTTAGGGTTTTGTTAAAACAAGTAAAATGCTGTTTTTCGGCCCCGATTAAGTTTTTTTGTGAAGTTTTGCTATTTATTTAAGCATAGGTTACATGAGGTATTAATAAACATATTGTAATTATTTTAGTTGGTTTTTATGTAAAAAAAACTGCAACTTTATTTTTAATGTCATCGTGTTAACTATTTAGTTTATTAAGGATAATCACTAGATTCAACTAGAATCAAACTGAAATCGTAACTATAATTTGTAAAAATTTAATAAGAAATAAAAAGTTTTTGTATTTTTTCCTAGTTATATAATTACAAAATCTTCAGTTGTTTAGTTAATAGCATGAGTTCATACTTTATTTCTGGAATTTTCACAGATTTTTAGAAATAATTTTGTGTAATTATGACCTTAATATTTGTGTCTCGCACTTGGCCCCTCCACCCCCTGCGACATTCCGCCAACAACGCGAGAAGAGTACGCCTCCGCGTCTGCAGTGCCGGCGTACGGCGTCAGGGATAGTGGAGCCCCGTTCATGATCAAATGGTCAATCTCAATCCGTCTCGATTTCGTCATGTTTTCCGGGATGAAGATCTGAATTATAGTGACAATTAATCATTATAATTATGATAATTTAAATAATTAACGTACTTGAATTCCGGTGATGCCGACGAAGCCGCCTTGGCGCAAGTCGATAACGTGTTCTCCAGCCAAGTCGTCTTCAGATAACCTGAAATTGAGTAATTGTTGATACATAGTTATGAATTGGGAGTAATTATGCTTACTCACATGACTTCTTGGGTCGCATTCATCTGATTAATCTCATTAATGTCGACCCCTCTTCCAACCGTGGTGAAAAAGCGAAGGATTCTTGGCCCGGAGTGAATCGGAGCTTTCAATTTGAAGGATTGGATCTGAATAAATATTTGAAACAGTGTTTCGATTATCGAAAATTGATGCTTATCGATTATATTAATTTGATACCATCATTTTTTCCGTGAAACTATACACGAGCAACAGCCGGCCCATTCCTCTCCCCGAGACGAGTTTATTCCCCTCCAAGAACCCCGAGAACGGGGTCGGCAAGAGGTCATTCACGACGCGACAGTTCTTCCGATCCAAGTAGTCTGAGATATCACCCATTTTCGGAGTTCCTGCACCTCCCCCAATTTGCGACGGCATTCCCATCGACGTCATGGCCGCAGTTGGGGTGAGACCACCCACCTTTTTGTAGTCAATGTCGTTCTGAATTCGCTTAATTTTTGATTCCAGTTCCACGGGGGATGCACCCTGAAATTTAATTCGGAATGAAAAAATATCTACGTAATGTTTTTTACAAGGTTGTCATTCCGTTACCTCGACACGATCGACACGAGTCCGATTGTTGTACAGGACAAAGATGGGGACTTTGGTGATTCGGTGTTTCTTGGAGGATGACATGCATCGCTCGGCGTCAACCTGGGGGTCATTTTATTAAATTGAAACAAAAATCGCATATTTTTCACTAGATAATTTATCCACCTTGAGGAACAAAGTGTTTGGATTCTTCTCTGCTATATTGTCAACGAAGGGATTCATTTTTTGGCAGGATCCACACCAAGGGAGAAAAAAGTAGACTACGGTGCACCTTTCGCCCCCCATGCCACGAATCATGGTTTCCAACTCGTCGTCATTGTTCATAGTCCGAATTCCGGTCATTCTGGGGGAGGAATATTTTTAGGAGATTATGATACTAAAATTTTGGGTATGATTTGACAATGATTTGGACGTTTTGTCCAATATTTATCAGAGTAATTTGTAATTTGGGTAATGACAGTTTTTCAAAACTTTATACCTTTTTAAATTATTTTGGATTATCACTTGACAACATGGAATTTATTCGAATTTAGGGAAGGCTTGCTAAATTTTTTTCTAAGGTGAGGTAAAAAACTATAGTTACAGTTACACCTTAGTATGCATTCACCCCCCCCCCTTCGAAAACTTTGACCGCGCCCTACAGCCAAGGGGGTGCGTTTTAGAGAAAAAAATAAAGAGACCAAAAAATCAATTACGGACATAATCTAGTGCTATCCTAAGGGATTTTTCGATGTGACCTCCCAGAAAAAAGTTTTGATGGTGGTGAATGGTTGCATATCGCAATTTAAGTATGAAGGGGACTACCTACATAGCTGGGTATCTAAATTTATGAAAGATCGCCTCCACTTTACTATAAGGAGAAACAAGAATTTGGTCGATTGGTTGAGAAACCAGTGACTTTTCCCTATAACGAAAATTTCCGAGTGGTTGCTATATAGTAACTATATAGTTACACCCTCGCTATGGAGTCTTAGCCCGTGTCCGGGCTTATGGGACCGTCATGTCCGTCCTCAAACACGATAGACTTGCAATTTTACCATATGCATATTGGACAAAGTTATGAATCGAGTTCGAAGGTGGGTGAAATCGGTCAAATGGGGGTGTCATCTAAGTGGGTGGGGTGCTATGCACCAGATTTAAAAATTGTCATAGAAAGCTGAAATTTGGCATACAGATAGTTAGTGGCTCCTAATGGTAAAAATGAATTCAGATTGGAAAAATTTTCATCCAGAGGGACCCGATGGGGTTACTCATACTGATTTCTCAACATCGTCAAATAGAGTTGTAATTTGGTACAACGGTTTCCAGTCGCACCTAATGGAAGAATATGAACTGGAATTGATAAAATTTGTATGTGGAGGGACCCTTTGAAGTCACCCACACCTTTTAGAAATTGTCACCAATGGTCTTATATATAGCTTTACACATAAGTCGAAGAGCAAATTTGCGTGGGTTATAAGCATATCAAACTTGATATCTGTCAACTAACACTTCTAAAATGTATGTAAATTTGAGCGAATTCAATTGGCTAGGATATCCGCAAGACTAACGGTGTAAATGTTGCTTCATAGCGTACAATAATGGTTACGTTCTATATTTGCCTTTAAAAGTCAACCCTAAAAAAGAATTAAATAAAATATAGCTTGAAAAAGTAAAAGTTCTAAGGTGAGGAAGTGCACTTAAAAGTATTAAACCAGCTCCCTCCGCTACCCAAATAATTTTACTTCGCCTGGGCTGCCTACTGCATGCAAAATATCGACAATAATGTTTCGGCGTCACGTAAGAAAAATATTAGACTTAATTTCTTAGTCTAAAGTTAACTTTTCAGTTGGTTAATATCCAGATAACATTGATGGGTGGTAAAAGTATTAGCAATTAAATATTATCATTTGGTGGTAATTATTACATATGGTTCATCCGTCCCCAAATATTTATTTTGTATAACTAGTTCGGCATCATGCTCGTTGTACATTCAAGTCGGAATGTACTATATGTACTGATGAACCGATATATTATATTTTAAACCTATAGTATAGAATACAACACAACCATTGTTTTTATATTTGTTTGGTGACTCTTTGAGCGACTTATTTACATACCTGGTTTTATTTGCAAGAGATATTTTTTCATGGAGTAGGCAGTCCAGGCGAAATAAAATTATCTGGGTGGAGGAGGGAGCTTGTTTAATACTTTTAAGTGCACTTCCTCACCTTAGAACTTTTACTTTTTCAAGCTATATTTTATAGGCTTACTAGTAGACGAATTTTCATGAGTGATGTATTAGCAATGCACAATCTTATAATTGTTAATTTATGATTGTAGAGTAGACAAATGATTTTCGTTATTATTATAATTATTTAAGTTTGTATTTATACATTTGCATGTAATAATTTAATGAAAATGATAAGCATAATGCTGTTATTCATTCGTAGGATGAATATCCCTCAGCAGGATTATTTGGCTGAAATTAAATAATGCGTGTTAGCATTGGTTTAAAAGAATATTTGCAATTTTTTTCATGTACATACATCAATTTGCCTTCGAAAGACAGGGTGGATAGGAATTGGTAGTGATTTCCGATGAGAATCCCAATCTTTAGAGAAAACAACTTGTAAATATTTTTTTTAAAACTTGCAAAGTTTCTCAAATTTTGAAACGAAATGTTATTAATACGATACCTGGCTCTTCGTTCACAAATTCGTAAATTGTCATCGCATTTACTGTAAAAATCAGGACAAACAAAAGGAAAACTACGAGTTGAAAGGATTTGAGATGCATTTTGCAAATTTATATTAAAATTTTGAAAGTTGAGTTGGCTTATGCACTTGTAAACTAATAATGACCACAAGTTAATGATAATGAAAACCCTTTAAATATTTATCACTCTCCATTCCTGGTTAATGACATTTCCCATTATGACTTATTATAGCCTTGTAATAATTAAAAGTAAATTTGCCCCATCAGCAATAATTTGTTTGTTTTTGAAAAAGAAATCCAAATATTTCTTGGACAATCTGGTTTTTATCTGATGCGTTGTCGTGAAAAACAAAATGATTCAAGCTGAGATTTTCTAAAATTAGCCAATCTCAAAAAGCAAACAACGACTTCATCGTAAAAGTTCTATGCTGATAATTTTGCATGCTGAATTTTTTAGTTAAATTTTGTTATTTTAAAATTAGCTACAATTTTAGCTTGTGTTTCATAATTCATCTCATTTTTTTAAATCATGTTTTGCCCAATGTTAGATTTTGTTGCCGAATATGATTTTTTTTGCAGTACGTAGTGTTGGTAAGAATGATTGTAAATGTAAACGACACATTGGAATTTTTGGCGAGATTTTTCTTACTGCATGTGCAAAAGTTATGCCCAGTCGTATGCATTTACATGACTAAATAAAATTCGCAAAACTTACACGCATATATGTATAAATAACAATTAAAAGTGATTTTATTGTCACATCTTGACAGGGCATAATAACATTAACATTTTCATTAACTAGATAAATTTAAGAATTCAACATGATATAAAGTTTGAAGCAAAATCATAATATCCAATAATTATTTGACATGGCATGAGCATGCGTTACGTGAGATTCTTGAAAGTGAGATTCTTCATGATAAAAAAACATTTGTGATAATTTGTTGCCTTATTTGCTACTCCTCCTCCTGAGAAAACTTGGGAGTTTTGTTGTCTTCTTCGATCACCTTGGCCGTTGAGGTGCCTCGGCGACGAACTACAGTCGACGAGGGAACCGCGATAATGACGAGCTGCGCATAAAAGATTATTTAATCTTAATATTTATTTATTTTAAAAAATTATGAATATTATTGAGATGATTTATGTACATATGTATTTACCTCAGGAATCGTCGTGTTCGTCAGTCTGTCCCTATTTCCAATTCCAGGAGACAGGGCAACCTGGATATTTTGCAGCTTGGCCGAGTGCACGTGGTGTACAATTTTGTAGTCGGATAGGGATTTCGCCTTGAACTTGAGACGGGGAGTGGTTCGAGCCAAATGTCCAGCGAATGTGACGTCATACTGGACCCAAAACTTGTCCATTATGTCCTCCGACAGCGTTCCATTTTCGAGAATTGTTTTCTCCAATGCTGCACCCAACGAGCAGCGACGGTACAATTCAATCCGCTCGGGAACGTTGGATGCTGGAACGGGGGCTGGAATCGTAGCTTTGGTTTGGGTGTCGGTAGGAGGGCTCATTCTAGAAATTTAGGATAATTAATGATTAGGAAAAGTATTTAACTAGCAATAAATGGGTGAAAGATATGCACTCACCTTATCTTTCACGATACACACAACTATAACTAAGTAGACTAATTAACTAACTAATAAATAAAATACTATAAATATAATTTAAAAATGATAAGTTCGTGATAATATTTCAAAGACTTGATAGGAAGAGAAGAAGACTGGAGGGACAACAACGAGACGAGAGTGACGAGACAAGGAAAACACCCAAGCTGGTGCCACGCTGTCTGGCTCCTGGCCATGTGCGCCGCACGTGTGACAAATTCGAATTAAATTTGCATACGACAACAAAGGAAATAATATGTATAATTTTTCATGAAACTGGACAATGGTTTTTCTGCTAAAATTATTTATTTGGTAGTTTAATTACTTACTAGGTAGATTCGAACATGGCTGTCTTTCTGAACCATATACTACTTTATATATCAACGGTAAAGTACGGATCAAGTTACAATTTTTTCCAAGTTGGGCGATAGCTCATGCTATAATTATTACGATTTAGGAGCAAGTACGGTTAAGATATAAATAATTGGTGAATTATCAGTGGGACGATGTGATGATTGGCAGTGCTAATATTACCAAATTATTACTCGTATCACATCTATTGCTCGTTATTATTTGGCTAATCTTATGTTATCTATTTTTTAAACCATAAACATTAGATAAAATAGAACCATCAGAAATATCTTTCATTTTTAAGGTACATTCCATTATGTTCCATACCGTTTCATATCCATCAGTTCCAACCTCAAAATTTCTTTAAAATAGAATGGTGATACGTATATTTCCACCGTAAAACAACAAACGGAGTGAGCAAAATTAAACCCCTACTTTTTGATATACGGCGTGTATATTAATAAGCAGCACGACACTTGTTGTGTATTATGAGAATAATTCTTTGTAATTATTCGCAATTAATTTTGTAAAGCTTCACCCACTGATTCTGAATTAAGCTACACTTACACTTCACTTCACTTAATGACTTGATTTTCGTCGATATCTTCGTCGATACTGTAGTTGCAATTGGTGGTGGTAATGGCTAAAGCTAATCGGACTAGGGCTAGTTATCCCGCTGTGTCAGCGAACTCCTGTCGGACTAAAGTTACTGAAACGTGACCGATACCTGACCTCCGTTGCGTCTCCTGCACCATCATGGTTTGTTGGAAACTCTCTGAAAATTATAGAATTAATTATAAGTATTAAATTAATTAAAAAATTAAATTATCTCTTACTACCTGTTCATGTTAAGAACTGCGGGTGGCGTCCTCCTATTTAAAGGATCGAATGGGGTCCTGCTGCCAATATGGGCCGGTTCTGAACGCGACTGATGTACTGGAGGAGTGTAACTTCCCGGATATGATGATGCTCCCGCCTTATCCTGTCCCATGACGAGTGGCGGCGTCATACTCCCGACAGGAGTAGAACTAGGACTTCCGAAGGGTGACTTCTCCAGGACGATCTTCATCGTACGGATTATCAAGATTTGTAGTCCGTATTGGAGAATGAGCGCCCCAAAACCTTTGTACAGGCCGGAGAATCCTTCAACGTCAACCGTTGTGCGAAAACAGTCCAACACGCCGGCGTACGAGGTGAGGATCGGGGTCACCTCGAATCCATTTTCTAAGCTGTCGATAATAGTTCGGGTTCCTTGGAGGTGCAATCTGAATTTAGTAGATTGAGTAAATTTGATGATTATTTTATATGAACTATAAGATATCTTGAATATTTTACCTGTTTAAGACAGTCTCCAAAGGAAATAGGATAATGTCCGCGGCCATATTGCCCACTAGTGAGGCAGTCATTTCTGTGTAGTATGACATGCTGGTGTCTTTCGATAGAGCGCCCTGTGAATTAAAATGTAACAGCATATTTATTTTTTTAATCCACAAAAAATACTTTATTTTTACTCGAAAACTTTACCCCTTTTCGCTCCTTTGATTCTCTCACTCTTCGAATAGCTGACACAGAGGCAGACTTGACTCCTGAATAGATCAAATAAGATAGGATTCCATGCGCCACCGTAGGAACGATGAGGACGTGGAGGGGGACGAGTCGACCGGTGCTGGGCCATGACAATAAACGCCAAAATCCTTCTCTGAATACGTCGAAAAATCCGGCGGTCTCGGAGGCCACGTCACTCTGCACCGTTTCCACTAGGCTGGCTGAGTAGAAGGGAGTAATTACGGCGACGCTGAGGGCTTTTAGGAGGATGTGTTGCATAACTGATTTGGTGGAGCTGTGACGTGTAATTTCCCTGTCGAAAAAAAACAAGTCTTGTTATAACGTTTTCTTCATTTAATTAGTAATGTTAATTATCAATTAGTGACTCACTTTGGACACGGCGTAACCTTGCTCGTCACATCTTCCACGGCTAAAGCCATCCCCCTCACGACGAGAGTGCTGCCCAGCCCCTTCCATAAGACGGCGACTCCTTGTCGTTGACAAATATGGAAGACGGGATTAATCATGGTAAAGGGTAAAATGTGGTATCGACTTGATGATGTGTGGACCTAGAAACAACCATACCATTTATTAATGACCGGAACAAGGTGAAGGGAAGTGAAGTTTTCTGGAATTCATTAGCAAAACATACACACGTTACTTGAAGGAATTTATTTTTAGCATACTTGGCATTGTCTTTTTAAAACGAGGAAAGGGTGACTGAGTAAATTTTCCACAACAATCGCCAACAATCCCACACCTTTCGCAGCAACAGATTGGATGTGAGGGTCTGAAATTTAGAAGCAAAAATTAAATTAACTAAAGTCTTTGGATGGAGAGAGAAAATGTGCCAGCTCTACAATTACTTGAATTACTTTTAAAAATAACTCGTTTTACTATGAACTAATGTTAAGTGTGGAAGTGCATCAATCTCTAATTACACAACAACAATCAACAAATTAAAACGAAGACTATTTTATAAGTAGAGATTTAACCTTCCGGAGACGTTTGTGGAGGAGAAATTCCACCGACCGGAGCAAGTGGTGGTGGATGATTAAAAGAAAGTGTCATATTCCTAAATAAGTATAAATAATGGGAATTAATAAACAGCCTTCTTTACGAACCTTCAGCGCCGTCGATTAAATTGTAGGCTGTCGGATACCCTCCGAGTCTCGGGCTTCCCATCGTCCCCACCGAGTAAGGCGAGATGGCTCGACTTCCGCCATAGTTATAGTTTGAATAGTAGTCGCCACGAGAGGATACCCGGCCAGAGGAGACGGGGGCGACGTATTCTGTGTCACCTGTAAAAATATGGGTATTGTTTCACCAACATGAACGGCATACATATAAATTATATTTAACGAGTGTACCTGTTCCGACTGGAGGGGGATAATTTTGCTGTTGTTGGGTATCAGCGCTGTGGTCAGTTTGATCGTACCCGTAGTAGCCTCCACGACGATAATCACTAATTCCAGCCATGCCGATGCTATTTCCTGGCTCTTGGAAACTACGTGAACTTGGAAAGATTCTTGACGAGTTGTTTGACGTAGTCGGGAGGTGATCGTGATTGCTTTGTTCGGAGCGTGACCTTTGGAAGGCGTTGGGCGGACTGGTAATTGGTCTGAAGCTGTAGTCTAGATTTATCAACTCAACCTAGACAACGGAAAATAGTTGGTTAAAATTATATGTTGTATGCAGATTGAATCGATTAATTAGAAATTCGAACCTCTAGATCTTCTGGGCCCTCGTCCTCGTCCAATTTCACCTCCTCCGGATCGATATCGAAAAAGCCGTAAATTTTGAACAAATTTACTCTGGCTCAAAGGCCAAACGCTGAGGAGGGTCACTCAGAAGATAAACTCGGCATCAAAAAGGTTGTCCACTGCCAGTTAAATAAATAGAGCAAATAAATTTAGTTCCTGTTTACACGAAATTATTGTCATATTTGTGTTAAAAAATATCTTTTGTTGCACTAAACCAAATGCGAAATAATATAGAATTATGTATAAATTCGAATAACTTTTGCAGAATTTTTGAAGATTTTAAAACCTTAATAAATTTATTAAAATCTAATAAGGCTAAAATGTAACTTCGCCAAAATGACTTCGTCTAGCAGTAGCAATCGAGTTAATAATTATAACAAAGTTTAAAATTATTTAACAATCTTATTTGTAATTTGTTCACACTAAAAATGCATACAAATCTATGAAAAATATAATTTTGCACAATTTACAAAAAAGATTTAACGACTTTCAAACCTTTCTAACTAAATACAAACAACAAAACGATGTAATAACTTTTATAAAGGCCAAGGTCAACAATAAAATAACGAAATGAAACTTACATAGAATTTCCAACTTATAAAGCGACAATTTAACTTCACTTTTGAACTATTACACTAATTGTACTAATTTTAAAAGTGAATTTAACAAAAATATATTTTCTTACCGTTTTCCTTGAATTTTGGGATGGGATTCTCTATATTGATCACACTGATCATGATCTATTGCGGGTCCAGCCAATCTCACTGTCGACTTGCACTTGGCTAAAAAAAGTGCAAAAATTTTCAGCATGCATTTTTACATGATGGATATCATTTTACTTATCATAATGTTTTGTTGCAATGATAAGCTAAAAATTTAGCTTTTTACAAATTGTAACTTACAATACCAAATTGGGAATAGAACTAAAATAACCTACAAATGTGAATTATTTCTAATTTTCGTTTGGGACGTTATTCTTATTCTTATGCAACTCTTCATTACAAAATTTGGAAATTAATTTTTCATTTTTAATACGTTACGGTGATAATTCATTTTTAATGCAAAATTAATTATACAGGACTGGAATTTTTATATAAAAGTTACGAATTTAGCTTCACTATTTTTGTGCATTCTATTTTTCATGGAAGTGACCTTGATATGATGCCCGGTGTCAACAAGAATAATTATCATGTGGACTTTAGTTAAAGTTGGACTCACTTCAGCTCAACCGGTTAATTAAATTAATTAACTAACAACAGATACCGTATTTAAACTTGTTTAAAATCAGAGTGGATAGAAGTTGAGTGCAGATTGAATCGTGTATGAATTAATTGAACCCAGGTATAGAAATATGTTTGTTTATAAATATAAAAAAATCGTCCTATTTACTAAGTTAATTGAGTTTCAACTTAAAGGTTATCTCGATAAGATGAGCGGTGTGAGAAATGGAGTCAAGCTCGCGAGAAAATTCGTGATCGGGAACAAGTTTCAAGGTCTTCCGAAACTCGGGGATTTAAAAATCGTCGAGGAATCACTGCCCGCACTGGGAAAAGGGGGTCAGTTAATTTAAATTGAATTATTCGGTCATAATAAGAATTAATTAATAAATGAGGAATGCCAACAAATATTTGCATAATATTTTATTTTTTACGAAGAGATTCTATGCAAAGCAGAATGGCTAACGGTGGACCCATACATGAGAGCTTACAGTACTTTCCTGAAAAGCGGTGACGCCATGCCTGGGGCACAAGTGGCTAGGTATTTTAAAAAATCTCAAATCGCAAGTAATCTTAATTACATAATTTTTAACCTTTATTAACCCTTCGTCAGAGTTATTGCGAGTGAAAGTCCAGAATTTCCTGAGGGTTCTCAAGTTGTGGGGAATTTTGGGTGGAGAGGTAACTTTTACATAAATATGGATTAGTAAAAATTCATGAATTATTTAAAAAAATTATTAAAAAAATGTCTCGGCTTTTGACCTAGATTTGACAATTAGCAAAGTTCCACCTCCAGAAAAACAGAGTGCGGACTCCCTTTACAAAATGCCTGACCTTAAAGGCCTTCCAGACTCGTATGCATTAGGCTCTTGCGGAATGCCGGGGTAATTTATTGTGTGCAAATTCAAATAGTAATTTATTGATAATAATTAATATCGAAATTTTAAATTTCTAGTGTCACAGCATACTTTGGATTGCATAAAATATGCGAACCTAAGGCTGGTGATACTTTGGTCGTATCGTCCGCGGCGGGTGCCGTTGGCAGTTTGGTCGGACAATTTGGCAAGATTGCTGGTAATAATAATGGGATATTATCCCATTATTATGTAGTCATCAGTGGATAAGCAGCTTATCAAATCAAATTTTATTTAGGTTGTCGAGTCCTAGGCTTTGCTGGAACGAAGGACAAACTAACCTGGCTCAAGAATGACTTGGGGTTTGATGAAGTGTTCAATTATAAGGAGGTCAATGTCTTCAAAACGTTGAAGGAACATGCCCCCAAGGGTGTGAATTGCTACTTTGACAATGTGTGTGAAAAAATATGGCGACGTTTTGCGATTTCTTTCAATTTTAAAAGATAACTCGTATTCATAGGTGGGAGGTGAATTTGCTTACAATGTGATGAAAAATATGGCCATGTTTGGAAGAATTGCTGTCTGTGGGGCTATCACTGTTTATAATGACAACACCGGAAAGCCACCTCTAGGCAAGTTCATGGCAGCCAAAGTTTGAAAATAAATATAAAAAAACTTATGAAATTATGCATTTTAAAATCCATGTAGTTCCCGTCGACTATTTTTCCTTGATCTATAAAAACATCCGAATGGAGGGTTTCATGGTCATGCGATGGAATAAGGAATGGTTTCAAGGAATAGAGAAAGTTCGAGACTACATTATACAAGTAATTAATAATGTGAAATGATTTTTGTGTAATTTTCGTTGCATAAAAGAGAAATCAGAGAAAAATTAACTGATTGCATTTTTTAAGGGCAAGTTAAAAATTCAGGAGACTCAAGTCAACGGATTTGAAAACATGCCACAAGCCTTCATTGACCTTCTAGAAGGGAAAAATACTGGGAAAATGATAATTAAGGCTTGATTAAAATATTTTTAAATTATCTACTGGTACATAAAAAATATTTCTTAAAAATAAATAAAAAGTTTGCAAAATAATTTACAAGTTTTTGCTACATGTATTTTAGTTGAGTTTATCTTAAAGTGGATTTACATAGCTACTTCGCGTCGTACTGTGCATTTTCTCCCGTAAGTTTGTCCCTTATGTCAATTTTCAATTGCACTTATTTGTTAAATTGATGTATTTTATCAAGATTTACCATAAAACTTCAATGTAAAATGCCAGGAACACCCCGAAAAACACAAATAACATCAAACATCAAGTTAAGCTGTAAACTATAATTTTTAGGTCATAAAGACAAATTAAAAATAAATATAGGCAGATATTAACCAGAGCACTTAATTCGAGTTAGATATGTACCTGGAAATTGATTCTATTCATTTATCTATTTGAATTTTAGATAAAACCCGAGTAAAACCCAGTAAAACCCAGTAAAACCCGAGTAAAACCCAGTAAAACCCGAGTAAAACCCAGTAAAACCCAGTAAAACCCGAGTAAAACCCAGTAAAACCCAGTAAAACCCGAGTAAAACCCAGTAAAACCCGAGTAAAACCCAGTAAAACCCGAGTAAAACCCAGTAAAACCCGAGTAAAACCCAGTAAAACCCGAGTAAAACCCAGTAAAACCCGAGTAAAACCCAGTAAAACCCGAGTAAAACCCAGTAAAACCCGAGTAAAACCCAGTAAAACCCGAGTAAAACCCAGTAAAACCCGAGTAAAACCCAGTAAAACCCAGTAAAACCCGAGTAAAACCCAGTAAAACCCAGTAAAACCCGAGTAAAACCCAGTAAAACCCGAGTAAAACCCAGTAAAACCCAGTAAAACCCGAGTAAAACCCAGTAAAACCCAGTAAAACCCGAGTAAAACCCAGTAAAACCCAGTAAAACCCGAGTAAAACCCAGTAAAACCCGAGTAAAACCCAGTAAAACCCGAGTAAAACCCAGTAAAACCCGAGTAAAACCCAGTAAAACCCGAGTAAAACCCAGTAAAACCCGAGTAAAACCCAGTAAAACCCGAGTAAAACCCAGTAAAAGTAAACCCGAGTAAAACCCAGTAAAACCCCAGTAAAACCCAGTAAAACCCGAGTAAAACCCAGTAAAACCCGAGTCAAGCCCAGTAAAACCTTGTAAAACCCCTTTCGCATGGTAAAACCCGCTGGGTTTTATTAATTTGCGTCCCAGTAAAACCCAGTAAAACCCCAAAACCCCAACTTAGTAAAACTCGGGGTCAGTAATTCGGAATACCCTATTTTACATGAAATTGAAAGTTGAAAAGAAGGCAAACATACCAATTCCTTCCAGTAGGATCGCTTGCTATGGGTGAAAAATAATGTTTCTTTTATCTGCCGGATCATAATTTTAGTAGTCAGAATAATATTAAATACACAAAATTAGATGTCATTAACAGCAAGCGCATAACATGTATAACAAATTATGTAAATTAGTCTCGTGCATAAAATACGCATACCTGTGAAAGTTTTTATTCAAAATTTTAAAAATCATTATCCACATTATAATCATTTCTGCATCGTCCAACAATAAGTTTTCGTAACGTATCCACTAAACGCGGAGCTGTCCACGGTGGACCCCACGATTGAAAACTCTTTCCCCCGGATCCAAGACAGCACTGAAGCGACAGATTTCATGATGACGGAAAGTTCTTGATGACGCTCATCTTCGTCGGCATTATTATTATTATTATTGTTGATATCTTCGCCAATTTCGACCCGACCCTTTCGAACCTTTGCGGATGGGAACTTTTGCACAATTTCCAACCTCAAATCCTGACTCAAACCGAGGATCGAGATGAGGGATGAGATTACGGGAACGGACGCCACAGTGCCGAGCAAGCGTTCTTCAAAATCAAAGGTCAGCCTGACAGAGGTCAAATAACAAATAATTCAAAAACTCAAAATATAAATTTTAATAGCTATTTTTTCAACTTACTGAATAATGCAAACATTTGAGTCGTCATCCTCCAACGTTTTCGACTCATTGCGAAATAACTTATTCCGAAACATGGAAGTTTTGGAATAATTTTGCTCTTAAAATATTTTGTTATTTTGAGCACTTTGTAAGCCAGAAAGTAAAAATAGTAGATTTTGATTGTTTGAATAGTTAGATTAGGTACGTAGGTAATGCCATGAATTTGAATTAGATTAGAATTTGTATTAGGTTTTAGGTTATAAATTCATGGTTAATGCGCATGTAGTGGTAGAAAATACGTGTGAAAAAATACGGTACAATTAAATCTAAATAGTAAATATTGATGATAATGATGGAAAAATGTACACGGATTGACCAACAATTTATTAGTTGGGATTCTAAGCCATAATCAAGTAATGAAATTAACACCGGCTTTATTTAGGTGGATATGAAATCTGGTTTATTTATTGTTATCAACTTCCACGCTGTACACGCACGGCATCATTATCATCATAATCATAAATTGGTGGTGATGAAGCTTATACACAGGTAATCCACCGATTGATTAGCATTGATTAATATGCATGTTGGCAAATCGTATTTATGTTTAAAATGCATCGCAATGCGTACGAATTTATCAAAACTTAAGTGGTGTTTATGCTTCGCGTCACTGTCACGTCCTCCTCCAAATCCGATTTTTTGATTGGTTAAAATTTTTAATTGTCGTAGTGACAATTTCGCTCAGCCAATCAAAAAATCGGATTTAGAGGAGGACATAACGATAACGTGAAGCATAAACGCACCTTTAATTCATAACGCAGTCTAGAACAAAAGATTTTAGAAATATTAATTGCATACCTTTGCATCCAATAATGAAAAAATGCAGGAAATAATTTATTCGAAAAAATAAATTTTGATCTTTTTCGACATTTAATCATGAAAAATGAATTTATGGAATATAATAATTACGGATAAATTTCATTTCATCTTGAAATCAATAAAAACATTTTGTTTATAAAACTGTCTCAAGATGCCTCATTCTGTCAGATTCACACAAGAGACGATTCTCAATGCACCCCACATTAATTTGAGCCTCGCGCCCCCATCCCGGCGAGGACTGAACTGTGCTGCATGCTTGTGGATCCGTGCTGCCTTCCAACAGTCCAATCGGTGGAAATTCACAATTAAATCCTAATTTCCGTCAAAAAAGTTAATTAACTGTTAAGTTTGTAGTCGAAATGGTAAGTGAATCAAGGTTTAGATTAGATTGAATAGATTTTTTGGTCAAGGAGAGTATGAATAAATTGAAATAAAACAGATTTTCAAGTTTTTGAGCTCAAAGTTTAAAATTGATTGTTTTCACGTTTCATCAACTAATTAACTGTAAATTAATTATTTTGTGTACAATTTCAGGGTATCGACATCAATCATAAATGGGACCGCAAGGTTCGTCGCACGGAGCCAAAGAGTGAGGATGTTTATCTCCGCCTCCTCGTCAAGCTGTACCGTTTCCTGGCCCGTAGAACGAACGCCAAGTTTAACAACATTATTCTGAGGCGTCTTTTTATGTCGAGAATTTATCGACCACCCGTCTCCATCGCTGGTCTGTCTCGTCACATGAAGAAGGCTGGAAGGGAGGACAAGATTGCTGTCGTTGTCGGCACTATCACTGATGACAGGAGGATTTACACAATCCCCAAGCTCACCGTGAGTTGCTTTATAATCAATTGATTACTAATTATAATCTTGATTAATTTATTTACAATTTTATGACATTATTTGTATTGAATTTTGCGTTTATTTTTTATTAGGTGTGTGCCCTCCGCGTCACAGAAAAGGCTCGCGCTCGGATCCTGAAGGCTGGCGGAGAAATCATTACTTTCGATCAGTTGGCCCTGCGAGCTCCTCTTGGACACAAAACGGTCTTGCTTCAAGGTAAACCTCGTCGTTGTACACTTACCTAATTCTTGAATACTATTCTGCAACTGACTGATTTCTGCTAATCTTTACAGGAAAGAGAACATCTCGGGAAGCTAACAGGCACTTTGGACTCGCTCCTGGAGTTCCTCACAGCCACTCGAAACCATTGGTGAGGTCAAAGGGACGTAAATATGAGCGTGCTCGTGGTCGTCGCGCTTCTTGCGGATACAAGAAGTAAACTAATTGCTGCTTCTTTGTATTCCACAAAAATCCATTCTTTTTTGTAAAGCAAGAAAAAAGGTGACTTCTAATAAATTGTCGTTATGTTGGAAATTCTCTACAAGTGAAATTACTGATTTGTTTATTCTTAAGAACTAATGCTACTTAAAAGGCAAATTCGTACGAATTTTTGCAATAAAGTTTCTGCAAAACTGGCAATTTTGTTTTGCACAAGTCAATCCCGATTAACCCCGTTGCGTGGGAAAGTCAAAATTATTATTATCCGTGTCAGAGACTTCCAACTAAACAAATCGATTCTTCATCCTGCCAGTCAGTAAAATGATCTCGAGCTCGACAGATAATTATGGGCTTATCCAATTGATAAACCTTGCATATCACATCGTCAGCTAGCAAATCAATATTCGCCACGAATTTGATTTTAAGTATAGAATATTAGTGCATGTTTTGTTTAATACCATTCAGTAAAATTATAAATCGGTTAAATTAAAACATCTTTTAAAATGCGGTTAACTCGTAATAACAAATTTAACCTGTTCCTCTTAACGTTACTTATTTTTACGTGCCTCGGAGGGATCAGTAGTTCTCGGGGAGAAGTAGATACAGCAAAGTCAAAATCGGATAAGAAACCACCGTCCCAACTGTTGGAAGAAGAAGAGGAAGATAACGACGATACACCTCGCTTATCCAAGGATTCGTTCTCCAAATTGACGGAGGAGGAGAGATTATCCGCCTTTGAAAAGTTGTGGTCGGATCCGGACGAGATCACAGTGACGACGGACCCTGGTTCGAAAACGAGACAGAAATGGAGCAAGGAGGACGATTCGAGATCCTCCTCGTCAGAGTTTACAAAGGATGAATCGGAAATGACGGACACGGAAAGAGTGGTACAAGCTATTAAAATGAGATTCGTAAATCCAGATGCGATTCAAGTAAGGATTTTTTTTACTTTGTGCTGTCCATTTCTCAATAAACATTTTGCATGTATTGTTATACACATTTGTTTATTACATTAATTAGGTTGTTGAACCTCCTAACTTGGCCGGGCAGGATCCATTTGGCGGTGCTGACATGGAAGGACTTGGTGGCGTGACGACGAAAAAGTTTAAATTCATCCTCAATCAGCCTTCGATTACACCAGTCGAGCCGATAACCAATCTCTTAAATAAAAGGAAGGAACCCGAAGTCCCCGAGGATGATGATGAGCCTGAAATTATCACGGCAGAAGGCGTAGAAACAGATGAGAGACATGGTAGTTAACACTTTTAATTCCATAATTTAACCATGTTATCTGTAAGTTATGTAATTTTTGTGTTACTTTTTCTAGCCGATCTCATGTTCAAACAGGCGATCGAACTCCTCGGACCATCTGCCTCACGGGATTCGACTGGTTACCACGTAATTACGTCAGTCGGCAAAACCGAGAAGGTAGAGCAAGCGTACGTCCTTCTACAACAAGCTGCCCTACGTGGTCATAAAAAAGCAATGGAAATTATGGCGTGGGGTCAGCTGCTTGGTCCACTCCCGTTAGATCTTGAGGGGGCCAAGGGGAAGTTTGAAGCTTTAGCGAAGAAAGGATATCCAAACTCGCAAATGGTACATATAATGATTGCATGAGCAAATTATACATATAATTTAGGTTGAAATTAATAATGCATTTTATTAATTATTCTAGGCTATGGGGTTTCTTCATGCCAATGCATTAGAAACAGAGCTTAACGGTGCGTTGCCTATCCTGTACTATACATTTAGCTCAATTGCTGGAGCAAGTTGGAGTCAAATGGCGCTCGGTTATCGATACTGGGGAGGAATCGGTATAAAGAAATTTTATTTCCAAATATATACAATTTGAAATTGCATTATTGTAATTACAACTTTACATATGTTTGACAAAAAATAGGGGTGCAAGTTTCTTGTGAGAAAGCGTTGGAGCAGTATCGACGCGTCGCAGCTACCGTGGCGAGTGAAGTGAGCGAGGTTGGGACAGGACCTGCCATTCAGAGGATTCGATTACTTGACGAAATTGAAGGAACGCCGGGAAGCACAAGTACGAGTACCGGGTCGTCGGGAAATATCCTTAATTCAGATATTCTCGATTATTACACGATGCTGGCGGAGAGAGGCGATCTCCAAGCACAGGTACATAATAGATTGAACGAATAACTCAATTGCAATTACATTTATTAATATTAAACCAGGTTGGACTTGGTCAACTACACTTTCAAGGCGGTCGTGGTGTCTCGCCTGATCACCATCTTGCTCTCCGCTATTTCCGAAGAGCCGCCGATGCTGGAAGCCCTGTCGCGATGGCGTTTTTGGGCAAAATGTATCTTGAGGGGAACGATGCGGTCGAAGCTGGTAAGAAAATTCGAGAGATATTTGTCAAGCTTAAATTAATGGAAACTTTAAATGGGATTATTTATTTATTTTTAGACACGGTTAAAGCGTTGAAATGGTTTCAAAAGGCTGCGGAGCAGGGCAGTCCGGTTGGACAGAGTGGTCTCGGCTTGATGTATTTGACGGGGAAAGGATTGCCTAAAGATCCGTCAAAGGCATTGCAGTATTTTACGATGGCTGCGGAACAAGGTGTGATTAGAGATTTATTTTGATAATGAAAACTGTACTTAACTAATATTTTATGAGCAGGGTGGGTAGATGGTCAGCTTCACTTGGGAAACATGTACATGACGGGAATCGGTGTTCGTCGTGATTACCAACAAGCTGCAAAATATTATAACCTTGCTGCTCAGTCGGGACACATTTTGGCGATTTATAACCTAGCACAGATGCACGCGACTGGCACGGGAATGATGAGGTATTGGTCTATTTATATTTATCTGATAGACAAACAAATGACATTCATCACCTGAGACTCATGAAAAATAAATGTAAAATATAATATCTTAGCTTTAGTTAAATTACTGTTTGACTAATTTAATGTTTGTTTCGCAGGTCTTGCACTGCGGCCGTTGAGCTTTACAAAACTGTTGCTGAGCGTGGTCGCTGGGGTCTTCTTTTGGCTGAAGCTCACAATGACTACAAGGAGAAGCGGTACTCTCAAGGTCTCGTGAAATACTTACTCCTTGCCGAACTTGGATATGAGGCAGCTCAGGCGAACGCAGGCTACATGTATGTTCAAACGGTATTTGGTTTGACTTTATCTGTGTAATCCTTCATTTTTTAATCGCAGGTTGGAAAGGGGCGAGGTGGGCTGGGAAGTTTTCGAAGGGTGGAAGAAATTGGTAAACCTAAATAATGGACAGAGTCAGGACCTTCCTCCACCACCACTTGAAGCCGTCACGAAGCCAGAAAGTGTAGGAGAAAATGCGGAAAGTCAACCAGAAGACCAGAAAAAAGACGCTACTACAACTCCCGAAGAAGGTGAAGTACCACAGCAGCCGACGACGACGACCAAATATGGTACGCACACACAGTGGGCACCATTTGTATTTGATATCGTTATCAGTATTTTATGTCGTTTGTTTTAAGAAATGTAGTTTGGAAAAAATTAGATTGTACACTCTGTTGTTGACTTATGTTTATAATAACATTCGTTAACATTAGTTTATCCAAGTTGAGTCCAAAATTAATATTTTTCTCTCTTCTTCAGATCTCACCTCCCCACAATCCCTCCTCTCTCGTGCCCTCCAGCAGTGGTCCCGGTCCGCGTCGCAGGGCTACTCTCAGGCTCGAGTTCGGCTCGGGGATTACTATTACTACGGCTGGGGAACAACTACGGACTACTCTTCAGCAGCGACCCAATATCGCCTCGCATCAGAACAGCAGCGGAATCCACAAGCCATGTTTAACCTGGCTTACATGCACGAGCAAGGACTCGGGCTTAAACAGGATTTGCATCTGGCGAAAAGGTAGGATCATGAATTAAGGAATTTGTTTACCATAAACAAATGAATTTTGACACTAAATTCTAAAAATTCTAATTTGTCCAGGTTTTACGACATGGCGGCCGAGACGAGTACGGATGCAAGAGTTCCCGTGACGCTGGCGTTGATCAAGTTAAATTTCCTCTCGACCCTGCAAGCCCTCAATTTATTTGATTTCGACGCAGATTCGACAACATATGTCGAAATAGATGGATTCTCCTCCTTCTCGGAAATGCTAGACTTTTCCAATAACTGGGACTTGTATTTGTTAACGGTTCTGGTGGGGATTTTAGGAATTTTAGTGTGGTTAAGGCGACCTCTGCAAGGAGGTGGGGGTTAAACTAGACTAATTAATTAGATTAATGAAATTTCAAAGTCAATATGTCAATAAAATCCAATCATATATCACCAAATAAATAAATATTTATTAAGTAATAATCATAATTCGTATTAAGTAGTGTATAAAATCGCACAATATTTAATAATATGAACTGAAAAGATGACCTTGTGAAAATGTATGTAAATCAAGTGTACATTTGTTTAAACTGAAAAGTATGCAAGAAAAATTTGTCATTTTGTTTCTGAATGTGTGGGAAAATGTAAATGATGATGATGAATGAATGCGTTTTATAATATCGTCTGGTGTACATATACCGATATCTGTCATGTTTGGGATTAAGTTATAATTTGCGTAATGGTTACAATAAAATGTGATATCTCGTCATTTTTGACATATGGTCCTTAATATTATAAATCTTTAATGTGGAATAAAATGTGATGCATGTAAATAATGCGTATGTCAACCAAAAATCAAAACTGTGCAAACATTTTAATAGTAAAGCATCCGATTTATATCACTTCTTGTCAACACATACAAGGGAATCATATAAACATGACAAGTTTGTTGAAATTGGTTAAAATTATAAAGAAATATATATAGTACGTGAATGATGAAGAACTTTTACAAATTTGTTATAAGATTATTAGACAAACATGCCAACATGGGCTAAAATACATGGAGAAATCACAGAACATCACAAATGTGCGTTTCACAAGAACATTAAAAATTCAAGTACAATTAAGTTTAAAGAAATGGAAGCATTGAATATTTTAGTCCATTTCCGAACGCTGAGACTTCTCATACGCTGCCAATTCTTTCACGTAGCGTTTCTTGTCTTCTTCAGCGATAGTTTCGTATCGTTTCTTCTCCGCTGCGTCCAATTCCTTCCAACGGCGACCCAGCTCCTTTGCAACCTCGGTGGTTTTAAATTCAGGATTTTCAGTCTTAAGAATGGGACGCTGTTCATTGCTGAAGACGAAGAAGCTTGTCATATTCCTTTTTGGGGCGTTTGGATCCTTAACTTTCTTTGGCTTCTTGGTTTCAGCATCCTGAAATTAGAGTTAAAATGGCGATTTTAGAACATTATCTTAAATAAGTGTTATCCCTTAAAGAAACGAAAAAAACGGCCTTTTCCTTACCCGATTTTCCTTCTCTCCCTTATCCTTGTTCTTTACGGATCGTCGCGATTTTCGATCATCGTCCCCATCCCCATACTTTTCTCTCTCCTTGTCGGCCATATTATTAAACTTGGCCTTCTGCTCGGTCGACAGCTCTCTCCACTTCTTAGATGCAAGCTTGGACAACTCTGCGACCGTGATTTCGTCCCCTGTTGCCCTTCGACGAGTCAGTTCATCCATGCGAAACTGCTCAGAGAAGATTTCCACCGCCTTCCTTGCCTTTGCTGGAGCCATTCTTTCTGCTAATGTATTGTTACTACCGTTCTGAAAGCAAGTAAGGGAAAAATGAATACAAAATCTTAAAATAATCCAGAGGTCAGTGACCCCACCTTTAAAACCCCAGTAAAATGTCAAATAATACAGATAAATCACCCCAAAAAACGTTTCCCCTGTATCAAAACCCCATTCCCCAGTAAAACGATCAACTCTAGACCCAATTTTCGACCCGAAACCCACCAAAAATTATTGAGAAAATCTCAAATTGATCAAATCAGTACAAAAATATCCTCACCTTTCTGTTCTTCAAACGTTCTTCGCGTCCACTGGACAAGAGAGATGAAGCTGTTGTTGATGGCTGAGGGGGAGTGGTTGTCACTTCAGGCAAGGACGAAAAACAATTTCGAAAAATTATGGAAAATTTGAGAAATGGGAGAAGGAGCGAGCGAGGTGGAGATGTTCACTTGGACGAGAAGAGAATGGAACTGAAGGAGTCGAGTGAGCTGGAGAGCGAGCAGTGAGAAAATTTAGTTGGCATGGAAAAGTTCATGCGACGCTTTGAGGTCAAAACTCTAACCTGATTTGAATATTTGGTTGGCATGATTTGCATTGCATTTATTTATCTCGGTAGATTTTTGTATTGGTCTTGGATTTCCTAGATTTTTTAAAAAGTTGTAATTTGGAAGTTAGATATTTTCGTTTTTATGAAAAGATGTTTTATGAAATGTTTTCAAACTCAGATAATGTTTCCAAATGTTTCCAAACTCGATGGGTTTGGAAACATTTCATAAAAGCGGAAACATTTCATAAAAGCGGAAACATTTCATAAAAGCGGAAACAACTTCCAAATTACAACTTTTTTTAAAAATCGAGAAAATCCAAGACCGGTATAAAAATCCGCCGATGCAATGCAAAAATGATGTAAATGCAATACAAATCATGCTGAACAAAATATTCAAATCAAGTTGAATTTTGACCTCAAATACAGATTGTTATCGAGTTTGCGTAAAATGCGTGTACTTGGGAATTTAGTAGTTTCTTTTAGAATTTAAAAAAATTATGAGTTCCGGAATTTTTGAAAGTTTTCTGATTTCATTTATTTATATGAGATGACTGGATTCGTGCTCATACATACACATTTATGTACGAGTAGTTGTTTTTTACGTATTTACTACAAGTTATTTCTTAAAAGTTAAATATCTTAATACTTAAGTAAATAAAATGATTATGAATTATATTTAAAATGAGTAAAGTTCGCTGCTTGTGGTTTGCATAATTCGGAATTTAAGCAATATCTACTTTCTAAAATATGTAAAATGAACTGCAAAGATTTTTGTCACAAGGAAAACATGACATAACATTCTTTCTTACTATTCTGTTTTCTTTTCTTAAGTTTATTTTCTAAAGTTAACATGTAACGCTGAGATTTCATAACAAGAGTAATTTGGTATGTTGTTTATCTATTTAGCTTATCAATCCTAGTTTAGTAACTTTGCTTATCTTTCTTCTTTGGTTGATTGTTTAGTTCAATTAATAGTTACTAAATACAATTTCTAATTGCTGAGAAAAGTTTTATAAATAAGTTGGATAAGTAAATGCAGTGGTGCGATAAGAAGAGAACATTTATCTGACCAATATCCACCTAATGTTTTAATTATTAATACGGATTAATGAACGCCAAACCAAATCGACACGGAACTTACATTTTTTAAAGACACATAAAACCAAACAAAATCGAAGTCTTTATACTGACTGGACTGAAGACTGGCTTTCACAAACAAAACATTAGCAATTAGAAAATACTTAATACATAAAATAAATTAACTGCGGAATCCCAGCCCACCGATTAAATAAAATGCATAAAAACTGGTGGGTGAAGGAATGCATTCTAATTAATTGGGTGCAAGTGGGACGATGTTCCTTGTCGACGACGACGGACCTATCGTGGCGGTGGCGACGATTTTCACCGATCTTGGTGTAACGATAAGTCCAGACATTGCGGTGATGACGATTCTCATAAATCTCCCCCATAATTCGATGTGAGTCTCAGGTTGATTTGACGTTGAAAATTTTGGTTTCCAGATCCTGCAGAGAAATATCATTTGTAAAAATGAATCATGTTTCAATAAAATAGCGTTATTTATTGGGTTTCTTCAGCAATTTTAACTTGAGGAAGAGTATGACAGGATGACTTTTAGATTCGAATTTCCAATGGAAAGAAAAGCAGACCATGTTGAATTTTATTAGTCTCCACTTAAGAATGAATTGACCGTAATTAAGAAAAAAAGAGTTGAAATGATACGAAAGATTGTATACATCTGCCTCTAAACCTGCGCCATATGTCGTTTAACATATCTGAAAGAAAGTTCTCTACAACCTTTCCCAACGCCTATCTACATATGTACTTATGAAAGATAACTGTTTAATTAAGCAAACACACAAACTTTGTGGGTTTGTTCACGTGTAAATAAAAATGTTGACTTTTTGAGCGTACAATATTATGGTAAGGATGTAGGGGTGGCCGTTACATCACGAATCAACGAATCCTTTTGGAAAGAAAAAGACAAGATTTTACCTTCGACACGACCACGACTATACTTTTTACCATACCACCGAGTATATCATTTAATCATTAATAATAATCATAAAAAAATTATTAAAAAGGAAGTGTGTACATTTGTAGTAGGTGTGCGATGCTGTATTGCTATCCTGCACAGCGGGGTGGTCGCTTTTTGGTATTTTAAAAGCCACCGAACCATTTCATTTCATAGGAAGGGAAAAAAAACGAGGACAACAATCGTTCTCTTGATTTGTACGGATTCAATAATGTAAAAGTGGGCTGGGAGAGGAAGAAGATGAGACGAAATATATGTATTTATGAGGATGATGGGATCCACATTTACAAATCTATTCCATGCAATTAACGCTTTTCATGAGGTAAGAAAAATTGGAAAACTCATCCAACTTAATGATAAGAAAGTATCGGGAGGGACTAAGAAAAGTTTTGTAGATGTGATACATATACATATTTTATAAGAAATGACAATGACACGATACTCTCAGAATGGGAAATGCTCCGCGGTGATATTTTGCCCAATTTTTGATATTTTACCAGTAGATTACCTTGAAATCCACAATCCACCTAAATTTTGGGGGTCGAAAGGTAGGGAGGTCAAAGGTCATCATTCCCCATAAGTGGGGCATCAATGTTTCGGCAAGAGGATTCAGAGTATATATATTTTGTAGCGTCTAGCACCACCCCAAAGACCGATTTTCCAGTGATCCAAAATTTAACACGGCAGCAGATTGAGATCTACATAGCACAGTAACATGCTCGAGTGTTGATGATGTATTCTGAATCTTCTCCCCGAAACCTGTCCAAAGATACCCCGTTTATTGGGCATGATGACTTTGACCTCCTGACCTCTAAGGTCGCGCAGGTCGATTTCGACTTAAAGATAATTCAACTATTGTTCTACTGGTTACGTTGTACAACATGTCAAAAATGGGGAAAGTATCACGGTGGGGCATTTCTCTATATTGAGAGAGACATTTCATTTATCTTTTTCTCACCTTTCTTGTTATTATTATGCTTTTTTTGTCTCGCTCTAGAATTTTGAAACCAAACTTGAGTCACCCGTTTTGATAACCCCGTTATCTGCGCTATCCTCTCCAAATCCTAAGAAAATATAGGTAAAAAAAAGATGTAATGATAATAATTTTAACTTGAATATGGGTAATTAAGAAAAATCTCAAATTGTGCGTCTCAAATTCCTCACTCACCTGCCCATCCGGATTAGAATCGATTAAAAAATTTGCTTGTAAGATTTGTAACTGTTCATCAGTAAACGTTGTACGAACGCGTTTCGTCTTAGATTTTGATCCGGTATGATTTGGATCGTCATTTGCGCTGTCTGGATATATTAAAGAAATACAAAAATTCATTATAAATTCACAAAATTTTGTTTTTGAAAAAAAAATCTCACCATCCGAATCGTCCGTAGGCCCTTCGATAGTTTCTTGGTAATGTGTTTTACCTTGTAATTAAAAAAATAGAGGTGATTTTTTTTATAGTTTTTACTGAATTTTAAATGCCTTACAAAGAACTTTGGAGTCAATAAGGGCAAATTCTTCTCCCGTTGAAAGTTGTCTCTTGCAAGCGTCGCAAGCGAAACACGCCTGGAAAACGAATTATTTTGAGTTGAGTTAGCAAATAAATCAGGTGGTCAACAAGTAAATAATGATTTAATTTAAAAATTTAATTTGTAAATTTAATTTATTATCAATAGTTAAAAAGACCAACCAAGTGATAGACTTGTTCCATCAGAGAGGACGAATCTCGAGCACGACGGACCCAGTCGGAGGACGATATCCATCTCGTACATTTTGCGCATTTCGTGCCGAACGATCTGCAATTTTGAAAATAAATTGACGAATTATTAATTGGTGTGAGAATATTTTGGTAATATGTTAATGTTTATTTATTAGCATTGTTTTGTTTTGGTTGATGGTTTATTTTGGCAAAATTTTAATTACATTGGTTTGTGCATAATTATTAATTAATTTGTTTTGGTGTATAGATCAAAAACATGATGAGCTTTTTCGGTGACTGTTTTCGGGGGGCATGTGGGATTGAACAGGACGATCCTCCTGCAGAAGAAGGGCCTGGTCAGCCGGTGATGGTCAGTATCACAGAAGAACCGAAACCTGGTCCAAGTAGTCAATGTGATGGTGGCGATCGTCGTCGTGGAAGAGGCGAGGGCGATATTATTATTGACGGAATCGCCAAACTCGATACTATCGAGGAGGAACCTGGCGGTGGTGGTGATGGTGATAACCCTCAACAAGGAAAACCAAAACCAACTCAACCCCTCGTCACGTTAGAAGTCGACAGGACTAAAGAGAATGTCCGAACTATCGCTGAAAAAATTATGACAACTTGCACCAAGTTAAATGGCAAATTTTTCGACGAAGACTTCCCCGTCGGACCGACTGCCCTGTTCAAGAATAAGGAGAAGGCTGAGAAAGAGGACAAGAAGGGACAGGGGCTCGACGCGGTCAAAATGTGGCTCCGACCTGGAAAAATTATTCATCGGGATCAAGACGGAGGACATTTTGGACATGACTTCTCAATCATTAGAGACCAGATGGGATGTGACGTTAGGCAAGGTGAGGTTTAAGTTGGTGGACATATTATAAGTAAAGAATCGAGAGTAACGTTGATAATTTATATTGTATGTACTTATTTACTCGCAGGGCAACTTGGCGACTGTTGGTTCCTAAGTTGTTTGGTTAGTTCGGATAAGGATTTCATGCATAGAATTTGAAATATTGAAATCTGGGTTTTGTTCTCAGGGATTGCTGAGTAGGAGGAAGGAACTTCTGGACAAAATCGTCGTGACCAAAAAGGTCAACGCTGCTGGAGTCTACGTTATCAGCTTGTTCCACGAAGGAAAGTTTCGCGATGTGTTGATTGATGATCAACTGCCATGCAACGAATACAGGTCGTTATGTTTCGGAAAGGTGAGTAAAGATCTGACTATGACAAAAATAAATGTGGGTGAAAGTGTAATAATAATTAGTAAATGGTGTGTCAATTAGGCCAACCGAATGCAGTTGTACGTCCCTCTCATCGAAAAGGCACGTGCGAAACTGGCCGGAAGCTATGAAGCGCTTATTGGAGGAGGCCTTAGCGACGCGATGCTTTCTTTGACAGGATTCCCGTGCACGGATTATATTCTTAAAGTGATTTTTTTAACGAAAATTGTGCATAAGTGATCTTCATACTAATATTTCTGGTTTTACGATGACGTAGGAGGACTTCAGTGACGAAGAGAAGGAAGGCATTTGGCAAATATTGAGTGAAAGTGCGAATTCTCGCTTTCTCATTGCCGCAGGGACAAAGGCGGAAGATAAAAAGATGGAGAACTTGGGTCTTAAACCTAAACATGCTTATGGAGTTGTTAAAGTTTGTGACAAATGGGGTCCAAGGTAGATAAACTCCAATTTGTAGGTATTGGTTTACACTCTAAAAATGTACATTTTCCAGGCTCATCCTCTTTGAAAACCCATGCGGAGATTCGGTCTGGAAAGGAGACTGGCACAACTACAGTTGGACGTGGGGGGTCAATATGCGAAAAGCATATCGACCCTTTATGAACAAATCGGGCGTGTTCTACATGTGCTTTGACGATGTTGTCAAGTAAGTTTAATTCCAATTACCAAACACATTCTACACTCGTGCAAATAAGCTTATAATGAATTTGTATCCTTACAATTTCAGGTACTTTGTACAATTTTCAATTTGCCAGCTCGGAGAAAATCATCCTGCCGAGTGAAGAAGAATTCTGTCCATTGCGTTTCATTCTTTTTCATAGAAATTCTTACCCATATAAATATATCGTTATACTCTCTTGTTGTCTGTAAATATGGATTCCATGCAAGAAATACCCCGTTAAAATATTGATATGATTTACTTTACATGCTAAAAAATTTACCAATCTTCTCCTTCTGAGAATATAAGAATAAATTTTGTTTCCTCACTCACAATGACATTCAATTCTTCTCCTCTCCCCTAGAAAATAATAACAATGCGTAAATGATGAAGTGAGACTGAGACGTATGTAGTATTATAAAGTAAAAAGGATTGTTTGCCAGTTATAGGTAGAAATGAATGTATGTACGACACAGGTAGCAGCAGGACAGGTAGGAGACACTTCTTCTTCTTCTTGGACCATCATCATAATTTATGGATTGTCATTACATTGCACAAACGGTGACACAAAGGGATCAAGTGACCTCCCACAAACGCCGACTCACTCACAAGTACCAACCAACCAGCAGCCAACCACACCAAAGCGAGAAGATTGAGATTTATTGAGTCACATATTGTAATAAATCCTTTTAAAGAAGTTGAAAAGAATGTGAAAATAGTTGATGTACTACTTCTTCTCCAATTCTTAACTTTATATACTCTTTTTATACGAGACAAGGATTGATTTTGCAGAATTCCGAAATAAAATCTGTTTTCCAACCAATAAAAAAATCGAATCGTCCAGTCCAGACGGCACAATAATCCTGGGCGACAGGTCACCAACCAATCCTTTCTAGATAAATGTAAATATATAAATCGAGCTGATTTTTCTCCTCGAAAAAAAATTGAAACCTCTTCGTCATTCTGGACAATGGACAATTCACATCATGACGACGACCAAGAGACCACGACGATATGCACTACACTATTTTATTTTATGACACATAAAAGTGTAATGATCTTTTAATGATCAGGTGCACGATGTGAGCATACACTCGTCATTTTTTCATATTTTTTAAACCGTATAGATTATTTATGACGTTCTTGTGTCCCGAACGAATTTTTATTTTTCAATTGTCACCGAATGATATAAAGTGGTTTTGCAAGTCATACATACATAAAGATGCACACGGCTGCCATGATAATAATGACTTTTGACGTGAAATTGTAGGAAATACATGTCACAAGTGGCGCAGAGGGTGGGATTCGGACTCTGGGGTGAGATTGACACTTTCAACCTTCTTCAGTTTAGAAGACTTACATAAGACCAAGAAGAAGAATGTCTTGATCTTGGAGGATTTAATTCAACACAAAATCCAACTAAATAAAATACTTATCACGTCTTACTTTTGCGTTTTGTTGTTATCCTAATTCAATTTACGGAGAAAGTTACCAGTGTGAGTAGCAACTCTTAATCCAGTTTCACCACGTAATCCAGTTACGTTTTACATGAGAAAGAAGAACAAATCCACGCGACAGGACTTTACAGGATTACGAAGGAATACTTGTTAACAAATAAAGCTGAACCCTTTTCTCCATGCATACAATTCCTTCCTTTGTTTTGCTACTGTTCCCCCAAAAACAACGTATAATACAAATGTATGTAAATGTACAGTACACAAAGGAAAAGAACACAATGAACAGGAATTAAGGAAATAATCCAACACTGAACCGGGAACGATACAGGATTAAGTAAAGCAAGAAAGCTGTAGCGTTTAGACAACTAATAAAAATGCAGATTTCTATTTACTCTCAAGTTGTATGACACAAATTGTGTATCAGAGTTTTTACGGGAATTTATTTGCAGAATTTATTTAGTTATAGGGGAAGAATTATGATGTGTATATATTTACTGTTCGTTCAGGTCCATTGATTGGAGAAGAATTCATGATTCGTATGTAGCCAGGGAGCGAAATTGGATTATTTGGTTGGTCTATTTAGTATGCAGACGGAGCGACCTTGTTCCCGAAAAAGGGGGAGGGCGTGGACACCGGGTAGTAAGTAACTATGCAGTGGTGGGCATTTCATGGTTGGTTGGGTTGGATAAAAGCGGAAGTGCAGTGCAGGCAGGGTAATATATGAAAAAAAGTCGGTGTAAAAATATGGCATGGCTAAGAAACAATTGTTCATGTCAATCAAATTCACGATCATTACACAATGCCAACCCAGGATCTACTTCATCTATCCAGTTAAATAAATTTGTAATCTTTCCACAATCGGAGCTTACGATATGCAAAATCAAAAATATACCCAAAAATTCTTTCTCTTTTTCCGAAAGATGAAATGCCTGTCAATTGATAAGTAACAAATTGTCCCTTCGTTGCATGCACTGAGGTATCCATAATTTGGACCAATTTGTAAATCAGCACTGGATAAATCAGAGGAATCATTATTTCTTCCCTGGGGAGAGGGGAGGAGGACAGCAGAAAATCTATTATTTGTCTCTCGGCTACTACTGTTGCTGATTTCATTTACTCGTATTTACCATGGGGGATGAGCAACTGTTACATACATATTTTCGGACCAGAGATTTTCTTCCCCACCCGAAAAACACACGGATCAAACAAAAGTTTAGTTTATTTGTGATTCGGGTGTCCAAATTACATTTACGTCTTGTTAAGGACATTTGTTCCCGAATTGCTGGGCACGTCCCGAGGGTGCATTTACATGCCAAATTGTTTCTAGAGGATGCAATTGTATTCGTAATTGTGTCACAATTTCGTCACTTTTACTTACATAAATGTTCACTCTTATCGTGTGAATTTATCAAAATTACACAAAAATCCCAAAATTTTCTTAAAAAAGAATCGCAACTTTTTTTCTTAGGTGAAGGAAAAGTAACCATAAGGTGATCATGTTAAAAGATCACCATGGTTACGGCGAAGCCTAGGTATGCAATCAGCTGCAACTTTGAAAAGGTCGCACTGAGATTTCGCCCAAACCGTTCGTTGCATGGAAAACATGCTGAAAAAAAAAACCAGAGAATTCTGTTTTACAGATACGTTTTTTTTATTTTTTCAAAAATTCTAATTCCTTCAGGTAGAAAGTCCGATGCCTAAAATTTCAAATCCATTTCTTGGCATCAAGGAAGTGTTTCCGACCGGGGGCTTGCCATTTTTATTATTCTCCAGGATAATACGCAAATTGTAAGCCTTTGTTCGACTTAATCGGATCAAAACTGACGGAATTAGAGCTTTTTGAAATATTCGCATTAGGCAACCTATTTACGTGTTAAGTTACTGGTTGCTAACGTGCGGGGATAGTTTATTCAGCATCGCTATTCAATACTCAACATATCCAATGTTGCTAGACAATCGAATTACGTTATTATTAGATCGCTAAGTGTCAAGGCATCCTTGACAGAACAGAACAATCCTTAAAATTTTGAAACTGGGGGATTAAATTGGCATGCCACGCATCCACACCCACTGCGGAATTAAATTGGTATGCCAAGCGTCCACAAACAGGAGAATTAACAACGTTTAAGATTTTATAATTGCATATGATTTTATGCATATAAGTTCACAAATCACTAAAAATAATTAAATAAATAAATTTTAAAAAACAAACTTAGGTGAAGGACGCGCTTAAAATATTAAAACAAGAAGCATTAAAAAATGTCATAAATCGTTTAATATTTACTAACTTTTACTTCACCAGGGGCCCAACTGTTAAATTTTCAAATCAATGATAATCAATAATAAATGTAGCTAAACCAACGACTTGATTAAATATGAAGGGCAGCATTACAGAAGTTATTAAAAATACGCCAGAACATGAGCAAATTTCCTCTATAAGAGGTGTCGCGATTTATTGAAAGATAATCATTCAAATCTTGCAAGTTTAATATACAAATACATATTACGCATTTCGTATAATTGTTCCAAATGCTTGAAAGTATACCTTTTTTCCTGTGTTAGTTGGGCCCCCGGTGAAGTAAAAGTTAGTAAATATTAAACGATTTATGACATTTTGTAATGCTTCTTGTTTTAATATTTTAAGCGCGTCCTTCACCTAAGTTTGTTTTTTAAAATTTATTTATTTAATTATTTTTAGTGATTTGTGAACTTATATGCATAAAATCATATGCAATTATAAAATCTTAAACGTTGTTAATTCTCCTGTTTTTAAAAATAAAATTTTGAGATTTTTTCAACTCTCCTTCTTTTTTGATGTCACAATTGGATTCGACACGACGCCTTGTAACAAGTAGTGAAAAGTGTCTCTTGATTTTATTACGGGGCAAAATATCCCTTGATCTTCAGCCCAACGCCGCCGTTTCCCTTTGACCTCAACTCAAGTAGAAGAATTATATTCGGTTTTGTGACAATAAAGGGATTTTCTCACCCAACTCTTCCTCCTTTCTAAAGTTCAAACTGTCCGATAAGGGGAGTTGTGTTATCATTGGGTCCATTCTTATCCTATATTTTGGTTTTACTATGAATCTTTTTCACCACGGCATTCCTTAAATCCTTGTTTTCTATTGTAATACATAGAACCGCATCATATTTTAAAAAGTGTTTTCTGAAGTGTGTGGACACTTGGACAATCAAAAAGAGAGAAGGAGAAAAAATTGGGAGAGAGATTTATTAAGTTTTTTTTACGTTTTATTATTAAAGAATTTATCAAAGACGGTGGACGGTGGATGGAATCTTGTTAAATAGGATTGACCCCTTGGCCCAATGTCTTTATGTCAGCTGGATGGTCGTGGCGTAGATGTTGACACTTGAGGACAGTCTGGTGGGATTTGACAGGGTGGAGAAATTAGCATGAAAATGCGTGATAAATGGGAGATGAGACTACCAGTCGGGTGTGAATCATCACTCATCCCGAGAAAGAGAGGGGTAAATAAAATGAGGGTGGGGACCCTTCGTGGACTTCGGAAGTGTTTAGTAGTGGACAATAATTCGCATGTTGTAAATACAACAATTTACGAGGTGGATGAGATTTAAAGTGTACAGAATTTTGAGAGAGTTGAACGTCGATGCAATATTTTATAGAAATTTGGATATTTTTGTAAATTTAGTAGGTTTGGAACTAGGTACGTTCAAATTAAAGCAAAATGAAATTGCGAAAGCTTCCAGTAATCCAGGATTTCAGATAATTTGCATGATAATCAGCAATTTAAGAGTCGAAATAATTAATATTCGAAATGTACAGGATTTTGGCATGTTGAACGTCGGTGCAACATTTTTAGAAATTTCGATATATTTTTAATTGAGTAGGTCCGTATTGAGTGTCAATTGAAACCCCGGAAAGTAAACTGAAACTGCGAAAGTTTCCAGTAATCCGAAGTTCTGAGCAATTTTTGCACATTTCCTTCAAAAGATACCAAAAATGATACTTATTTAGCCAATTTTGCAAATAACAAGTACATAAAATGCATGTACAAATATCGCCAAATTCTCGATACATCACCCCTGAAAAAGTATCTCTCTCAAATATTTCCTACCCTTTAAAAAAGTCCATAAATAAGTGGTAAGTAACACAGTTCTCCTGTTAAGAAGCCCCCACCCCCCGTTGCGCCATGCACTACACGCCAACCACCACCGTTTTTTTTTGCTCCACGCCACAACAACCAGTCGACACAATAGGGCTTGATTTCCTCTCTTCACCAAACCATCAAGATCTCAACCCTTAAAAATCTCATGGTACATCGGATCAAAGGAAGAAGATCTCTCTCTCTTCTCGTTCCTCGATCATTAATAAACACGCCTAATCAACCCACACCATCTCATCTTCACTCATGTCCATATTCACTAAATTTTACCCCTATAACGCAATTTTATGAGGCATATACACAAGTAACCGTAGTGTGCATGCATTTGTACTTGGCCGTTATGCATGTAGGAGTGAATTTTGATATGGTGCCTTAATTTTTTTCTGGTACGGTTGCATTGCATTTTGTAAAGGTGTTTGTGTGTGTAGTAAATAAAATTGCATAATAATACCTACACAGAGGAGTCACTGCCTGGTTAACAAGTGTAATGATGTGAGTGTGACGACGCTATGTATGTACATATGTAGTTCTGGAGAAGAGTGGAATTCTATTCACAACAAGGAGCACCTGAATTTTGTCACCGATATTAAAAAACAACCTTTGGCTGATGTTCCTCGTCGAAATATGTGTGGAAATACCTGTTGTTGATTCATTTCATATCTGTGTGGGGATGATGGTGGTTAGAGAATGGTATGCAATTTTTTTGGTGTGCAATTCAAGGTGAAAGGTATCATCTTGGATTCGTGGGGAGCCTTCAATTTGGTCAGAAATATCTCAATTTCAAGAAAATATTGCCAGAATTTTGAGCAACGTTGATATGATCTTTCTTTTCATGGTGGGGTTTCTTCTTGGAGTTGAAAAGAAAATTATAAAAGTGCTGTCATAAAGATGTCAAAAGTGGGACGACTGATATTTTTTCCATTTTGCAAATAATTTCACACTTTTCAATTTCAGTTTTGCACAAAGGCAGTCATATTTTGGTCAGAATTGTTACACAGTCAGCCACACAAGTGGTACTCGATAATAAGAGAAACGACTTCATATGACCAATATTTGAAGGTTACACGAATAGTTGTAAATCATAAATCATGCATGATTATTAGCGTGCTTATTGTTGTGAAAAGGTGCAGCTCTCACCTGTAGTAATCGTTTCGACAGTAGACCGTCCCCTCCCTGAAAAAGCAGGAGGATTCCGACTGGAGACAAATTGCACAAACTGAGCACCTTAAATAAAATATTTAAACAATTAATTTAAATATCGACTTATGAGGTATGAGTGAGTGGGTGCACATCATAATTTAATTCAATGTTAATAAAATAACCAACCAACCTCAAGCAATCCGTGTGATATTGAAGACCGTTCACCTGCAAGAAAAAAATTTGGTCAAATAAAAACATTGCTGATTTCGGGACGAAGTTTTTTTTATTCTTGACAAGCTTTTGGTATATGCATCAAGTCATAAATGACAAGTGCAAATTTGAGTTTGGAAAATAATAAGGGTACATTTACATCTATAGTTTTGGTAATTATTGATGATTTAAAAATACGTATTTATTTTTACCTGGAGAAGGAATCGGTCCATGATTTTATCGTGGCACGTGGTGCATATCACATTTGTCTCTACCTGTAATTAAAGATAAAAATAAAAATGTTTAAAAATGCGTAACAATGTTATATTTAAATATTTAGAATTTTCTGAATTTTCGCACTATTTATTTAACCTTACGATATCTATTACTAACATTAACTTGCAAAAATTTCCAAATTTATGCCCATATATTTATTTGCAGCCCACAAACAATAACTGTCTCCACTTAAAAATAAAATCAGATTTTCCTACAATTACATATATGTACATAAACATCTCCAACTTTACACCATGCCGTTTTTGGCGATAAGAAGCCACGCGTCCATTTCAGCCACTCGTTTTGTTCCCGTGAGTACAATTTTCCTAGTACATCGTGTCGTCGTTTACTTACATGCTGTACGTACACGGTTCCCTGAAGAGTTTGACGCTGGTGGTGATGAGTGAGAGAGACTTTGGTGCATGGCCTGCATGACAAAGTAATTAATGGATGGATTTTACTTTAATTGATTTTTTTGTCATGTCGGCCCCAACAAAGCCCTCCAACTCCGGGGGGTCGGCCCAATATGCCACTGTAAAAAAGTAGCCAAGTTATTCTTCTACGGTACGCCAAAAGTGCAGTGCTCCCCGCTTCCCTCAAAAAAAGGGGCAAGGGTTAGACCCCTCAGAAAATGACATGAATCTCATCCCCTAACTCAGCAGTTAAACGCTTTCATTTTATTTATTTATTGGCATTCTCACGCATAAATAGCTCATATTTTGGCAATCGTTCCACGGACCTAGCATTTTTTTAAATCCCGTTAAAAAATGAAACCTGGGACACGATCATCCCTGTTGTTGCATTGTCCTAAATCGCCCTAATGGTCACTATATGTCCAGTCTCTGCTTCTTTGCATTGTACTGAGCCAGACTTCTTGGTGGGCTATTAATTGGATATTAGTAATTAATCACCAGGTGGGAACTTTACTCTCGTTTCCTTCACGGCACAAACGGTACGAGAAGCAGCGAATCTCTCCCCGTTTTTTATGTACTTCATTTTGATAAAGTGTGTAATAGACTTTGATACGCCGAACCGCATGAGGTTACCTTTAATATGGTTTTATTATGAAACTTCTCCTCAGGGAGGGAGCCATACCGATAAAAGATTGTTATTTTTATTATCTATTACTCGGCTTGACCAAACAGTAAAAAACAGATCTCTCCTCACCATTTTTCAAAATTTTTCGTGGTGAATTTTTAGCAAGAAAGTGCAATTCATCACCTCATTTCCGATAAGTCTCGAAACTACATTTGGTTAAATTGAAGGAGAAGTGAAACTCGAGATGAAATCTGCGATAGGAGACACGAGCTTGATTACGATTGTTCTTCTTCTCGCCGTAATGAAAGACAATTGGAGCCGGGGGGACGCTATTCCCATGACACGACGGGGGGTGGGATACGACGACGAGGAACCAATAAAAAAAATCTCAAGTCCCACTTCTCGTGGAAAATTGGGTAGAAAAAATGGACAGACTTTTTTTTTCTACATTGTCATCAAGTATTATTATTATTACTATTATTGACGAGAGAGTTGAGATGATCGTATTCTTCACAGTTAGTTAAACTTCTCTGAATCATAAAATCAAATCAAATTTCAATCAAAGAATTTGACAATTGGACCAAACCAAACCACAGAACGGATCAATACATGATTTCCGACTGACTGGGTATGAACAAAAGTGCGGAATCATGATGATTTCCTAGTTGGAAGAAGAAAATTAGGAAGAAGAGCAAAAATTATACGGTTCTTTTTTTCAAGTTTAAATATAATTTTATTAGTGCAAAAGCTTTCATCAAAAAATGATAATTTTGTCAAACTTTTCACCACTGCAAAAATTATGCAACACAATTTGCAAATTTTTCGAAAATTCCAAAATGACAATGTTGTACATATTTTCTACACAATTTTTGAATTTGTCTGCAAAAATTGGACACGAATATGCATTCAAAAGTGACAAGTTGTGAACAATGCCGACTGGCCAAACTCTTCGTCAACCTGATGGGAAAAAAGGGCTCCCGTGCTTCAATCCTGTCGCAAATCGGTGGGGAGTCCTTGGTGGTTCGAAGTCTATTGTGATGAAAATGAAAACGAAGGGCCCTTGTGTTTCTTCTCCATTGAGAGCTTTAAGGGATTTCTGTCTCTCTCTTTCTGTGACTGACTAACTGTTCAAAGGGGAAAAGTGTGCCAGGGATTTGTGGCAGTGGATACGATAAATACGAACAGATTACAACGTAACGTTCACTTATCTGCATTATGTATGTATGAAATGAACCACAAAATCCCAGCCTACCTTTATTGCTTACAAGTTAGTTACCTTTTTGACACAAAGGAGGCCCACATACATAAGTGCATATCTGCTGCATTATTATTGACTTTAATATCATGTGCCAAGTTGGGGTTGTGTTAGTAAACTGTTGTAGGAATAGATTTGTGGAGATTACACTTAATAATAGCTGTCTCTTTTCGGTTGACTTGTTTTTGGTTTGATTTTGATTTAGTTGACGACGACGACCGACATCACTCAACCAAAAGTGTCAATTTGAGAACAATAATTGAGATGAGAGGGCAATCGGAAAGGGTTGTGAAGTTGCGGTGGATGATTGTTGGGCATATTCATATCAAAGGAAGGGCGAGATGCCTATTTACATAGTTGTGGATAGCATGAGTTATTTATAAATGGCACTTCTAATGCACATAGATGCACTGGTCTGTATAAGTCATCGGCAAATATTCACACAATATAAAGATATTGTGCAATTGGTGAGATAACTATTTAAAATTTTACAGCTACAGCCGATCACATTTGTGGTAAGATATGACTCCTACTTTGAAATAGTATATACTGATTTACGATAAGGTCAAAGGTCAGGATTTTTTGAAAAGTGTTGTTTTGAAATTTTGCTACTTAAGGCCAAATAATATTTATGACAGTAATAATAGAAGGAAAGGTCGTGTGTTAATGTTGCTAAAAATATTTGTCATTTAATCCAATTCATCTTTCTTTGGAGCTACGTACGGAATTTTACATTATATGGTAATACATGAGCCAAATTATTGCACAATTTCGCGGAAAAGTGAGATTTATAGATATTACTTTTGTTGACTCGTTGATTTTAAGTGGATTCTGGGATGAAATCAGATCTATTGAAAAATAAATAAATCAATTAACCGAGTTGCCATTTTGATTTACAATTTTTCTTGGAATACAAATAATTACCTAAGACCAAGCGTGTCTCACTATTTCTTGCCAGCTGCAGCGTGCTTCTTCTTCTTGTCGGCTTGCACTTTCGGGGCGTGCTTACGTTTCTTTTCAACCACTGCCGCGGTAGCGTGGCGTCGCTTTTTTCCAGCAGAAGATTTCGATGGCGAACGCTTACGTTTCTTCGCAGCCGTGGCTTTTGGAGCGGAATGCTTACGTTTCTTGGCAGCGGGGGCTTTCGACTTGGAAGGCTTCCGTTTCTTCCCAGCTTGGGCGCCAGAATTTCTTCCACGACGTCCAGCAGTGGACCGAGAAGCTGTGTGGCTCTTCTTCTTTTGCAATCGTGCCTGGGTGTGGGTCCGTTTCTTCTTTTCAGCCCCACTTTTGCTTCGGCGACGTTTCCCCGCACTTGCACCACGACGCCCAGCCGTTGCGCGAGCAGCGGTGTGGGTCCGTTTCTTTTGTACCCGAGCTTGAGTGTGGGTTCGCTTCTTCTTCTCGGCACCACTTTTGCTTCGGCGATGTTTTCCTGCGCCGGCTTGGCTTCGCTTCTTCTTTTCGGCTCCACTACTTTTGCTTCGGCGACGTTTCCCTGCGCCGGCTTGAGAATGGCTTCGCTTCTTCTTTCCTGCCTGACTTTGAGAATGCTTCTTCTTTTTCTGAGCTGGAGATTTCTTCTGCTTCCTTTTGCCAGCTTGGGAGCTCGACCTCTATAAAAAACAGGGCAAAAAAACACTAGTTTGAATTGATAATGAGATCTTAAAATATTCACACTTACCTTCTTCTTGCCAGTCGCCGCTCCAGCATCGCCAGGCTCTCCGACATCTCCTGCATCGTCAATTGCAGCATCTGGACCAACGGCATCGTCAGCGATCTAGAATATTATTGAAGACATAGAAATACATTGGGTGGGAGGGGAAAAAGTGAGGTTATTGACCTTTGGTGGTTGGTGCTTTTTCTTTTTTCCTGCGGCGGACTTCTTGGGAGCTCGCTTCTTCTTGCCAGCATCTGCCCGCTTTTTACTGCTTCGGCGCTTTTTGGATGTTCCAGATGCAGCAGGGCCCCCCTCCCCCCCTTCACCAGTCAGTCGCGGCTTATCTCGCACAGCTCGGTGAGGGTCTGGAATCGTCAAGAATAAGTCACAAAATTCCTCTAATTTCGCTAGAAGAAAAGCTGGTAAACGAGACACTTACTTCTCCTCGGAGCAACTACAGCGCCTTGAATTTCAACTTCCTCGACCATTGTTCCAAATTCGCTACTTTGTTCGATAAGTTTGCACTTTCGGTTTCCTGACGAGATATTTTTTCAGAGCAGCAACGCGAAACACGTCTTGTCACATCCAACGAGAAAATTCAACTGAACTTTTTTCTTCTGTTTTTGATCCACCTTCGTCATTATCGTCTCGAAAAAATCCGTTGAGATGGCGACGGCATTTTTTGCAAAGTTGCAAATGTCGGCAAAAATTGCCTCTCAATTTTCTCAAGCCCTAAATCCAACCCAGTTTAATGTACGAACCAAGCCCCCGATTTTAAGGCTCGTGTAGAATTCGACACAAATTCATTCATTTGCCATATTTTCCTATTTGGAAAATATTATTGGATGCCTTTTGACAAAAAGTTTCAGCCCTACCGTAATTAATGAGGTTTACATCTTTGTGTCCTTTTGGTCTTTCGAGTTTGAAGTGAGTTTTTCCATTTTTACGAAGTACCCTTCATCCTCCTTGCTCTCGTCTTTGTCCCTTCATGTTATTGCCCGTGTCTTCTTTTACTTTGCAATGCTTGGTAATAAGTAAAGTGGTGTTTATGCTTCACGTCATCGTCACGTCCTCCTTCAAATCCGATTTTTTGATTGGCTGAACCAAATTATCACTACGACAATTATAAATTTTAACCAATCAAAAAATCGGATTTGGAGGAGGACGTAACGATGACGTGAAGCATAAATGCACCTTAAGAAGCGTATGAATGTATGGAATAAGATGATATTGAGTGCGGCATAATAATAATACAATAAAATAGAGTGGAGTGAGTATTATATGAGCAAAATAAATGTAATAGCAGCGAGTTTAAAGGTGTCCTCTTGTTGTGGTGGGCACTTATTTGTAGGTAAGGCTTGTAAAGTCAAAAGGTGTTGTTGCGAGTCTTTCTTTACAAAAATTCTGGTATGAATGTCACCTAAGGTTTGGAAGGAATTAAAGGTGTGCAGTTTTTGTAGGAATGATGGGGTGCACTTTAGGGTTCATTTGATGGTAATAATGATAAATTCACGATACAAATGGCCGAACGGAGTGTAAAATATCCTCGCGAAATATGTAAGGACTTTATTACATATTTAATAAATATGTAGTTAAATTGTGCAAAACGATCAGTCACTCACGAAATATTCATATTCATATTATAGACTTTTGTATTAAAATAATTTATATTAAAATAGTTTATATTAAAATAATTAACTATTTTAAATCCAATTTGACCGAAGTGAGTTTTAAGACTTCATGAAATAAAAATTCGTGTGTTTGCAATTGTAGATTGTACATATAAACCATTATTAGCTTATTATACTGGCAGGTTAAAGATCATAAACTAATATAATTATTTTTTAAACATAATATTAAATCGATAATTAATAAATCTATGTAAGTAAGAGTGAACAATTTAATTCACATTTAAAATTATTATCGACTTTAAAGCAAAATTCGTACAACTTTTCTCAATTTCGCTTTTTATTTCTAAATTCATTCATTCAATTAAACGACAAGCTGCAAGATTATTTTCTCAACCAACGAACCGTTTTCCTCAACCACAAATAAATTTACAAATCTCAAACCCAAAACTTGGTTTGACTGAATAATACAAGTAAAACTGTCCCAAAATGCAGCCTGACTTTTATTTTACTTCCTCCTATGTATTTACTAACTTCCACTTTTGCATTGTCCGACAAAAACCTCCACCTTTTTGTGGTGTCGTCCTTCAAGATTTATTCTTAAAATGTGAACAACAAAAATGAGCATGAGTTCATGAAAGGGAGACTTTTGTCCTGGTGGGGGTGGGACGCCTGTGAAAGTGAACTCAATAATCACCTTTTATGCCGAAAAGTCAATGAAGTGTCCACTGCCCATTTATTATAATGATGTGAAGCCAAGACTTGGACATACGAATAGATTATTTGGAAAGTGTGCCCTTTATTTAAAGGTTAAAAGTTTAAAGTATCACTGGGTTTTGTGGTGTATTGTGTAAACTACATAAGATTTGACCAAAAACTTAAAACTCGACACGTTAGAATGGGTGAGATGTTTCTTTTGTATTTTTCGTAATTGTTGATTTTTTTCACGAAAATTTTGAAATATTTTAACGGACAAATTTGAATAAAAATATTTGCAAATTTGAGTATTACAGTACAGACTGTAATTTACAGTAATTAAAATTAAATGCAATAAATACTATCCATAAAACTCCTAACTTTGTATCACAATCTAAAATAAAACAAACTTGACGGATAAGTTATACAATTTTCTCTTACGTATCATACTAATTTATTATGCATGTATCTTTTGTGTTTTTTGCAATGTTGATTTTTTCATGAAAATTCAGTAATTTTGAAAAATTTGAGTTGAAATATATACAAAATTTGAGTATAATATATTACAGTAATGAAAATGAAACACTACATAATCTAAAAATTTTAATCTTAAATCACAACCTAACATAAAACGAACTTGACGGATAAGTTATACAATTTTCTCTTACGCATGATAACAATTTATTATGAAGAACCCATTGACTTTCACTAATTACGCAAAACTCGTACCTAAAAATGAAGAGTTTTCTAAAATATGTAAAAAGTAGAATCTCACCTTCATCATCAGTCCGACTTTTCTTGAAAAAATTTGCTATCACACCGAAACCACGAGAATATTTATCTTCGTATAATCCGTACTTTTACTGTCCAACTAGAGTTTGATTTGACCACTTAACTGTTCCAAGTCCATCAACGAACATTATCGTTTACTTATTTAAAAAAAATATCAACACCCACACACTTTTTTACAATTCTTACGACCTCCTTTCCCAGAAGAGAAGTCTTTTCAAAATCTTTAGTTTAAACATGGCGTCTCAAAAAAATTGACATTTCATGCAAAAAAATGTCTCTTCTCATTTATTCACCAATTTCCACCTTTTCTCGTAATTTCTTTCCTTATTTTTTTACTCGTCTCAACTTTCCCGTCTACTTATCGTTCTCCGTCCTTCTTCCTTTACCCACTTTCACTCTAGTCTAGCAATTATTATTCCAAAAACGGATAAATTTCCTCCAAAAAAAGGACACATTTCCTCGCAAAAAAATTCCCCCTTCTTGACTTCCCTCTAAAATGTAAGGGCTCCCTTAAAGTGGTCGCTCTACCTTCAGACTCAACCACCAAACTGAGCCAACGTAGGGTGTTTAGGGGTATGTAGCCAAGTTGTAAACTTGTAGCTACATTACACATTTGTGGACAAGAAGAAGTACTCTTCGATTGGGCAGGATTGGGACGGATGGGGCGGTGGCATCCGAGGGAGAAAGTTCCACCCATGAGAGGATCAGAGAATTTACTATTATTTGCCTGCTTGCTTCCTCCGTGGCGTGAATTTTGCTTGGATCGCATCAGAAGATCTACCGATTTGATCATCAAATGGATACAGAAATGAAATGGAAGGAGTGAGGAAAAGGTAAACGAAATGAAATGCATAGCCAGACTTGTGTACGTACTTTGTTTGTGCTTTAGTTTACGGAGGAAGCAGGCAGAAAGGGAAGTGGTGGAAGGCTGAAAAAGGTTCATTAGGAGAGATGAGGTGGTGTGTTTAAAGGAAATTTGAGAGTGAGGATCCAACGAGAATTTTGTTGTTTATTTTAAATTATGCAAATGAATGAGCAGGAATTGCACGGGTAGAAAATTTTGCAATTTTGAAACATATTTTTTGATGAATTTTGTTGTTAATGAAAGAAATATTTGAGTTGGTTCCATTTCATTTAAGTAATTTTCAGAGAAAGGTAAACAATGGTGGAAGATTTATTTCGGAGATATTTTGAAGTGTCTTGAATGATATTTGCATAAACAAACAAGGCATGTTTAGTATTTGTTTTGGTTAAGTTTGGGGTAATACATAATCAATCTTGGAAATTTGGTAGAATTGGAAATTCGTATGTATACTATAAAATTTACTATTTACTATAAAATTAAAAAATACTACCTCCATAAATATCTGAGAAATTATTAAATAATTTTTCCCTATGCGGACATGATACCTTTCACTATTATAATGTAATTTCAAATGTCAAACAAAACCTAAACGGCATGAAATATGTTCAAAATTTCCAAACTTATTTATGTATTACAATTAACTTCAAAAATTTCAGAATTCTATTCTAATTCTATTCGGTTGAGTTATCTCGTGTTACAAATTCCTCCTAAATTTTAATATCATCACCGTATGGTCGAAATTTATATGCATAAATTTTATTAGCGAAATAAAAAACCTCCCAATGCATAAAGCTAAATGTGTCCTATGCATGTAAGTATTACTGGTCGTAGGATCTCTTCTGATAGCAGGATTTTATGTACATACAAAACCTACTACAGTCTCTCTCTCTCTCTGAAATGTGAATGTGCATAATAGCAGGGCAAACACCCAAATAAAATGGATATGATCGCATCAGAAGCGACGGATCGCCGTGAGCAACGTTCCAATCAAGAAAGAATGGAAGAGAGAGAAGGTTGCGCTGCATTGTGTTGCATAAAGTTGAGTTTTGAAGCAGCAAAACAGCAACAGAGAGTCAACAATATCGTCGATATCAACAAAGTAAAAGATCACAAAGCTAAGCGAGAAACTAGCCAAGAAAACTTGCATTCGATTCTCTCTCTCTTAAATAAATAAATGTGCTTTTGTATTTATTTTTGTGGTTATGAAACGAAACGAATGAGATGGAAAATATGTAATTCTTGTAGTTAAATTGATACGCTAATTTAGGGAATATTATCCAGTAATCGATAAGGTAGTTAAGTTAACAAGGTAGTTAAGTATGCAATCTGGACAATTTTTGGAAACTTGGTAAACTTTGACGTCCTTAATTTACTTTTATGATTTTGATATTTACTTAAATTTGAAAGATGTTATTTGTATTTGAAAATTTTAGCAAAATTAAAAATATTGAGATTTTCATACTTTTTTCCGATTTTCTTTCCTTAGATTCAATTTTATCTCTACATTTATAAATAAGTACAAATTTTCGCCAAAGTTTTAGTCGTCATTCTTCCCATGAAAAATAAATACGGGTCGAAATATGAAAGTTGGGAGGACTAGATTGTAAATGTCGTCACGTTTCTTTTGTCTCCTTTTTTTGATACAAAATTGAAATTCTACTCATGCCACGATTCCCCATTTTCGGAAACGAAACGAACTACGGGACATGGAAGAGGGATGAGCTTTATTTGATCAACTTGAACAACTTTCACTCGGTGACAAGGGGAGTGAGTCGTTTTTCCCATGTCCCACGTCGTCGTCCCACCGGAGGAAAACTAACGAAAGAGGAAGGAAAAGATCCTGATCAAAAGTTTAACAAGAAAAGTAAATAAAATGACAAATCCGACTGAAGTGAAGGATAAGGGCTGATGAGGTGAGACAAGAAAAAACGACGAATTTTCTAAGAACAAAAGTTTAATTTTTAATTAGAAACGAGGTATTTTTGTTAAAAGAAGTTGATTAATTGTTCAATGTTGACACAAAATTAGGAAATTTTTGGAGAAATTAAAATTAACTCGGGGTATAAGATTTCCTGAATTTCGGATTCAGGAAAGTTCTACAAAATCTAAAAGTATAAAAAATATTGTGCTCGACAAAAAAAAGTTCAAACTTTTTCCGAGTCAAAATCAATTCTTGGAATATTTTTTGCTTCCAAGTTTTCATTTTATTAAGGGAAACTTTGTCGACTGAAAATAATCAATACTGAGAAATGGAAAGTGAAGGTGTGAAGCATTTTGTTCATATTTTACGGATCTCTCCTGGTTTGAAGATCGTTTAAGCAAACGAACAAAAAAATCGTGCCGTGCCCACCCCCACAACAAACCAATCCTCGCCAAGGTGCACAATCAGGCCGACTTTTCTTGTTTTATGGGGACGCTTAAATAAATACCTGTGTCTTCGTGTGTACCTGTGCTTTTGTAAATAAGTATAAGTATGGGAACCGACTTATTGATTTGTCCGACCTGGAGAGAGCCGATGAGATTTTCTTTTTCGGTAAGAAAAAAAACTGGAAATGAGACACGTTCACATTTAGCTGGGTTATTTATGCAGAAAGAAGATTGGTGGGTGGGTCCTGGGTAAATATAGAGGTAAGGAAGAAGAAGAAATGAGAGTTACATATGTACTTTTGTTTCTGTAAGCTTGAATAATTTTCATATGCGGGGAAACATGTAGAATATTTTCATACTGTTTAAAATTTTCATGATTTGATGATAAATTGCAAGTTTTCGTAAAATTCGTAATATTCAGCCAGACTTAAAAAATTATACGACTGCAATGCATTCTGAGCATGGGAGAAAATTAATTCTGAAATATCTACACGTTTTAAACGACATATTTACATCTTTTATGACAATTTTTCATTTCATATTTCAAAAATATCACAGAAAATAATTTAGAATAATTGGTTTTGATACTTTCTATAATCCCACAGCATCCTGAATTAAAACTACACGGAACCACATCCAGAACATACTTATCACAATATTAAATCATCCTCATAATTTGTCTGTCACACACCATAATTATTTCTCTATTTAAAACGGTAACATGTACTTACAAATGTGACATATTTCACAATATTGATTCACACACGTACATATATGTAATCACTCACATCGAGAAGAATTGTCGGATTTTCGGGAGCAGAAAACCCGAACTTGTGCCTGGTCGTGTGTCCAGTCCACTTGACTGTTATGCTGTGACAACGGGCATTATGTCATCCTTTGTTGACACGTGGCTTCCTCCTTTATCCGCACTTCCCACTCAATACGATTCAATAGATTTATTGCGTAACAAAACCCAGGCTTTTTCACCTCAACTGCAACCTAAAAGGGGTAATTATCAGATTAGCGGAGAACAATTCTGGAAAAAAGTCGCGTGGGGTTTTCTGATCGAATATCGTCGTTGAAGATGCAAAAGAGCTAACCGGATTTGTTCATTGTCACATTTGCTATGAGAAATGCAACGAATAAACACTCGTTGGCTCTTTTTGCGTATTCAACGACGATATGTATGAATACTGAATATTGTTAGAATTTGGAATTTCATGCCTGAAAAGGTCCCAAATTTATATTATCCATAATTCGACGTGGATGAGTGGGTGGGAAAGAAGATAATGTAGAAAGCATGTCATAATCTAGAATTGCATAAATGTGCATATTAAAAGCTAATGTATAAATTTTGTACAAATTAATAAGCAGTAGATTTGTTAAATGTAAATTATGTTAGATATTTTATGCAAAATCTACATTACCTACAACGCATACTAGAATATGAAAATAAATACTAAATAGTTTTCCAACCGGATTTAAAATGGTGCTAAATTCATATTGCAAGAACTTACACTTTGCTTAAATTTTCTCAAGCGCACCAATTACATTTTCTAAGTTAAATATCAATCAAAAGTTCATTTTTTTTTATTCTGTAATTTTGGTTTTAATTTGTAGTATTTTCGGTATGTCCGAACTTTATATTAATACAAAAATGTTGGAAATTTAAATCATAATAATATTATAATAGTGGTGAGAGACGCTCTCCGAGATAATTGGATTTTGGCCCATCTCAATAAAAATGAATCTGGGATCCACCCCCTCTTAACAAATGGGCACGAACCAATCACCCCACAATTTAATATATTTACTAGATGGAAACATTTTAAAATAAAACTTTGCATAATTTCGTCTTAACCTCTGCACTTACAGAATAGAGGACATAAAATTATCAAGTTTTGTTTTGGTATGATGAGGTTTATGGAAATTCAAAATTTTCAGAAACATAAAAGTTTACATGTGTGATTTCATAATTATTTTTGCAATCACCTTGGTCATTTCTTCAAAATCTTCATGAACTTATAGATGATAAAAATGTAACAAAAATCCGTAGCGTCGTCCAAATCAGACAAACCAAACTGATAATGTTTATGGAAATTCAAAATTTTCGGAAACATAAAATTTTATTCATGTCATAATTATATGTCAATGATGGACATAAAATCTTCATGTCCTAGTAAATGTCCTAGTAAATGTCCTAGTAAATGTGTAAACGGCTGAACCGATTGACTTGAAATTTTTACCATATGCATATTGGACAAAGTTAGGAAACGAGTTCGAAGATGGGCAAAATCGGTCAAGTGGTTGACCGGTG